ATTCTGTTCAATCGGGCGTTGGCTCGGACGTTCTACTGAAGTGCCCCAAGTGCGTGGCAGAGTTGGAGGCAATAACTGCTCTAAGGCAGGCTCAAGAAGAAGTTGGTGAGAGAAACAACTTGTTCAAGGCTGCTCTGAGTGATGCCAGCGATAGGTTCAAGGTGATGACATCGTTCTACGGACGTGGTGCTATGGAGTCTGTGCGGCTCGTGTTCGATACTCCCGAGGAGTAGAAAAAAGCATCCAAGGAAATTTAAATGAGGATCTGAAGACTAAAATTTTGTCTCTTTGGTGTTCCACTTTAATAATATATATTTAATCTGTATCTTGGCATCGGGTCAATTTTTGATATGTCTGGGTCTCGACCCCCGCGAGATCGGGAGCCCCATCTGAACTCCAAAAATAGGACATCTCTCCCCTTTGGAAACGACCAAAAAATGGAATCATACCTTCCCTGCTTCTTTGTCTCTAGACTTTAGTCCACAGTTATGTTCTCCTCAAGGGCTTCAGGGTGAGTATTTGGAACTTGGAGCTTGCTGTAATTATAATTTCCTACTAACGATACTAGTGAGAGTTCGCCAGACATCCAGCATTGGCTGGCTGATTTGGGATGTGGAGGGTATCTAGATCTTTTCCAAGGTAAGTCAAACAAGGGAGAGGCTGCTTCAAAATTATATTTTGAAACTATCTTGTGCTTTATATGATTACTAACATCATCAGCCAACGGTATAACCCTCAATATGGTCCCAGATCTGGACTACTCGGCATTAAAGGAAATTGGAGTCCCCAAGGTTGGTGATAGACTCCGCCTACTTCTCGCAATACAACAGGCTTCAATGGACAGACTTAGATCTCATGTGCCAATAGACGTTCTGATGGATTTCAAGGTCAATTCCTCTGATGCTCCTTTGGCATCGAGGTCAGGGGAGGATATCAGGGGTGAAAGTACCATCACCCCGGCTGATGACTCCGAAGCCGTCAAGAACACCATGACTGTGATTACACAGGACGGAGCCACCAAGAAGGTTTCTGTTGCGGGTTGTTTCAATGCCATGTCCATCAAGCGAAAGGCACTTAAGAAGCTTGGAATAAAGTCGAGTTCTTCACTTTGGGATGCGTATGTCACAGACCGTGAAGGTGTTCCTAGACTCATGTTTGACGTGGAACTGGTGACGGTATGCCATTCAGCAGACAGAATCGAAAAGCACAGAATAATATTGTGTCCAAAAATGGAGAAGCCCTCTACGATAGCGAGAGAGACTTCGAGACGGCAGATTGAGAAATCGCTTTCCTTGGGCAATAGGACAAAGAGAGACGGTAAAAGGAAGGCTCAGGATGAAAATACAGGAAAGACAGGTCTCCGTAGTTTCTTCGGACAAAGACCTCCAAGCCAGCTTATTTCCACGAACCTGGCTGAATATTTCCCAGATTCCAGACCTAATCAGCTTCAGGAGACTATGAGAAACTCAGTGAGGCTATCTGCGCGCATGTCGAGGATCATGCCCAATGGGGCTCTTGCTGGATCGCGAGCCTCGATGTTCTCGAACTCAAGTCAACCTATATCGCTTGTGAGCTCCAGGTTGAGTGTTTATCACTCTGGTGCTGCACCTTCTGTTGGCGAAGTCATTGTAAACAACGCTAACGCCATTGACTCCATCCTGGCTGACGATGCTTCCATAGCTGATCAATACGATACGATACGTCCTGTTATATCCCAAACAAGTGCACAATCGGGACCTAAGCTGTCTGCTGCCATGACTGCACCAGATATGTCAGATCGTGCATCCTCAGTGATCGAGCTGTTGGACGAAAATGACGATCTGGATGAGATGGTGAACGAAGACTACGACCTTATGGAACAACTCTCTTTGGAAGAAGAATCTGGCCCACAAAGATGGCACAAGGGTGCTCGTATTGGTGCTGGGAGTTTCGGTACAGTCTACTTGGGACTTAATTCGCTAACTGGTGAACTTATGGCTGTGAAGCAGGTGGAAATTCCCAGCGAAGGCTCTAAGACAGAGCAGCACAAACGTATGATGATAGACGCCTTGAAAATGGAAATGACGTTGCTACGTGATCTTAATCATCCCAACATCGTGAGATACCTGGGGTCCTCTTCTGATAGTGCAAATCTGAACATTTTTCTGGAGTACATTCCTGGTGGTTCTGTATCCTCTATGTTGAATACTTATGGCCCGTTCGAGGAGCCGTTGATCCGCAGTTTCGTTTCTCAGATATTGATTGGCCTGCAGTATTTACACAGCAAGAACATTATACACAGAGATATCAAGGGTGCGAACATATTGATTGACATCAACGGAACCGTGAAGATCAGTGATTTTGGTATATCCAAAAGGGTAGAAGGTGTATCTGAAACTTCAACACCAACGGACGGTCCGAGCGCGTCAGATGGATCCGGTTCAACTAGCACTACCAACCGCCGCGCTTCATTGCAAGGGTCTGTTTACTGGATGGCTCCAGAAGTGGTGAAGCAGAGTATCTATACCGATAAGGCGGATGTCTGGTCTCTTGGCTGTCTGATTGTGGAAATGTACACTGGGAAACATCCTTTCCCCAACTACAGTCAGATGCAGGCCATTTTCAAGATCGGAACCCACACAATTCCAGATATCCCTGCCTGGGCCACTGATGATGCTCGCAGGTTTTTGGGTGTTAGTTTTGAACTCGACCACACCAAGCGTCCTTCCGCTGCACAGCTGCTCCAGCACGCATTCCTCAAACCATTGCTCATGCCCAAGCTAGAGTAGGCTGGGAGAGCTCTAGCTTTGGTTAGTTTGTATGTTGAAGGAAACCGAGGGGAATTGGGTAATTTCCGCATGAACTGATGCCTCCAGTCCTAGACTGAAGAGGATTCCGCGTATGATTCCGCATGGGAACCAGAGGTACTGTGTAAAGTTAGTAAGACAATCGTAATGTTGGAAAAATTCTTGTATACTCACCAATGAAGCTCTCTTCAAAGTGTCAGGGTCTCCTAGTGGGCTTGCCATGTTCGAGATCAGCCTGAAGTTATGGTCAATCAGCACAAACGTTCCGCTGTGGTTGGTCCTCAAGTTGTCCATCTGTTTCGAATACAACAATTTCCACACATCACGGCATATGAACTTCATTATATCCAATGGCTGTGATATCTGGAGATTCCCATCGCTTTTCATGTAAATCAGACAGTCTGCAAGTTTGGTACCTATCTCGTAACCGTAGCTCTCGATCCTGAATATGCTGTTCTCATCCTGGATAGCGGTATCATCCAGTAATATATCGATTCCGCCTGAACGAAACAGCAAATCCTCCTCTTCCGGTTTCTTGGGGTCAATCTTGAGTTGGCGTATGCCTTGCGTCGGAACACCCTTTGAGCTATCGCTCAGTGTCTTGGTCACCCTCAACGAGAGAGGGATGGTTTCCATCAACAAATAGTCCAAGCATAGCGTGTTGACTTCTTTTCTGAACAAATCATTGCCAGCTTCGTTTACAGCCACATTTGAGGTACTCATGGATCCAATAGGGTGTAGAGTTGTATACTATTTGATATTGGTTGTTGTATAGTAAGCCTGGCTGAAAGCTTACCGTCTCGATGGGTGCCGCACGCAAAAGGCCCACCAGATAACTGATATCTTATAAAATTTCATACTCCGGTACAATTCTGTGTCAAATGTACTTTAAAAAATGCAGAAATTTGCCCTGGTTGGCTTTTTGTTCAATATAAAAACCGCTATATCTGATAAACCACATTTCCCATGTTCAACACTTTCTGAGAATCGAATTTCGTGTCAGGATCGGTCTCAAGCCGTTTCCACGTCTTGATCTCGCCAGACTGAGATTTCAATTCAAAAGTGCGGATTCTCCTTGTTGTTCCACCGTATCCAGCATATCCACCTTCACCTGCTGCTCCGCCATAACACAGCCACACGCTGTTCTCTTGATCGTCCGTCGTTTCAGAATGCATCAGACAGTAGTCATTGCAATGGTCATGACCAGCAGTGACTACCGAAACACCGATCTTTCCGAACACACTTCTCATACCGCTGTTATATTTCGGGGCAGTAATACCCTCCTTGAGGTTTCCAACCAAGGGTCTTGCCTGGTCGTCTATATTCACATCTCTGTACTCGGGCAAGGGGATATGAATGAACGCCATGGCCATATGTCTGAGTGTATAAGCGTCTCTTTGAGGTTTTAGTCTGGAGTATTCACTCTCCACAAACTTCAGTTGATCCTCCTTCAGCCAATCATAGCCGGGATTAGTTTTGGGATTCAGCGAGTACTTATGTGTGTCGAGGAAGTACAATGAGGCGGCAGCATGGGCCTTATTTCCATTGGGAGGAGCAATTGTTAGCACGTAGTTGCCCACTCCTGTTACGTCTTCGGGTCCGGAGGAAGACATGCAATAAGGCAAGGTGACCGCCAGGTCCATGAGCTGCTTCCGCGAGAGCGATCCTTCGTCGTCATGGTTGCCGAAAATCAAGGCATATGGGATCTTTCTTCGTATGAATGGGTTCAGCGCCTTCAATATCGCTGTTTCTGCATCTGGAGCTTCGTCTCCAAACACCTGGTCTCCTGTGAGTACCACAAGGTCGGGTTTCTCGATGTCCAAAACGGAATCAACAAACGCCGTTGTGCGCACATCTGCAAAGCACTCACCCGCGTCTGCTGGCAATTTAGGAAACGTGTCACGACAATGTCCATAACCGGTCGAAAAGTGCAAATCAGCAACTTGCAGGATTTTGAACGAACCATCTTCCCTGTAGTTGAGATTCATTGTCGGGTTCTTCACAGGCTCTCTCTTGTAGGAGAGATAAACTTCCTTATCGTCCTCTCTGCTTCTCGCAATAGTGTCTGTCTTACCGCCTGTACCCGTTCCCTCAATAGCAAGTGACTCCAAAACGACGTCCCAACCCAATCTGGGGTCTTCGCAGTCTCTGCCAAAGAGCACGTTCAGCCCTGTGAGCGCAGTGTGGGACTCATACTTGCCAAACTTGACCCACAGCCCGTGGTCATACCTGACCCATCCAGCATTAACAACATCCTCGGGATCGGGCACTTTTAGAATTGGCGAAGTGGCTTTCGAGTTCATATCCCTCAGCAGTGAAATGGGATAACCCTGTTTGTTCTCTGGAATGGCCGTGTCCACTTTGGGGTTTCCAATCGCTATATCCACCACCACATCAGACTCACCAAGAATTTCCTCGGCTGGAATACTGCGATAGAAAATGTGAAGCTTCGTTAGCCATTTGCGACCCAAATACAAGTCTTTGGGTATCATCTTCCAAGAATCCGATGCCGATGCAAGCCCGATATCGTTAGCACGGTCCCATCCGGGGTCTGGTCCACATTTACTGCTCGATTTCCAACACTCTTTGAATCCGACGCCAATGATTACTTGTCCCTCATGCTCCAGTCCCAGCTTCTTTGATATCAATCTTTGCACATTGGTCGCTGAGGAAGGGAACGCGGAACGCAAGCTTCCCGTAAGCACCAACAAGCTCACCACCAAGGCAATCACATAGACTGCGAGCCTGATGAAGCGCTTGGGCAAACCGACGCCGAGACCCATTATAGGATTGGTTTTCTTGTTGGATCGGAAGAGGAGAAAGACAAGACAAAGCTTTGAAGCCTCAAGCCGCTAACAGTTGAGAGTTGCGATGAGGCCCGTGCCTCAGTTGGCAGCGCCTCAGCTAGCATTGGCCGCATGAAGCGGCATGAAGGGTGTGAATATGGAAGCTTAATGGGGGTCAAAAAGTATAAAATTAGGGGGGAAATGGGATTTTCCGAGATTTCTGTCTTTAAAGTTCCTTAATTGTTATTTTGATCTGTAGGGCAGGCATAAACGGCTTGGAGCTGGGGCAATTGAGAACGAATAATGAGTGAGGTTGGCTGAGACGGTGGAAAAGTCTATGCGAAGTTGATACTCCGATTTTCTCAAAGTGGGTACATTCTGGTAATTAAAGTTCGGCTCAATCTTGACTTGTTTAAGACGTTGTGTTGTGTTTATGGCCGTTTAGACTGTCTCGTCTTAATTCTGATATCGTCATCTCCATCTCCCGTCAGAACCAGAACTCTTTCAATACCTTCAACCTAGCCGTTTCAAGCCCAAAATCGCTTTTGTTCATATCTCACTTCCTACCTGTTGGTCTGTGATCCGCTCCAAACAACAGTCCACCCGAATTTCCAAGATCCTTCTCCTTGCGTAATCCTGGCGTGGCAAAATGTGGTCGCCCCAACCAATCTGGAGAAACCACCTGTTCTCCTATTTTGAACTTAGCATCTTTTCCTTGAAATGGGTCTGAGTCTGTGTTTTCTGTCTGTTTGGCTCCTTTCTCTTCGCTATCGCTATCGCGTGAATCTCCAGTCTGTGCTGCCTCATCATCAACTTCACGTCTGTCTCGCTTCACCTCCGCAATCGCATAATGTGGCTTCAGAGACTTGGGGTCCACCTCCTTGCCCCCAATCTTAAACTTGACATCTTGTCCCTCAAAAGGATCCGACATTAGATATTATATACCGAACAACCAAGCTTGAGCCAATCAAATAATGTTATTGGCATAAAAAACAAAACAAAAAAAGATAAGACTGCAAGTTGGGGCTTTGCTCTTCCCGAAAATTGCTAAGCTCACGCTTAACTGGGGTACGTAAAGAGCTTCGCTGTTGTTCGCGAGATCATTTGTTGCCGCTGAAAAGTCAACATTCTTGGGTCTTTTCTCGGGTTTTTGATGCCCCATTGAAAAATGTTATCCCAGTTGCACATATCTTTCACGGTATTGGGGATAATATTTGCCATTATCGGTAACTTTCTAATCTCTTTGTCCTTGAACATCCAGAAACAGGCACATCAGTTACTAGAAGATGAGGCTTCACCGGTGCGATCTGAAAACGACTGTCTGGATCAGGGATTGAAACATAGTGGGAACTATCTCAGGAGCTGGAGATGGTGGACGGGATTCTTGCTAATGACGTTGGGGGAGATTGGGAACTTCGTGGCCTATGGCTTGGCTCCGGTTTCGATAGTGACGCCGTTGGGCGTGGTGACAATTATATCCAATTCCACATTTGTGGCGCCGGTTCTATTTAAAGAGAAGATAAGAAGAAGGGATATTTTGGGGACTTTCATTGCGGCGTTAGGTGTGGTGATGATGGTGCTGTCCACCCTCAACAACTCTGGTGAGTCGCACGGGAGAATTGACGATCCCTTCAAATATGTCGATACCATTGTTTTGTCTTCCAGCACTTTGATTTACATTATGGTTACAAGTTCTGTGTCTTTGGTGCTGGTCGTGCATGTCAATGGCCAAGATTACAGTTCTGACCGTGCTGTGTATCTGATCTCTCATCTCACCACAGTCGCACTGTTTGGCGCCTATACCGCTCTTGCCACAAAGCTTTTGTCGACAATCGTGGAATTTGCCAGCTGGTACGATGTTTTAACCAGCTTTAGATCTTACACGCTGCTCTTGATAATCATTCTCACCTCTGCTCTACAGATCAGGTATCTGAACGATTGCCTGAGAGTTGCCAGTGCGACCACTGTTGTGCCTATACATTTTGTCTTCTTCACCATCTCGGTTTTGATTGGTTCCACTATTACTTTCCACGACTTTCAGAACAGATCTCTGTCGCAGCTGTTCAACTTCTGCGTTGGTTGTGGATTGACGTTCTTGGGTGTATTCTGCATATGTGGTGAAGAAGATACTGGGGCTGAACAGGAACCACTATTGGAATCGATTCCCTCGCAGCATCTGACTGCACCACACATTTTGATAAGCGGCGAACTTGACGACGGTTTGTCCGTACAAAACGGGCTCGCTACCACGGACGACCCACACTTGATACGCTCTGCAGACGGTTCAACGCATTCTGCGGCCTCGTCGATTGTCTCAGTGGAACCCCAAGAACCTACTGCAGGGCTGGAGGTCCCTACGCGTCGCGCTTTGCATAACTCCAAATCCGTCCCTGACCTGCACGAGAGAAATGGGAGATGGGTAGGTAACATGTTCCGTGAATACTCCCCAGGGGACTGGATACAGCGCAGAAGCAGTCTGTCGCATCTCGTTACGGAACCCATGATGAAACTGAAAAAAACAAGAACAGAGAGCCTGAGCAATGGGTACTACATAATGTCGGGGTCTGGTGGTCTGCTTCTGAACACCATGTTGAGCACTATGGCTTTACAACCCACGACCGAGGATACAGAGATTAGAGGAAGCATAGTGTGATATTTCCAGCGTTTACAGCGATGAATTTGAATATAGAGGTCGAAAACATTTTAAAGAAAAGCGTAAATTCTGGGATAACTGCAAAATATGCAGCTAACTGCAGTAGATCGACTGCAAGTGGTCACTTCTGTCTCTGATTAAGCTTTACATGCGCAATAAAAATATATATTCGTCTACAATTCAACAATAGTGAATATATTATGACAATCTTTGATTTTTGGTATTCTTCTGGGGTCTTTAACTGATTTTTCCTCGACATTCCATGCCGTATTAGTTGCCATATACATAGACGGCAGCCTATTAGATAAGGCGCATGCTCCTTCGCTGCCATGACATCATAGCTATGATTTCTGAGGCCTGTTTCTTTCCTGGACACCACTTACGTTCCTGTTTACACTCTCCAGCTGAAACTTCAAGATCCGTGGATACAAGCTTTTCATTCAGATATTCATAATTTGCAATTACTGGGCTTTATCTTGAAGCCAAGCTCTTATTTGTCTGAATTGTCTTTCCAGAATAGGAATACCGAACAAAGGCTGATCCCCCCCTTTCAGTGGTTGATGCTCTCTTTACGACCATAGCTACTAGTCACAACGCGACTTAAAAAAAAAAGCAGAATCACCAAAACTTCAAAAACGTCTGCTTCTTAGCATCTCAGTTCAGTTTTCAACTTTCCTAATGGATGCACACGAAATTCCAAGTGGCCCTCTGGTCGGGAAGGCCTTGTTATACTTCACCAGTGTTTTCGTCAGTCTGGGAGTGTTCCTGTTTGGATATGACCAGGGTGTCATGTCTGGTGTCATTACAGGTCCCTATTTCAAGCTTTATTTCAACAATCCCTCTAGCTCTACTATTGGAACCACGGTAGCGATTTTGGAGATTGGAGCTTTGGTCTCGTCTCTATATGTGGGGCATATTGGCGATGTTATTGGCAGGAGAAGAACGATTAGATATGGGGCCTTAATTTTCGTGATTGGTGGAGCGGTCCAAACTTTTGCTGTGTCAATCCATAACCTGATTCTGGGAAGAATCATTAGTGGTATCGGCGTGGGTCTGCTGTCCACCATAGTACCGGTTTACCAGTCTGAAATCTCACCTCCGCATAATAGAGGAAAGCTGGCCTGTATAGAGTTCACAGGAAATATCGTTGGATATGCCAGTTCAGTGTGGACAGATTATTTCTGCACATTTATAGAGAGCGATCTGTCTTGGAGAGTGCCATTGTTTGTCCAATGCGTCATCGGAATGTTTTTGCTGTTCGGTTCGTTTGTCATTGTGGAGAGTCCAAGATGGTTGCTGGACCACGATCACGATGCTGAGGGAATCGTTGTGATTGCGGATTTGTATGCTGGTGGTGATGTCAATGCGGAAGCTGCTCGTGAAGAGTTTCGGGGCATAAAGGAGTCGGTTCTCATGAGCAGGATGGAGGGCGAAAAGACTTATTCTGAGATGTTCAAAAGATACTCCACACGTCTGTTTATAGCCATGTCGGCTCAGGTTTTTGCCCAGTTCAATGGTATCAATGTGATCTCGTATTATGCACCCTTGGTGTTTGAACAGGCGGGCTGGCTAGGCAGAGACGCCATTCTCATGACCGGTATAAACGGTATCGTATATATCATGAGCACAATTCCGCCTTGGTATCTAGTGGACAACTGGGGTCGTCGCCCAATTTTAATTTCTGGTGGTATAATCATGGCATTGTCACTGTTCATGGTCTCTTATGTGAGCTACTTGGACATCGCCAGAACTCCAGCTTTGGTTGTCACGTTCGTGATAATCTACAATGCAGGGTTTGGCTTTTCGTGGGGTCCAATTCCTTGGTTATTTCCCCCAGAAATTCTGCCTTTGAGTGTTAGGGCCAAAGGTGCTTCCATGTCGACTGCTACCAATTGGGCTGCGAACTTTGTGGTTGGTCAATTGGCACCTGTTCTGTTGGAAACAATCCATTGGAGACTATATTTGATCCACACTGCCTCGTGTATCATATCTGTGATCGTGGTAATCACTGTGTATCCAGAAACGTCTGGTTTGCAACTAGAAGACATGGACTCGCTGTTTGACGATAGGTCGTCCACATTTAGTTTCCATGGAAATTCATCAACGTACGGAGCCACTAACGACGACGACACAAGCTTGCTGAGCTCAAGGTTTCGCTCAGCAGCAGCAATGGCTAGGCACCCTCTCGGTGACTCTATTGGTTCGCATTCCCAGCTATTACACACAAGCGATATGAGTGTCCATTCGCAAACTGCTCATTCTCCGTTGATCCAGCCTCAAGATGTGGAACCTCCAGACCTCGCTGCCATCCTGGCATACAAAAATAGCGACCAGAATAGCATTCGTGGAAGCATCAGAAGGGGCAGTGAGGCTGTTTCTTCAATCTTTAAGTTTGGCAAAAAGGATGGTGATAACGAAAGCGCGTATGAGAGTGACGATCAGAGCAGCTCGCACGTTTAAAAGTGTCCATGAGTGACTATACACTGGTCGTTGTCCAATGGCTATTATTCAACAGGCAATATCTACAAGTTTTTTCCATCATAAAATTCTATTGCAGATTACAACTCTGGATTCGCAATCCTTCTGTAGCATGCCACATACTTGCTGCCCTTATTACGTGCTACCTTCTTTCCTTCTTCGGTCGAGTCCCTCATGATTCTTACGCATGCATCCTGGTTCTCCCACTCGGTGGATAATCTCTCAAACAATGGGTGGCCGTCCAAGTGTTCCACCATCCACTCGTGGAGATCAAGAACATCCGTGATGGTGTAGACAACACCTCCCTCGCGAAGCACATAGGCGTACTCAGAAAGCAGTGTGTTGGTGACGATTCTGGCCTTGTGCTTTCTCTGCTTGAAATGTGGATCAGGGAAACAGAAGAATATCTTTGACAGTTGAGACTTGTAAAAAAAGTTAGGCAAAAACTTCATGGCATTTCCTCTCAGAACTGAAATGTTCTGATATTTGTTCTCGGCCAAATGCTGCTGCCTTAGTGCTATTATTCTGTCCTCCACATACTGTGTCACCTGAACTCTAATCTCCATCCCCAGTATCAACTTGTCTGGGAACTCAGGAGCGAGATCAACAAGTAAACCACCGAATCCACATCCTATATCAGCAATCTCAACTTTCCCCGTGAACTCACCGGTTTGCGAATCGACGTGGGCAGGATAGTGCTTGGTCCAGTCCATTTCGTTTGGTGCGTTGGGATACTCGAGCTGGTGATCAGAGAATGGATTCGAGTGGGCCCTCTGTCTGTAGAAACGTTTCCTTGGGAGGTCAATCTGTGTGCTCTCCTCTTTATCATCGAAAGTCACGGTCTTGAGACGTGATCTCTTCAGCTCTTGTTCCTCGCGATACACCTGACGCTTGTGCGCCTTAGTGCTTATTTCGGTGCTCTGGGGAGCCTCATCCACTGACTGCTCGTTTTGAGGCATATTTGAGGGGATTTCTAGCGTCAAATCTGAGCTTGTCTAGTTTGGCCAAGACAAAGTGTTTGGCTGAAAAATATAAAAAAAATATTTTGGTCAACCCACGACTTGATATCAGGGCCTTTCTCTTAGCCAAATTCATCAAGATAACTGGACTGAATGTCAAGCAGCTCTTGTAAGGGTAAAAAAAATCTACAAGAAAAGTTTTTGATTGACTTGGAACAGTTTTCGGCTCCACTCTATTATCTACAAGCTATGAGGACATCATGTACACCGTTTCATGACGGCCAACCCTATTCTTCCTTTGAGGATGGATCCAACGTCTTTTCGTGTTCCTTCAGGTTCAAAAAGAGCGTTTGAGATGCGGCCTGCAAAGTCTTTGTGACACCAGCGCCACCAGCCATAGTCAACAAGCCCACCAATTGGGACTGCAGTTGTGACTTTGTGGGCAAGTCCTTGAACTTGTCTATCTGGGTGACGTCAAGCACGTCTTTGCCAACCAGAGCTCCAATAACAAACAGTTGCTCACGTGCAGGTTTTAGCACTTTGAGAATCTTCTTAACAATCTCTGGATCACTTTCCTTGATCAAAATCATCGCGGTAGGACCTTTCAGCAGAGGTTCCAAAGCATGCTTGGGCTTCGTTCTCTTGATATACTTGTGCGCATCCCAACTGGCTGGGTTCTCCTGGTCTTGCGCCCTCAAATAAACTCTCAGGAGCTTGTTTCTGACCATTCTGAGATCACCACCGGCGTTCTTGATGGCGTTTCTGTAGCGAAACTCATCCTCCTTTAACAGGTTGTTCCAATGCACAAACAGGATCAACTCATTGGTCTCAAAAAAGTGCTTGTATGCGTTGATGAGGAAGGTCTTTCTTCCGTCCGGGTTTTTGAAGAAGCTCACAGGTGGAGACGAGCTCGAGACACTGGCAGACGAAGTCTGCTTCGCCAATATCGATGTTGTCGAGAACCAGTGTGACTTGTGGAGACCAAGCGGTCTCACCGGTCTCCAGCTGAGGATTCTGGAGCGCACTTGGATGTTGAACATTGGTAATAAATATCCGCTCGACTATGTACGCTTGGAAAACCCTCCAGTCCAGTCCTTCATCGTGGATCTCAACGTTGAAAAAGTCGAGCCGGAAACTTGAGACTCGCACGCACTGATGGGTCAGAGCAGCGAGATGTCAGAATTGGTACCAGTTAAGATAAACACTGCGAATTCGAGGACATAGAAGGTTACCTGACATCGCTTTGGATTACGAATAAAAGGCTGTGTATAGTGTGACACCATCGGTGACACTATTTGTGATTAATTGCAGATTTCAACAGCATTGTTGTGTGGTTCACTACCGATCTCCATATCCTTGACGTCACTGCGAACCAATCTCCGTAAGCAAACTCGAAACCACAACCATGACCTCTGTTGAAGAAGGATACAGGGACAAAAAGGCATCGCCAGTGAGGAAGGCTCCGGCTCATCTTTCAGAGTTTTATTCCTACGTGAATGGAGCCTCTTCGTCTCCATCAACCCCAGAACAGCAGCAACACTCCGCAACATCGTCTCCGAAACGGCATGAACCACAATCGCCATCGAGAATTAGCGAAAACGGCAGATACGATTTCTCGCCAAAAAGACATTTTACCAATACCCTGCGAAAAGACTCATTTACCACGCTGAACAGTATTTCATCCATGACATCCTCTACTCTAGACCTACCCACACTTATTACGCAGAACGATGTGAAGGAGACCATTGGATGTTATAACGCTCTTCTTACTGCTGCTGAGAATTACCGCAATAGTCTTATGGTTGTATCCGACGCGGCAAGTGATTTCGGAAAGGCGTTGGAAGAGTGTGCCAGGTGTAAAGGGTCTGGTTCGGCTAGTGAGGGTTTGATGGGTGCAGGCGGCTTGCACTATCTGATAAGTAACCACCACCAGATACTGGCACGTAGTGTCGAGTCGACGTTTGAGCAGCCCGTGAAGAAGGTGTGCGACCTGTATGCAAAGGAAAGCAAGGAAACAGAGGTGAAATACAAAACCATGATTAGAGATAAGGCTCGCACGCTGAAGAAGAGCGAGATGGACAACTACAAGTTCTCGAAGAAGAAAACCAGAAATATCGTTGCATATAAGTCCAATTTAATGCAGCTTGCTTCACAACTGGATGAAATCGACAAGATGAAGCATGACTATTATCTCACCTCGTTTGAACAGGTGCAAGAATCTGCCCAACAAGTGCTGAAACAGGCGTCTTCTGTGGTGAGGGCAGAGGTTGAAATTTACGAGGGAATTGCTCGTAAGGGCTGGTCTGGTGGTGGACTAGACTCTCTGATTGCCAGAAGTCCTGATCCTTTCACAGCATGGGAGTCCGACAAACATAATCCTTCTACGCCTGCAGAATCGCTGGACGAAATTACCGAAGCAGACGAGACAATCACGAGGGATGAAGATGACGAATACACGAAGAATGGGTCCGTTAGTCCCGGGTCCGCAGCTGAACCATCACCGTCATCCTCTAAGGATGTTACTGGAGGCTCAAGCAGTGCTTTACATGTTGAACAGCTAGGCCAAGCTTTCAGCAAGGTGGGCTTGGAAGATGGTGATTTTGCCGAGGCCACCAGCACTCCCACTAAACCTACTCACCATGGGAATGGTATCAGTGAAGTTGATGATGATGAAGCTGCAGATGAGTCCTTTTCGTTACCTGTTCCCCATGAGTCTTCGTCTAACATGATCAAGGTGGCACCCGTGCTGAGTGAATGGGATTGAGAGCGATCCCGTGTTCGGGACCAAATAGACATGGAGACTCGGTCTAACGCTTTAAGGATCCAATTTTTAAAGTTTCTACGTTTTCGGGCTCTTTGTGACGGATATTGATGCGATTTTTCTAATTAGTGCGATGTTATATCCCAATGCTTTCCGGCTCCTTCTATTGTTTTTTGCGATGTGTCATTCTGTGATATGCCAGTGTGCGGCGGCGTATGCGGCAGTTGTAGTCCTCGAAACGAGTGAGTGTGAACTTGTCATTTGTGTTGGTAAAGTGATGGTACATGGTAGGTCCATTGTGGGGGTAGATCCCGTAACATGGATTGCCCTTCTGGTTTGTTTCTCACAGGATTATACTGGGCTCGGAAAACACGAAATAGGCTAGCGAACAAATGTAAACCACCGAGGCAGAGATGGTTTTGACATCAGCGTTTTGCATCAGAGGAACTTTGCGTGGAGCGTCTTCTTGCATTGTGAGTAGCGTTTGACTGTCTGGCGGTGAGAATTGACAATATGTAAAATATTACGCGGTCTACTCTCCTACAGATATAGCGAAGGCTACAATATATTTATATGTAGTCAGAACTGCTATTTAGGTCACACGAAAATTTTTGTGGCGGCTCGAATAAATTACCGGTGACCGTGTGGCATGGGGAAATCGGCCCAAAGTAAAACTTTTCAGCCTTAATTCTTCTCGATATGCACGAATATGCGATGAGGACCAAAAGAGGAAACGTCAGGTCTCTTTCGCTGGCCGGAACAACTGCGGAGTTTTTCAGGCATTGGCAATTCTAAGTGGCAGAATCACCTAAATTGAAGACCACCAGAAAATGTAGTAATCGTTAAAAATGCTTTCCAAAAGACAAGATATGGAGATACTCTCACCACCTATCCAACCTTTAACTATTGAACCTTTGATGAGCTTTAAACGCTACAAATCCCATGTCCACACGTTGTGATGCCAACAAAATATTTTGCGTGCTTTTCACTGCGACATTCACATGCCTGTCAAGAGGCGGATCCTTCTGTGGATGTAGCCAATTCTAGTCAATACTGCGTTAGCTCGCCGGCCTCGGCTCTAGCCTCTAAATCCCGCTGCCACAATCCCTTCCCCCAATTATTTGTCAATGCAAAACAAAGCTGCATTTGGTTCCGGTAATGGTGAAATACTCGTGCATATTCACAAGAATTTTACGAAAGTCGGGTGGTCAGAAAACTTCAACCAAGCTCCGCCTTACGAAGATGTGCTTGGGACCTTCGGAGAGCCGGTTCCCCAAAGCGGTAAAGAGCGGAGCGATTCTTTTTTAGCATGCTTAACGGCGTCTCACCCGTTTTGAAAAAGTTCAAGCCGCGTGAGATATTTAAATTTCGGCATGGCATTGCATTACAGGATGAGTTAACTGTTTTAGATCCAAACTTTATTTGCTAATGTATCCAAGGTACACTAGGTTTGGAGGTTGTAGATTGTAACCAAATCATTCCTAATAGTGGCTAAACAAATACTTTGCCGCACCATCTGGTAAGGTCGTGCTCTTTCCCATTTGCAGCAATGAAGCCCTGGCGATCATGGAAGGCCCAATGAGTTAACGACAATTACGAAACATAGTTGAAAGGCAAAGACGATATTTCTCTGCTCAGAGTTGATTGTTCCCTTTACAAATCCAGTTGAGGCTATCACTTATACATAATGGCATCAAAACTCGTGTTACCCTCCATTGTCAAAGAAGTGAGGTTTTTCCTCTCGCAAACCGGTGAGGCATCAGTCCCATTGAGGTGAGTATAGTCGAATATTACAGGCTTTGAAACTTAGTACTAATGATATGGTAAAAACAGAACATTCTTGAGCCAGTCGTACCCAGCCCTGAGAAAGGCCAACCCAGATACCTTGATTCTGGTGAGAGAAGCTTACGGCATACCTCCTAGTCTGACTACCAGACTGGAGAAGGGAAAGGAAATCAAGACAAGTTTGGAAGGTTTAAGTCCAGCAGATATAGCAAAGGCACTGAAGTCTGTTGCCGAGTAGGCGACTTGTCGGAAAAGATGAAATTTTAGAAAGAAACCCCAAGAAGATGATGATTGCACCATGAGAAGCTCGAATTTGAAGGTGGTCGGAGATGGTGATCGAGTTATTTATTGTCGCATTCATAGAAAAGAGCGAGACGATCATTTTTGAGCTTAAAACCGTGAAATCTCCGGTATATCATGTATCTTATAAAATACAGTAGAACACTATCTCCGTGAGATAGCACCCATAGCGGTTACCTTGAAGACTTTAGTCATGATTCCTAATCTCACTATTTCTAATCTTAGTAAGGCACCTCAGGCCATCGCAGCTTGAATATCAAATGGCCGCATTATATAAACAATTTCCCCCTTTCCCAAATCTTTTCTGTCCACACTTAAAGATTATGGAATAATAAAAACAGTTTGTTTAATAGCATGCACTGGGTATGCTTATCATCAATTTTCATCTGTTTTATGTCATTTCTGCTGTCTCGGTACTATCATCTATTTTCGCCCAAAGTCCTTCCCCAATCCTCCAAAGCAATGAGTACAGCCGCACAGTTCGCGTTCAGAGTTCAAGATTCGCAGACCCCAGTGTTTTTCTGGAGTCATGGAGGTCCAACCTTCATGTACCCTGAGGAGGAATTTGGTGGAGATCGTGGAGCTTTCAAAAAAGTGAAAGAGATTGGAAAGATCATCAAGGAAGAGATTAGGCCGGATTTCCTGATAGTTGTTTCTGCCCATTGGCAATCCAAGGGACCAGATCTTGTCGAGGTTGGATATTCTAGCGAGTCACTATCCAGTAAAAGCAAGAAATTATCGTCCGAGGAGAATGAGCTGATTTACGACTTTTACGGGTTTCCTGATCACATGTACCGTGAACAATTTCATTCTGTGGGGTCCCAGGAATTGGCCCAGCACATTTCTCAAACCCTGGGAGATGGCGGCCTCAAGTCAAAAGTGGTGAAACGTGGAATAGACCACGGGGTTTGGGTTCCTTTTAAAGTGGCTTTCACCGACTCAAAATCGCAGGATTCTGGTGTGTACGATGTGGACTTTCCACTGGTGCAGGTCTCGCTCACCTCCTCATCGAACTTCGACGTTCATTTCAAACTCGGGCAACTTTTGGCGCCTTACCGGAAACTGAATGGCTTGATTGTTTGTTCTGGAATGTCCGTGCATAATTTGCGCGATATTGGTCTCTCAATGGGATATCCTGGAAAGGTGATGCCATATGCTGAACCTTTCAATAAGGTGGTATCCAACATTGTTTCAACCGGCACGAGAAACACGCTCCTCGGGAAATTTGAAGAACTGGAAACGAATCCAGAACTGAAGAAGTTGTACGCCGCTTCTCATCCTACTGTCGAGCATTTTTTGCCTCTGGTGGTGGGCGCTGGTGCTGCTTTAGACGATAAAGGTGAAGTGCTATACTCCAATTCCGCCTACAGTTTGGGCTGGGGAATGTTTAAATGGGGAAAGTGATATTTACAAGAATGTTTATATGACTCGATACAACTCAGTCCTTTCTCACCTTTGGCTTCTTTACAATTGCAAACCTTTGATCTCCTCTGGCAGCTTGGGTAGCATGGGCTTTCTGGACTTGCATCTGCTGGCTGGCCTTTGCAGCCGAGTTCTTCTGTAGTTTCTCGATAGATTCACTCATGAGTTCCATCACGTTCTTGTTCTTCTCTCCAACTTTTGGAACTGGTAAAGGATACATTTTCAGTGCCTTTCTCATTGCTGGCGAACGGAACATCGCACTCTGCACCGTAGAAAACACCGAGTTGGTACACAAAAACAGCACGATGGCACTGTTGAGACTTGTGGCAAACAGGAAACCACCGATCGGCATTATGATACCAATTTTCTTCATGATTGGAGGTAGGGCATCCTTCATGGCCCAGAACATGAGGGCGAATGTGAATGCAGAAAAAGCCTGCAATCCGTAGTATGGGTCCACAACCGTCAAATCGGGGAACCACGCATATCCCTGAGTGGATAGACCATCAACAGGGTATTCTGCCATATGTCTGAGACCGTTGAACATACCCCAGGCAAAAATAATCTGGAGAAATGGGAACAGCAGGTGTCTGAACTTAACGCCGTGTTTGGCATACACAACCTTCTGCTGAGCACGCAGCCTCTGGGCCTCCATGGTGGTCTGAGCAGCTCTTAGCTGCGAAGGGTCAAACTCCTTGTTTGCAGCCTGAGATCTAGCCGAAGCGTCCGCACCTTTGATGGCAGCGGGAAACAGCAGAAGACGAACACCAAGGGTAGTTCCAATAATGGTCAGCCACCAGGGAGCACCACTAAACACGTGAACATACTCGAGAAGTTGCTGACAGGCCGGACTAGGAGTCCATCCGTTTGCCAGGCCAATGGAATGCATGTAGCCCAGCTGATCAGAGGTCATGGTTGTGGCAGCGTCGATGGCCGTTTCGCCAAAAGATTTGAGCTGGGTGGTGATCTCGGAAACAGCCTCAGGCGCACCATTTCCGGCAGAAGAAGAGTTAAACCGTTTGTAGCTTAAAGGAGCCGATGCCAGAGCGTATTTGGGTATTTTGAAGTGATTGGACTGTAGAGAAATTGTTAGTACAAGACAAGACATCGTTCTTTGAAATGATCCACGGACGAACCACTGCGAAAGTCTTAGCTTACTTTGCTGACCAATCCAATGGTCCTTATGCCCATCCCTCCTCTTATCAACGAAGCCAACATGGTTAAAAAGACTGTTCAGATATGGGGTATAGTAGTTTGTTATAAACGTTTTCCTTGTCGTTGAACTCGAAGGACGATGAAAAATTGTCGTGTGGGGACAAAACTGTTCCGAGGGTTCTCGAGGGGTTTTCCGGTATTTCCGAGCATCATCTTCAATATCGTTACAGCTTGTAAAATATGAACTTATCCAACTGTTCGATATCCACAGTCACGTACACACAGAAATTCCCACGAAAATCACATGATACGACATCTGAGACGTGTCACGGTCTTAAAGATAAGGATACCCCGGAGTTTCAAGTTCTCCCACGACGCGTCGTTCTCGCATCAGTCTTCGCAGCTAGCGAAGCTACAACACAAGAGAATCACTTCAGTGCTCGAAGGGTTGCCGTTGATATCGCAACATATTGATGAGAATGAAGTCTCCGATTTGTTGAAGTTGCTGGGATATGTGGCTTGGGGCTCGCAACAGGCGAATTTGTTGGTGAAGCGCATTGTTCAACGACTGAAGATTCAGGCTCCCGACAAACTGCTTTCTCCCAGCGACATGAACGCTTTCTATTCCACATGGCTTCCAATGATAGATGACAAACTTGTTGGTGAACTAGAATCTCTGGGCTCAAATTCCACCGCTGTGAATCTACTCATTCATGCCCACATCGTCAGAAAGGAGTACGGAAAGGCTGTCAAATTGGTAAACGAGGCTGCTATTTTACCCGAGATTAAACTGGACAGATTCCCATGTGAGTTGCTTCTACACCATCTGTCGTACACAGACAGATTTGATTGTGTCAGCCAAATTGTGAAGAACGTTGCCCCCTATCATATACTGAGTTCGCAGACTTTGGCACGTATCTTCACTCAGGCGGTGCGAAAGCGAAAGACTAGGTTGTGTTTCTGGATGCTGAAACATCTCCAACACAAAGACGAAGCTTCCGATTTTGAAGTTCCATTCAGTCCGGCAATGGAGCTCGCAAGTCAATGTTCATATACTGGTAATAGACCTCTTTTGAGGATGGTGTGGCATTCTTTGAAGTTGAAAGAGAGGCTCGGGGATACTGAAGAGTATCATCGTTTGGATCGCACTTTTCGTGTATACGAGGTAGAGGCCCTTTCCAGAAGAGAAGGCTCCATCTATGCTCTGCGAAACTTCGACTCGTTGCTCAAAGACTACGATTCTTCGCTGAGTGTTCTTGACTTTCCAATGACGGTTGCCAAGCTGGATAGCGAGCTGCCTTTGGTAGCGATTTCCGATCTCATAAAACGAAAAAGTTCGGCGGACCAGGTTTCGATAACCGTGATGAATATTTTCCTCTACAAGCTGACTGAGGCTGGTCGACAGGGCGATGCGTTCTCGCTTGCTGGAGCTCTTCTCAACCATCTCAATGACGAATCCAAAATGTACCTTATACGCTCTCTACAGCGAACCCCCAACCCACTCAACGCTGCCAAAATGACCACTATGATCACCTCAGATACCTCATATAAGATAAAGCTGATGGCTTTACGAGTGCTCTTACCAACCACTCAGTACGATTTGAGCTATGGCATCCTTGATACCTTCAAGAGCCACTCCCAAAAGCTACCGAAGGCGTTGTTTGGTGAGCTGGTAGTGAGATGCCAAAATGACCATTCCAATGCATACGAACAGTACGAATCGCTGTGTATATAATATACCTGTAAATATATCTGATAACGCTGAAATATCAATGCTAGCTGCAAGATCTCCCCTGCGTATCTCGTATCATCAAAAGCCCGAGAAGACCCCCACCATCCTCATGCACCCTGCAGGTGGGGGTCACATTTTTCTACCCCACACAACTTTTCACTTCAAGCTTCGATGAAGACGATTGAGAATAATCGCGCAAATGCTCGTTCAACATAGGGACTTCATGTTTCTGTTCAATCTTGTTCTGGTTTGTTGAGTTGCTCAATTTTGTTGAAAGGCGCTGTGTTCTGGTTGACTTAGTCTCATCAGCTACACCCTATGAGCCGGTTTCGCGTATCATACATCCCACGTCTGCGGTTGGGATATCGTTTCTATTCAAGCCTCAAACCCTCTCCAGTCAAGACCTCTCGAGGAAGAATTGGATATAAGACCCTATTTGCTGCTTTCGGGCTAGGGGCCGCAGGAGTGAAGGTTTTCGATATCTTTGGAGATGATGCGTTATTCATGAAGTCTGACGATGCAAAGTTCTCAGAGGCACTTCTCACGAGGTCTACAATTGCGTTAACTGAGGTGACTCAACCGAAATATTGTAATGGTGAGGAATTTTTAGAGGGAGTAGAATTGTTCAAAAAGGTCCTGGGAGCTGCCAATGTGAGTGTGGACCAAGACCAGCTTCTGTTACACTCCAACAATCCAGCATGTACTCATCATCCGCCCAAAGAGGGTCAAGTCCCAGAATGCGTTGTTTATCCTGAATCGACAGAGCAAGTTGTTGAGATGCTAAAAATTTCCAACAGACTTAGGATCCCCGTGGTGCCTTTTGGAGCAGGGTCTTCACTGGAGGGCCACATCTACTCTACTAGACAGCCATGTGTGGTTGTTGATCTGCGCAGAATGAACAAAATTCTGGAGATACATGACGATGATATGGATGTTGTTGTTCAGGCTGGCGTCCCCTATGGCGAAGTGAACCGAGTTCTGGAACCATATGGACTGATGATGGGGTCCGATTGTGCTCCAGATGCAGTTATAGGAGGAATGATAGCTACCAATGCTTCGGGAATAAACGCATGTGCTTACGGTCCAATGAGAGATAATGTTATCAGTGCTACTGTGGTTCTGGCTGATGGCACTGTAGTGAAGACAAAGCAGAGACCAAGGAAGTCCAGTGCTGGTTACAACTTGACGGGACTGGTAGTTGGAAGTGAAGGAACTCTGGGAATCGTTACCCAGGCGACTATCAAAGTGCATGTCAAGCCCAAACATGAAAAGGTCGCAGTAGTCCAGTTTAAAAGTGTCGAAGAAGCAACAACTGCCGTAACCAAAATTCTGAAGTCTGGGATCAAGTTGAACGCAATTGAGCTACTAGATGCCAACATGATGAGGTGTATCAACTATGCGGGAAGCAGTTCGAGAACCTGGGACAACGCTCCTTCGTTGTTTTTGAAGATCAACGGTGTGAATCCTGTGATTACCAACGAGCTTGTGAAAGAGGTCAAGACAATTGCCAACGGTTCCGGAGCAATCCGATTCACTCTGGCCAAAGACGAGGCAGAGGCGAAGGAGTTGTTTGACATTAGGAAAAACGCCCACTATTCTGTGCTGGAGTATACCTACGGAACTATTGGAGATGATGGTAGAATGTGGGGCACTGATGTAGCAGTTCCACTTTCAAAACTTACGCCAGTCTTGGAGGCCTCACATAGAGACTTGGACAAAGCCAACATCGATTACGTTATCTTGGGCCATGTTGGTGACTCCAACTTCCATTTCAACGTGCTATACAAACCCGAGCAGGAGTCTGTTGTGAGAGCGATTGTAGACAAGATGGTCTATACGGGTCTGGCTAATGAGGGTACCTGTACCGGTGAGCATGGTGTTGGCAACGGTAAGAGGAAGTACCTGGAGGCTGAACTTGGGCCAGATGCAATTAACCTAATGAGGAAGTTGAAGCTCGCAGTGGACCCCAATCGGATCATGAACCCGGATAAAGTGTTTGCTATCGACCCCTTCGATACCATAGATTCGTATTCAGCATAGACTGTGTATTTATTACCGAGTATTTATCAAGTCTGGTGGGCGTAGTGTACGGATTAGAGATCGTTTCCCAACTGGGCAATCTCTTCGGTGGAGGCCGCACGGCCCACTTTTCTCAGATGGTGAATATTTTGCACCGCAGCCTTTCTTGTGTCTGTTCTTCTCACAAACGCAAATTACAATGAGCAAAATTGTTAACTTTTTCAAAGGACATCCTACTGAGGATTTATTGCCGGCAAGGGAAATTCTGCAGGCCTCGCAGAGTGTGCTGCAAAAAGTCATTGGCGAGCCAAACGCTTGGGACGATGTGAATAGACATCCACTCACTTACGGTGCGGACCCGGGAAATCTGGACACAAGAAAGGTTGTTGCAGAATGGATCGACAGGCTTTTCTCTCACACCATTCCAACGAATCCAGAATGCATAAACATGACTGCCGGTGCCAGTTACGGTATCATGAACATACTTGCACAGACTACCTCTCCACATAACGGAGTCACCAGACGGGCCTTCATCACCTCCCCCACATATTTTCTCATTAATGGCACTTTCATAGACATGGGATTCTCGGGAAAGCTGACTGCTATCGAGGAATATTCCAGCGGCGATATTGACCTGGTTGGGTTGGAGAAACAATTGAAGCACTATGACTCCATACAACCTGTTCCTACAACTGTCACTAAAGATCATATATCCCAAATACATGATCCCAAGAGGGACCTGAAAAAAATCTACAGATACGTCGTGTACCTGACTCCAACATACTCTAATCCTAGAGGAGGAACCGTATCTCTTGAGTGCAGAAAGAGGTTGATCGAACTGGCCAGGAAGTATGACATGTTGATCATTTGTGATGATGTCTACGATCTGTTATCATACGAATCCGGTGCGAGATTTTTGCCACGTTTTGTTCACCTTGACAGGGCTACAGCCGTCAATGAATATGGAAACACGATCTCCAACGGAAGCTTCTCCAAGCTGCTGGGTGCTGGCTTGAGGGTGGGCTGGCAGGAGACCGTTTCGCCAAAGATGTCGTTGACACTAGCATCAGGTGGTGCAAACAGATCGGGCGGAACCCCATCTCAGTTTAATTCAATCTTGGTGGAAGAACTGATCAAATCTGGTGCAATTGACGAAATTGTGAGGGATCTGATCAAGGTTTATGCTGAAAGAGTGGATGTCTTTAGAGAGAGTACTAGAGAGCATCTTCCGGAAGGAACCCAGATAGACGGTGGTCAAGGAGGCTACTTTTTATGGGTTACTTTGCCAGAAGGCTACGATATGAAAGCCATTGTCGCTGAATGTAAGACAAGAGGTGTTATTTTGGCAGGTGGTGAGAATTTTGAGGTTGAGGGCGATTCAAAGGACTGGGGTGACAGATCGTGCAGATGTTCGATTAGTTACTTGACCAGTGAGCAGATCAAGGCTGGAATAGCGGTTTGGGGTGAGGTTTGCAAAAAATTTCAGAGGTCATGAACGGTGATCATCAAAGACCTGACTTTAGCACTTAATGATAATGACACCTGTGAAGCCGTGACCGCAGTGTTGGTCTAGTGGATAGTGGAAGCCAATGATACCAGAGCTGTTAAAATAATGGTGCTACAGAATTCTGCATCATAATATCCAATTTTTCTAGATAAAAATATTGACATACAACGCCGACTTCATCCGTATCCCATAGGATATCCCATTGTAAACTTTATTGTAAACTTCATTGTAAATTTCATAGTTATTAGTTTAATTTCATAGACTAGTCTTTGGTATATTTCATGTTCGGTGTGTCTCCACCAATTTGAACGCCGCTTAAGCTTCATGCCCGACCGCGTATCCTCTGGGCTCCCAAAATCAGAGTAAAACTGAATCAGCATACATGGAGTCGAAGGGAGAACTTAGCAGACTTTCTGAAAAGTTTCTCCTTGGACTGATAGTGGTGGAAAATGAGAAGTTGGTGCTCGATAGAGGGAAGGCTTTGGGGCTAACGGCGATGTTTCCTGAGAGGTTTCCCCGGTGTCTTCAGTTGATAGAATCAGGATCTGTTCAGAGAATTTCATTGGAGAATACACAGCAGAAGATTACAGTGATGAGAGATCCATTCAAACTCAGGAAAAGAGGGATAACAGGTGCTTCAACGGACGCAAATCCTAGCGGCCCCATCCACTTGGTAGAGCCAAGTCTAAAATACTGCACCTGTGACTCGCACAACGCCGAACTCTCGGAAGGCTTCAAAAACTACATTTCATGTAGCAGTATCTTGAAGAAGACTGCTTCTTGTGAACACTTACTGGCTTTGCAAGTGTTGAATGCGAATAAGGAAGAACTAGATGGTTTTGTTCAGAACGTCACTCTGGGCTACGATGAATGGATGACCATGCACGCTCGATTACTCTACTAAAAGCCAGGTTTTGGTGACTCATTAATCATATCAAGTGAACTCCAACCAACAATTTCTCAGATGAAGAGGATTATTGAGTTAATTGTGGCGATCGCCAATTTCTACTGTACTGATATTCGTCGTGTGCAGTCTAACTTTCCCTGCTTTGGAGGAAGCTTTAGACTTGAATCTTTCAGCTGAGACTCACCAACGCTGAAACTATTCATTCCTTGAAGTCACCATATTCAGCAGTGTTATTTCAGGTTCAACTTTGCCTAAGTGCATCTTTTGACTGCTATAGTTCGTTGGTTTGGCTGAAACCTGCCACATCATTGGTCGATCGATAGGTTGTCATCTCACCTTTCCCGCCTATCTCATACCCGCATTCTTGTTTTCCATATACATTCTGACATGGTTACATCGATACAGGACGAAAACGGTTTGCCGAGAAATACCAATATTGAACTCAAAGATGGCAAAAACTATGTCGCAAAGACTTCTAACACTACCAAGCTAGATCTCGGCCAGGCGTCCCTTCGTGGCCAAGACGAACACAGACTGAAAAATTACACAAGGAGAAACGAGAAGTTCGATTTTAGTATTTCCCTGGATTCCGGGTCAGTTCAGGCAAGGTTTCCAGTATTTTTTGGCACTGATGAAGACAGTTTTCTGCGCCACCGCGAGCTGAGTTTGAAGATAAGGAGACTGAAACAAGACCCAAACTACTTCTCCACGCAAAACCAGGGAGAAGCAATTGGAAACTCGAACTTATCATGGTCGGCACTTGTTGAAAAGAATGTCAAACCGATGATAGTGCCAAAAGTGAAGAAACCAAGTGTTATTGCTGATAACTCCCTAAAACCGCTTGGATATGTACTGCTGCGGATCATGGTGGATGATCTGTTCAAAACACCAATTATGAAGCCAATAACGACCAGAGGAATAGTCAACACGGGTAACATATGCTACATGAACTCAGTTTTGCAAATCCTGGTTCATTGCGATCCTGTGGTGAGGATAATGGAGGTGATAACTAAAGGCGTCAGAGCCAATTTTGCCGCTGATTCAAAGTCACCTTTGTTGGATGCCTTCACTATGCTTATAGAGCAATTCACTATCCCATACTCGACCAAGGCCGTATCACCAGCTACATTTTTCAATGCTGTTGCACGTCTGCCAAGGTTTGCGCATTTGAGGTGGGGGAGACAGGAAGATGCCGAGGAGTTTCTGGGTTATTTGCTCGACGGATTGCACGAGGAGTTTGTGGGTGCCATAAAGGACCTCAGTGAAACGGAGAGACAGTCATTACTTCAAAAGATCGACGATCCGGAGAGGAAGATCTTCATTCTGAACAGTCTTGAGGCCATAGATGGGAACTCTGGCTCTTCGGCTGGATCTTCAACAACTTCAACACAAGCACTATCCCGAGAAACAGATGATGGATGGCAAGAAGTAGGGAACGACAAGAAGTTTGCAGCAAAGAGAACTGTCCAAGTCAAGTCGTCTCCTATAACGCAGCTGTTTGGTGGACAATTCAGATCGGTTCTGGATATCCCTAGACAGAGGGAATCCAAATCTATCACTCTGGACCCATTTATGCACGTGCAATTGGATATTTCCGACCCAAAGATCAACACCTTGGAAGAGGCTTTTTTGAATCTGAGTGCAGCTGAAGAAATACCCTACAAGTCGCAACAGGGCAAAGACGTCACTGCTATCAAGCAGACTTTCATACATAAACTTCCCAAGGTACTGATTATCCATCTGAAGCGGTTTGAGTATGTCCCCGAGGACAGTTTTTCGTTCGGCAGAATCGAGAAGTTGAAGAAGAAAATCGAATATGGGTTTGATTTAGAGATCCCTCTGGAAAGCATCAGCGATTCCAGAAAAAGACTGAGCTCGAAGCCACTACACAGATCGTACAAGTTAATCGGAGTTGTTTACCACCATGGAGCCGGGGCCGAAGGGGGCCATTACACAGTGGATGTTTTGAAGAGTGAAAAGAACAAATGGCTCAGAATCGACGATGCTGCCATTTCAGAGCTGAGTAAGGAAGAGGTTACTGAGAATTCCACCTGTGAGGACGCAAAGAGTGCATATATTTTGACGTATCAGAGATTGGACTGAAGGAGAATGTGAAGCAGTGTTTCAGTTGAGGTACTGAGAATAGAACCAATGAAGCAGTCTCTGGCTTTGTGGTATCCACAGATTCCACCAAATTAACTGCATCTCCACAACTGGATGCGGCACTGAATTCTGGCCTCGCAGTAAGCCTTCTCGGTGCATTGTGCAGGAAGAGTAGCTTGGAAAGCATAATTGTACTAGTAAGAGTCGCAGGACTTGTCGGACTTGCACTATAAATTACATCTGTATACATATAGTTACTCCTTGAAGAACGGAAAGACAAATTTGCATGACCATGGGTGGCATCTTGTCGTACGGCTCAGTCCATCTAGGCCTGCACCTTGAGACGTATTCCATTGCATTGCGTCTGCTGACCAGCCGCATCTTCAGCCGGCCAGGCCTACACCGGAAACAGTATCATTTCAGGTGGGCATTTTTTGTCCGTGCACGCTGATCGCAACATCCAAGAGTGTTGTAGTGAGCTTGGAATTTTGGTACTACGGTTTCAGACTCAAGGAAAAAAAAATAAGTTTTGGTCCGTTGAGGGCCAGAGAATATCAAAATTACAGAATTGAGAAAAAAATTATAAGTAACGTCTTTCCAGATGAAAAACAAGGGCCGATCGTATCGTAGAACTTCGAATGATTGACAGCGAGCGGAAACAAGAGAGCAGCATTGGTCCGAAACCGCTCCATCTTCATAAACTCTCAGCTGCGGTATTGCACCAAACCAAGAACAATCGTCTAGAAGAATCAAAGGAAACATAGAAAAAGAAAACATTTCCGTACAAGTTCAGGAGACCGGTTCTGGTGTGCTATCAAAACCAGTCATCTAGACCCTATAACGAAAACTTATAATCCATCATACCACTTACAACAAGTAGGCGGCAGCGGCAGCAACGGCAGCGAAACCAACGGAACCGGCCTTGGCGGCACCACCAGTTGCTGGGGTGACGGCTGGGACAGTTGGGGTAACAGAAGTGGAGGATTCGGACTCAACAGCTGGAACTGGAGCCGTGGTTGTACCTGGAACAACTGGAGCAGTGGTGGTGGTTCCGTGGGCAGGCTTGGTGATGAGAGTCGTCTCGGAAACACCCTTGGAGGTGGATGTAACCAAAGAGGTCTCTGTGGTGTCAGATGGTGGGCAGGTAGTCACGGAAGAGGTGAGGATAGTCTTGGACAGAGTGCATGGGCAGTCGGTGATGGTCAAAGTAGTAGGACCGGTGGCAGTGTAGGTCTTACCGTTGGTGACGATGGTGGTGGCCTCTGGGCAGTAGGTGGTGTACTCGGTGACAACCTCGGCGATAGTCGTGGAGTACGAGATGGTGGAAATGGTTCCGTTAGAGTAGCCGGCAAGGGCTGAAGCAGCGAAGGCAATTGGGGTCAAGTATTTGAATTGCATTGTAGTGATTGGTATGAAGCGAGAGACTTTTTGGGAAGGATTAATTCGAGGTTGAATATGGAGAAAGAGGATTCTGACAGAAAAGGTTCCAAAGGTGGGCTACACTTCTTTATATACCACACAGGGCAGACTTCCACCGGCAGGAAGAATTTTATTTGGAAACCTGCAAAGTTCACACAAAACACTGGCGCCCCGGAAATTTTCCTATTAATAGCCCCTAAAGGCGGGTCCTGGGGGTGATAGCGCATGGAGTGCTTGAAACCGCAAGTGGAGCATAACTAAATTTAGCCGAATTGGGAAGAGGTGAAAACACACTGCTAGAGCACTTGGTGCAGTGAAAAAGCTGACTGGTAAGGCTGGCAAGCGCTAACCACACCACCTCCACTTGGGGCTAGACCTACGCTGCGGCTTGAAAAGAGTGTGTATAGATTTCCAGTTTCAGTTATTTGCTACATGACGGGTACCGGAGACTCAGATGGGTCCGTTGATGAAACACTTTGGGAAGCAGCCCATCACAAAGGGCTATTTACCCAATGCCGCTTTCTTTCAAGGGGTCCACAATAGACTGGTGATCGTTGCTTTTGACCTCAAGTTGCGATTTTTTCCTTTTCGGGAGAATATGGTGGTTTTTGGTGCATTTCTCACCTAAAACATTGGAAGTTGAGATTCAGATGGCTAGTGAGAAAACCATTAAGGGTAATTTCTGGCTTAATGCCAGTCTTATCATGCCGTCGGAACAAGGCAAGAACAGATCAAGATGTCGATTGCAGGACCCTCCTGCATACCCACTAGCCGGTGCACTACTGGGTGGGGTTTAAGGCACTGAGGGCTATTTAATATGAAAGTTTAATAACAAAAACATGATGAAGTGATGTACTCCGCTCTGAGCCTAAAAATCGATATCGCCTTGTCGGATTGCTTAATACGAGACAACCGCAAGTGTGAGCTTGTCTGCTCCAGTGGATCCCACCGGAACGGTGAAACTAGCTCAGGACTCATCTCCTCCAAATCCCCAAAAGCCTCCACCGGAACAGAGTTCCAGCAGGTTACAGCTAGGCTACCCGTCGCCAGTTCCGCCTTACTCTAGGGTGCTGAATTCCCTGATACAGAAGATTTTACTTATCCCAAAAGGGCAAACTACTGGATAAAGCCTTGCCGCAAAAATCGCCTTTCCACGTCCAGAGCTCTCCACAATTAGCTGAACACAGTAATCGCAGTGTGAATTGCCATTTTGGTACTAACGTACACAATGCATTTGGAGCACAAATCAATGGTGATATTTGTGAAAATTCAAGCCCCAATCTGAAGTGTACGGCTTTGACATATCAGGAGAGCATTTGCAGGGACACTTCTGTGATTTCCGGGTAAAAAGAAATATTTCACGGTAAACCTAATCGGCACTACCAACATAGTTTTTACTATGGCTATGCAAACCTAGGTTATATTGCGGGGATTATGAACAGATTACGACACAACATAAAATAATAAATAACGGCCCGAGCGAACCAGGTAGGCCCGGGAACACGCAAAATAGTCGTGTGAAAAATGAAGACTCGGAAGTAACCTTCCAGCTTCAAGTATGAGGTCCTTGTAGCGGCATATTTGTGTATTCTATGCTAATTCCTCTTTGTCGATATTTTTTTCAGGTAAAGCAATTGGTGGAGGGGCCCTGGTTGCTCCGAATGCAGCCGTTCCTGGCTTCTGAGCTCTCCAGGCGAAAAACATGACACAAAGCGGAAACACCAATGTGTGGATAACTATCCACGCAATTAAGATTCCGATGTTTCTGCCCAGCTCTCCCTTCCATGTGTTAAAGATGATCACCTTCGTCGCTTCGTACGAGTTGTGAATGGGCGTCATGTAACCGTATCTGTAGAAGTCTGGACATAACACAATTGGCGAGAACGTAGGAGAAATATTGAAGATGACCCAGAACAACATCCAGAATCCCACTAACGGAGGCATAGTAGCAAAACAGATTAATGCAATGTTCTCATTGGCTCCTCCCACAGCTGCCATGGTAAGATACGAGACCATCCACTGGACTCCAAACCCACCTTTGTATGCCTGACTAAAATCGACCTGGAATGCTGCTGAGATGGCGGAATATCCCAGCGACAAAACTAAGTAGGCACCGTGTGCACTTAACAAACGATACACCAAGTAATGAGTCGTGTTCATGTGATGGGCCATTTCCCCATGCAACTTGATGAAAAAGTTGAACTGGAAAAACGTCAAAATGATCAGATAAATGAGCCCGATCTGGGAAGGCGCCAGCACTACCGGGTTCGTGATTGGTTTTTCGTCTGTGTACGTAAACGTGGGAACTTGCGACAGGAGAGTGGTGTCTTTGGCTACCTTGGTCAAGGCCGAGGAGCTGAGGTTGGCCGTAAGTGGCTTGATCGCAGACGCCGCAGAAAGACTCAGAAAAGTTTCTTCAAAGACCTTGACTCCGGGTGTGACGTAAGATTGCATAGCCGTCATATCCCTTCCAGTCTCATAGATTACCTCAACAACCGAGCCATTGAGTCTGAACGACGAGTCTGCGTCTTCCAGGGCAGTCGCATAATTGCTGGTGGCGTTGGCGTTCACATAAACGGCAGACCAGTACTTCTGATGATGAATCAAACGATACGTGGCACCCCTTGGATCAGCTATGCCAGTCATTTCCGTGACATCGCTGTGAGTCATAACTTTCCAGTCTCCCCTGTACTTGACAGATTCAATATACGATGTCTCATTGATGGCCTGGCTGAATACAGGCAAATGTCCATCAACAGGATCTTCGACCACTACCAGCATCTTCAGGTTCTTGAACCTCGAATTGCGCTGGTACATAGAGCCCCAATAGATGGAAAAAATTCCAAACATGCACGTGAGCATGATCAGCAACATAACGGGATATGTTTTGAAAAAGCGCTTTCTGTACCCGAGGAACTCTCTAGAGAAAAAACTCACTTTGCGTTTCTGCTGCTGAGTTGGTGGTCCAGGAGGACCGGCAGGAAACGTAGCCTGCGACCCACTTCCAGAGGATTCTTGTTTGCCTTCGGCAACTCTGTCCTTGTCACCCATAAACACGGAGGCCTCAGTGTAATGCGACACGCTTCTATATATGTCATTGAGATTGTTGGATCTGGTACGGTCGAGGGCTGGTTCCAACGGCCCCGTCAAGTGTTGAGAGCGATCCACCGGTTCCGATGAAGACATAGTTGACGTTGTCGCGGTGGTTGAGGTATGTCTGATATCACTAGATGGAACTGAGATATCCACAATGAAACTCAGAATATTATCCAAAAGACGAGCCTGAATTGATTGCCAAACACACCAGCTCGAAAAACAAAAAAGAATGCAACAGACGCCTATAAATACTCACGGTTTATCGGCTCTTGAAGGTAAACGCATTTATCATCAGTGCGTCTCTGCCGGCAGGAACCCGGGCTAGCAACGGCAATTAATAAGTCGGTGTTAAGGTATCCAGCCTTGCGATCTGGAGTTAAGCGGTTTTAGTAGGTGCACGTCATTGCTTATTAAGGCACTCACAGTGCATCGGCTAAAGTCCGAACAAGCTTTTGCCAGCATACTCCCAGATCATGAACCCGGTAGCTTCCGATATTCTAGCCGGCAGTCCCGTTAAGTCCATTGAATCCCAGTTTCGGTCTCCTACCGGGTTGTCATGTACCCAGCTTGACGGTCTCTCCTCTGACCACCACAAACGGACAAGTATGGTGTTTCTCCTTGCTCCAGTCTCTGTACACCAGAAGCCTTGCACTGTAGTAGCTCCCACATGTGTTCAAAACAGGAACCAAGACTGACCGTTTGAAGGGAGTCCTGGCCCCGGAGTCGGGGCCGGTAGCTTCTACCGGCGCGTCGTTCGTAATCGTGAAACTCTTGTATTGAGCCTCCGTTGATCCAACGGTTATCACAGTTTTGCTTTTTTTGGTGCAAAATATCGACAACATGACCATCAACTCCTGGATTGAGCGCTGCACCCTAGTATGGGGGGTCATTCCCAAAGTCGGTATCATGTCCACATCGTACATGTTCTTAGCGTACTGTTCGCCTGCACTCTCTCTTAGTTGACGCTCCAAAATTGTCTTTTGTTTTTGTTTTTCCATCGAGAGTTTTCGAGCCAGAAACAGTTTTTCGCAGTCCACCTGCAAGTTCTGTATCAAATCCGATAGCTCATGGATCACACACATCTGGTATTCGTCTTCGTTTGACTCGTTGAATTGTCCCAGCAGCACTATAAGCTCGGAAATCGAATTCACACTGATTTCTGATACGTTGTTGCACAAAGCGGCAAACTCTCTTCTCAATTCGCCTTGTTTCTGGTGGTTCTGGTTGTAAATATCCCGTAATCTTTGTGTCGGAAAGCGCGATCCGGTGGTAATCCAAAGCACGCGTTCATCAGCCATCACACAATCCATTATGGTTTGAAGAACAAGATCTATTTTGCCGGAGCCAGCAGCACCACTCACGTCATAAAGTGCACTTCTTCTGAATCCACCGTGAAGCTTTTCATCAAGATCACGGTAGCCGGTAGACACAATTCGACTTTTGGACTTTGCCGCTAGTACGCTGGCAAGTGTTGAAGCCTTCTTTGGCTCAGGTTTCGAGACCCCTTTCATCGCGCGTTTGTAGGCAACAGAGTGCCGGATAATCTGAGAATTACCGTGCCCCGGTACATGGTTACGCGGTTGAAGTCAAGGTCGTGTGTGGGTGGTTTCTGCGCCGCATTTTTGGCGGCCAAAATAAACCGAGATTAAGGGACATAAAGGTGAGGTAATTACTGCGTTTGGGAATAAGACAATTATTGAGAGCTGCCGCAGAGCTCTCACTAAAAAGACTTATCGACGGGATGTGCTTTCAAATCAGTATATAGCACTTTGAGTGATTTTTATGAGACTATACTGGGCCTTTCGCTCCAGATTATCAATTGAGCCCCTGATATATAAGACCACTCGGCAAGGGTTCTCCGCACATTCATTCTGTGGGACGAGTTGCATCGACATTTTCTACAAGCTTTGTCTAGATAAACCCTTCTGTGCGACTGTCTCCATTCCAGCCTGACAGGGTCTCCGTGATCTCCGCTTCATTTACTCAATTCATCTAGTGTAGTGTTCTTCCCTTATCTGTCTCAGTCCACCTAGTAATAATCTCTGCAATGCACCTTAACGACTGCTCACTGGCCACTGTCAAAGTAGTCTAAAACTTCAGGCAGATAACCTTAATCACCCTGCTGCACCTGCTCACCGCTGTAACTCGAATTTCAAAATCCATTTGCATGTGGTATGTTTCAGTAAGCTATCTGTGAATGCAGCTTTGGACACAGCACCTTCTCAGATAATTGTGCAGCCTGCTATTGTGACAACTATTTTTGAGCAGACTGAAGATTGATCAGATAAACTTCATACCTAGTGCTGTCAGGAGTGTTGTCAATGTTTTCCCTTTGGTCCCCCAATTTTTGTAGATGCAAGCAAATAGCACATGATATCTTCGGTGCTTTACAGCAGCCGAAAGCGGAAAAGGGTTAGCCCCCCTAAAAGGGTTTACGGATGTAGAAGCGTGTGGCTTGTGAGAATGTGCGTCTCCTGCGAAATAATAAGTTTGGAGATGCAATTGTAATTGGTTCATTTAAGGGGGTGGTTTCTTCCTTTGCAGCATTTACCTTCGATCTCCTTTTGGCAGCGAACGAATACGTCTCGCCGAAACGATGTTTTTGTCTAAACGAAGGGGAGTTCGGATTTGGCAGGTTTTCTCTCGCGCTTGTTCAAATTGCGAATATCGCCTTCACATAAGAAAAGGCCAGTTATTATTGACCAGAATGGGTAATTTTTTGTCTAAATTAACGAACAGTTCAATTCTTACCCGCTAGTTCTTTCCGGTATGGGCGTCTGTATTTGCACATGCATGACCCAGTATTGTGCATGTAACCGGGGGAAGCAAATCGACGATGCAGTTCCAGACGCCTGAGACACAGCGAGCGCTCGCCGCCTGTCCAATCAATGGCCTACACTATCGGACTTGTACCACATTTCGTTACTGGTCCTTATCTTCAAAATGACGCAAAAAAGAATGAGGTTTGGCATTTCGGTGGTTAGATAGAATCTCATCCGTGGAATGCGCGCCGGCTTATACTGGCCGATATGAACGCGGTCTTTCACCGCACCACCGCAGATGGGGAAAAGGAGTGCTGCGAGCGACCACGACATCCAGGTCACGGCAGCATGGCAACCAAAAAAAAGGAGCTTGTGCTGCAAAAATGCAGTGTTCTGGTGGTTACGAACTGCTGTTTGCGGATTTGGAATTACTCGCCTTGGTCAAATGAATAGCTAGTCGAATCTCCAGGATTGGATCGTACAGCAATTGTTAAAGGGGTAATAATTCAGGGCAATTGGACGTGTAAAGTGGGGGGCCTTAATTCCCTTCTAAGTAAGGCGAAGGCTGCCGCAATGACAGGACCTTCCACCTAGAGAATGGCACCGTAATGGCTGATTATTTTTGAATTTCGCAGTTATTGAGACCTGCATACGTCTTCCATCGAACAGTGTGGTAAAATTGTCAAATATTCTGAGTTTGGTCCCCTTCCCGTATTTTTGGCGAGTTGGGCGAGCTTCTCGGCTCATGTTGGAGATGCCGACATAGGCAAGAGGTGTTGAGAGAGAGGTCGTTAATATGCATTTTTTGATTGAATTGTGTGAACAGGAGCTGGGTTCACGTAGTGCGCGTAGTTTTCATGGTTCAGATATCCATGAAATTTGTTGCGTGAGTTTGGGAGCAAATTAGAGCTGGCAAGAGCTGGCTGGAGCTGCACACCTGAGTTCAATCTAGAGATAAAACAGCCTGATTGATCAACCAGAAGCTAAATATGGCGTTACAAAAATTGAGAGCTGCATTTTTCCCAAGTCGGGCGGTTTTTCCATGCTGATTTAAGCTTAGTAGTTATGAACCAAGCTTCAAAGGCATGGTTGCAGATCGATAATTTCAATATCTTCAACTACTCTAAGAGTTCAAAATAAAACTATGATGATTAAGCTTGGTATACTATAACTAAAATAAGAAAAGTCGTTCAAAAATACACGCATTGTCCCCGCCAAAATAAAATAAAGAAATATAATAGATAGAGCAAAAAACATCACCAGGTCTCTATATCCGACCAGGCGATCTTAAAAGGTTCCCACTTCAGATTCTGGGATCTTGACGTAGTAACTCTGTAAAGCTCTCTGAAGAGCAGGTACCAGCTTGCCCCACTTGAGGATACGAACTTCCTTATCAAAACCTCTAGGCTTTCTGATTAGATAACCCATGATTCTCTGTGCTAGCTCAGTTCTGTAGTCGTCCATTTCCTCGGACTCGTCGTCTGGAGAAGACGACGAAGCGGTGGTGGCTGCGTTTGGAGAGTTGCTGCTCTTCTTGGATCTGATTGGTCTCTTGGACCAGAAAGGAACCAGGTTGGAACGGATTCTTCCACGTTCACGACGACGGTCCTGAGGGTTTGGATTCTCGGTTCCGATCAACAGCTCCACGATCTTGATAACCTCCACACTGGTGATGTAGTACTCCTTGCCATTGGCCAAGGAAGAATGCGCTTGGTCCTTGACACTTTGGCCTCCCACCAGCATGTCGTCGATTCCCTCCTCCTCATCATCATCATCGTCAAACGAAGTGGCATCGCATTCCAAACACGAAACCTCGACGAATGACACTCCAGCAGGCGAGGGTCTGGGCTCGGGATTGTCATGTGCAGAACCGACGATTGAGAACTTGGCAATGATGTCTGGTCCTCTTTGAAAGCGTTCAATTCTGATGATCCTCCTCTTATCCTCTCTCTCGTTTTTGTTCCAGAAAGGACGACACATCTCTTCCACTTGAGCATGTTGGATGTTCAGCGAGGCCTGCAGATACGTAGACATCGATCCGGCTGGAGCCTTTGGTGGTTTGGTAAGTCCTCCACCAGTGGAGGCTCCTCTGATCACTGGAAATGTCGTGGAAGAATAACTCTTGAAGTCATCTTCAACATCCTCTTCAATGTCGTCGTCGTCGTAAGGGTGCGAAATCTCATGTTTTATCGTTGCTGTGGTGTTCTCGTTACTCGCGTCCTCTTCCAAACCAACTCTGCCGGTTACCAGTCTGTCAAACAACTGCTCCGTCTCCAACGAAGGAGTGATCGATTCTTCTGGCTCTAAACTGAACCGAGAGTTGGCAAGTGGTCTTTTGTAGCGGTAATCGTGGCCGTCATCAAAAGAGCCCTGTCTCGAAAGATGCGACTCGGGTGGTGTACATGCTGTGGCTGGTGGGAAGATATCCACCTGGTCCTCGAGTCTTGATAGAACCGGGTCCGAAATGGACGGTATTCCACCATCGCGCAACGAAAGCGCGTTTGGATCCAACGAGGAAGTGGCATTGTACGAACTGGACAGGCTCTGGAGTTGGTTGTTGGTGAAAATCCCGTTCACCAGGTCGTTGAAGGGACTATCTTGCACCATGCCGTAGCTTCCACTGGGCATGTGCACCTGTTGCTGTGTCTGAGCATATTGCTGTAGATAGAAATCGTCCATACCCATTGAGTTTATGTCAGAAAACATTGAGCCAAAGTGGGTCACCTTATCAAACTCCGAGCTGGGGGAGTTGGGAATTGCCATTGAGAACATTTGGGAATATCTGGCTCGAGCAATGTTGATGCAAACGTACTCAGGCGTTCTGATGCCTTTTAGTACCTCAGTCTCGCTTAAATAGGAAAAAGAAATTACCCCTGATAAGCTTTCTGGACTATTTCGCTAGAAAAATTCTGCCAGTTGTCAAGTCGGAGGAAAAATAATATAATTGTTCACCTGAAAATTTCTCACGAGCTTGCTGTAATAGAAGCAGGGAAGGACGCAGGAGGGTTGTGTCTGCTCACTAGCCGAAATTCAAAAAAACGCGGCGAACGTCTGGTTTGAGTGAGTCAGGGGCGAGATGCGATGGAAAGGAGTCTGTGATGTTTGTGACTCTAATCCGTGCACAGCGTGTGAAGTTCTGGTGGTGTTGGATGTTGAATTGTTATTGAGAAGAATTATGGAGAGACGGATGGCCGAAAAGAAGGACACGCGTTATTGCTCTTAATATATACTCAAACAGTCCCGAGTGGCTTCCAACAAGGTTCCTGCTTAGAGTTGTGCGTGTGGAAAAAGGGCAAAGCAAATATGCAGCATGCATCATGTAGGCTGGGTTTGCAGCTTGCAGTATTCCGAGGAGACTATCTACTTCTTCTTGCTGCGCCTGAGCCTCTTTTGGGTGCACCAGCCTCGTTTGCTAAATTTATCCCTTGGTGCGAGAGAAATGCCCAAAAACCCGATTGCCCAGAGTAGAATATCCAAAGCTCTCTTACGCAGCCAAGGGGATGACTTTCCGAACAGAAAGTACTACATTGTGATGATGTGATGTGATGAGGGATGATTATGGAGATTTGGTGTTTTGGGGATTTGGTGTTTTGGGGATGTCATTCTAGATTATCGAAGGCCCCTTAATTCGAAAGTGGATTATTCTAAGATGGTTCCTGACCCCCAATAAGTTTTCGCATCTTTGACAGGTTCTAGCTCTTTGTTAAAAAATCACAAACGAGTCCAGCCTATTGATAACGTACACAAGTCAACGCCCAATTGCATGCCGTTTCCAGAAACCTTAGATCTTCAGATAGAAGAATTCGATTGTGCCATTACACACCTGCCACAATCAGTTGAGGCTCAGCCACACACTTAGCCACTTAGCAGAGCAGACATCATTGCACGGATTACACATCTCATTGCCCGCGAAACATTTTTAATAACTTGCGACTTCCCAAAAGCGTTGCAGGGCATTAGCTGCATTTGAGAGACATTTGCGGCACTAAACTTTTTTTGTGTTCTGATGGGTGGTGATGTATCCTTTGCCCATCTCTGGAGCCAGCTGCATTGGCACCGATAAAAGTGAAAAAGAATACTCCACCTGCCATGAGCCACAAAAACGGGCAAAAGAAATAACGGCGTGTTTCAACCAATCTTGCTCATGCGAAGAGAAGTGTGAATCCGAATACTCGTGCAGTAATTTGGGTTCTGCACGAGTGGCTCAGTTAATTTCCGCATTGGAATGATCCTCTCCTCCTCGTGGCGAGCAAAGAACGTTTTGATTTGGTCCGCATTGTGTCATCAAAATTGACCGGAGCATCCAAATCGTCAGGTACAAAACCACTGAGGTGTGCAAGTCGTTCTTTTGGGACCAAGATCTGTGAGTAGTCTACATCATGAAGAGTGCATTTGCTATTCATCCTCTGCGAGGCTCCCGCAACAGTATTTTGAGTTTGTCTAAGCATGCAAAGCAGCCTCGTATTGCCGTTGTTTTTAGATCTGCTAAACGGTGCCTATTATTTGCTAGGGCCCACTGGTCAATGTTTTTTTTGCACGGAAAAATATTATGTACTATACCGATAAACTCTTTAATTTTTTATTGCCTATGATCCCTACACAGCCCTTCAGGTAGGCTGGTGCCGCTGCACGAGTGAGAGAAGAAAAATAGAAAAAGCAATTTTATTCAGTTGCAGAGATTCATGCATAATCCATGCACATGTGCAATCTTCCACGAATACGTGGCTGGGTGAATTGCAACCTCTGATTCATTTCCACTATGGCAGTCGGAATCTGTAATGAAAGACGTCATGGAAACAGTTTCAAAAGAGCTTCTCACGATTTGGATACCAGGCATATGTTGATTCTCAAAGTGTTGCGTCGTTCGTACGATCTCAGCGTCACTGTTACCTCCCTCCCGACTTCAGTTTAGGCCGATGTTCATATTAACTCACGATGCGTTGATAATATGAGAACTTATCTCGCAGCTTCTACAGCAGTTCTTCTGTACGGTGGGAAAACTGGGGGCTGCTTTTCGAGTCGGATAGTACCACTAGCTCGGCGCATGACAAAAGATAAGTCTAGCTGCATATCATGTCTTGGTTTAAAAAGGCTTGAGAGCCGTGCACAAACCTGGCAAATATCCTTCTACAATCAGACGTCATTAACTTCGAGAGGCGCAGCTGATTCTAGAAGATGGTGATTCTGGACTGACGAGGCATTCCTGAAAGGACACATGAATAGCATAGAAGCTTTCGGGAGTTTTGGAACCCTGCCGAATGCGTACGCAGTATGGTCACGACGCATTTTTCCCTTCCTCAATCTCTTTTGAGCCTGCGAGAAGCACATGCGCCTAGTGGTTCAAACCCCACTATGTTGCCTTCTGGGACCGGCTTGTTACATTCTACGCCTTAAAATAGAATGCAGTAGTGTGTGATCGCCAAAGGGGCTATGTCAATTGAGCTTAACTTGACTCAACCTTTATCTTATGGGATGTATACCATGTATTGAGTGCTTTTCTCGCTTTCATTCTCAACTTCGGCTCTGCTTACCTCGGGATTTCGGCAATTGTCGCTCGCTCAAGTTTTTCCGCTGGACGCCAGCACGCATGGCCTCTTTTCTTTTTTTGTTGTCCTACACGACTTTTTAGGACTCGTCTATGTAATTATGGCAGGGCAGCCCGAGTGAGGGGGACAGAAGTTATGGACCAAACTCTTCCAGGAAAACTCTTGGACCAAAAACTGCTGAAAGGTGTTACTAAATTTTAGCAACAGGCGCTCAGATCCGTACCCACAAACCAATGTTTATTTTCCACGATATGCCTGTTTTACGAGATCTCAATCTGCTGGATCAAATTTCCCGCTCGGCGTCATCTTAATGCCTCCAAACATTCTCCGCCTACGATTTGCAGAACGGTTTTCTGCGAGGCCCGATCTGTCTGGTACGCGCAAGAAAAATCCTTAAAAAATAATAACACAGGAATGTTCCACTGCAGTATGCCCTTGTTGAATATTCATCCAATCCAGGTTATGTTAAAATGGTTATTTGATGACTATGTTTTGTAGGGAGTTGAGTTTTTTGAGGGTGTCCGCCGTTTCGCAGCGAAACATGTTGAATCAGAGTACAGGCCAGGAATGCGTCGAAAAAAATTGCGGCCACACGCCGAAAACCTTCGGCGCTTAAGCGCCCTTCTCTGGATCTTAATTCGGGCATCTCCTTGGACGTGCATCATCCAAGTTTATAGCGAGAATCGAAGGTTTGCTAAGCGACGCCCTAGCAGCTCCCCAGCCACATGTCGGGTTGCTTGATGGCCTCAGCTGTGGACCGCTTGGACTCACGTTTGGAAATCTGGGATGCATTGCTTTGAGTTGAGGCTTTCCTCCGGACTCTTCGAGAAGCGTTCTGATTTCCAAGAGGGTACGCTTAAAACAACCCCGAAGGTGTTAAACGCGTTTCTGCGATACTTCCCCTTTTCCGACAGGTTCTGTTGGTTCGACGCTCTCCTCTCTTTTTGGTGCCAGTAGAAGTGCGGCCCAAACCTCGTTTCGTTCGCGAGAGGATGAAACTTTACTGGATGAGTCTAGTATCGCCTATGCTATGCTGTTTCCAACAAGTTCGAATAATCAGTTGAAACTACACAACTGTCAATCATGTTAGAACCGTGAACGCATTGGCAGCTATTTGGGCAGGGTCTACCCTTTAAGAGGCAAAGCTAATGCCCGTTGCCTACATACCGATGTGCTTACAGTTGGCTCGATACAATCTCGCAGTCGGCATGTCATTTTCATATAAGCAATTTGGTCACTGCTGTAAGTCATACGTAAATGAAGCAAACTCGTCGATACACGTCAGATGAGCTCAGATAATTCCTGAAGATAAACAATCTCTGATAGTACTCAGGGAAGGTAGATCACTGTAAAAATTGTTGATAAAAATCAAATGCAGTGGTGCTATACACTGTTTGATTATATGTCGAGCCGTTTGAATCATGATGTTGTACGTTAGCCACGTAAGTGCCAGACCTTTGCTATGCTAGCACTTACCAGAGTGAAGCCCTCTAGATCTGTCGGGCATTTCCTCCTTTCAAAAACGTGGCTGGTGCATCTCGTAAAATATCTTCAGTTAAAATTACCTTATTCAGATTTATGCAATGCGATGCAGGGCTTATCTGCAGGTTACCTCTCGTTCCCAATCGGGATGCAGAGGAATGAGGAAATTAAAAAGAAACTTTTGTGGCTGAGGCAAAAGTGTTTTTCCGCTAATGCCACTTATTGTTCGATGCCGATAGGTGATCCTTCACTTGCATCATCCCTTACGCGTTTCTTTTTGCTTTCTCCCTTGCTACACATGCCCACTGCAAATTGTGCTGCTTGCACCTGCCTATTTGAAGTAAATTAAAGGTTGCAACTATTGTTTATCTGTTTCCTTAGCAGGTAATTCATTAAACTCTCGGGAAATGGGTGCAGCCACCCCGCGGTGCTAATTTCCGAGGCATTAGACATGATCCAGCATGCGCTTATAATCCGTACTACGTCTACATTCACGGCACTTTGCAAACGTAATCTGCCACAATGCACTAAATAGCTATCGTCCTTTTGCCTATCGTCATTGGACCATGCTGTGATAACCCCCGTACCGGGTGATCGGATGGAACATGCACGACGCATTAAAGTTCCGAACACAAATTCAGAGATGATGTTCGATGGTGTCGTGAACGTATTATTTTACGCAAACTAATATTAGCTACATTCTAAAACTCAGTTAATGTACCTTCCGCAGGGGGCTTCCTTCTTCGCTGAAGACGATGAGCAACTGTATTTCGAATCCTCACTGGTGAAACAGAAGCTGACCACAGCGAGTGTATGACACTGGTAATGGTGATATCTGAAGTTTGGCTCGCTTTTACGGATACTTCTCCTATTTCAGTATCAAATGCCCGGCTGCAGTTTTCACTTAATTCATGAGCTCGTAAATGTGGTTTGTCCCGGCATGGTTAAATGACTAAGCTTGTACTCCTATTCGTTAGATTTTCCCGCATATGTCAGTTGAAAGATTGTCAGCTCTTTTAAGCTCTGGTACATTTCTTGCGGATCTATTCTTTGGTCCCCAAGCGGCTTCCATGCCTTTGCGCAAAATGTAAACTGTGCTAAGTTGATGACCTCAAAAGCTCGGCTGTTTCAGATGAGAAGGTCATTTATCCGAGCCCCGTTCTCACACGTCAATCGTTTGGTCGTGTGGGAGCTAGGCTCTTTATCGTGCACCCGCCATCTTACCTATCGCGATTAGATGGCAATACTTTACCTTACTGATCACAACGACAAGGGCGTTGCGGACTGAATCGGCGTTTTTGTATATATTTCCGGGTTTTGCAAGCCCGAGGTTCTATTTTAATTTTTTCCTCAATTCTCGTTTTCCTTGCCTGATGTCCGATATCTACAAGTCCTCCAGGAGGTTATCAGGCGGAGCCTTCGCGTTAAGACCTGATGTTCCAGTCGAATGTCTTCCAACTTGTTCAATTATTGAGGCTAGTCGAATGATGATTGAGCAAAAGACCTACTGCATTGTTGTGAGAGATGATGACAGTCAAGGTTTGAGCGGATTGTTCACTGCCAAAGATTTGGCTTTCAGAGTGGTGGCCTCTGGTCTCGATCCATATGAGACTCAGGTAAAGGATATAATGACCCGCAAACCTCTAGTATCACACGTCAGCAATCCACATGAGGCCTTGAGACTCATGGTGAAGAAAAAGGTGAGGCATTTACCCCTTGTGGACGACTTCGGGGCTGTGGTTGGAATGCTGAACATCACCAAGTGTTCATATCAGGCCATGGTAAGACTTGAAAGGGATTCTTTGGAGGCAGAAAAGCTTCAGAGCACATTCCAGGAGATACAGATTGATGGTGACTCTTCTGAGAGTAGATTCACCCTGATAAACAGAGAGGACTCCCCAATTGACGCGGACTACAATATTATCCAGCAGAAACAGAAGCTTTACAACGACCTATACAACGATTTCAGGAAGCTGATTGAGCTTATGGAGCAACCGAACTTGCGAGACGTTTTGAATGACTCTTCCTTGGAAATAGTTCCTCCCATTTTCATTGATGCCAGAACGACGGTTTTGAAAGCAGCGCAGATACTGAAGGAGCGTAAAACAACGGCTCTGCTGATCTGCGATTCTTCGGAGATGTTTACGGAGCCTATTGGCATTTTCACATCGAAGGATATTGTTTTCAGGGTTCTGGCGACGGAAATAAACCCTGCTGCTACGAGTGTGGCTCGGGTCATGACATCTAGTCCTAGCTTTGCTAGTGAAGAACTGGGTATCCATTCTGCACTTCGCATGATGTACGAGGGAAATTACATGAACCTACCAATCAAGAATAATGAAAACACTGTAGTGGGTCTGATCAGTGTTTTGCAACTCACATATGCTCTGTTGTGCCATTTGGATAGAGATCTGTATGCAAATCTTTTTTCCTCAGCAGACCAGGAGATGATGTTTGATGTTGATCCAATCAACGCAGCCACAGCCAAAGCGGGCCACGAGAACTCCGTGGCATGGGACCATTTCTGGTCTCTTGACAGACCCCTGGGATCCAGAAGGAACTCCTCGTTTACCGAGAGGTCGTTCAGTGAAAGTCCTCGTAACTCGCTTCGCAGGCTGTCGAGGGGAAATTCTAGGCCAGTGATATTTTCACCACATCGTGGACTCAGCTCTACAACGTCTCATTCAGTTGACGGTGATGAGGAAGAAGAAAGTGGTAGTCACTTGGTAAAGAACAGATTTAGGTCCATTCCTTCAACTATCTTGTCTTCGAGATACGCAGAGGTTCGCTCATTATCTGAGTCTCCAATCAGAAGCGGGGCATCTGGCTCAGCAGTTGTTTTACAAAATGCTTCTAACCTTGAAAAGCCTTCAATATCCATTTTATCTAACGTTTCCGCCTTTGAGAAGACTTTCAAGATTCGCACAAATGATGGAAAAGTGTACAAGATCAGACTTCATCACGATGTTAATCTCCTGGATCAATTGAGCCACCAGATTGAGTCCAGATTGGGTCTTGCAGGCTACGAAGAGTTTTATCTCAGTTACACTGACGAGGAGAACGACGATGTGGTGATCAGGAAGGAGGAAGACTTGTTGGCGGCTTTGGAATTGTTCCAGAGGTGGAATAGGTCGACCGTCCATTTGAAGCTACACACACAAGCTGACTACTCGACCAACAGCAGAATCGTTGAAATGCTGGCGGGGATTGATGTGAAGAAACTCGGGATATTTGGTGGGGTTTTGTTTGGGACTTTATTCTTTTTGTGCACTGGGGTTGTTGTTGGTATGAATGTCCGAAGGAGATGACTGGCAACGGTTCTACGGCGAGAATTCATTTTTAAGGTTATATTTTGGGTTTTTGTACGGTTTGGGGTTCAATTGTTGAACGTATTGTGGTACTTTGGGCTGTGCAATGTTGTTGGGAACACGGTCAATACTTTATCTGCGTTAATTGAGGTCTAATGGGGGCTGATCCAAGTCTGAGTCTGGTCTACTCTAGGCTTTCTTACCATTTTGATATCTAGACACAGGTTGTCACGGATGCGAACAGCTTCGTTATAGTTTTGCTTGCTCTCTGTTTGTCCGATAATCTACAACTTTGTGGAATTCAGTATTTTGAAAAAACAATTTTCGTATATGATCGGACGAGCGTCGCTTAGTATATAGTATAAAGGATGAGATGCCGCATGGGCTATCAATGCAGTAGGAATAAAAGATAAAAACAAAAGGTTCAGGCAACTTGGAGCATAGATGTTTAGTCTTTACAATGATGGGCATTTCATAGACTCTGGTTGCAAGGAATTAGCCCCTGGGGGCTAACGACGAACTCTTGGAGTGGCCTAAACTCGGAATGGTGGTAGGGAATAGCCGTTGAGTCTCCACGAGAAGAAAAGGAGGTGAAGTCCTTCACCAGTTTACGGCCTGACCAGCGGTCATTGGCCATAAGCACTTGCATGCACCGAATAGCATCTCTCAGCATCTTTTTAGAGCTGGGGAGATCGTCGTACCTGGGTGTCCATTTCTCGGACAACGCAGAAGAATGAGATGTTTCCGAACTAGCCCGGGATGGAACGTAGTCAAATGTGGTAGTGTTAGAGTGGTTGGAGCTCGGAGTTGAGCATGATGAGGAGTTTGTAGGCGTGCTGCGAACCACTGGGGCTGATTCAGAGTCAACGATGCTCTCTTCATCATCCAAATCGTCCAGCTCCACCTCTAAATCATCCAAATCGACGTCGATACTATCACGTGAGACAGCCACACTCGCCCCCATGTCACTGGTCCTGTCGTCGTCCACAATGTCATCGTCATCCAGGATTAACAGGTCCAACGACGTGATCACCTCCTCCGGCGCCGGAGAGGGTGGTGTCTGTACTTCTACCAGCGATGCAAGACTATCGCTAGACTGGCGTCTGGAACTGGAGGAAGAAGAAGAGAATTTCGACTTAAGCAGCGAAAGCGTTGATTTGACACCGAGGCGTAACTCCGGAGCTGAGCCTCTCCTGGCACGGAACAAATTGGCAACCTCTTGCGGCGAATAATGGCGGTGACGTCTCAACAGAAGCTCCATGTCCGCCGTATTACGCAGCCTTCTGCGACGAGGAACAGTCCTGTAACGTGGCATTTCGCGAGCAGAGAGATCTAGCGAGTTGTCGATCCCAATTGCCAGCGAAAAGTACCAATCTACCATCTCCTGGATGCCACCAAATTGTAGCAAAAACTGCTCGGTTTCGCACCGCAATCGAAGAGTATGTTTGCGTTTCTTGTAGTCGACAGCGACGCCCAGCTTTGCGTGCTGAAGCGAGTAGGGTTTGAGCAATGTGGCTGTGCCCACCATGTGATTGGACTTGAAGTTCAACAGGTTTTGAAGGTCGACTTCGCCTGTAAAAGCAGAATTATAAACACTGTACCGCTTGCATGACTTGTAGTCAGAACTGGGAGACTCTTCGCCCATCAGCGGCTTGCTTTTCTTGGTGTCTTTTGGATCACTTGGCTCTACCGCATAGATGTTCAGTTGGGTGGAGTTCAACTCCACAATGACATCCTTCCACTGGCGTTGTGGAGCAGCCTCGTACGGCGAAAGCCACTCCTGTTTCCGTGGCAGAATCGCTAATTTGTACACTGTGGGTGAGTAAGAGGGTAATGATTCGTTGCCCTCGCGAGGATTTGCGAACACTGGGTAATGGGGACATCCTCCAGGAGGAAGCGACAGATAACTAGGCGGCGTCTGAGGACTTGACTGCAGATAGTACATCATGTCACTTTCTGATTGCGAGCGATCGCGGACATCTTGATCAGCAATACTCCTTGCTAACGGCGAGCTGTTGGAACGCTCTCTCTGGGTGGATCGGGTAGATGACCTGGAATGGTCTTCAAACAAGTACGATCCTATCGAGTCTGATCGCGCGCTCCTGGCTGACTTTGTTGAGTTCGAATGCATTGTTTGTAGCCATCGACGGCCTTTCGGAACGAATATTGGCGAGGTTTTGCTTGTACGGCTTGGCGGCTGAGGTCCAGATAAGGGGATCGGCTGAGTAAACGGATCCGGGACTGGTTCGTCTGTGCAACTTTGCTCTTGTTGGCTATCGGATCTGGCGCTGACTCGACTCCGACAATATTTTGAACTAAAAACAAAAAAATGGCGGCGAAAAAACGAAGAAAAGGGAACAACAGAAGTGTTTACCAAGAAAACCACGGGATAATCGTCAGTTTGTTCCAGTTATCGCGAGTGGGTGATGGGAAAAGGGGAAGTTGCCGTTTAGAGTAATTTGTTCGGCACACACTTTAGCTCGGTCGCAAGCGAAAAGGTCTCGGCACTTCAGGTTGCTCTGAGAGGTTGCCGCGGTACTACGGTGGGTATGCAAATGGGTTGGTTATTGAAAGAGTCATGTGGGATCGGTGATGGGGCTCTGTTTGGATAAAACCTCCAGCAACTTAGATGTTGGCATGTCGGAACGGCACTCGGCAAGCTTCAGCGGCTATCCCGAGGGGGTTACCCGGTCCGACTGTTGCCGGGTAGACTTGACGTGAGTGGGGTTACTGCAGGTGGAAAAAGCAAAGGTGATGATGTGATAGTGTATGTTTCAGAAATGCATAGACAATCAGCAACTGAGTTGCCAAAGGGTGTGTGACGTGTGGCAATAACATAGGCCAATAGCGAATTGATATTTGGACTTGGAGTTTGAGGTGCTAAGGGCTCTTGTCAAGTGCGAAAGTCAATGGCGGTCTTGCCAGAATGGTGACACTGTCGCGTACTGATCATGAAACCATTTAATGTTGAAAAATATGATTCAATTCAGTTGCAAGTTTGTTAAATTTCACTATTTGTTGCGCAAAACAATTCTCTCTTATTTAATGGTATTCTTTATTATGGTCAGGATGATGAATGATTATGAAATTGGCCCAAGGCCCATCCAGAAAATTCCACTGCCGCCGTCTTCCTATTAATGTCGGGAATATTTCTGGCCTCTCTCTGGTCTATCAGATTACAGCACAAAGGCATACTTCGACCTCTCTCTGAGCCTCTTGCCGTACTTCAGGAAGAAGAGAGGCACAGGGATCAGAGCCGCAGCAAACAGACCAATAAGAAGACCGGCCCAGTTTGTACCCATGCCGTGGAACATGAAGGATGCAAACATAGGGAAGGCGGCTCCAAATCCGGATCTCAGGAACGTGTTTCCTGCAAGAGCAGAAGCCGCAAAAATCAGGTACGAGTCCACGATGTAGTTCAAACTTGGAATGAAGATGACAATGAGACCAAAGCCCGAGAACAGTCCGGAAAGTGTAGGCACGATCCAGTGGATGTGCTCGTGGTAGTTTCCGGTCCAGGTGAACCACAAAAGACCAATTGGAAACGCAACGGCGCCAAAGATCATTCCTGGGAGTCTGGCTTCGGGAACGGGCTTTCCACCGTTCTCCTTGAGCATCTTAAGGTAAAACTTCTCCATGTGTATGATGTAGATTCCACCAAACAACATACCGATGATGAGGGCAATGTAAGGCAACTCAGCCACACCTGATGCAAATCCGTAACCCTCAGCAAACACAATTGGGTAGGCTGTCAAGAACAGATACAAAATACCGTAGATGAAGGCATTGTAAATGGTGACCAGCAAAATGACTGGTTCGGTGAAAAGCATCACGAGCGGTCTGGTGATGTTTTTCTCAGCAATCTCACGGATCGACAGTTGAAACTCGTCGTGGGGAGCATGAATTCCCCAAATTCCAGTGCGGCGCTTGATGGTTCTGGCCTTTTCGACTAGGATAATAGGATGATGCGTTTCTTCGTAGAAAATGAGGTCAAACCCGATGGATGCTGCAGACATGATTCCGATGATATACTCAGTCCATCTCCACCCGAGATACGAGCTGGAGATGAAACCACCGGCAATTGGCGCTAACATTGGGCCAACAAAAACAGCCATAGAAAAGCACGCAACGGCATATCCTCTCGTCTCGTTACCAAACAAATCGGCAAATGACGCAGGCACCACAGCAAGAGGAGCAGCTCCAAAGAACCCGGCAAAAAACCGGCAAAGCATGATGGTCTGGAAGTCCTTAGCAGCGGCAGCTCCAAAGTGGAAACAGGTGGTTATGATAATGGAAATCACAAGAACGGGCTTACGGCCATACAGTTCAGACAAAGGAGCCCATAGAATAGGACCCGAGGCAAAACCGAGCACGTAGAGAGACACTCCTAGAGTAGAAACCACAGAAGCAACGTGAAACTGAGCGTCCAGGTATGGAATCGCACTGGAGAACAAGGCAGATCCAAAGGCAACAGAAAACGTGTGGAAACCAATGGATAGAACAGCAATCACCTTACGACGTAGAGCCCAGTTGTGTGGGTGGAGTGGGTCGTCTGGACCGTCATAACTCACTGTGTAGAGGGCCGAATCTGGCAATGGAGGTGGGTATGGCTTGCCGTTTCCCATAGGTGGAATTGGCTCCCCACTCTCCTCTTGTTTGCGCACATCCGTAGCAACGGAATCAGCGTTTGTAAGGCGACGCGATAACTCTCGATCCAACATTGGATCCGATTCAGCTTGCGAGGCGCGTGAGTTCGTCCTTGCTACCTTGATAGCCTCAGGCTGGTAGGTGGTTGGAGGCTCTTCCGCGGTGAACGACTCCGGCAAGCTACCATGCTGCTCCTTGGACGACAGCGTGGAGTAGTTGTCAGTATCTGAGGGCATTGAACAGTTGTAACAAGCAATTTAGCTGGTAGGGGTCAAAAAAAGGGGTAAACGGCTCTCTGGGGGCAACGGCTCTATATATTGAGCAAAGGTAAACAAAAAGAAATTTCGAGAAGTAAAAAAAAATTCTCCGAAACTGGGGGATGCACGACAAAAAATAGATTCGAAGCCGCTGTCAACAACACTGGCGCTGGTGTTGATTGATTGAGGTATCTGTTAAGGTCAATTGAGTAACACTGAATCGAATTGAGATCAGGTTTGCGAGGATTTGTGGAAATAAATGACTCAAAAACGCATCAACGATTGGGGCAGGCCAACCCCTACTTATGCACTCAGGATACCCTAAGCGCAGAGCTGACAAAAGTGGCGGAGTGTACTAAACCCCGAGTATCCCGTATTCCGCGTCCCTGCGATGATCCGTATTTTAACACAGGGACCAGCTTATCGTTTTTTTTTTATTGAGTCTGCATAACCCAGACAATATCTGCTTACGCTGCGGCTTTCTTTTGATTGAATTTGTGATGGCTTTTAAGACTGCTTGGCGTATTCGGAGTTCTTCAGAAAGGTTCCGACGCTAACCGAGTATTTCAATTAATGCCCTTTTCGTGTAATTGGTAGTGTCCGGACTGCATATCGGTACACCCGACACTCCCCTGGGTCTAGGGTTTCGGTTCTCAATAGGGCTTGACGGCAGTTATTTTTGAGCCCGAACCGCCGCCGCACAGCTCGGCCAATCGTTTTGAACAGGCCGGCTTGGAGTCTACGAAAAAATTGTGATCGTGGTGGAGATATTTCGAACTTCAGGCTTGGTCGGGTGTGGACGAGATGTTTTGCACTACCTTTCTTGGTATGCATGGCGTCGGACAGATGAGACCGAATTGGCCGATCTAGTTGGCGATGGTGATGATGGTGATGATGGTGATGCTACTGCAGAACCCTAGTCAAAAATAGCCACAAACTCAAAGAAATTGTATTCGACAGTCTGACCCGCTGTTACAGAGGCTTGATCCACAATTTCACTGGTTTACCAAGTACTCGTCAACAACCAGCTGGATCAACAGCTTCTTATAGAGAGATGAAATATATATCAAGAATTACTAAGCCTTCAGCGATGCTTCCACTTCGATAACTTCGCACTCGTCAGACTCAACGAGAGAAGAAGGAGCAAAAAATTTGTTACCAAATCCTCCCCAAGGAGCTTGATCGAAGAGAGTCTCGATTTCTTCCAGTGGGACTCCTCTGGTTTCCACGAAAAGAAAATAGATAATCACCAAGAAGAAGATGTTATAGCCTGCATTGGTAAAGTAAAATTTGAAACCCATGTTTTCCATAGCAATTGGCAGAGTGAAGTTGGCCAGGAGACCAAAGCAGTCACTCCAGAAACTGAACCAGGTGACACCAAGGACTCTGTGTCTGTTTGGCCAGATTTCTGGCGAATAACAGTAGTTCAAAGCACTCCAGGACATCGAGTAGAAGGCGTCAAAAATGAAAATCATCGAAACAGAGCCGTACGGACTGATCGAAGCATCGTCGTTCCTAGCCTTGATCAAACCTCCCATGATAAAGAAGGCAACAATCATTCCTGTGGTACCAACTATCGCCATGGTTTTACGACCAAACATATCGAATCCACGAGACCCTCCCAAACAAAAAAGGAAACACCAGCAAGAAACGCAAATTCCCACCTGCAATTTTTGCTTGACATCAGTGATACCAGCCTGTTCCAAGAGCACGGATTGGTAATAGGAGCAAACGGAACTTCCTCCCAGTTCAGTGAGAACAGCATGGACGATTCCAATTACAAGACGGCGATGGTTATTTTTACCCTTGAAGACTTCGCCCCAGAGCACCATGTCAGAGACAGCCTGTTCAGATTGACATTTCACAACGATTTCGTTGATGTACTCGGAGTGTGGTTCGATCTCCTCGACAATGGCGATGATCTCTCTAGCCTCTTCCTCTCTGCCAACCTTGATAAGATACCTCGGCGACTCAGGAGCTATCAAGACAAATAGTGCAGAAAGAATGGCTGGAACACCCTGGATGATAGAAGGTAATCTCCAGCACCAGGTGGACTCGATGTCTCTAGTTCCATAGGTCACGGCCGACGCAATGATGGAGCCCAGCGAGAAACACGAAAAGAAGGATCCAAGTAGGAATCCACGAAACTTGATTGGACACAGCTCTGAAACAAGAACTGGAACTGCTACTGAACCGTAAGTGAATCCGAAACCCAAAATGATTCTGGCAATAACGAACATGGCGGTGTTCTGGGCAGCGCTCTGGAGAATTGTTCCGAGGAAGACGAAAACCAGACCGATCAGGATCGAGACACGTCTTCCCCAACGACTGGCAAGTATTTGGACAAAGAAAAGAGCCACAATCTCGCCCACCCACATACTGGCTGTGTTGAGGTTGGAGGTGACGTTGGTGATTCCAAAGTAGTCCTGGTAGTATGGCAGAGCATTTAAGGACGACATCATCATGGAATCATATCCGAAGGCTGTAGGAAAACTGACTGTCATACAAACCACAGTGAGCAGAAGCAAACCCTTGGTCCGGGGAATGTGCTTAGCCAGGTGTGGGTAACTCTTTTCAGACGACATGGTGAAGTGGTTGGACAATGCGCCGAGGATTGCAAAACAATTGTAAAAACCAGTGAGTCTTTACTTATGAACAACAGATATTTGCAGCTCTATATCATCAGCTATATATATGAAGACACTAGGAAACGAATTCCTTATCGCAGTCTGAATTGATCTGTCCGAGAAAAGTACGATTGGGGAAATGAATCACTTTCTCTTAAGTCTTATCAGTGCATCGCAAACAGAAGGTGTCAATATTTGTGCACGCCTTATCGATATCTCCTAAACTACTCCTTTAATCTGGTCCTGCCTACTATTAATTGTTATTACCAACAGAGCATCGCGTATTTGTCCGCACTGAACTTCGGGTTTTCGCCCGAACGCCCGCGCAGATAAGACGAGTTCATGCACGTTGACGATCTGAACTATACACGACTAACATTCTTGCCACAGCTGCATCTCAAAAAGTAATTCTTATCGGGTTCGGGCGAATGTCCGAGAAAGATTTCTATCTTGCAAAAAATGCGATATGGATTGCAAGAAACCAGGATTACCCCCAGGTATGGCCTGGAAAAATGGCATGATTCTTGCTTCCCGGGTAGGCAGGGTGTATATTTAATACAGGCTCCATTGCCAGTGTCGTTGATGGCCAAAGCAAACACCACCTATCGATTTTCATAATGACCGTCCCGGCCCAGACCATTACAGAGACGCCAGAGGTCCTAAAGGTGTCTGTTCATCCAAAACTCCCGGAATTGCCTGAGAGATTTGCTCTGCTTAAAAGAGATATCATCAAGCCGGAGCATGAAGAAAAAGTTAAGGCCAGTTATAAGAGACTGCTGGTAGCCCTTGAGGCCAAGACTGAGGAGATTGCGCAGGCCGGTAGCTCCTACGTTCCTGAGGTCAAGTGGTCAGATATCAAGGCCAACAACAATGTCATTCCGGATGAAACTATTGAGCTATTCAAGGAGCGTGGTTGTATCATTGTCAGAGGAGTTATTCCGGAGTCGGTCGCTGAGAAATGGTTTGAGAATTTGCAAGATTTCGTGACCAAACACCCGGAGGTTGGTGGCTATCCTCAACCATACCCAGCAAATTGGTTTGCCTACTGGACTGAAGGGCAAGTCCAGGCCAGATCCCACCCTGAAATCATGAAGTTGATGAAGGTGATGGGCCAAGTTTGGCACGCTGGTCCCGACACTCTCATCGATACCGATTCCCAAGTTGTTTATGCAGACCGTTTCAGAATCCGTTATCCTGGAAAACAGGTTTCGCTGATGCTTCACCTGGACTCTGGTGCTATTGAAAGATGGGAAGATGATCAATACAGATCTGTTTATCAAAAGATCTTTGAGGGTGATTGGGAAGAGTTTGATCCTTTCTCTCTGGATGCCAGACCAAATGCCAAATCTGATCTCTACTCTGGGCTAGCAGGTAGACCAAGTGCCTGTTCAGCATTCCGTTCCCTCCAGGGTTGGCTATCTTTGAGTGACACCAAGAAAGGTGAAGGTACTGTCAGATTCCTGCCTGATCTAAAATTGGCTATGGCTTATATGATGCTGAGACCATTCTTTTGGAAGGACGATGAGAATCTGGATTTCGAAACCTCCAAATTTCCTGGTGCAGTTCCTGGAAGTGGACAGTACTTTCCAAATGCTAAATGGTATCCACATCTCAATCATGAAAAATCTGTTGTGGGTATTACGGATGTCCGTCCTGGTGACTATGTGTTCTGGCACTGTGATCTTGCGCACGAGGTAGACAAGCTCCATCCTGGAACGAAGCACTCGTCTGTTTTCTTCAACCCACAAGTTCCCCTGTGTCCATACAACATTGAGAACATGATCAAGGTGAGAAGTGCTTTTGAGATGGTCATGCCCCCAGCAGACTTCTTGCCTGATCTTGAAAAAAGGAAGATGGAGAAACACTATGAGAGCGAGTACCCAGACCATGGTGCTAGGCTAGAGAATATACTAACGGATGATGGTATGAGAGCCATGGGCTTGAAAGCCTTTGATATTGACGAACCTGGTTTGACTCCTGGACAGAAAGAAGTGAGAAAAATGGCAAATGAAGCTATTCTGGAGTCGTTTGGCTCATTCAAAGCTTGAAGGACCAAAATCGAATAAACAAAATAGATGATAAATGATTGCAAATAACTGTATCTAATGGTCCCACGAATTTATTGACAGCTTTTTTGAGTAATATTTCATTGAGAATAAATTAAAGTTTTGCATATGCACCGAAGGTTGAGTATGCACAAACTTGGAGCTTGAGCCTTGAGCTGCTGGATTATAGTATTCCAGACTGCTAGTTAATTTATACTGGCTTATTCTGTTGGAGCCAGTTAAGAGAATCATCCCATTTGGGATTACGCAGCAAACTGGCAATCTCGTTATTTTCTTCAGTTCCCAGTTCGGGAAAATCGAACAAACAAGATGAAAAATTAGTAGCGTTGGAAAAGTATTCAGCCACTTGAACATTTTGGTCACTTGTTAGCGAAAATGGAGCATCTTTGACTGTCTCTGATCCAGAATCGTTCATTAACCTCTCTGGAAGCTCACCGGTCCGAAGATGGTGCTCGATCTCCGAGAAGGTCAACCCTTTAAACAGCACTTTCTTGTCATATGAGCCAGGTGAAAAAGACCAAATGCACCCAATCAGGTCTTTTATCATGGCAATGCCTTTCTTCAGTCCGTTGTAAGGTGGATTTAATTTCTCAAGCTTAGTGATACTTTGAAGCACCAATAGCAATCTCTCGTCTTCTTTCTGCAGATTGATATTGATCAGAATATCCACCACCAAGAACGACGACGAAGTCACAACATTATGAGGAAACAGCCAAAAGTTGTAAAATGAGCCTGGAAGGTTGGCCTCCAGAAACAAGCTCAGTATTTGCTTTGAATGCTTCACGCAGACGTCTCTATGGGAACGCATCCATTCGCTCTTTGGTACCCAGGAAGCCAGTTTTTTGTTTATCAATGTGATATGATCGCAAGTATGGTTGAGCAGAAGAGTTTTCTGTAGCCAATAAGCATCCTCTGGGCTGTGGAGACTGTCATTTTTTCTGAAAACGTCTTCCATTGTTACTAGAAGTTTGCGTAGCTCTATGTCCGCCTGAATTAGGCGCTCTTTCTGGTTCCCAGCAACTTCTGAATCGAAAATCATCTTCCGGATTTTGGTTGCTTTGATGATGAATAGCTGGTACGATACCTCGTCAAACCGGTCTTCTGGAAGCTCGGAAATCTGAGACGGGTCAGGAGGAAGTAGGAAAGTTGGATATCGAGCTGGAATGTCAGTGGAGAAGCTGTTTAAACGAATAGACGATACTCTCCCATATTCTTCAAACGCATCCACAGACACCAAATTCCACCATAATCTCTTTCCAAGCTCGAAATCCGACAGAGTCATAGTTTTGCTTTCATCAAACTTCTTTCTGGTCAATTCATCCAGACCCAGTTTGCGAGCAGCCATGATCACGAAGTCCAGAAGCGAATGGAGCAAACGAACGTTTCCGAAAGCGTGAAAACATGTGTTCATCACACCAAATGCTTGAAGAGTATTGAGACTAGGACATTCGAAATAGTCTGTTCTTTGAAGACATTCGAGGCCTGATATGAAACACAATTGGCCATACTCTCTCTTTAATTCCCAAGATAACCCTTGTCTCTGCATAATTTCGTCTGGAACTAAAAAAAACCCATTCGCCAGAATAGAATAAAGAAGCGAGAGCCACGTGAGTCTTTGCTGTATCAATCCTTGAAACTTATCATCTTCGGGGTACTCGTCTTCAAACACGTTCATATGTTCATTCTGCTGCCAAAAACAGTCCAGTTCCTTTAAGAACAACTGAGGTATCACTGCACCATGGAAAGAGTTCAAATACTTCAGACTAAACTCTGCAATGGCAAAACACGTTTCTCGCGAGATACCTCGTAGAAACTGGTATATGCGTTTCTTATGAGCTCTCCAAACAGTTGAGTAAAACATGTACGTCTTTCTGTCCACCGGCTCCGGAAGTTTGTCCAGCTGCCACTTGTCGATTGACTGCAGACTTTGAATTAACGAGGACTCGCTGACAATACCATCACTCGAGTTTCCCTTATGGCCAACGTCTGAGGCCTGGGATGACAGACCTCTAGAAACGTATTGGATCTCAAAGTCGTAAGCCTCCACTTCTTTGGAAATATGATACGAGTTGGACTCTGACGTTCCATTCTGGACACCTGGTCTCAAATATTCCACAATGTCGGGGATTCTTCCCAAGCTCTCTAGTGACCTCTTCAAGTGAAAAATCTCCGCCTTTTGTTTTTCCAGCTTTTGCTTCAATACCATGTTCTCCTCCTCTAGACTTTTGGAACCAGGATAGTTCAACAGTATGTTTCTCACAATGACCATTTCTCTGCCACACGAGTGACTCAATCCCCTGCTGACACAGGTTTGACACGGTATCTTCTTATCGCACTTGACCTTCCGTTTGGAACAGTTCTCACATGCTCTGGGAGCGCGTTTGGAAAATCTCACATTGAGATCCTTCGAGCCTTCACGGTCTTGTAATGGAAGCATATTTTATCATCAGACTGCGAAAAGAGAAAATATCAAAGCGTAATCAATAATTTGCCTGAGAAGATTGAATGTGTTTCTTTTCAGCGATAAGCGGACTGCGACATCAAGGGGCCGCATATTTGGTGGACGCACTAACGCCGCACAAGCTGCATTTGGCCGCGATCGGCCTCGCCGCTGAAGCTCAAGCGATAAAAGGATTTTCGAGCTTTGAACTAGTTTTAGGGTGTCCCATGGTTGCAGGTTAACCGAGTCATTCTATGGTTTTTCGAGCAGCTTTGAGAATGAAGTGTAGGTGTTGTAGAAGTGCTTTGAATGTGCTGAGGAAAACCCACCGAAAGAATCACACACAGCTCTATTTTTCCTCAGGATACTTAGCACGTTATACATCTTCTGGCATCCTTTGAAAGCTGACTTTTCTTCATCATATATCTCGCTCAGACTCGTCGTGCGGCTGGTTATCGGCACGTGACTCTCCCCAATAGACGCTTTGTCAAATCAGCTTATACATTGTCGTGTACCGCCCAGCTTCGATATTTCAGTCGGCCCGCGTTAAGTGCCTAAAGCTGGCATTGAACAGCAACGACGACGCAAACACATATCCGCAACGCTAAATGAAGAGGCAGACTTCCTCGGAGACGAGTGCGCTGCTCCCGAAGTCAGTCGGAATGCACGTGTCACATACTGTGCCGGAGTCCGGAAAGTACTCCGGAAACGTCGATGTCAAAGCTTTGCGCTCGCTCAAAACACCACAGAGGCCCAGGAGTCTCCATGGCTCACCGATGAGACCTTCAACTTCCAATTCTTCGGCAGATCGCTTGCCTGAGCGCTCGAGCCCACCGCCAGTGGCTCATAGCTCGGTTCCAGACATACCGTGGTCATCCAAAGTGCGCTACTACTTCCCCATATCGACCTGGCTGCCGTCTTACACGCCACAAATACTGTTGTGTGATCTCGTGGCCGGACTTTCGCTGGCCTCATACCAGATACCGCTCTCAATGTCATTTGCCTCGGCTATCGCCCATGTGCCGCCAATTTGCGGGCTTGTCGGGTTATCTGTTGCGCCCATAGTGTACTCGTTGCTGGGAACCGTTCCCCAGATGATCGTGGGCCCAGAAGCCGCTACCTCGCTCGTCGTGGGACAAGCGATCGAGAGTGTTCTCAAGCACTCAGATGATCCCTCTGCGGTTAATCCAGTGGACTTGCTGAGCGTTATAACGTTTGTCTCGGGGTGTACTTTACTGGGTTCGGGGTTGGCACGCTTCGGGTTCCTAGACAATGTTCTGTGCGGTGCGCTTCTGCGAGGCTTCATCACGGGAATTGGAATAGCAATGGAGATAAATTCGGGTGTTGGAATGCTTGGTCTCAACAAGGTATTGGCAGGTTTGCCGTCGAAAGTTCACTTGCATTCCTCCTACTCCAAGCTATTGTTCCTGTTGGGAAACCTGACAAAAGCTCATTATCTCACGATGGTAATGGGACTCTCGTCTTTTGTTGCCATCTTTGTTCTGAGATATTTCAAGAAGCTGTTAGTACACCACAATATCAAAAAGGCCGTTTTCTTCCCGGAGATCCTGTTTGTGGTGATTCTTTCCACCGTTGTGTGCACGGCTTTTGACCTAGAGAAAGATGGAGTTGAGGTAGTGGGTAAAATTCACCTGGGCGATTTCCATCTTCGTGTTCCTTTCAACGGAGATATTCATGAGATATCGAACCAGCTGCTGAGCACCGGCGTAATGGCTGCTGTGCTGGGGTTTTTCGAGTCTACAACTGCAGCCAAGGCCCTGGGCTCTAACACGGGCGTGCCGGTGTCTTCCAACCGTGAACTGGTAGCCCTCGGGGTTGTTGGACTCAGTGTTTCGATGGTGGGAGCCCTTCCATCTTTTGGTGGCTACGGAAGATCCAAAATGAACGCCATGACTGGTGCAAAGACATGTTTTTCGGGAGCCTTCATGGGGCTAGTCACCATCCTGGTGTCGCATTTTTTGCTCAATTACCTTGAGAATCTTCCCAATTGTGTGCTGAGTGCCATAATTGGTGTTGTGGGGATTTCTTTACTGGAAGAAGCACCCAAGGACCTTGCGTTTCACTACAAATCCCGTGGCTGGAACGAGCTGATCACCTTTGCGGTTACTGCATTTGCGTCCTTTTTCTACTCGGTGGACTTGGGAATTGCGCTTGGTTGCGTGTATTCCGTTATTCGAGTGATTAAGCATTCCGCGCAGTCGCGCATCCAAATTCTGGCACGTGAGCAGGACTCCAACATCTTTGTGAATGCCGACGAGAGTCTCGAATCTGATGGTTATAAGATCACGATTCCCGGTGTTCCCTCGCGGAGAGTCAAGAGAACTGAGCCTGGGTCCTTATCCGTGATATCAAGTCCTTTGCAGAACAATGCTTTGGAAGAGATAGAGGGTTGTCTCATAGTCAAAATTCCAGAGCCTCTCACGTTTACCAATGCTGCCGACCTGCAGACGCGCTTGAGACGAATTGAGATGTACGGTTCGACAAAAGCACATCCTTCAAACCCACGTCATAGACAGGAAACCATGAACAGAAACATCATCTTTGATCTCCACGGAATGACGGGACTGGACTCTTCTGCTTCGCAGTTGTTGAAGGAGATCATTGAGAATTACCAGAAAAAGGGCAAGAACGTATTCTTCTGCAGGGTTCCTCATTTTGCAGAGGTTAGAGAAAGACTTCAAAACTCTGGTATCAAGGCGTTGATTGAGGCCAGTTCGAGCTTCCTTTTTGGCAACAGCACCGACTGGGAGGATTCGCCGTATTATGAGGACATTCCTGATGCCATCAAGGCAGTTGATGATGTTGAGGCTGCATCCGCATTTTCAGACATAACGAGTTTTATGTCAACGTTTGCGTTTTGAGCGAATGGACCAGGTTATTGCTGGTGGGGACATGCATATTGGCTGTATGATTGCATAGTTTAAAGACCTGATATATTTCAAAATTGGGAGTTAGCTGGTCTATACTCAAAGGACATTGTCATTACTTTCATTGGTTAGTTATTGTGACCGGAAAAGTGGGAGTCTGCACTCTTGGGACAAACTTTTCACTCGATCCAGCTTATGATCGATCTCCACAATCACGAGTCAAGGACTCTACATCTCCACTCCACTTGGTCCGATTCCTCCTGATTTAGAACTTAAATTTCATATTCCAAAATGTATTGCATTTTTTAATTGGTGGACTTTATTCTTGTTAGGCGTAGTACGAGACATTCGGTGGTGCAGTGGGCTGCGACTTTTGCTGAATCAATGGGTTCTGGTGGACTGAAGACATGTTATATTCTACTATGAGCATTAAGAAAAATTTGTTGCTCACGAGCCATATTTTTGACTTATTTCTGACAAATTGTTGCCATATTACTTCTATTTTTTCACCTAATATTTTTTCCTAAAGATCAACCCGAGGCCTCTACCAAGTTCTAAATTTTTTTGTAAATTTTGAGATTTTTCAAAATACTCTGCAGACTTCGCCTTATACAAAAGTGAGGTTTCCATGATATACACATCAATGTACAAAAATAATATGGTCCAAAGAACGGAAAATTTGGTAAAACGCCTTTAATCCTCTCAAAAAAGGACCATAAATTGGCGAGATCCCTTTTGGCCATACTATGCTCTTCGTATAACCTGGTACTGGATATCGTGTCTGTTTTGGGAAGTTCTTGCCGGGACCTTACTCGTACGATGAACTGGGTAACAATTCCACAGCTCCACCATTCGGCCACATACGATGGGAACGAAATAAACGACAACCAGATAGAAATAATACTTGTTTCATGCACCAAAATTTCATAATTCCGCGAAAATCCCAAGAAAACTCCGCGTAAATTCGCCCTCAAAACAAGACCGATAACGTCGTCTGCAATTTCGCTGGCCCACGCCCAAATCTCACAGTCTTTGACAGATATCGATTCTGTGATCTGGTCAACAGCTTTCATTCTGCCCGTTCCAAAAGACATTTCTGCTGGTTTTTTTTAAGACTCAAGGATAAGGAGCGTGTTTCTTGAGCTTAACTTTCTCCTCATTGTTTTTCTGCATCCATAATAGAGAAAGACAATCACCATGGCATTGGACCTTCTGGACGTCGGAGTCCTCGCTCTCATTGTCCTTGGTCTAACCGTGTACCTAACCAAGGGCATTTTTTGGGGCCAAAACTCGGGCGCTAGTGCTGGAGTCTCTGCATCTACAGGCTCGAGGAATTTGGTTGAAGTTTTGAAACAAACCAACAAGAAAGCTCTGGTGTTCTATGGTTCGCAGACCGGTACAGCCGAGGACTACGCGACCAAATACGCCAAAGAACTGCAATCGCGTTTTTCGATCCCTACGATTTGTGCTGACTTATCAGACTATGACTTTGACAATTTGAACGAGGTCCATGAGGTTCCTGGATTCACATTCATCACTTTCTTGATGGCCACGTACGGTGAGGGAGAGCCCACAGACGATGCTGGTGACTTCTTCAGCTACCTCGACGACGAGTGCGAGAATCTGGAGAACCTCAAATTTGCATGCTTTGGTCTTGGAAACTCGACTTATGAGATCTACAACGCAATGGGGAAACGCACTGTTGCGAGGCTGACTGAACTGGGTGCCACTCTCATTGGTGAGCTTGGTGAGGGAGACGACGGTCAAGGCACTATGGATGAAGACTATCTGGCCTGGAAGGACTCTCTCTTTGAGGTTTTGAGAGAAGAGCTCCACTTGGAAGAACATGATGTTTCGTACGAACCTGGCTTGGCCGTTATTGAGAACTCTGCACTTTCTAGTGAGTCTGCCTCTGTTTCCCTTGGTGAACCAGACTCCAAGTACGTCAACCCGCAATCCGAGGAACAACTCAGAGCATTGACCCTGGGACCTTTTGATCACTCCCATCCTTATTTGGCACCCGTTACTTCTTCAAAAGAGCTCTTCAACTCGGAAACCCGTCACTGCATTCATGCAGAGTTTGATCTCTCTGGAACGAACCTTCGTTACTCCACTGGTGATCATTTGGCAATCTGGCCCAGCAATTCGCTAGAAAACACTGCAAAGTTTCTGAGTGTTTTGGGTATATCTGAGAAGAAAGACACCGTTATTGACATCAAGTCTCTGGACTCCACTGTTCACTCAGTCATCCCAAGCCCAACCACCTATGCTGCTGTTGTTGGTCATTACCTTGAGATTTCGGGCCCGGTTTCCAGACAGTTTCTGAAGATGGTTGTGCCGTTTGCCCCAGATGCTGAGTCAAAATCCAAGGCTTCGGCTTTGGCTGACTCCAAGGAACTGTTCCACAATGAAGTTACCGAGAAATATCTGAACATTGCCGATGCCCTCTCTTACATCTCCAACGGTAAACCATGGAGTTCCATTCCATTCAGTTTTGTGATTGAGTCTATTGCCCATCTGCAGCCTCGTTACTATTCGATCTCTTCCTCCTCTCTCTCCGAGAAACAGACTGTTCATGTGACGGCCGTTGTCGAGTGGGAAAGACCAAATGGCAGCGACCACGATGTGACAGGTGTGGCCACCAATCTTCTGTGGAATATTCAGCTTGAACAGAGCGGGATAAGCAAGGTAAAGCCACCAGTGACCTACGACCTAGAAGGACCACGCGGGAAGTTTGCGCCTTTGAAACTGCCAATTCATATCAGAAGATCTACCTTCAAACTACCTACCAACCCAGCCACACCAGTGATCATGGTTGGTCCAGGAACCGGAGTTGCTCCGTTTAGAGGCTTTCTTAGAGAGAGAGTCAAGCAAGTGGAGAACGGAGTCAGTGTTGGTAAGACAATTCTGTTCTACGGCTCAAGAAGCTCCAAGGAGGACTTTCTGTACAAAGACGAGTTCCCACAATATTCCAAGAAGTTGGGTGATAAGTTTGAATTGATCACTGCTTTCTCCAGAGAAACTAGCAAAAAGGTGTATGTTCAGCACAAAATGGCGGAGAAGGCTGCCGAGATCGACCAGTTGCTCAAGCAAAATGCCTTCTTCTATGTTTGTGGTGATGCCTCCAAGATGGCCAGAGACGTTCAGTCCACTCTAGTCGAGATTCTCAAGAGCCAGAGAAAGCTTTCGGAGAGTGTTGCTTCTGAGATGGTGAGAAATTTCAAGGTTTCAAATAGATACCAGGAGGATGTGTGGTAATGCTCGAATGAACTACAGGCTGAGCTCATAACGTCTACAAACAAATACAGTTTTTCATATTTTACATGCTAACCAGTATAAACCTAACACTACAGGTAGAATTTCCTCTTATCTCTGTCCATATCCGCACGGTGCTCCCAGTCAATTTCCTCTTTGATGCCTCTTTGCACCCTGCGAAGCTTGAGTGTAAACTGAGGCCCCAATTCCTGGAGCCCAACCTTCTCCTCGTTGCGGAAGACATACCTGTGTCTTCTAAAAAAGATGTAGTCTCTCTGATTGTGTAACGTTACTACCTGTCTTCCTTGAAATTCTGGTCGATGGGGAAAAAGACACTGGAACAGTCTACCAACAGTCTTACCCAGTCTCGTGTTGAAGTTGTTCATCACCAGCTCAGGAATATGCTCAGTAGCTCTTCCGTGGCCACGGATTCTCTTTCCGTCAATGATATTGGATACCGAAAAGTAAAAGGTTGGACCAGCGGGCAGATGGATGAACGTGATTCCGTTGACAGCCTTCTTATCCTCATTTATCACTATCAAATCGGTGAACTCTCTGTTCGAGCAGTATTCAGCCATGTCCTTCATCGTATATTCTCTCTTTCTTTTCACAAAAGTCACGTTGGGAACGACATCCATCAACATGTCTGCAAACGCATAGGCCGGCTTTTTGGCGTGAGCGTTGGTGGTGAGCAACACCTTGGGCTCCTTGGTGGCATCTTCAAAATATCCCATGAAGTCATCTTCACCTTCAGCCTCAGCTTCTATCGTTTCGTCAAAAACTCTCTTGCTGTCTATGGTCTGTGGAACGTTTGTGGCCAATCTCTCTTCCTTCAAGGCAGGGTTCTCTCTCTCTTCTTTGGCACGAGCCTTTCTCTCCTTATGCCTCGTCTTCTGCTGCTCATGCTTGAGCTTGGCATACAGCTTCTGCCTCTGCTGCTTATTCTTTATGTTCAGTCTGGTGCTGTCCACTCCCATTTCGACGTAAGAACGAGGTCTGTACTGGATTGGTATGATCCCAATAGTTTAGCAGATTAGCTTAAAACTTTCTAAAAAAATATTCATATCGGTTGAAACACTACCTTTGTCAATAGCTGGGTCAACAGCCAGATTTGGGTAAAGTTTGTTGAGTGAAAAATAGCAATTTCTGTGCTTAAATGTAGGTTTTTTCACAAATAATTCGTCTTATCCTTTGATTCCTCGACCTCTAGAAGTACTATATACACAACTACACATGTAGGGTAGGCACGGCCGTTTCCTATCCTCATTCCGGCACATCCAAACCCACACGTCTAGCAGTCTTTCTCACCTTGTCCTCCTGTTTCATGCTGATTCCTGGATTATATCTCTCCAGTAAATCGCAGTATACTCTTTGACTGGACAGAAAGGCAACCACGTTGCTCAGATGACGAACATCTCTCTCATTGGCAACAGCCTCCTCCTTGACGAGTCTTTTCAAGAGTTCTGGATCCGCACGTGGCTGAATCGACTGTTTCTCAACCTCAGCTTGGATAGTTTTCAACTTCTCAGCAGACAACTTGGCACCCGAGCTGTTCTCAAGGTACTGGATGATTTTACCCTGGTTCGACACCGCATCCTTTCTCCTCACCTTCATTGAGTTTCCTGCGATGATCTCGAGTTCTTTCACGAGCTCCTTAAACAAAGCTTTGTATGATGACATTGTAGTAAAGATAATCACTCAAAAATCCCTGGTCCTCAAACCTTTATCAGAAGCCTGATCAATCGCCCTGAGCTTCAAAATTGAACCATCCCAAATTATCCTACGCACGACCCAAACTTATCGAAACTTCATTCTCCAGGACTCTGCATGGAAACAAAGAGAACACTACACGTTGTTTAATTTGCGGTTGAACCATGACTATGGAACCGCCTCTTGAGACTGTAAGTCCGCAGTGGCGCGAACTTTTGGCGGCTGTGACCGAAGATCCTTCGGATTTCGCCAAATGGGAAAAGTTGATAGAGCTGGCAGAGGGTCTGGGAAACGGTATCCAGTTGAGTTCTTCGCAGAAAGACAAACAATTACTTCGGAGCACTTACGAGAATTTCCTAGTCCAATTTCCCCTATGTGAGCAATACTGGATAAATTTTGCAGAATGGTGCTTCCGTTTGAAGTTGACAGGGGATGCGACAGATGTGTATGAAAGGGCTTTAAAAATCATGCCTGGGTCTGTGTTACTATGGACAAGCTACGTCAGGTTTCTGAAGCTTACAGACTTGGACATTGATGATCTGCGTGCGCAGTTTGAAAAAGCCAGGTTGGCCATTGGTTTTCATTTTCACAGTCACGAATTTTATGATGAGTACCTACAGTTCCTGAAGGAGAACGACATGACAAGAGAGTATCATTATTTGCTAAGAGTTCTCATTGAAATCCCACTATATCACTACAGCAAGTACTTTGAGGAGTACACGAGACTCATAGAGACCAGCGACATGAGAACGATAAAATATATCATCTCCTCAGAGGACCTGGCTGCCCAGAATTTGACCTGGCCCGATATAAATCGCGATACTAAGCGGTTCAAGGAACTCAGAGTTGTCTTGAGGAAAAGGTTTATTGACGTGTATATAACCACGCAGTTCAATGTGTACCAATTGTGGCAGTTTGAGAAACGACTTTCCAGCTTCTTCTTCACGCCTGTGGAGCTCAAAAGATCTGAAATTGATGCCTGGGATGCCTACTTGGAGTATTTGGAAAATACAAACCTGAAGAAAGGACACACAAAAGATGCTGTGATAAGTCGGATCAACGATTCGATTATCGAGGTAGCGTATGAGAGGTGCTTGATAGTGACAGCCTTATACCCTCAGTTCTGGGTGAAATACTCAGACTATCATCTCAATCACAACAGAATTGACAAGGCTATAGACGTGTTGAAAAGAGGCACTTATCTGAATCCTATCACAAATTTGAAGATGCGCTCAAGACTGATTGATTTAGAGGTTTTGAACAATCACCCGGAAGCCGCCAAGGAGATAGCCGTGGAATGGGTAAGTCTTCTTCCAAACTCAATTGAGGTATTTTTGAAGTTGCTATCGGTTGAGAGCATCACGTTTGACGAGAAGAAAAGTGGTTCAAAATCAAACGCGGAGAGAGACCAGTACCTGTTGGATTTGGTTCAATTCAAGCTGGACGAGGTCAAATCGTCTGGGGAATCCGCCTTTGACGTTCTCTTCAGCGAACTACTCGACTTTCCAATCTCGTTTCAATCCCTTGTCGTGTTTTTCGAACGTCATGCCGCTTCAAAGAAATCTGAGCATTTCTGGCGGGCCTTCTACACGTTGTTCAATAAATACGGGGAATCCAAAGCTGGCGATAAGCATAGGCTGCAGAAACAGGCCAAGCTGAAGGAGATAGAGGAGAAAGCAGTGGCAGTCCTAAGCGAGGCAGACTTCAGAAAGTTCCAGCGCCACGTTGGCTACGACGACGACGATTTTGTCTGATATGAGAGATGGAGTGACGATTTAAATGGTATTTCTAGTAATAATCTTCGAAACACGTGACCAACGAGAACGTGTCCAGGTTTAGTCTGCCATATGGAACACGGGCACATAAGAGATAAACGCCTACGAGGCAAAAGCTGATACCGTTTAAAATAACCCGTGGACAAGCCCAATTCGCCAGAACGTCCCCTAAAGTCAAATGTTTGGCGCTGGTTACGATTACCATAGGGACATCAACGCGTTTGAGCAAAATGATGATGACCGATCTTCGCCATTGAACATACTAAGTGCAGATACTGTAGGCTCCAGAGATAGGCCGTCCAATGTGTCAGATCTCATGAGGAACGGCCTCAACAGGAGGAGTTCAGTGATAATGGCGGAAACAGGAAAGAGAGTTCAAAGGACGTTTTCATTTTTCGATGACAGAACTACAAATACGTCGGAATTGCTGCTTCAAAGTCCGACTAGTGTGAACGAGGAAGATGTCCCATACCACCATCCTATAGTGGCGCCGAAATGGAGCGATCCGTGGAAAAGACGATCCAGAGCAGTTATGAGCAATCCGCTAATCAGAGGCGTTTTGAAGGCTTCTTTGGCATATTTCATGGCATCGCTGGCTGTTTATTGCAAGCCAATTTCGAGGTTACTGGGTAGCTCTGATTCAAAGCACCTGGTTTGTACGGTGGTTGTATACTTTCCAGCCACGCGAACTCTGGGCTCAATGATCGAATCGATAATTTTTGTGGTGATGGCATTGTCTTTTGCTTTTAGTGTTTCTGTGATGTGCAGCTCGGTATCGTCAGCCTTCTACAACCAAGAGGAAGAGGAGATATGTTATGGAATAGATCTGATCATCTCTTGTTCCACTCTAGGAATGATTTCCTTTATGAAACAGCGTGTGAATACTCAGAATTTCAACACTGCATGTTCGTTAGCTGCGATCTCGCTAATCTCGTGTCTGATCAAGGACGGTAGTCGTGATGCCAGCATCGTTCCCTGGAGTAAAATACAGTCCTTGTTTCTGATTGTCTCGCTGGGTTGTGTTTTGTCTGTTGCAACATGTTATCTTATATGGCCTACAAGTGCCGAGGTGGAGCTGCGTCAAAAATTGAATGAAACTTGCGACATTCTGTCTTCTCTTCTTCGCCAATCCACCAACAAGTTTCTGCGATACGAAGACATTGACTCTCCTGATGTGCGACACCTCACACAGGCCCTGAAGAAGAACACGTCCTCTTTAACAGAGTCTTTACACCACGCCAAATTTGAATTGGTGCCCATGGGAAAAGAAATGCAGTACCATGTTTTAGATGACCTAGTGTCCTCCTCGCTGAAGCTCGCCATGGACATACGAGGGCTGATGAGATCTGTGGAAATGCAGTGGAACCTGCTACAAGAGAAAGAAAGTTCAATTCCTGAGGTGGATAGGTCCACCCTCGCCAGTGACCCCAACTCTGTGTATACGCTGTTTAGATCTGGAGACTCCATGATGGATGGATCGTCACGGGCACAGAGCTTGATCAATGAGGACTCAGAAGACGATGTTGTTGCCTCAAAGCCCAAGGAGTTGTTTGATTTGTTTGTGTACTATCTGGGCCCTTCTATGAAGTCATTTGCATTCACCATGCGACAGATTTTGGATGGTATTCCTTTCGACGACACACCGGAATACGCAAACAGGGAAACATCGCACTACTCACGGAGTCTACTTTTGGCGAGTGAATTGTTTCAACAAAGTCACAGTAAAGCACTAGGAAAGCTTTATGAGCAGTCGATGTTCAAAGAAGATACTGATTTCAAGAATAAAATTGATCAGGAAGAAGTTGCTGCCAGTTGTGGTAACTTCTCAGAGATGCTGTTGGAGTTCTCTCGCGAGCTCGACAGATACCTGACCATTTTGAACGATTATAAAGAACTTTGTGAGTCTGAAGAAACCTCATATGACTTTTTGAAGTTCTGGAAACGCAAATCTCTAAAGGTCGAACATAAGAGAACTCTGAACGAGGCTCTTTCCCGAATGCAAGGTGTCAAAACTGATTTGAATCCAAAAAACACCTTCAGCTACAGATTATGGTCAGCATCGAGAGCGTTTCAGCGCGTGGACATTCAATTTGGACTAAGAGTGGGATTGGGTGCATTTGCAATTGCATTATTTGCGTTCCTTGATAAGACCAGAGACAAATTTGACGATTGGAGAGGTGAATGGGCTCTAGTGACATATTGCATCATCATGAACAAATCCCTAGGTGGAACTACTATGACCGTCAAGTGGAGGTTCTTGGGAACCTTCATCGGTGCACTGAGTGCTTATTTGATCTGGGACTTTTTTGAAGGGAATGTATACGGTCTGGCACTAGCAGGTTGGCTGATGTGTTTGCCCTGCTTCTACATCATATTGTACTGGAAAGAGAACAACGCTTTCGGAAGATTCATTTTACTGACATACAACCTGACAGTGCTATATTCATACACCATGTCCCTTAAGTCACCTGAAAACATTCCAGACTACGACGATGAAGGTGGAGGAAATCCGATTGTGTTTGAGATTGCGTTCCATCGTTTCATTGGCGTTTCTGCGGGTGTTTTATGGGCTATTATAATGACATTGATGCTATTCCCTAATAGTGCCAGGTCAAGGATAAGGAGAGGTTTATCTTTACTATGGCTTAGAATGGGAATTATCTGGAACAGTGATCCTCTCTCGTTTGAGCGTGATCCGGATACTTCAGAGTACAGACTGGTTGGCATCAGAGACACGAAGATGATCCATCACATCATGTCTGAGCTGGAAGTATTGCTAAAGCAAGCACCGAAAGAGATCAGGCTTAAAGGTCCATTCCCTACTAAGACATACGAAAAGCTTTTGAAGTCAACTAGCAAAGTTATAGATGTCTTTGAGAATCTCAATGTGATGATCGATCTGGAGCCACTTCTGACAGAAAACGAACGGGTGGTGTTAAATCACATTAAGGCCGAGAGAGCAGAACTTGAGAACAGAGTGTTCCTGATATTCTATATGATAGCATCAGCCATGAGATTAGGCTTCCCATTGGTGAGAAAACCTGCTTCTACTGAAAATGCCAAGGACAGGATGTTGGCCAAGCTCAGTGATATGCGCAACAGAGAGGACAGTGGATCGCAAATGCTCAAAAACGAGGACTTCGTCCTGTTCTACTCGTATACCTTGATCACTACTATCATTACGGATGAGCTTGATAAGCTGATTTATCTGGTGGGTGAACTGTTTGGTGTTGTCGCCGAGGACACTTTGGAGCTCTGAGAGCCGTTTGCACGGGGCCAGAACGAGCCAAATTTCCAATATATTTAACTTTAATTGGCGATGGAGAAGTTATGCATCGTGATATTTTTCGAACTATTCTGGATAAGTATAATAAGCAGAGTATAGTCGTTTGCTCTATGCCCCATTAACCATAGCGTAGCCCCAAAATATCGGGTCGTGTACTCGCATAATAATAAGCTTGTTACGAGCCCGGGTGGCGATATTCCGAAATTAATTTTGTCTAGTAGTTTTGGACTTGGCTGTAACTTGTTTACATCGTGTACTTCTATTAAACTGACCATCTGGAATCATGTCAACCATCAACATAGATGCTGAAAGTGAAGTTGGCCAAAGAGTGAAAGCCTCCATAAGTGATATGCTGAAGGCAATCAACTTCAGCGATGACATCGAATACGTTGCTGAGTTCATTGTTGTGCTCATTTCTAACGGGCGCACTCCAGAGGAAATCACCCAGGAACTATCTGCTTTGTTTGGTGATGCTATTACTTTGGGATTTGTGAATGACGTGTTTGCCGGTATAAGATCTTTGCAAGGCGAACAGCCGAAAGAAACTCCAGCCTTCACGGCTCCGTTTACGTCACAAGAGCAACATGAAGACACTACAATGCAAGAGGATTCGCAGCCAGCCGCAAGACAGGAAGTGAGGTTTGACCAGACACCAGATATTGTTGGCCTTCCCTCTCAACCACGTGTGTATGCGAGCAGAAGTAATGCCGGTGTCGCCAAGGCTGGGCTCAAGACCAGAGGCTCGTCGCGTGGCGGGTTTGCTTTGAAGAGTGGAGCCAATTTTGAGAGAGCCGTGGGATTGTCCGTGGACAGCAATATGGGAGATAACACCAACCTTGGTTTTGGTCAGCAAAAAAGAAGTCGTTGTCAAGCCTTCCCTCATTGTCCAAACAGAGTGTGCCCCAATATCCACCCTACGAGAATCTGTTTTGCCTTTCCAAACTGCCCGAACCCCCCAGGAACATGTGGTTATTTGCACCCAGGTGAAGATGATCAGCTAGTCCAGGAATGGGAACAGGTCAAACAGGCCAGGCAACAACAGCAGCAAGACCGTCCTCCCAAGTTCAGCAAAGCCAAGATCATAGAGGAGGTGAAAAGAGCTACTCAAGGAATCTCTTTGTGTAAGTTTGCCAGTGTTTGCCAAAAGGAACTGTGTCCCTTTGGCCATCCTACACCTGCGAACAAAACTGCCAAGGTGTTGACTTTTGAATGGTGCCCAGCCAATAAGGAGTGTTCGGACCCGGCTTGTACGAAAGCGCATCCATCGCCCAACTACCAACCCGTTGAAGAAACAAGGCCCCAGAAGTTTGCTCCAAGCTTAGAAAGCTGCAGGTTCGGTTCTCACTGTACGAATTACAACTGTACGCGTCGCCATGCCACGAGTCCTGTTCTTTGCCGTGATGGTAGCGAATGTACGAGATTGGACTGTTACTTCACGCATCCCCTGGAAGAAGAATGCCGTTTTGGCATCAACTGTAAAAATGCTAAGTGTGCATTTAAGCATCCTGAGGGCAGAGTTCTTCCAGCTCCGAAGCCATCGGTCTGGGTCAAAGACGGCACGAGCGATAGAGCGTTTGCAGTTCCAGAGGATCAGGTGATGGAGCATGCTCCAGTGCAAGAGGCATAAGAGAGTTGGTGTTAGTACAATATGTGATTGTTGCTAGTATCATATGTTTACGCTATATGGTGGGACAATATGTCGATACTACAGGTGGATACCACAAGCTGATATCATTTATATGCCGTTAATATTACTTTGAGGCAGCAGTGTGTGCTTCTGAAGACCGCACCATTATGGTGTTGGTCTTGCTTTTTTTAGTCAAATTTCACTCGTAGTTTTAAAGTGTAGTTTCAAGATATCTATGAAATATCTTGATATCTTTCAAGAGTCCAAAGAAAAGCAGTCCAAAGCATATTATACATACAAGTTCAATTTCATGAAAGATTAGTTTTTCAAGTTTTATACAAGAGAGTTAGACTGCAAGTTAATGCATCTAGTATCTCTTCTTGGAAGCAAGAGCCTCGTCGGCAAACTCGTCCAATGGGTTCTTGGTGAGCTCGAAAGACTTCCACAAGTTTGGAGTCAAGAAACCGTAAGTGTTACCGATGGCAGCAAAACAGGCCTTCAAGGTGTTCTCCAAAGTTCTGGTAGAACCGGAAGAGGAGGTGTAGACATCCTCAATACCGGCCAATTGCAAAAGCTTCTTGACGGCTGGGGAGGCAACAACACCGGAACCTCTTGGGGCTGGGATCAGTCTGACAACGACGGAACCACACTTACCGGTGGTCTTTGCGGCCAAAGAGTGAGGAGCACCCAAGTTGGAGCCCCAGTAACCTCTTCTGACTGGGATGATCGAGAGCTTGGCAATGATAATGGCAGCGCGGATGGCGGTGGCAACTTCCTTGGCGGTCTTGATTCCCAAACCAACGTGACCGTTGGAGTCACCAATGACGACGATAGCCTTAAATCTGGTTCTCTGACCGGCACTGGTCTGCTTCTGGACTGGCTTGATCTTCATGACCTCGTCCTCCAAAGATGGCAGGAGCTGGTCAATGATTTGGAACTCCTTGACTGGCAAAGAGTGCAGGTAGATCTGCTCAACGGAAGTGATCTTACCGGCTCTCACGAGACGACCAAGCTTGGTGACTGGGACCCACTTCTCCTCTCTGGCATCTCTTCTACCTCCTCTTCTTGGTGGACCTCTTCTTGGGCCGGAGCTTCTCTTGTCTCCGGCTGGGGCAGCTGCTGGGGCGGACATGTTATTACTTGATCTGTCGGAATGTACGTGGAAAGCCGATGGTGGTGGTTTTCGGTCGACGGATTGGTTTGGGAAGGTGAAGTTGATGAAATATGTTAACGGGTCTGTCTGAAAAAATAGGAGGTACCTTCGTGATGAGGTCCGGTAGCCCTGTAAATTATCACGTGATCTATGGCGTATTTTGTCGTGTGAACCATAGTTGGGAGTGTACTGCTTAATCACATGTCACATGATGGGGAGCAACCCTTATCAGTGGTGACAGGCTTTGGGGACCTTATAGTGTGGAGTGGCAAGGGTCGCCTGATTTTGATTGGCCTGCTACGCCCTTTAACTTTCCCGTTTTTCCTTTTCTCCTTAAGTTTGCTGGTTCTACAACTAGTCGACATACCAATCCCTCAAGTTGGACCTGAATCCCAGAGTTCATCTCACAGAACCCTTATTTGTTATATCTAACGCATTCATATCGCGATGTCGTAAGTTGCTATCTCATCTGAATTGCTCTCATCCTCATTTTCGTGAGATCTCAGTTTCATGTTCAAGTCCCACTCGAAAAGTTCATACTAACTCCACCAGTACATACGCCGAAGTTGCTGCTACCAATGTGAACGGTTCTCCACAAGGAATGCCTGCACAGCAGACCGTTGAGCCCAGCTCTACCCCCACCGGGAACGTGGAGATTGTCTCAGAGGAGGTGGCTGATCGCCTCAAAGAAGCCGTGGAACCGGCTGCTGAAGGCGCAGCTAAATTGGCCGACGAATTCAAGAAGTCTGTAGGAGATGAGAAGAGCACGAAGAAGACCATCATCAAATACATTGACGCGTTTAAGGCCAAGGCTATTGAGACGTTCAATGTCATTGGTGCCTCTGCGGCCAGTGCAGTCTCTTTCACTTCCAAAGAGCTGAAAAACCCCGTGGTGAGCTCCCATGTAGTTTTGGGCTCCGGTCTGGTTGGTGCCATAGCTGCTATTTCAGCTGGCAAGCTCCACACCTGCACACCGCCAAACAAATGGGTTTCCATAGCTGCTGGAGTCTTTGCGACTGGCCTTGTATTTGCAGATGCGGCTTTCGTTAAGAAGAACTACCCAAAATACAAGAAAACATAGGATGACAGATACTTCATTATTTTCTTGATCATACTGAAACCACTTAGTGGCTACGGCCATTTGCAAGAGCTCTGAATTGATTAACCAAATTACTTTTATACTAATAAAACGGAATGCTATACCTCCATCTGTTTCCTATCTGTAGACAGCTGGTGAAATTGCTTGCGAGCTGCCAAATTGGCTGCAAAAACAGCTTGTGACTTTGGGTATGCTAGGCTACTTAAAAAGTCGGATGAATGGAGTTCCTCCCCAAAGCATACCCTTTGGAATTAACAAAGAAAGGAGGGTGTAAAAATGATGCACATCTAGTGCTGCAGAGCAAGATATACTATTAGTCAACTGTATGGAGTAGACACATCGTTGGATCCAATCCAAGATTAATTTCAAAGATGGAAAAAAAGAATGAGCGGTAGGAGAATCGAACCCCTGTCACTTGCTTGGAAGGCAAGTATGATAACCACTACACTAACCGCCCTTTTCCTTGAAGACTTTTGTTTTCTGGGCGCACACACTCTGTATTTTCGGATGAATTTAAGGGCGTAAATTTAAAGAAACGGTTTTACAGTTGACGACATTCTGAATAAGACTGGTTTTTTGTACTATTAATGTCTCCAGATATTCTAAAGGGGCTCTCTACACTCAAAATAATTGGTGGTTCGATCAGTAACAACGGATGGAGGTACGAGTTCCAACTTGAGTTGGCCGAAAATTGCTCCAAAGCCTCCGAAAGACGCACAAAACGGACGCAGTTACAAAACTGGCTAGTTCACTGATCTCTTAGATGACCCAGCATGTATAATCAACAAAAACTGCAACCTCAGTCTAGTATTGTGGGAGATACATCTGCCAATGCCGATTTAAGAATGCTGCACTCACACGTGCCGGTTCAGGCGAGCAGCTCTACATAGTCTTGGGCTAGGAGGTGGGGAAAAAAGAAGCGCATCGGCTTCCTAGGTATGACTTGTCTCATACGGAAACCAAAAAAAAGAATACAATAATGATTTCGCCCAGGATCGAACTGGGGACGTTCTGCGTGTTAAGCAGATGCCATAACCAACTAGACCACGAAACCATTTGTGACCAAAAAGTTTCAAGCTTCCTTACACTGTATAACTTTCTAATTTCTTGGGACACGACCTTTCTTCAAATACATCATAAAGTGGCATTTTATCTCTACACTATCGATTTAAAGGGATATGAAGACTATGAGAATCTGAGAACGATTTACATAGTAGCAAGAGCCGAGGGATATATATTTTGAAAGGCGCGTTAGAAAGAGCTTGAGAGTTACAAAAGCCTGCCAATTTGCATTTCTAAAATAATTAAAAAATTGTAAAAAATCAACTTTTATTTCAAAATGGGCAAAAAAAAAGAATGAGGGAGAATAGCCAACACTTGCTTAGATATACTTCAAGCTACTTAATTCAAGATAGGCCCAGCAGTGGGTTTAAAGTACAAAACTAAACACCTAACCGAACAATTGTCTTTGAGAAAGTCGTTATAACGCATTCTTTCTCGTCAGATACTCAAACCTACTGTATGTGTACCCTATGAATGGGAGATCCTCTTTGCTATCGTCTCCATTTTGCTTCAGCTTCTCACGCTGTTGAGCAGCTTGGGCCAGTGCAGGCGAGTCCGGAATGTTTTCCAAGTCATCACATGGGAAGAACCTAGTGTCTGTAATAGACTTCAGCTTTGGTATGAAAGGAGCTTCAACATGTCTGATCTCATCCCAGTTAACACCACGGAAAAAGGGATGTCCCTTGATTTCTTCTGCTCCTCCATGACGGCCAAGTCTGTTTTCTGACGAAGTCAAGAGCCTCCTGATCAAGTCTTCCGACTCTGGAGATAAGTGAATATCGTCTGGGAACTCCAGAGTTTCTTGCCAGTTGATAATTTTTTTGTACGTGTCATGTGGAGTTTCCGAACAGAATGGAGGCCAACCTACCAAACACTCAAACATGATGGCTCCCAGAGACCACCAATCACATTCTTGCCCATAACCTTGGTTTACAAAGATCTCCGGAGCAATATAATCGGGAGTACCAACAGTTGAATAGGCCATAAGTCTCCTGGACTTTCTCCAGGTTTGCATTTGCTGTCTATTGGACATAGTAAGATGGATGGCATCCACCATGACCGAGTTTCTTGGGGGCCCATTCTGGTGGGTTGCTGGTGCTTGATCCAGCAGCTTTCTATAGTAGTTTGAATCATGGGTCTTGTGAAAACCTGTGGATAAACCAAAATCCGACAGCTTGATGTGTCCACGGATATCAATCAGAATGTTGTCCGGCTTGATGTCTCTATGGATGAAGCCCAGCTTATGAATTGCCTCAATGGCCAACACGCATTCTGCTATGTAAAATCTTGTAACGTCCTCGGTGAAAATCTGCCACTTGATCAACATCGTCATGAGATCACCACCTGGTAGAAATTCCATGATCAGATATAGATAGAGGGGATCCTGGAACGAGTAGAAAAGAGACACAACCCAAGGAGAGTTGGAATCTGCCAAAACATCTCTCTCAGCCTTGACATGGGCCAATTGGTCCATCTTGTACATTTCAGACTTGAGAAGCGTCTTCATGGCGTAGATCTTCCCGGTATCTTTTTTCTGGACCAGCCTGACTTCACCAAAAGCACCCTTACCAATCACTTTGACAGTGTGGAAATCCTCCAAAGCCAATCTAGTTCTGCGCAGTCTCAAGAATTGCGATTCGTTCCTTCCAAAAAGCTGCAATTCACGATTTTTGCGTTCGGATGAACTTTCCTCGTGCAGTTTCTGCTCAAAATTCAACCGTCTTTGATTTCTTTCAATGGCATACTCGATGCTGGTCTTATAATAATGTTCCAGCTTGAGCTTGATTCCTGAAGTTTTGTCTTGAGACGCCTTCGAGAAGTATTCCGGATGCCTGTCGAAGTAGACGTAGTTGGCTTGGTGGGCATTTGGTTTGATTGGTTGCTCAATGTTCTTTTTGAATCCAACCAGAGCTGGATTGGATCCATTTGCACCCGAGTTAGAATATGGAAGACCATGTGGTTGCCTCGTTGGAGAGTGCGAGCTAGAAGTATCCGATTTGACGGAAGCAAGGTTGGATCTGATACTGCGAGATGGACTTGCCGGTGGTTGAGCTAGATATCCAGACGAGTTGTTGTTATTCATATATGGCGAACCTCCATTGGTGAAGTAATTCGACGGAGGAGGCATTGACGGAATGTTTTGGAATGCCGACGTTGGAATGAACTCCTGATGCTGTTGTTGCTGAGACAGATCTGTCTGAGAACGCTGTTGTTTCATGTTATATAAACCGCCATTATTGTTTCCTTGGTTATATGAGGATCCATTCTGATACTGCTGGTATTGATATTGCTGCTGTTGTTGCTGTTGCTGAGAGTATTGATATTGCTGCTGTTGCTGTTGTTGTTGGAAGCTGTTGCTGTTGTTGTTGTTATTGTAGTACCCTTGTTTATCGTAAGGTGTATACATGGTGGTGAACACAGAATGCAAGCAAAAGCTGTGCAGTTATATGCAGATTCCCTCAAATTCGATTTCAACAATACCAGATCGCGAAATTCAAAACAAACCTAGGGGAAACAGAGTTGTTATTGAGATGGTTCTTGCGTAGCTTGGTTGGAAGAAGAGGAAACACGGTTTTTGATCCGGCAGGAGTAGATTTGGGGAGTAGACTACTAGGGCTGGCCAAATCCCGGAAATTTGGGCTACCGGTTTTCGGGCGTCCATCCGGGGGTAAACTCGGTTGTCAGTTTTGACCGTCGGATTGAACTGATCACGTGATCTTCAAACTCTGTGTAAGAACGCGTGGTGCAAGAATTTATCATTTTCTCTTGTCATTTGATCGCTTCCAGTTGAAAGTGTTATACATAAAATTCAAACGGCAACAAGTGAGCAAGATTGGACTCCATTGAGAGTGGCGAATCCACTTGTGACAGTGTTTTTACTGATAATACACCCTCGAGAGACCAACGACCAGAGAGCGTGGATCTTTCGGAAGAAGAGGGAGAGATGCATGGCATATCAATCCAGGATATTAAACCTTTCACTTCCACGCTTTAACCCGGAACGTGAGATTGTTGGGTTAAAATAATAACGTAAATTTGAAAAGCAGCAGCAAAATTCAAATACCAAAAAAATGGTGGCTCGATAGTTGGTATAAAGAAAAGAACGAGGTGTATTAATTATACAACGACAAAACCAAATTTTGGACCGATGGGGTTAAATCTATACATCAGTCCTGGTAATAGGGGGATAGCTGCTAAGTTGCTGTTGCCAATGTCCGCACAAGAGAGGTCGAGGTGTAAGAACGTGCATCCAAAAGGCATCCAACACAGCCATGATTTCCATGACAGTACCTCTCTTCTCTGAAGGCTTACTGTGAAGTTTTTCCCTTTATCCTTCTAACCTTTTAACATATAAATACATGGGTATTCCGGAATAATTATTATTGAAGTTATTTGTAGACAATATCAATTCAATTGTCTGATTGTGAACGGCTAATTACGCATCATTCAAAATTATTGATGTCATTCAATTTCGGGAGAGGCAAAGTTATCTTGGTGGGTTGACAGGGGACTTTGTCCTAACTTACCCATGCCAAGTAGCTTTTGTATCTATCATAAGCCGACACGCATGCAGCTAACTCAATGTATTCTCGATTAAACGTTTTTCTATCAAATTCGAAAGAGTAGCTTTTTCCCCTCCTCCTCTTCTTTAATCAATCGGGGTAGAAGCATCATCCTTGATAGGAAATCATCCTTTTATATGTCAATGTCTCTCGCGGAAGATTTGACATAGTGCTCTATTGCTACTATTTGTTAGTCTTATAGAATAGTCTATTAAGACTAGCCACTTTTATTGTCTATTTTCAAGGTGCGGGGAGACCAAACGAGTTTGAAGGACTTGGCTGTGAAATCATACTCGAAATGGCAATTGGTATTATTGACACATAGATCTAACTGCAGGGGTTGGTTGATTCTTCCGTTTGGATTGAACGATTCTTTTCCTCGTGAAGTTTCTTATTAGGATACACTGCCAAATTGGTAGACACTCTAGTTTTCTTGATTACATACACAAATGATGAAAATCCAGGCAAACTGTGGAGCGCGAAATAACGCTACGCACAAACAATTCAAGCACTAGTCTATTCTTTCAAACATGTCAACCTGAAAAACAAATGGTTTGATAAGTTTACAATGTATGTCATTGACTTTAACTAGGACTTGCATTCATTTCTTCATTTTAGTGCCTTCAACCTTTTGTGTACTGTTACCTTGGTCAATCATTGCTTATCTAGAGTTTTGTAGCTTACATTACCAAAAGTTTCAATACCATTACATTTCAATCACTCATTCAAAACACATGGCGCATTTACAATTGTGAATACAGGTGATGTGATGGATTTTACTGGGGAAATTATGAATCCAAATCTTCAACATACAACGTTCGACTTAAATTTGGAGCTTGGTGTGATACTTCTATACAATCAATAGGTGATTTTGCAGATTCCTCATCAATCACACCTTCGGAATTTAGACCCATTGGAGTAAGAATTAGTGTTTTATCCAATGAGTTGATCAACAACATTCTTTGTCCTTTGTATATGGACGTTTCAACACCTACTCTCTTCGAATCAGAATTCACAGATTCATTGCCAATCACAAATTGATTGAGGCGAAATGAAGAATTTAGTTCTACAGCAACAAAGTGGTCAGTAGATGACTGACCGGAGTTTGGAAGCATCCATGAAAGCAATTTCTTGCGGTTGGGAGAACTTCCTAATTGGTATCAATGTGTTGCTACATCACGAAAAAGAATTCAACAACAAGATGGGCATGGTCACGTACTTCAGCGAAATAAATTACTTTTTGAAACATTTTCTGCCGGTCTTTTTTTGCAGTAAGAGTAAATTTGAAGGCTTCATCACTAGTACTGCCGACAGTAGGCAAGACCCCGTTGACCCTCAAAATGCATTTACACATTATTTGAACTAAGTCGAAAAAAGCGGTGTAGTTAGTAATCGTATATGTAGTACCGGCACTATTATCTCCTCACCGAGAAATCTACCTCACTGGCTATGACCAGTACTAGCCAATCCCTTCGGAAAAGCAACCCGGTTCGACTAGTTAATGACATCATCGACACATTTCCCGCAGGATGGAAATACGACTGAGCGCCGTGCGGTCCCAGCTAGTGCATTTGCCAAACTCTCATAATAAGACTAGGTTATATCTCTTTCAGAGATGCCTAAAAATGTCACGTGGTGCGGTCGGCAAGACGGCAATTTGAAATCGGGGGTTCGGAGGTTCTGCACGGCAAGATGGGAAGCTTGTCTCTATCGGTGGCACTACCGCAAGGAGACCCGGGGGAATCGGTTCGATCAATATCCAATAAATCCCAACGGAATGCTTTCCTAATTAAGCGCTTGTGTTAAATTTATCAACCTTTTCCAATTCCGCTTTAGGCACTATTCCCGTCCAGCTGCACCCCAGAACTTACCCCACATTAATTGGCGTGCATTCTTTTGACATACCTATCAATATATCAGTATATGTATACTGGGGTACATCCTCTTCTGTAATGGCACCTTTCTTTGTCAGTATAGCCATCGTTTGGTATAACAAACAAAATGAGATTGCCCAAGTTTTATAACACTTATCTAACAGCAGCTGTTGCTACCATTGGTGGCTCACTCTTTGGATTCGACGTTTCTAGTATGTCTGCCATCATCGGCACCGAACAATATACTACGTATTTCAACAATCCAAGTTCGACTTTACAAGGTGGTATTACCGCTGCAATGTCAGGTGGATCGTTGGTCGGTGCCCTCTTAGCAGCATTTGTTTCGGATCGTCTTGGTAGAAGAACAGCCATTCAATTCAGTTGTATTCTTTGGATTATTGGTTCAATCATATGTTGTGCTGCTCAAAATGTTGCCATGCTGATTGTTGGTAGAGTCATTAATGGTCTATGTGTTGGTGTCACTTCTTCTCAAGTGCCCGTTTACCTTGCTGAGATTGCCAAACGTGAAATCAGAGGTAAAGTCATGGCTATTCAACAATGGTCTATCGAATGGGGTATTCTTATCCTATACTACATTGGTTATGGTTGTTCTTTTATCAAAGGTACAGCTTCTTTCCGTATCCCATGGGGGGTACAAATGGTTCCTGCTGTTTTATTATTCATTTTAATACCAATGTTCCCCGAATCACCAAGATGGTTAGCAGGTAAGGGACGTTGGGATGAATGCCATGAAATCTTGGCAAATGTTCATGCAAAAGGAGATCTCGATGATTTAGTCGTTCTTGCTGAAATGCTTGAAATCAGAGAAATGATTGATTTGGAAACCGGTAAGAACAGCTCATACCTTCAACTTTTAACAAAAGAGAATTGGAGAAGAACAAGTGCTGGTGTGATGGCTCAAGTTTGGCAACAATTGGCAGGTGGTAATGTCATGATGTACTATGTCGTTTACGTTTTCGAGATGGCTGGATTAAGCGGTAATGCAAATCTTATTGCATCATCAGTTCAATACGTTGTGTTCTTGGTATTTACCCTTCCTGTTCTTTTTTACATTGATCATACCGGTCGTCGTTCTTTGATGATCATAGGTAGTATTGGAATGGGGGTTTTCATCTTTGCAGTTGGTGGTATTCTTGCACAATATGGTGAATATGCTCCCTCCGTTGGTGGGAATGAAAACATTCATATTACATTGGTGAACTCATATGGAGCATCAAGAGCAGTATTAGTATGTTCTTATCTTTTCACGATGGTTTATTCTTTGACTTGGGCACCAACGGCTTGGGTTTATGCACCTGAAGTGTTCCCATTGTATTTAAGATCAAAGGGAATGTCAGCTGCAGCTGCTGGTAATTGGGCTATGAATTTCGCACTGGCATTTTATGTTCCTCCTGCTTTCAATAACATCGGTTGGAAGACATTTGCCATTTTTGGTACTTTTTGTTTCGCTATGGCAATTCATATTTTTTTCACCTTTCCTGAGACTGCAGGGAAATCACTCGAAGAAATTGATTATTTGTTCGGTCCAGATGCTCCACGTCCTTGGAAGACTAGAGTCGGTGGTGATGATTTCGAGCATAAAGTTGAAGACTTGAGAGAAACGGATCTCAAAGTGACTTCTGAACATGTCGAAGAAACAGAAGACTAATGAATGTTTCGGTCCTTCATGTTGTTTCGGGTAAATCATTCTATACGTAGTGTTTGCAACTTCTATTGATTAGTAACTTGTGTCCTTTATTCTTGAAAAATTGTTTATTCTTTTGTAGATTTGCGTTTGTGCCTTCTTGGTATTGCCTTGGTATTTCATAAAACCATATTCATGATAGTTATCATATATCTTTCCTTGATAGTACATACAAATCGTATTCACAATGACAGGCTTACCTTCAAACATAAGAATTCATTGGTAGTTTTTTACAGAATCGAGAAGAATACAAAATCAAAAAAAAAGTGCTGAAAGGCAAAGTGTCCTCTCTGGGTTGAATTTTACAACTCAACTTCCATGGTCTGTCATCTTTTGCGTTGATCTGCTTTAACTTCCATATCTCCACCAGCGCAAGCTCTTGCAAGGCAGATACACCCACGATATCAAACCTCCCATGCTCTAAATCATCGCTACGGTTATTATTACGTAAAAAGAAGGACCGACCTTTGAATGTAGCTGATGATGATTTTCTAGAAATTCCCCCTGCTGCCAAACCACTAGTGTTGGAGTATTAAGTCTGAACCATTTTTAAATCAGATATGCTTGATTTGGCTAGTATCTTGCAGAAAATAGATACATTGATAAAACCAGTGTTGTTTGATTCCTACACTACAAAATCTGGGATTCTCCATACTTAACAGCCACTTTTTCAGAGGTCAAAAAATGTTCCAAGACCAAATAAATTATCATTTTTTTAACGTTTTTGAGTTATCTGAGCCAAGAGCAATCGGAATCACCATCCGAAATTTACTTCAGATGGGTATTAAGAAAAACAAAATCCACGGTTGCCCGAGCCCTCCCTCGGTCATCGGTTTTTCGGGCAGAATCCGACGAAAAACCGACGCCATTTTTGGCTGACTACCTCAACAATTCGGTATGAAAACGACCATCAAACGACAAAAGAAGCAGTATTTTATCAATACGAAAATATGAATAGCATGAACAACAGTACATATTAGTTGAGTATAAGCTTCCTATGAAAGTACAAAAACTTGCTCTCCAGGTGTTGACTCATTACGGGACCTCATCTTGCCTACGAATCTGTTTCAACGCTTCTTCAAGCCCCTCATTCAAGCTAACACAATGATATGTAATAAACGAATTATAAACTGTGTAGATTTCAATAGCTTAGAACTGCAAAGCTTGACCCTTTTGCTTCTTGTCACCACCCAACTCGAAGTGCTTACAACGCTTCAAAGTCAATTGGGCCTTGGTCTTACAAGCAACACATTCCAATCTCAACACAACCTTCTTGGTAGTCTTGGCTTTCTTGTGGAAAACTGGCTTGGTCTGACCACCGTAACCGGATTGCTTACGGTCGTAACGACGCTTACCTTGGGCGTACAGGGAAGCCTTACCAGCCTTGTATTGGGTCACCTTGTGTTGGGTGTGCTTGCGGCAAGTCTTACCTTTGCAGTAGGTCTTTCTGGTCTTTGGAACGTTAACTGAGAGGAGTTAGTAATGTACACAGTTTTGCCACAGGCAGAGAGTATGTCAGTTTAGGGCAAAGATATCGTTTTGGTGAACGCCTGGAGTTAGCTATGGTTTCCTCTAATCCGGTTCTCGTTTAGGGTTTCATGATTCTATCCCTCCTTTTCGATTAGATTGCCAGATTTGTAATGCTGTATAATACTTCGTCGATCCTTCTCGTTACGTTGAGCTGTTGGTTTGGTGTGTCCATGGTGCAGTCTCGACGATTGGTTTCTGCGCTGTGGTAATTCCCCTTATTCTCCAACCAGGACATTCATAAACTTCATCTTGCCAATCATACCATCATCTCAAACATATTCAATAAACACATACCCATTGTGATGTGATTTAATTTCCTTTGATGGTATCTGAAGAGTTGTCGTATCAACGAAATGAGCACTCATAGATGAAAATTGTCAGAGAGGGTGAGCGAAAACCTAGCATGGTACACGACAGTTTGTTCATTCGATGTGACTGTGTGGTAAACACGTGATAGATAAAAGGGCTTTCGGACCTTTATGGTTTTCACACGTTGGTTCCAAAATTCATCACGTGATCAAAGATGAGATGGCTGGTTTCAGGTGCGGCTTCAACCGGGATGCTCACGGCCCTGCATCTTCTTGCTGGGTTGGCTGGACAGCGAGACAACTGTTTTGGGAAGCTGCTAGACTGTTTCGGCAAACACACACTGCCAGATTAGGTTCTGAGCTCAGCAACTTGAAGCTTAGATGTGCTTAGACTGGAACTGGTGAAATGCCAGGCAGTTAATGGGCAGTAAGCAGTAGAGCACTATAGGCATTTGGAGCATCAGCAAAATCTCACATCTTTTTCCCAGATTTTTCAAAAAGCAATGGAGAATATAGCAGTTTAATCAATATCACCCCATGCTACTCTGCCAATCATTGCAGGCAAAGGCTCGCGTTTTTTTTCGGCCAAAGTTGTGAACGCATTGTGTATGCAGGCATGATGTACGAGGTGCATAATAATCCGAAGTCATGGAAGCAAGCCTCTTCACCACATACCGAAACAGCAAGTGATTATGCCAAATCAGGCTACTTATATGCTTGATCCAGTTATGGAAATATATCTTCGGGGACCGATTGCATTAGCTCTTATGGATTGCGTTTGGAGGCTGGCCTTAGGATCGTATATAAACCTAGCATCGCCGGTTTTCCATTCAGCCCGGTGCTGTCGCCCTTTCTTCTTTCTTCAGATTCTTCTCACCAACTATCCAACTTTTGTCTTTCGCTTGATATAAATCGTGGCCACAAATCCAACTTTCGTCTTTCATTAACGGCCCTACAAATTTCGCTCACGCTGCTGGTACAACTAACAAGTCGCAGACTCAACCACAACCACAACCAAACTAAAATTACAACAACAGAATGCTATTGAAGAATTATCTATACGGGTTTGCACTTTTGTCATCCATCGTTTCTGCGCTTCCAGTTGGCCAGGCTGATGCTGGAGCCGGCCAGGTGTGGGACTTGAAGAAAAGACAGTATGTCACTGTGACTGCTGCCGCTGTTACGCAGTATGCTACTGTTCATGTGAAGGGTCATGAATCGAGCTCAACATCAAGCACTGTCTCGTCTTCAGACTCTTCAAGCTCTTCAAAATCTAGTTCGAGTTCTGAGTCCAGTTCTAGTTCTTCTTCTAGCTCAGACTCCGAGACTTACACCCCTGGACAAGAAGTGGTGATCACTTCAACAATTGACCCTGGCTACACCTCAGTGGTTCACGAGACTTACCTGACTTCCTTCTTGGTGACTGAATCAGGTTCTTCCTCATACTCATATTTGACGGTGACTCCAAGTGTGACTTCTTCGTTGACTTCGTCTACTTCTAGTTCTTCTGCCTCGTCGTCAAGCTCTTCATCTTCATCTTTGTCGTCAAGTTCTTCATCTTCTTCCTTGTCGTCAAGTTCTTTGTCATCCTCTTCTTCTGAAGAGAAGGATACAACTTCGACGAAGGTAGTCTTTAAGACGACCAGCAGAGGTAGCAAATCCAGCGCAACAGCCACACCAACCAAGAAGGCCACCTCTTCCACCACTACATCCAGCTCCGCTTCCTCTACGATCACAGCCGCCCCTTCAACTTCTGATGATGACAGCTGGATTACGGGATCGTTCACGGCTTACTCAACCTCGACGAGTGAGGGAGTGTGCTATGTACTGTACGAAGATGACGACTCCACTGGAACGTACTCGGACATCGAGCCCTATACTACGATCACTTTGACGTCAATCGTTGCCACCGTGACTCTGACTGAGAGTTAGTCAGATTTGTTAATTACTTCTTTAAGTTTTCGTTTCCAAATATAAATCAACACCCCACGTAACCTTGCTGCGGCTCTCCTGTAATTAAATTAAGTTCGTTCTGCGTGCACCCACCCATAAGTGCGTCCAAGAACGCGTTCCGTTGACGCACTACCTCCCAAAAGCGCGTTCCATATCCCGCAAAGGTAAACACGCTTGGCCTGACAGTCTTCCCGATACTTTTGACAGTTTTTCTTCGGATAGCCGCTATTGCTTCAAGGGTTAAACCAAAATGTCGATTCAAAGCCCCACAATCCTTTCCGATGAGGATGGATATGGTGACAAGCCAATCGAGTTACACGAAGCCCAGTATGCTAAGATCTCGGCCCCTGTGGGCCACCGAGTCCACCACACCGACGATTTGATCACCAACTACGACTATTTGGAATTGGAATATGAGACTTTTGGATCAATGAATGATAACGTGACTGTCAAAGCCGAAATACCTGGTTTGGTATATGAAGACTCTACTTTTGATGAGTCAAGAGGTGACGAAGAGATCCCGGATGAGGCCCCATCCACTACAGACCAATACGTGGATGTCAACACACAGACAGGGGAGTTGCCGGTGAAGTCCGCACCCAAGACTCCTATCGAGGAGGAGATTCCGCCATTGCAAGTGTTGAAAACGCGCGATGTGAACACTATCAATGCCAATGCCACAAGAAGGATCTCATCTTTCAAGGTAAAAAAGATCAACGACTCCGTGCTCGACTCTTCTTCTTCTGATGCAAAGCTAGAGGGAATGGCAGAAACTCTGAAAGCCCTTGATCAGCGTATTTTCAAAATCCAGAAGGAGTTGAAGTTCCTGGACTCGTTGCTACCGCCAAACCCACATCTAAATTCGAAACCCGAGCAACAGGAAAAGTTACTTGCTGCACGTACCAAGTTGTTCAACAAGTTCGAGTCTCTGGAGAAGGAAAAATACGAGCTAGGGATCAAAATCCAGAGTAGATCCGTCAAGGTGAATGGCTACAACGGAGGAGATAAAGCCCAGTTCTGGGTGAGAGGAGTTTCCAACTAGCCACAAATACAGCAAATCCGCTTTAATAACAGACAATCTATACTAACACCCCTGTATACCTAAATTGAGACACTTCAAACATTCTTTGCTCCTGTACATTTCACTAGCACGTATCACAACCTTCTCTCATCAAAACTCCCTTATATGAATGCAGACGCGACATGTTTACCTTGACTTTGCTTCCATTCACCTCGTCTATGATATTGCAGCCATTGAGTTTGGCATATGGAGGCGTGTAGAGGTGTAAGCTTACTGCCAGTTCGGATGACTCGTTGACCATCTTATGGTATCCCAGTTCGTCGGTAATGTAAGCAACAGAGTCAGGTCCTAAATCTCTCTTGGATTCAAGTTTGAGAGTTTCTGACGAAAAGAGATATTCCTGGAGATGTCCTTTCAGCACTTTCATCACACAGTGGGCAGCCGCATGGTCGTGAACCAAAGAGCCTTTCCCGGGTTCCCAGACCAATAGCAGCAGATTCGCGTTGTGACCAAAATTCTCGACTCCATTACGCGTGTAGCTCCTGGATGAATCATGGTAGGCATATTTCTCCCAGTCAGACTCTTCAGATGTGTAGGACTCCATTAACGCTATCATTTTGGTGTGATCTATGGTCTGCGGAGTAAGCACGTCTTCCACTCCCAGTCGGGACTCGAATTCTGCCAATAGGCTATCGAAGCTGATTTGCTGTTTCATTTTCTGCTCAGAATAATGAGAATAGGATCATTAGGAAGAAAAAGGGGCCCGTGCATTGGGCTACTGAGGCGCTGATAAGGACTCTGGCGGCTCAAACCCCGGGAAGTGTACCAACCGTTCCAAAACAATGGTAGTGGCCAAACCATATTGAGTGCACACGACCAACGGTTTTCAAATTTAACTAGAAGATTCATCAGCTTGAGCTGGTGTAGTGGCTATTCATACCTTCAACAAACCAGCGAACCATCGATATAATGCTCAGAACAGCCTCATTCAGAGTGTGTGGCCAGCTTCCGAGGAGGTTGTTTCATACATCCCGGCTGCTGCTGCTGGCAGATCCATACAAGACGTTAGGCGTGGACAAAAGCTCGTCCTCCTCTGATATCAAAAAGGCCTACTACAAGCTGGCGAAAAAGTACCACCCAGACATCAACAAAGAGGAAGGTGCCGAAAAGAAATTCCATGATCTCCAGGAAGCTTACGAAATCCTAAGCAATCCCGAAAAGAAGACCCAGTTTGATCAGTACGGAACGAATGGGTTTGACCCCAATAGCGGAGCCACTGGGGGCAATCCGTTTGGTGGAAACCCTTTTGGCGGCCAAGGCGGTAATCCGTTTGCTGGAGGATTTGGCGGATTTGAAGATCTATTTGCTGATGCCTTTTTCAGACAATCGGGTCGCTCCAAGAACTCGAACTACGTTCAACATTTCACTGGACGGGACATCGAGGTGTTGAAGACCATCAGTTTCAAAGAGGCCGTGTTCGGGACGACAACCACCGTGGATTACACAGCTTATGATAATTGTTCGTCATGTTCGGGATCTGGGCTGAAGAAGGGAAAGATGAAGAGCACGTGTAAGACCTGCGGAGGCACGGGATCCATGACCCAGGTGCTCCAGGGCGGGTTCCACATGTCAACGACATGTTCGTCATGTTCAGGAACGGGTGTCCAGATCAAACACGGAGACGAGTGTGGAGAATGTCACGGTGAGGGTGTTGCGAGAAAGACCAAAGCCACGGATATTGAGCTTCCATCTGGTGTTAAGGATGGCTCGCGGTTCCGCGTTGCAGGAGCGGGAGATTCTCCAGAGATGACAACGGGTCCAGGAATCTCAGTTTCAAAGGGTGATCTCATTGTTAGGGTGAGGGTCAAGCCTGACCCAAATTTCACGCGTGAAAACAACGACATCATCTACAAGTGCGAGATCCCTATGACAACTGCAGCATTGGGTGGCAGCATCACCATTCCGACTCTGGAAGGTGAAAGCATCAGGCTCAAGGTTCCAGCGGGAACCCAGTCTGCAGATGCCATCACAATTCCAGAGCGTGGGGTTCCTATCAGCAAGACCCGGCGCGGGAACTTGAAGACCGTGTTGAAGGTGAAGATTCAGAGACCAACCGATGCTACACAGACTGCTCTGCTGGAGGCTTTGGCTTCTACTTTTAACGACAAATCGGCTAACCGAATGGACCCAGACTGGAAGGCCGAAGATGTTGGCAATGACGACGAGTCAAAGAACGACCACCCATCCCAGCTCAAAAAGCTGGAGGGATTTTTGGGAAACGCGTTCAAGAGAATCCTACACAAGGACACGCCCGAGAATAAGGACAAATAAACCATGTAAATAGTGAAACAGGCCAAGCACGTGAATAGATCCAGTTCCGACCACATTAGACCAAATTTCAAATGCTAGTAGTGTAAATCCCAATTTGGGATCACACGCCAGACTAAAAATAAACAAAAAGCGCGTGAGGATTCCGGCCCTTTGGCAGTCTCAATACCGCGTCTCAGGTGATTTTGACAACACCGACGACACTGGCTTCTAAACTATAGTGGCTAGTTCTTCTGTGACTTGAGCGGCCCGGCATTGTTGTGAATCTGCAGTTTTACCCATTTTCGTTTAGGAGCTACTCTTTGCTACAGGGGGGTGTTTGAAGGTCCCATTTTTCAGTTGCTATTTATACAGCCCCACTCAACATCACAGGCGTCGTGTTGTTGCAGTCCTTTTGTCACTCATTTTATCCAGATCCTTTCACTTAAACCCAACAATGCAGAATGCCGCAGCGTTAGAGGTTATTCAGGAGTCCTTCGAGGATGTCTCGCTCTCTGAGATGAAGCCCAAGGAGAAACATTCTCAATTAGCTACGAAACCGGGATATTTGCATAGACGGCCGCAATCGGAATCTGCGATCTCGATCCACCGGAATAACTCGATGTCGGCTTCGATGGTGGGGAGACCAAGCTCGTTATCGGATTTGAATCTCTCGCTACGGAGGTCCCCAAGCACACACCTTACACCCACACAGAAGTACCGACTTCAGAAGAAGAAACAACAAGAGCTGCAAACTAGCATTCGCCAGAGCGATGGCACTGGTATAGAAGGAGTCGACTTTCTTTCTGACGACGAAATACCCGCGGATTTTGTGGTTTTCAACGTTCCATTCTCCAGAGCACCCACGATATCGAATTCGCTAAGGAGCCAGCAAATGCACAATTCAAAGAGGTCAAAGAGTCTGGATAGTTTGTCGAATCCGGAATCGAATCGATCTTCACTTCTCAGCGTGGCGAGTAATTTGACATCGTGCTCGGAATACTCGAATCTGTCTCTGGAAACCCAGAAGCTGACACTGACTCTAGACTCGTCCTCTGATTTGCAGGAGTCAGACAGACGCAAAGAGAGAATGATGTTCATGAAACGTCTGTCTTTGCAGCGATTTGATATCGAAAATTTCGGCGACAAAAACGCGAGCTCAGAGAAGAACAGGTTCCTCAGTCTTTCGAGACCGTCCAACTTACCACCGAAAGATCAGTACGAATCTCTGAAACATAACATGGATTTCGAGGTGGTGATGCAAAATGCCATCGAGGTGGAAAGGCACGAGGAGGCAGAGCGCAGGGTCCGTTCCCTAAAGCTCCAAAACCAGAAACGGAGGGACCTAGTTGCTTGGAGAGAGGAAGTTTTACCCAAATACCCTACCTCTCTAGAGCAATCCACCACCAGAGAGCTTTGGTGGAGGGGAATTCCTGATAGCTTGAGAACAGAAATTTGGGTGAGACAATTGGGATACAAGTATGGTGTCACAGACGACGAATTGGAGTCATTGCTTAAGACAGCAATTCAAGAGCAGGGCACCCAAAAACGGCCACAAGACGAGGTGTCTACCGTTATAATGGCATACGAGATAAAGACAGATACAGTTGCATCTAACGGCATAAAGAGATTGGCGGAAATCGTGTATTTATCAACACTTTCGAAGAAGCATGCACTGAATATTCTGATTGGTTTGACCCAGGCAAAGGCCTTCAGGGTTCTACAAAACAGCAACGAGGACGAATTCTTGGAAGCACAGTTCAAGACGTTTGGCAAGATTTTAAAAGCGAGAAACGACTCGCTTTACTCTCATCTCGAAGCAGCAGGTGCCACCATCAGTGACCTGCTTTGCGTCTTGAGTGAATCGCTTTTTGCCTCTTGCGTCGGAGAAGAGATCGCTCCTCGGATCCTTGACATATACATCTTCGAGGGAGTTCCCTTCTTGCTCCGGGCCGCTTTGGCCTTGGTGCTGCGCATTGGCCACAAACTTTACGGAAACCGGGATGAGATTCTAGAGGTCCTTGGCCAAACCAACGTTAGTGCCGAGCTCGCCGACCCGGATTCGTTCATCGAAAATATCAGAAACATTTTCAAACAACAAAGTTAAATATGACTGTCTATGCATTAGGAAAGATTAGACTTAGCAGCATCAATGCTCGCTATTACCTCTTGTACATCGGCCGCGGTCTTGATCTTCAGTATGTATGTCTGTAGTCCCTCCGGGGAGATCACAGGACATCTCAACATGGTCCCGTTTCCAAACTTGTCGTATTTAAGGTCGCGGGAAAGATTGGTGTTCAGAAGGACGTTTCCATTTCCGTCCGAACGTAGCACCAATCTAGCTTTGTTGGTCGCCTTATTCACCAGTAGCTTGAGCTCACCCAGTCCTTTTGATTCGTAGGGTGACTCCTTGTTATCAGGATGATATTGCATCAATTTTGCACGCTTGGTTATGGTACAATCTTCGTCTTCTTCGCCTGTCCTCACCTCAACCTTCTCCGAGAGTTTCACAATTCCAAAGTCGCCCTTGACATCGTTTTCCTCGGCTGCATCCTCTTCGCCAGCAGGGGCGGCTTCGCCATTCGAGCCGTTCGAGCCACTTTCGGGAGCTTTGAAGCTGAAGTTGAATGCTGGTGCACTTGCAGTAGTAGCAGAGGCGGCGTCCTTATTACCGAACGCAAACACCGGCTTAGAGTCTGAAGAGTTTGAGAATGAAAACCCGGTGCTGGTGCCAAAAAGCGGCTTTGGCTCCTGCTTCTCGCTCTGGATATTTATTTCGCCAGATGGCTTCCATGTGAAGTCAGCAGGTTTGGCATCACCATTAGTTGCTTCTGCAGTAGGAAACTTGAAGGGGCTGGCTGTCTCTTCGCTCTTGGACTCTTGGGCAGGGGCACCAAATGACAATGCAGGTTTGGCGGATGTCTCGGTAGCAGCTGGCTTTCCAAAAGAAAAAACAGGCGCAGATGCTTCGGTTTTCTCCTCGGGTGATTTGCCAAAACTGAAAGTTGGCTCTTTCTTTTCTGCCGGTTTACCAAAACTGAAGGCCGGAGCTGCGGGCTCGGTTTTTGACTCATCAGACTTACTGAAACTGAACGCCGGCGCCGTAGATTGTTTCTGCTCATCAGCCGGCTTGCCAAAGCTGAACAATGGAGCTTCGGCCTTCGTCTCGACTGGGTTTTCTGTAGTTTGTGGCTTTGCAAAGCTGAAAGCGGGAGCTGGTTTGGAGTCTGATGAAGCAGCCGGCTTATCAAAGCTGAAACCTCCAGCTTTTGTATCGACATTTGTCTCGGCAGGCTTTCCAAAACTGAAAGCCGGTGCAGGGGTGGAAGCTGGAGCCTCGGCAGGTTTGCCAAAACTAAAAACAGGTGCAGCGCTATCAGAAGAAGCACTAGCTTTGTTTGGCTCTCCTCCAGTTGGGTTTCCGAAGGTGAATGTGGGGGTTGGAGCACTTTCCTCATTCTTTGGGTCCTCTTTCTTGCCAAGAGTGAACGACGATTTTTCCGAATTAGCCTTCTTATCCAACTTGAACACACCGTTAAAATTGGAACTGGGTGCGGCGCTGAAGGTGAATTTTGGACCTTCAACCTTAACATCGTCTTCGGAATCGTCTGAAAACACGATGTCGTCATCATCATCTTGGTTTCCAAATTTCAAGCTCACAGGAGCAGCAACAGAGAAAGTTGGACCTTCCACCTTAATTTCGTCTTCAGACTCGGAGTCTGAGGCCGAATCAACCTGGATAACGTCTGAAGCTGGCTCTGCGCTTTCTTCCTTGGGTTTCGACGTCACTGCGGAAGCTGAATTGGCCAATGAAGAAATGGCACTTGGAGTGGGCAACAGATCCTTCATATATTCAATGTATTTAGTGAATATTGGACTGAAATCTGCCAGATCGTCCTTTTTCTGCGCTGCCAGAATGGCCTCCACAACCTTGTTATTCAATGCCTTAAGTTTATTGGATTTGTCAATGGTAGCATTGGCTGCTCCATTAGCAGAATTCAAGGGCGAGTTAGTAGTTAGTGGACTAGGACGTTTTGGAGTGAACGAGAAGGTAGATGGGCCCGACTGGCCAACAGAAGCAAATGGATTTGCCGCTGGTGTTGGCGCACTTGCACCAGAAGAACGGTTCAATAACGATCTTGGCTTCAGGATCCTGAATCTAATGTTAGTCGTAATATTCCACGCTGGCTGAGTTTCAGTTCACTTACTTCCTTCCCTTGAGCACCTCACTAGAAGCGACCTTTGGGCCAGTGGCCTCCTCGTCGCTGACATTTTCGTCACTTGAGAACTCTTCCCGTTCGTGGGCTTCCCTTGTTGCCTGGGTCTTCACACGTTTCGCCATGATTGGGGTACGACGTGAGAACAAAGTGGTGTCGTTGTTAGCTAAATAAGGACATCGTAGTACGGGTATGTATGTTTACATTGTTCAAGCCATCCGAAATTGGATCTACGCACTACCAAAATATATTCGTGCATAAACCAACACCTAAAATTATGCCACGTGACTTAATATAGGGCTGGAGACCCGCCATCTCTGAGAAGCCAGGGCCCTGGGGCGCTTCCAGTTTTCTTCATCACCATCCTTTTCGTACTGGTGATAATACCTAAAACAGCACACAGGTTTCGTTGAACATTAAAGTAAGTGATGCTATTAAGTTTGTCCAGAGATGAAGTGCCATGCGTTGTCGAGATTTTGATATTATGAACAGGAGGTTGTGACTATTAGGGAAGCTTCAGACTGAACTATAGAGGGAACTATGGTAGAGGCTATAAAGAACGCTATAGAACTGCCTTCACATCATTTACATCATACCACCACTATTATCGCAATATATCACTGGGTCTAAGAGTATCTGCCACGCTGATGCCATAAAAGTGAGCTCGCTCCTAGGGCTTGTGTATATTCCATTGTCATGACTTAGCATGAGAAAGACACGAGACCACACCATCAAATCAAGATCCCTAGACCGGCTACACTTGAATAAACAGACAAACGCATAGAGCTGTCTTCTGGATCATAAGCTTCTTTCTCCCTAGCGCATAGTGAGAACCTTCCTTTGGGCAAACTACTTTTTTTTCCTCAACCTCACAATACTAACTCACCTTCTAGAATGCCACCAAAGATCCAACAATCCAAGGCTGCCAAGGCCGCCGCCGCCATGGCCGGTGGAAAGAAGTCCAAGAAGAAGTGGTCCAAGGGAAAGAACGCCAAGGACAAGGCCCAACACGCCGTTATCCTTGACCAGGAGAAGTACGACAGAATCATGAAGGATGTTCCAACCTTCAGATACGTCTCTGTGTCCGTCTTGGTTGACAGACTTAAGATTGGTGGCTCCATGGCCCGTGTTGCTCTTAGACAGTTGGAGCGCGAGGGAATCATCAAGCCAGTTTTGAACCACTCCAAGCAACAGATCTACACCCGTGCTTCTGCCTCTGAGTAATTATGAATTTTGGTTATATAATCTCAGAAAAGAAACATAAGTCAAAATAATGAACTGAAGTACAAGTATTGAGTGTTCGGTGAGAGGAGGGATGATGTACTGAACTACTGATCGTAGACCATGGTTGTGCTAAACAGTTGGAAAGCTGGACTATTGAATTAATAAATTGTTCAGCTGTTCAGCTGTTCAACATCTATGTCATCAAACTTTAAGATAATCCATCCACCAGTTTACGGCCACTTGAAGCGTGGTCGGGAGCTTGCACTGAAAAACTCAATTCCCTCCAAGGTAGTGTACGCGTCGGGACTATAAAGGCCTCTCCCAGCCAAAAGACTCTTCGTCCCAGAGAATTTTCTTCTTCTCCGTCAAAACTATCCAAATGGTTGGTTTCTAACCAGTTTAGCCAGTGAGGTATGTGATCTTGTTCTGATCTTGTTGTCTAATCCTTATTATCGTTTCCCAACCATCATGAAGCCCTATGTTTGTATGATTAAAGCCATTGATGTAAACTTTTCACTGAGAGTGTATATGCAGGACAAAAACAAAATTAGGAATTCTTCGTTTATGATCCTAGAACTCTGGCCCGGATGACGTTGGTGAAGATAATGTGTTTGCAGAGATGAAGCCGAACAATTGAAACTAACTTTGCCGAACTGAAGTATATCCAATGGAAATAGGATACCGACTGTTGTTCAGCCAGCAGATGCTTCCAATGATGATAATTTCACAACCTAATTCAGGTGACCACGATGATCCAGAATTAAACATGCATCACCAACTGAGTTTACAGGATCTTGCTGGTTGACAAAACGAGGTGTTGAAGTTTTAACTTTCAAGACATCGACTAACATTACAAAGGTATGTATGTACAGTTGCATTGCTATTATACATTCCTGGACTCCTCTTATGATGATACACTTACTTTTCAGTTCTGCTTCTGAACCAAAAATTCATGAAGATAACCCTTTACCAAAGCTCAAATATCTGATTTACATTGCGAGATCTGGACTGGTTCATGGCAAGACCACAGTATTTTGATAACGTACTAACTCGTTAGATTACATAGACTCTTAATGACATTCACTTGATTGGGTTCTCGTAGTTCAAGAGCACTCTTACGAGTACTCACTCTGTAAAGTTTTCTGATCCGAGTTCAAAATAACCTTGATCTTCTGCCATTGTGATCTGATTCTGTCGTTCTTGGACTTGGAAAGCGGACCATCAAGCTTGACCAGGACGTTGTACAGCAACTTCCTGGTGCTTTCGTTATGAAGTAGTCTCAACCAGTAGAACAGACCAAACATGACAAGTGCATATCCAGAAGTACCTCTGAGCAAAATCGTGTCGAAAATCAACAGCACGAATAGGAACAATTCGTTATACACAATCACCACCTTAAACACCTTATCCAACTTAAGCACGGGCTTGATGTTGAAGTGCAACGAGAGTTGCAGGACAGAAATCAAGAAATAAGGCAAAAGCTTGAAAAGAGAGTTGCGGTTAAATTGCCAAATAAACGAGAGCGATAAATATTGGAAGTTTTGGGTCGATAGCAGTGCAAAGTAGGAAGGCATTGCTCTCTGGGAAAACTGTGTTGCGATGGTCATGGAGTAGGCTGCCCAAACGCCGAATAGCGCAAACCGATAGCACAATCTTGGAAACAGATAATGAGACTTGAATTGGATGTAGTACGCAAAGTAGATCAAGGAAAGAGGCACCGTGACAACGTGGCCCGCGAGCCAGATGTACTTCTTGATGGGCTTTGCGGCCACGGTCTTGAGCCTAAGCTTCTTTTTGGGCTCCGTCTGGGCAACTGGAGTCGGAACAGGTTTCTCAACTTCGGACATGTTCGGTCAGTTAGAATTGAGTCTCGCTGATATCTTCAAGACAACGGTGAACAGAAAGATGACGCTCTTTGGTCCTTCAGCTTAGTATGCTGTAACTGAAATTCATGCCTTTGGAGCCGAGTCTTGTTGGCACACGACTTTGTTTTGGCTGGTTTGTGGGGCTGAAAAATTGTGTGAGGCCGGATTGGGCTATTTCGTAGGACAGTATGAACAGGATAGTTAAATGTAGACGACAAAAGTTATACGCTCAGTTGGAAACTGTCCTCGTTCAAATACTCAGCGAATGGCTTGAGCGCATTGGCAACGGTGACGGTGACGAACTTCTCGGTCTGCTGTGGTGCTCTGCCAACGAAGGTGGATGGGTCCAGCAGAGTATCCAAGTCTCCCCAGATTGGCTTGAAATATTCTGTGTTCTTGACCCTTTCGATGAGGTCGTTGTCCCTGCCGTGCTCCTTGACCTGGGCGGCAGCCTGGTGCGAGAGAACGCGAATTTCTTCGTGACAGTCCTGTCTGGAACCTCCCTTCTCGACCATGGCCATAATGATGTTTTCAGTAGCCATGAAGGGAAGCTCGGCTTGGATCCTCCTCTCGATGACCTTAGGGTAAACCACAAGGCCGGAGGTGATGTTCAACAAAGTGGAAAGAACAATGTCTGCGGTGAGGAATGCCGATGGAATGGAGATTCTTCTGATGGCAGAATCGTCCAAAGTACGCTCAAACCATTGAACGGCAGACGTCTGAAACACGTCTTGGTAAAGCGAACCAAGATGTCTCGACAGAGAGCACACACGCTCGCACCTCATAGGGTTACGCTTGTAGGCCATAGCACTCGAACCGATCTGGGATTTTTCAAAGGGCTCCTCCATCTCCTTGAGGTTTGCAAGAAGTCTGATATCAGTGCACATCTTGTGAGCAGTGGCTCCCAGAGAAGAGAGCGGAGCAAGGGCATCGATGTCGATCTTACGCGAGTAGGTCTGACCAGTACATGGGTACGCGTACCCAAAACCAAGCAGCTCAACGACGCGTTCGTCCAACTCCTCGACCTTGTCATGATTCCCGTGAAACAATGACAAAAACGAGCCCTGGGTACCGGTGGTTCCCTTGACTCCACGGAGGCCAAGATCGTTTCTGGCCCTCTCCATGTTACGCAGATCCCACAACAACTCCTGGAGCCACAAAGTGGCTCTCTTTCCCACAGTGGTGAGCTGTGCTGGTTGGAAATGTGTCCAGCCCAGAACTGGCATGTCATTGTACTCTAGGGCAAACTTGCCCAACCTGTTGATCACGTTCACCAGCTTGGGGATGATAACGTCGTACGCATCTCTGAGGAAGATCAAATCAGCGTTGTCAGTCACAAAGCACGAGGTGGCTCCCAGATGGATAATTCCAGCGGCAGCAGGGCAAGTTTTGCCAAAGGTGTGGACATGGGCCATGACATCGTGTCTGACGATAGCCTCTTCGATCTTAGCATCTTCAATTTCGTCATCTGAGATCTCGACATGGGCACGCATCTGCTCAATGGCCTCATCGGTGATGATATCAAGTCCAAGCTCCTTCTCGGCAATGGCAAGGTTGAGCCACAGCTTTCTCCAGGTAGAGAATCTGTTCCTCAGCGAGAAGATCTTGGACATCTCGTCAGAGGCGTATCTCTCGGAAAGAGGGGTGGAATATTTGTCGTATTTGGACATTTTCGGCAAGTTTGTTGCTAAAACTTTGGTGAAACTGAATTTGAGGCCAATTCAAACGAAGATGGAGGAAGAATGTGGACACTAAAGGTGAAAAATTCTTATCAGTGACATCGCTAGAACAGCTGTATTTTTTTGACTCCGTTGCCGTCAATTTATCTGGAGTATCGTGCGGCCCTCAATTTAATAAAGTAGTGCACAGGCAAAGTTGAAATTTAATAGGATTGGTTCACACACATACATCCAACCCCTTCTTGAGGTTTCGGGCCGATCAGGAGTGGTAACCTGTCTTTTCCCAACAGCATCCTTCTCAAGTTATATTACAGATATTAGTAGAGTCCGACCTCCTATGTCTCCAGTTCAGTACAATTTGATCACAGCGCCGATCTATGATCACTTCTTCACGCAGAATGGCAAGCTGCTAGCCATCACCAACGGGAACAACGTGGAACTATACGATGTCTCTGGTCCAAAGCCCAAAAAGTTGACCGTTTTGCAACACCATGACAAACCAATTACAGCGATTGACATTTCTGCAGACGGCAAAATTGTCACGTGTTCGCAAGACCGTAATGCGCTCGTCTGGGAACCTCTTCCCTCCGGTGAGTACAAGCCTACTCTTGTCTTGCTGAGAATCAATCGTGCTGCTACTTGTGTCAAATGGTCTCCAAATGGTCTCAAATTTGCAGTGGGCTCTGGAGCACGTGCAATTGCCATTTGCTACTTCGAGGAGGAAAATGACTGGTGGATTTCGAAACACATCAAGAAACCCATCAGGTCCACCATTCTGTCTGTTGATTGGCACCCAAACTCGGTACTTCTTGCTGCCGGGTCTGCTGACGGCCATGTTCGTGTCTTTTCGACCTTTGTGAAGTCTGTTGATGCCAAGCCTGCTCCTTCTGTCTGGGGAGAGAGATTGCCCTTCCAGACCTTGTGTGGAGACTATCTCACTGCTTCTGGTGGTTCATGGATCCACGATGTAGCGTTCTCTCCAAGTGGTGATTCCGTGGCTTTTGTAGGCCATGATTCCACCTTTGGAGTCGTTTCACCAAGTGATGATCCCCAGGTTCCAGGCGAGTTTTCATCTGTCCCCACAAACTTTTTGCCATTCAAGTCCATTCTGTTCGCCAACGAGCATAAAGTCATTGCTGCTGGCCACGACTGTCACCCAGTCGTTTTTGAACAAACTGGCTCAGGTTGGGCTCAAACTGCAGCAATTGATGACCCCAAGACAGCCAAACGTAACGAGGTTCACCAACAATCCGCGTTGAACATGTTTCGCCAAATGGACCTCAAGGGTGGCTCGCCTGCTGAGGGCTCATCATCCACTCTTCTGACCATTCATCAGAACACCATCAACAAGCTGAGACCTTACGCTGGAACTGGTAACGTTACCCGGTTCAGTTCATCCGGAAACGACGGAAAGGTGGTGATTTTCGATGTTTGAAAACAAAACCAGTACATTAGATTACATACGCCTAAAAAAAAGAGCACCCAAATGAACGTTTCATGCCAGTCTCGCGATATCCTCGGGACGATAAAAGTTCGAAAACACAGAAGACCGCACCAATGTGTAGACCAGACTGAGCTTGTTTTCCAGCGTAGCTAAATCCTCGGACATTTCACCCATTTCGCCAGAGTTGATTGCGCGTAGCTGTGACGCGATCTCAGCGGTGGTGGCAGCCAATCGCTGGTACTCGTTAATAATCGCGGATTCCAGATTCACAATCTCAGCCTCAGACATGTTGTAAACAGGGACAAAACCAAGCGATCACACGAGAAAATCAGATAAATATACTCTGCAAAAGCTGTGTAAACCAGATCCGAAACCTGCAAACGCGAAAGACAAACCAGGCCAGGCAATGAACTGTCGTGCACCAACAACAATGATAGTCGTCCCCCAACCAGTGCGGCCATAACGGTCTCGAACGTCGATCCCAGGATTCCTCGAGACCCAATAATAATGGCGCGTTTTCGTCGGAATATGCTCAGATCTGCTCGGATCCCCAAAATTTCCTTCTCGCGCGCCGTAGTAAAGGCATAGATACGGGGCGTTGCGTGGACTGAGGCGTGCAGCATGGATCGCTTCACAATGAGACAATCCTGCGTCGATGACGTCGTCACGTCGCACACTTGGGGAATGCTTAGGGGCGTGAAACTATCCTGATGCTGTCGGATAATTGGACGCAGATATTATTGGCATTATCCAACTTCTGTCCTTTTATATAAAGGTAAAATACCAAATTCCAGGATATAAACTGTCGGAGTGTGGTTAGGCGTTTTATCCGGAAAGGGGAAACTGAAAAATTTCAAAGCCCTCTTCCATAAATAGAATCCGCACGCAGAGGCCAAAGCCTTTTTTCTCTAACTTTGGTCTTGAGTTTTCTTGACATTCTGGAACCTCGATCTGATCCCGAGCACCTCACTGATCTGAGACAAAACTGAACGTCTGTTTTCTGATTTTCTGGGCTTTTGTCGATTTAGTTTGAGCTCGTTCTCCGTTCTCTGTTCTCTACTGCTATAGCATAGAACTATGACTAAGATGGCTATCTCTGGATCAGCCAAGTTCTTCACCCTGGCATTGGTTCTGATCTCGCTGGTGTTAATGGGCATAACCTTGGTGTCTGAGCCGTTCTTTGGTATTTCACCGACTCTGGCCGACAATGAGGTGGAGTTCAATACCCAGACGTCTACTCATACGGTTTATGTGCACCAGACGGGTGTTCCACAAAATCCACAGGATGTGATGATGTGGACTGGCAAAAAGGAAGAGGGGAACCAAGTTCAAAAAGGAAATCAAGTGTATCAAGCGCATGGAGAATCTGAAGAGCATCAAGATCATCAAGAGCATCAAGTAAGACAACCTGAACCAACTCCGGTGCAATACTACAAGAGAGATGATAACACACTGACAAACTCGAGTATTTCGTCTTTCCAATCTCCAAGTGGTTTTATTCCTAGTACATCGTTTAGCTCAGTGTCTACCAGTTCTCGTTCGAGTTCTAGCTCAAGCTCCAGTTCTAGTTCGAGTTCTAGCTCAAGCTCCAGTTCTAGTTCTAGTTCTAGCTCCAGCTCCAGCTCGAGTTCTAGCTCCAGCTCTAGTTCTAGTTCTAGTTCCAGTTCATCCTCTAGTTCTACTTCCAGCTCTAGTACCAGCTCAAGCTCAAGCTCGAGTTCTAGTTCTTTCTCCACTTCCACTCCAGAAACCACCGATGCTGCGACTTCGTCACAAGCTCCATCTTCGTCCTCGTCCTCGTCCTCGTCCTCCAAGACAGCAGCGCCTTCATCTTCAATAACTAACAACACCAAAAGTTCAAGCTCGGGTCTTTCCTCTGAGAACAAAAAAGTGGTGATCGGTGTGGTTGTGGGCGTTGGTGTTCCGCTACTGGCGCTGCTGGGATTTCTTGGGTACAGGCTGATGCGTGGAAGATCCGGGTTGCTTTCTTCGTCAGCAGGATCTGACTCATCTCATGGAAAAGAGCACTCACGTAAGACGTATGTGAACTCAAACGGTGACGTTATCACAGACGATAGTGCGGGATTGTTCTCCAAGCTCAAGTTCTGGAATAGGTCTACTGCTGGGGACTTTCATGAAGATGGAATTGATGAGCTTCCCGCCTCTGATGCCCAGCTTGATCAGTTTTCGAATACTCCTAACACACGGCCGAACAATCCGGCACTGAATTTTTGAAAAAAAAAGTTTGTGTGGTTTCAGTTTGATGGTACTTTCAGCCATGAGGGCTTGCTCCATACAGAGTTTCCGAAGGCCTTCGAGGACTCAACAATCCTCTTCTTCAAAAATCCTCCGAGGAATCAGAAGTGCTAGGAGTTATTAACACTTTCAGCCATTTCAATTTTCTTCAGGGTTTGAAGTAGGACCTGGAAACCAATCCATCCATCTCATCATCCTCACTACTATCCGCCTCGCTTCAGGCTCACTGCATCTACACCTTATTTAATAACCATTTTTAGTCACATACTTTTATAAAGATACCCATATCATGAATTAGTAGCCAGATTCCGCGATGATCTTTCCAGCCTGGGCCCAGTTGAGCGTCTCCAGCGATGCAACCACAATGGCAATGGTGGTAGGCAGAGTCAACACGACGTAGCCCCAGAACAGAACACCCGCCATCTCGCGCTCAAATATCTCGTTGAGTTGGCAGATTTGTGACAGTTGAATTGCAGGAGGAGACACTGTGAGAATGAATGAGACGATCAAAAAGATCGGATCGCTCAGAATGGAAAGAGATATGTACTTCGTACAGAGCCCAATCAAAGGAAGAAGTATCAGAGATGGAAGGACCATCCGTGATACAAGGGACCCAATGATTATTCTGGCGTAATGCGCACTTGGTGGGGGGATTTCTGAGGACGGAGCCAGATTGGCGCCCAGAACCACTAGGATCAGCGGGATCGAGACAGACCCCAGCTGCTTGATCGCAAGAGCGAGAGTGTTCTGAATGAATCCATTGCATTCGAAGAACTCATAGCGGATTGCAGGAACCGAGGCAATGAACACAGACAGAAACATGGACCACAACGGAGGGTTCATCCAGGCAAGGAATCCTCTAAAAATCTGCACCAATCGCGAACGGAATGTGTTCTCGGGCTGTGCAAACTCGGAGAGTGAGCGCGAGGTAAGCTTCAAGAGGGAATCACTTGAATCCGACAACGGCGTTCTTAGTTGGGCCTCTTCGTCTTCGCGAGCGCCATAAGACGCTGTATCGGAATTTGGCACAAGTAGATCCGATTCCGAAGACTGATCGCTGTTAACCACAGCCTTCGGCACCTGCCTCTTCAGCAATGAGTTATAACCCCAGGACCACCTCAAAACCTGGCCAAGTTGCTGGAAGATAAGCAGATACAATATACCACGAGAGGCAATGGCATCGCGTGTATCGCCCTCAATGGCCTTCCATTTGAGCCCTGGTAGAGTATAGGAAAGAGATAAGGTCAGGGAGACTGGCAACGAGTTTGAATTGCCAAAAACCGCCATTGCTGTCACAAAGTTGGACTCTGGAACATCCAACCTCAACACTCTGGCTGCCGCCTTGGACGAGAGGAACGACACTCCCGTAGTGACCAAGAAAAAGATCGGAATCACAATCACATCAATAAGCTTTTGTAAACTAAGCGAAGACGCCAGTTTCGTGAAGATAAGGGCTGGTGTGAACAAGTCAACGTTCAGTCGCGAGAGCGTTTTCATTCCTGCTCCGTTGAGCAAGCCGGTTCTGGCCGCCCAAAATCCAGCAAGACAGATTATCACCACCTGGACAACCGCCTGAAATGTTAGAAATGTGATGTGTGTATACGACACGCCATGAGCCTGAGCTGAGAGCATTTGCTTGTAGAATATGAGTATTTGGCTTTGTTTAAAGGCGATGTGGGCTGATCAGAGGTCTTGTTGTTCTGGTAGTACGTTTCTTCCTAGAAAACGTGGATTGAAAAGAAGCGACGAGAAAATGCAAAATTGGAGCCTCTGAGTACACCTGTGGCAACCTTAACAGAGTCTAAAAGGCAGCTATATAGCAGGTTTGGCCACCTCGGTACTAGCAACGGTCATCACAGACGCGAATTCCAGTGGCTGCTCCGAGCTCACAGCCTCTTTTTCGTGCAGCACACAACTTTCCCCGCTGATAAGATAAGGAATTTCGAGGCAAACTAGATCTGAGAATACAGATCGGAATATTGAGACTTTTATGGTAGCCAAATCTACACAAACAGCTGAGTCGAGGCAAGGTGAGATTGTTTGATCAGATTACTATTTTTCGAAGTTATAGCGAGCCAAAGTAACTAATTAATGGACGTTAGGGAAATATGTGGTTCCATGGTTTCTTCAATCTTCTCTACTGCTGAAATTTCTTGTGCTGGTTTGAATCAAATGCTAAATATCCTGCTTCAACGCTTCTTGTGTTTCTTCGCAATACGTCTGAGCGCTCTTTGTTCGTTCTTGAGAGTACCATCCACCATCTTGTACTTACCCTTGATGCCCTTAGGTCTTCCACTTACACCCTTGTTGGAGCCCTTGGCAAACACAAGAGTCACCTGTGGTTTGGTCTTCTGTTTGCGGGTCATCTTCTTCATAATCTTGGAGATTTCATCGGCCTTGTCTCTTTCGGACTTGGCGTCATCGTCGTTAATCATGTCCGACTTCTTCTTGAGCTTCTCTATGCGGCGCATGGCACGCATCTTCTTACGACCTTGTGCCTCCAACACCTTCTTGATAGGTCTAGCATTAAGTTGTCTCAGCTTCTCTTTCATAGCCAATGAAGCTTCCTTGGTGATTGGTTTGGTGATCTTACTGTGCTGGTTCTCGTCGTCCAAGAACCACTCGGGCAGACCTTCCTTGTCACGGAAGGAGTATCTGTTGAAACCTTCGTCCATAAGATCGTGTTTAGTCTTGCGACCAAGAGCGAGCTGGTGAGCCAGAGTCATTGCCTCAACTGTGGCAATATCCACATCATTTTTGTGCGACTTGCGAGAAGCGGACTCGTCATCCGAATCAAAATCGGAGTCTGACTCAGGTTGTTCCTCTGCAGGCACAATCTCAAAGTCTTCCTCCTCTTCCTCCTCACTCGAGTCCGAGTCAACGTCCATCTCGTTATCTGCTTCAGCCAATGCAGGCACTTCTTCTGGATCATTCGATCCAACTGAAGAAGCTGTAGTTGAGTCGTCAACACCCTCAAACAGATCATCGTTGAAGAACATGGCCGCCTTTCGACTAAGTCCATCACCTGCCTTTTCACGCACTTTCGCAATAAGCTTACTGACAGAAGCATCACCCTCCGCATCGCTTATATCGCTGTCATCTTCTTCAAACTGCTCACCATCAGAAGAACTCTCGTCCTTCTCATCCTTGATTCCATCCCAGGCCTCATCGTCGGATCCACGAGCACGTTTGGCCGCTAATCTTGACTCTCTTTCCTCACGACGTTCTTGGTATTGGTTGTACATCTGGTCTAGTTGCTCTTCAAGTCCATCGACCTCTTCATCCGTGTTTGCTTCTTCCTGGTCGTACACTATATCAACATCACGAATCATGTCCTCTCCAGAAAACACGATCGACTTCTTACCACGAGCCAAAGCGTCCAGCTGGCCCGTCTTCTCTGCAGTTTTGAGGTTGAACAAACTCTCGGATCCAATCTGTGCGGCATCCAAACCAATCTGCATATCGGTCAACATGTTCATCTGCATTCTCTGGATTTCCTTGGTCTTCATCTCGTTGTTTCTGCGCTTTTCACGTTTGTTCTTGAGTCTTTGTCTGTCGGCAAGTGCATCCAGCTCCTGATCAATCTTCTGGTCTTCAGTGAGCTCTTCCACTTCAACAGTGGGCTTTTCCATGTCCTTCGGATCAATTATTCCTAGGGTCTCACGGGCATGCACTCTCCAGCGAATCAGCATACGGAAATCCTTCTTACCAAGAACCTTCAAGTCTCTGATACATTCTTTGAATTCTGTAGTTGTCTGCTTCATCTTCTTCAATATTTTCCACTCGGGATCGGTGGAATCCACCGTGAACTGGTTGAGACCACCAAGAGTATTGATCACCTCGGCGTCCATCTTCACCCATTCAAGCAGAGGCATGGTGTGGAAAAGAGTGTAGTCATCTTCATCATAACCCGTTCTGCTTCTCTTCTTCTTCTCGGGGTTGAAAACTTTGGCCTCGTTGTTCACGGGCCCATCGGGAAGTTCCTCAAACACCTCACGGGCATCCAGCAAACGAGGATCCATCTTCTTAGGAGCCTTGAACCCACGGCACACCACGAAAATCTCAGCAGAGACATTACGCGAGGCTGGTGGTTTGGTTGCCTCAACTTTGTCGAAAAGCTGCTTGAAAACCCACATAAGATTGTTGTAATCTCTCGAGCGGAACACCTTGGTGATGAAGGTACCTCCAGCAGCAAGGTTATCCACCGCCAACTTCAGCGCCTCCAGCGTAAGATGCGACTGCGTAAAAGCATCTTGCACCCATCCCATACCAACATTGGGAGCACCGTCATGGAGCACAGTATCGGCTTTCCACGTCTTCATGTGACCTCTAAGTCTGGAGCGACAGTCTTCAGTGGTGATATCAGACTGGAACGTTATACAGTTCGGTAGTGGCTTGATCGGCACGATATCAACACCAATGATCAGCGAATTGACAGGGCATAGTTGCGATGCCACCTGACACCAAGAACCAGGCGCAGCACAAAGATCAATCACCACCTTGGACTTCTCCAAGAAATGACCATACTTCTCGTTGATCTGCAGGATCTTGAAAGAGGAACGGGCACGGTAGCCCTTCTCCTTGGCAAGGTAGTAGTACTTGTCCAAACGACCCTTGGAGTTCTTCTTCTGAATTTTTCCCATTGTGAAGAGAGGACAGTATATGGATTGGTAAGGAGATGTCTTGTTCTTCGTCTGTAAGGGCTCTGTAAGAGTAGAGAAAATTTAAATTTTTTTAGACTTTGGGTTTACACACTACCTCCGGTGTCGACTGCCCCCCTTTTTTATAGTCGTTCGATAATTAATAATACCCTGCAACGCCACGACCCACTATCGCCGTTCGCTTTCTTCCAAGTACGTATCGCTTTCTTCGACAATATTTTGTTTTCCAAAACGCTGATCCCAGATTACAACGACTGCTATGGCTTCCAAAGAAACCTCATGTGGTGTTAGAACCACCAATGTAAGTGCTAATTGAGCATTTTGCACTATTTTAGAGTTGGCAAATATCACTGATATTAACCCCCTGTGTAGTATCCGGCGATCCACAATGCGACTCTTCCGGCAGATGGTCCAGGTAACAAACAATTCAACAACTGGATCATGATCTCGTTGATGCTCGCAGTTCCTGCTTATGCTACCCATAGACTTGGTCTTGGCTTAAAAACTTTTGTGTTCCTGTTCCTGCTTTTCGTGCTGCCCATCCTGCTCGCGTGGTGGACTGTCTTGTCGACTTACTCGCCAAGACTCAATGAGAAGGTCAAGTTCCCCAACAGAGGAGTGGAGTACTATTTGGAGTTCCACGATGAGGAATTGGCCAAGAAATATTCTGGCCAGAACAAGATTCCAATGGAGACCTTCCACAACCTTTACTTCGACGGAAAGGTCGATTTCAAGGGTGATGTTTTGGACGTCATGGAGTACAGACACGATTGGGCAACTTTCAGGTTCACTGCCAGTCTGTTCAAGTTTTTCCTGTTTGGTTTCATCCCAGAGGTGTTGTTGCACTCCCGGTCCCAAGATGAAGAGCAAGTCAGAGACCACTACGACCGTGGTGACGACTTCTACGGCTGGTTCCTCGGCGAACGTATGATCTATACCTCTGGTTTGATTTCCGACAAGAACAAGGCTGAGAGTCTTGAGCAGTTGCAAGACAACAAGCTCAAGGTTGTGTGCGAGAAGATCGGCCTCAAGAAGGGTGATTACCTGCTTGATCTTGGCTGTGGTTGGGGAACTCTTGCTGCCTTTGCTTCTTCCCAGTACGGTGCCAACGTGACCGGTGTCACTTTGGGAAAGAACCAGACAAAATGGGGTAATGACCAGATTGCCAAGTACGGCGTCTCCTCGGACCAGTCTCGTATTGTTTGCTGCGACTACCGTGACACTCCTCTGCCTCCTCTGTCTCCCGACGGCACCCAGAAGAAGTACGACAAGATCACTTGTCTCGAGATGGCCGAGCACGTCGGAGTCAGAAAGTTTTCCGGTTTCTTGAGCCAGGTATACGACATGCTCGACGATGACGGAGTTTTCTTTCTTCAATATGCGGGTCTCCGCAAGTACTGGCAATACGAGGATTTCATCTGGGGACTGTTCATGAACAAGTACATCTTCCCTGGTGCTGATGCCTCTACTCCTCTTGGATTTGTCACTGACTCTTTGGAAGGTGCTGGCTTTGAGGTCGTTGCCATTGACAACATCGGTGTCCACTACTCCGCAACTTTGTGGAAGTGGTACCTCAACTGGGTCTCCAACAAGGATTCTGTCATTAACAAGTACGGTGCCAGATGGTTCCGTATCTGGATCTACTTCCTTGCCTACTCCACTATTATTTCCAGACAAGGTTCTGCTACCTGTTTCCAGATCACGCTCAGAAAGAACATCAACTCCTACCACAGACTTGAGGATCTCGATCGCCAGGAGGGTATCTTGGGTCCTATGTCCAGATTTGTCAAGTGGGCCAAATAAGAGTCTGAATCTGCAACTCCCGCGTCTCTGGCAAGACGCAGGCATTTGAAAATACTTATTGACTTTTCTAGTTTACATGGCATTGCAGGATTGAATGGGTTTATGTTGAAAAATCAATCAACAGGTTGGTATAGTCGCAAGATCAATGACTGGTTGACGGCTAAAACATTCGGCTAGTCAATTTAGTTGTATACCAGCATACCTCTATAGTTACCATATATATATATATAAACATGTATATGTAAACTTGACTTTGATCTGCTATATACATGTAATTACATATATATATATAAATACATTTTTTTGTCTGTCATTCATATCGATATATATGCTATTATATCGTTACCCTCACGTCGACAACTCATACAGTCTGCATACATCCTTATTGTTATCTCAATGGTGGACCTAATCTCTCCATTGACTGTACCCAAAACATGTGACCATACAATACGTATTACTGCTCCACATTCACAAACAAAGCAGTTTATTGAGGTCTCAATAAACCTGTCTTTTTCTCAAGGCCACATCTATCACCTACTTCATTATCTTCATCCTTATCTTAGCCTAGATAAGGCTCGGATGATGTAATATATGTTGTTGCACGACCCTCCTACACTGTTTTCGCCATTTGTGGTAAACATTTAACCGACTATTGTTCTCTTCGAGCAAGACAAAATTTTGCTTAAATTGCTTGGCATATATTACCAGAAACTCCACAAGTTCAGAGTTTCGGGTCTACCACTTTCTGCGAAACCTGAGCCACCGTTTGTGTGTGCGGAGATCCACAAGTGTCTCAAATCAGCAATTTGCTAGTCGTCTGGACAAATGGCCCCACAAGAGGATACGCCCAACCAGCGGCAAAGGCCGCAGCCTGTGACCAATAATCCCAGCACCTTGGTACAGGTACAACCCCCGTCTCCACAGCTTCCTCGGCTTCAGTCGCGTATGTCCACCGCCACCATATTGAGTGGGACTCATCAGCCACATGACCACACCGTGATCCACGCACCCTCCAGGGGTTTGTTGAATGCCGCATTCAGCCAGTCCATTAGATCCCCAATTATACCCAAAACACCGGCAACTTCGAACTTGAATGTTGATTCTTACTTTGGCTACGGTGCCACGACTGAACCGCATGTTTCGATAGTAGCTCAGCCAAATAGAGACCTGTCACCTTCGAGACCATCGCTTAGAGCGTCCAGAAGCAATGGACTGTTTCAGCTGGTATCTCGTAGTCAACTTTCCTCAGATCAGCAGAGTCTTGCATCCACAATTGGCCTTGGTCTGGGTGCTAGTGTCGCGGCACCAGTCGCTGCACCACTTGGGACGAGGCCCCAACGGAACTTCTATGACGATTTCACCACCATTGATTGGGTTGACGACTCTATCAAACAATCGGAGCGAGAGTCTTTTTTGAAAACAATGTCGACGAAGTCGTTCAGGTTCCGAATCAAGTCTGCTCTTGAGCATGCCGAAGAATGGATACTGATCGTATTGGTTTCTTTCCTTGGAGCAATTCTCGCGTTTTGCATTGATACCACTGAGAGCACTCTGATCGATTTCAAAAGAGGCTACTGTACAGAAAAATGGCTCTATGGTGAGAAAGCGTGCTGCTCAGGAATTGTTTCCAGTGACATCGGTGGGGCACCTCTTTCGTGCTCCAAGTTCCGCAGATGGTCCGAACTGTTTGGCGAAGAGGCAGGTTCGTCGCAGGCGTGGTTTTCGTTTGGAATATACACTGCTCTGTCCCTGATTCTAGCGTATTTTGCTGTGGTTATAACTCTTACAACGAAGTCCCACAACCCACTGGTGCAGACTTCAGACCAAAAGGTCAGTGGTACCTCAAAGGATGAGAAAACCAGGACCCAGGACTCCAAGGTTTTCTACACAGCATATGGCTCTGGTGTTCCTGAAGTAAAGACAATTCTCTCTGGTTTTGTGATCAGAAAATTCCTTGGAACCCACACTTTGGTGTGCAAATCGGGGGCCCTCATCCTGGCAATAGCCTCTGGCCTATGCGTTGGTAAAGAAGGGCCGTACGTTCATCTTGCTACGTGTATAGGCAATATTTGCTGCCGTCTCTTCAACCGTATCAACGACAATGATCTCCTCAAAAGACAGGTACTTGCCGCTTCAGCGGCAGCAGGTGTGGCCCTTGCCTTCGGAAGTCCTTTAGGTGCCGTACTTTTTGTCATTGAGGAGGTGAGCTACTATTTGCCTACGCATCAGCTGCTTCATATCTTCTTTTGTGCGATCATGAGCATTCTGTTCCTCAAGTTTTTGGATCCCTATAAAACTGGCAAGCCGGTGCTTTTTGAACTCAGTTACGAGTCTGATTGGCTTCCCTTGGAACTTGCCTTTTTCATCTTTATTGGGATTGCAGGAGGAATCTTTGGGGCTTTCTTCTGTAAGTTTACACAGTTTTGGGGCTCGTGGTTCAGGACCAAAAAGTTCATCAAGAACCAGCCAATAAAGGAGGTGTTACTCATAACCCTTCTTACAGCCAGTGTCACTTATTTCAACAAATACACGCGAAGCCCGGTTCCCGAGTTGCTTTTGCAGCTTTCAACCTCTTGCACGAAGAAGAACAACTGTCATCTGCTTAGCCTGGATGGGCCCAAGTGGTTCATAAGTTTTGCTGCTGTTGAGGAGGACATATACAGTTTGGCGTATGCCTTGGTGATCAAGGTGGTCCTCACGAGTCTGACATTTGGATTGAAGATTCCCATTGGTGTGTATGTTCCTTCCATGGCCATTGGTGCCCTATTTGGCAGACTTTTTGCAACAATTCTTCAGTATATCTGTCTCACCAATCCCTATGTGGCTTCTTTCTTCGATAGGGGTATTGCTGGTGATGCTGTTCCCGTCGTGGATCTTGGAATTTATGCAATGATAGGCGCTGGTGCTTTCATGGCTGGTGTGACTAGAATGAATGTGACTCTAGCCACCATTTTGTTTGAGCTCACGTCTTCCTACACCTACGTTCTGCCTATCTCCATCTCGATTGCTGCTGCCAACTGGATAGCGTATATCATTGAGCCCAGGTCATTGTATGAGGTCCTTATCTGGAACAATGATTTCCCTTTTCTGGATAACAGAAGAGTGCCAACTTTTGAGGATCCTCAGACACTTGAACAAGTCCTGGACCTATCCGGAGAGTTCATTCAGGACTCCATTGTACATGTTGAAATGTCACCTTTCATCACTGCTTCAAGCTTGAGAGCTCTTCTCAACAAACTTCAGCAGAACTCTTTGCTTGATGGCTGCGTTTCTGTGGTGAAAAATAAGACCAGGCTAATAGGCCTAATATCTCTGCCAAAATTGGAGCTTCAGCTGGATAAGATTGATAGGTTTGCTGAGGAATACAACATTGATGATGACATCTTTGTGAAACTGGAGCCCAAATTGGAAGATTATGACGATGAGCACCAAAGTGATGAGCTGTATTCTGTCGCATCTCAACAGACAGTTCCAGAAGTGGAGCTGGCCGTTCATGTGTTGAACGAGCTGACGGATTTCTCCAAGATCATGGAGACCACGCCGTTGTTCTTGGAGATCAGTTCGCCTCTAGCTCTGGTCCAACTGGTGTTTGCAAAGCTTGGAAATAGAGAGATATGTGTCCTGGATAAAGGCGACTTTGTGGGTACTTTGCACAAGAAGATATTCATTGATTACTGTCGAAAGCTGAAGACCGGTTCTAGCTGAAGGAAAGAGAGGCAGAGTTAGGTTTTATTTTAAGCCAAGAAGAGACCATAGAAGAGCATACACAGACACAGCGAATATCTCAGAGAAAGGCCACTAATATATGTTTCCACATGCAGTCTACCAAGTTGTTACCATCACAATGCTTGGTGTTGACCTCCGGGCGGTCTCAAAAGCCAAAGAGCAACACACAATGCGCATTATCAGCAATTTCAATACCTCGAGATTCTGGAAAAAAACAGGGGCTGGAACCTCCAACATGTCACCATCATCTCTTTCAAAACAATTTGCAAGAATCATGGCTTCTTCTGATTTCTCTGGCAAGATTTGCAACGCATCGTTGAACAGGTCAGAAGGGATGGGTGGGATTGTGACTACTTCTCTGTCTGCGTCATTGTCTTCTGAAATTCCAAAGAAGTATATCCATTGCAAAACTCTAGCAAGAAGTGGTTCAGCTTCATTCTTGGTCAAAAACATCTCCAGCATATATCCATTATCCAGCAGAAGAACATCCAAGAGGAAGGCGACGAAAGACTCGTTTGCAGAACATGGATACGAGTAGAATTGAATCATCCTCACGAGCAAGATCTTTGAAAGTGAGCTCTTAATGTTGAAATAGCTGGTTGTTTCCTTTCGGTTGAGCGAACCCATGATTTTGGTGAGGTAAAACCCAACGTTGATGCACATGGTCCGGGGGACCATAAACGACTTGCCTAACTGTACAAGCGTGCTGTAGTTCAGCATTGTACCAGGCATTTCAGTTGTTTCAGTTGTTTCTCCCAACAAGTTGTCTACAATCAAGATCTTCATTGTCACCAAAAGCTTTTGGAGAAACGAGAACATTGAGCTTTGCAGAAAAGCATTCTGTGCTTTGGAGATTGAACTTTCGTCTCCAGAACTAGTCAGCAACGCTGCCGTCAGGAAACTTTGAAAACTTTCAAGAAGAAGGATATCGATAACAATTGGGTCTTTCTTTTCCAGAAAATGATCCAGAGCCTTGCAAAAGAGCGAAAACGGCCGGCTGGTGCGGTCCTTCTCAGTAATGCACCTCTCCAGCAATACGTCAAAGACCTCCAATTTGAGGGCACTGGAGAAATAGTCTCTGATATCTTCGCTGGCAGTCGATTCCATGAGGCTCGAGTACTGTTCAAGAGAGAAGCAGAAAGTTGCCAACTTCTCCGCTGCAATATCACGCTGTACGTCATGGGAGAGAATTTCACGGTAAGAGGGAAGCGCAACGAGACGCTCCGAGTCCATGCTATCCTCTAGCTGAGACATTGACGATTTGATGAATTCCAGGAAAATATCTGCCAGGTGACTATTGCGCAGCCAATGCTTGAGAGCAGGGCTTACCCGCTCAATTGATACAATTTTCAGAACTGCGCTGAAAGATTGCATCGCCTGAACTCTATCCACTTCGTAAAGTCCAAGTCTGATAGCCGAATATAGTGGCAGCTCTTGGCTGAACTCAAACCATATTTCCAGAAGATCGAGGTTTCTGCAGTAGAATTCTGTTAAAGCGACACAATATGCAACAATCTGTCTTCTGGTGAGTCTACTGGAATCCTCAGACTCGATCCTGAGACACGAGGCAAGAGAGAACATTGGCCAAACACCAACATCTTCTTTGCTCAGAACAAACCTATTTCTGCTGGTTTCGAACTTCACCATAAGACGCTCAAACGGAACTAATATCTGAGCAAGAGATTGCTGAAAATAGAACAGTTTGGGCAAGGAGATGGCCAGCGTCTCGAAGAAGCCTCGCTCCAAGAGGTATAGCAGGTTCGCCTCACAATTATCACCAATCAGCATCCTGTTTAGGTTCTCCAGAGAGTTCAAGACATGTGACCTCGAGAATTTCTAAGTAAATTAGTATTCGTGTAAGCGTTTAGCTGTTGAAAAACAATTCAGGTCCAAGATACCATGTTCAAGCCGTGCGGCTCACAAGTCAGAACCGCCAGTATCTGCTCACAAACGTATTCGAACCCGCGATCCGGATCCAGACGCTTTTTTCTGAGCATCTGCATTTGCGTTTGAGCCTTGCGAGTTTGAGTCTTTGCCATCACTGTTTCTGGTCCGTTTAGGGTAGGTAGCAGAAGAGTGTTTAGGGCGTCTAATGCGATCTGAAACATTTAGCTACACCAGCCGCCCAAAGACTGGCCCGCCCTAAAACAGACTCTCGGTAAACCCCGGAAAAATTCCCAAAAACAGCAGAAAAAAGGGCCCAGCTGAAAAGTCGTGTTTTGTATTTTAATTCTGTTGACCGCGAAGTTCTGGAAGGACGTAGGGGCCATTTGGAACGTGCTGTCTGAAACAATAGGTGCTACAATAAGCTTTGGCTACTTAAAGAGCGCGCAGACTGCCCCTTGCATTTTGACTTCTTTCGACCCCCCTTAAAAAAAGGGGAGACTAATATAGAGGACTATTGTATTGTTACCAATTCGAGCTAGTCTTAAAGCCACAAATATCAAAATGTCTTCAAACCATTCGTACTCTCAGCAATTGGGCTCAGCTACTGCTGCTGTCAAGTCCACAAGCGGGGGTTCGACACACGCGTATCATGGAGCTGCCAGAACTAAAAACAGGGATAATGCGCCTCCAGAAGCTGGACACAGAAATCACGGAAGACGTGGAGCTTCTGGGGCTTTTGCTGTTCCTGGTCAGAGACAGAACTCTGGTGCTAGACCTGACTTCAAAAAGCCCCAGGAGACCAAGAGAGTGGAGTTCAGAAATGACTACTCGAATCGCTACGTTCATTCCCAGATCCCACCAACCAGTTACATTCGCAACCGTCAGGAGCCTGTGTCGGGATATCCGAAGTTACAAAGACTTTTCAAGCTCAAGGAGCAACAGGTTGCAGAGCATGCTTGCAAACCGTATGGATGCAGGGTTGAGCCAGATCGGATTGTCGATACTCTCAACTCGTGGATCTCAAAAGATGGTCTACAGTTTGACGTAATTATGATTGGTGCTCTTACCGATAACCAGTTTATCTTCCCGTTATTATCGCAATTGCCATTGGATCGTTTGTGCCCACGGGTTGGATTCGTCTTCATCTGGGCCTCCACCCAGAAGATAGCACAACTGTCACAATTGCTTGCCAACTCCACCAGCAACAAAAACGTTTGTTCTTGGTTCAGAAAGTTTCGCAGATCCGAAGAATTGATCTTTGTTCCTCTCGACAAAAATTCTCCTTTTTATCCGGGCGATCAGGATGTTCCTGAGGAGGCATTATTGGAGAACACCCAATGGCACTGTTGGATGTGTATCACGGGTACAGTTAGAAGATCCACTGATAGTCATCTGATCCATTGCAATGTGAACACAGATCTTGCTCTTGAGAATGAAACTACCTTAAACTCGGCTGTTCCTCATCATCTTTACCAGGTTGCCGAGAACTTTTCAACTGCTACTCGCAGACTGCATATCATTCCCTCAAGAACTGGAGTTGACCATCCAGTTAGACCAAGACCCGGCTGGGTCATTCTCAGTCCAGATGTGATGCTCAATAACTTTGACCCAGACGCCTATAAGCGCGAATTGGCAGGTTTGGGCACCAATGTGCCTACCACCGAGGAAATTGAGCTACTGAGACCGAAATCCCCACAATAGGGCAAAACGGCTGCAGAAGGCCTACTCATTGTCTTATCAGTGATATGGTCCAGAGAATAATGCCAAAGCTATCAACTACTAGCTGTCGACTAGCTAATGACTGACTAATGATCTACTCACGTTCTCAATTTTGTAATCGTTTTTATAACTGCTACCTAGTATACACCTTTGAATAAAACTCAACTAACAGAAAACCCAACCCACGTAAAATAAAAAAAAGAACACGTCAAACTCAACAATGATCCCGAAGGCTTAATATACACGTTTGTTTTTTTTTTGTTTTCATCCGTCACCGACGATGAAAGGATTGGCATGATGATAATGATGATGGTGGTATAGTATGCTCAATTGAGCGAGCCATAGTAACGGCCTTCCTCGAGACTTTCGATCGTGTTTTCGATAACATCGTCGTCGTCGTCATCTTCGACGAGATCAATGGTAGCATACTTGATGAGGTCCCATCTTCTCCAGAAGGAAAGACAGTCCCTCACAGCATCAGAATCCACGAAGTCTTGGAGGTAGTACTTGGCCTTGGTAAGGCGGTCCTTGAGCTCCTGGAGCTTGATATTCGACGGATTTTCAGAAATGCGAAACTTGGTTAGGTCACCATCGCTTTCGTAGTCAGTGATGGCGGTCGAATTAGAGATCGTGGACTTATAGCCCTCTTCCTCGTCCGACATTGGAATCGACTCAGGTGTCTCTGGCATCATTCTGCCGGACTGGTTGAAACCATAAACCTCGTCTTCCGCATACGTAGTTGCGTCGCAATATCTGGCCCATGCTTCATCTATCGAAGTGATCAGATACTCAAAGCATCTCGATCTAGCTCTAAAGTCCGACTCGGGTAGTGGCCTCTTGACCTTGGCAAATCCAGACGCCGAAACGTGACCATCCTTGGGCATGCCTTGAGCATTGTATGGAGGAGATGGTAGTGAAATGATGTTACTTCCTAGAGAAAGCCGACGAATATGTGGAGACTGTGGTCCGAAGCCGTAGTTCTCCTGGTCGGCATCGTCATCGCTGTACTGAGCAACAGCCTTTGACAATTTGCTGTCCAATGGCGCTGCCATAAAAGCCTTGGCAATGTTACGCTGGTTTCTCCTCTGCTTCCTTAACTTGTTGTTGTTGCACTCAGAGACATACTCGTCAGCAGACTCGTCGTCCTCGCTGGACGAAGAGTCACCACGGGTCTTCTTCGACAATAACCACTCGCATTTCTTTCCAGCAGACGCGAGTCCAGGCAATCTAGACTTGAGACAAGGCTTCTTGGAGGATGACGCAGATTCAGATCCCAAAGAACGTTTCATAGACAAAACCATGTTGTGTGATATAGTAGTGCAATATCTAAAGAGTAGTGCAAACACTCAAGTTTCCCCTCTTCCTAGAAAAAAGGGATAAATTTTTCTGACCAATCAGAAGTGGCGAAATTTCTGAACAGCACAGTTAAGTGGTCAGAAAAACTTCAGGCAAAAGAACAAAAGGGTAGCAAATAAATTACCCAAATGAACGGACAAAGACGATACAAAGATCTCTCAGATATATCCTAGCTGCCGTTGAGCTGCTTGTCACAAGTTGTAAAGGGGGTTTGACAAATAGTCTGACGCCTTGTGTTTGTGATGGTTGTATACGCAAACGCCACCAAACCGGAGAGAATGGGATGTGGGAAGAGGGAAGCTCGGAGTATATACGAGCGTGCGGGAGCTGCCACCTGTCATGTTCGGGTACTGTGATTGGTCCGTCATGATTGACGGGTAACCCCATTAGATTCACTTGGCCACGACTTAAGTGCGGCGCACGCCCCGGGGTTTATCTATGGGAGACTACGGGGGAAATTCGGTCGGCCTCTATAAGGCAGAAAATCTGGCTGGCAGCCTCAGGTGCTGTCACCAGAGGGAAATGGTCTGTAAAGACCTGCGGCAGTAATGTATTCGGAAATCGCATCGATCGTGTACGGCTTCCATATGGAAGAGTCTTCTTTTGAGCTTATCGATCGTCTCAAGGCCGAGGAGCTGATTGCAGTTGATTCCTTTTGGCCATCAACCATGTGAATCTTGGAGTACCATTCCTTCGGAATTGTGTCTGTCTTTCCGAGCCTTATGTTCTCGATGTACCGCTTCTGATCGTCCAGGCTGTGGAGTCCATCGTCTCTAGTGAGCACAAATAGCTCAGAGAGGTCCATAAAACTGCTCAGTGAATCACGCACTGATGCTGGTGTATAGTATTTGGGATCAAACACCCGGATCAGCGTATCAAACCCCATCAGAAACGTCAATGGCATTTCTGTGGGGTGAAATGACCTGTACTCTTCTGTTAAAGTTTTTCCAATGGCCGTTGCCTTGTCCACAAACTTTGCATGCGATGTAAGTCCCAGAGCCACTGGAACTTTAAGACTTTGACCGGCAAAGTCCGCCAGCGAAATCATCATCGCGATCCGATCAGCGAAGGCAGCAGGCTGAACAACCTTGTCTGCATTTTTAACTGACAGCAGAAGAAGCAGGGATCTGTTGCTCTTATCATGGGCATCTTTTCTGGCATTTCTTTCCGGAAAATCATAGTGGATCGCGTTTTCGGCTAGGGAGTAATGACCCCTGTGCGGTGGGTTGAACGAGGAGTCAAGAATACATATCCTCGACGTCGATCGCGTTACAAATGCGGACGACGTAGAATAGATAATTCTGAAAGGTACTCCATCCTTCAAAAACGATTCAAGTTCTTGCTTGAGTTTTGGCATCAGGGTCGTCGAGCGGGGAAAGGAGGGAAAGGAGAAGAAAAAAGAGAAAAAGACTCGGGGCTATCGAGGTTGTGTGGTGTGTCTGGATCAAGTTTTAAGAATTGATGTGCGGCTCAGCACGGACCAGACTGAAAATCTACATAATGGCAGATGAGTTGCTCAACATATAAGGCAAATAGTAGTTAAGTGCCAATTACATTAGAAATAGCTAGGCAGCATGAATCAAGTTGCCATCAAACAGGTCTCATTATAATTTGGATCCGACAGATGCCATCTTTTTATCACAATTCGTCGTTCACAAGAGGAGCACCTTGAATTCCCACCAACTCGGTCTCAAAAACTAAATCAAAAAAGTTAGGATCTCTGTAATATTCTCAAAGTCGTCTGTCTTCAAATGTACTTACTCAGAGTGGCTTTGGGGGGAATAGGGCCCACGCCTCTGTCGCCGTAGGCCAGATGGGATGGAATAGTAAGCTTACGCTTTTCACCAATGCACATGCTATTGGGTTAGTAAAAGACATTTAGCCTTTAAATGAGGTTCTAGATGAACTTACTTTGTGAGACCCTGGTCCCAACCTTGGATGACTTGACCAACACCTAAAGTGAACTGAAGTGGGTCACCTCTAGTGTAGGAAGAATCAAAAACGGTGCCATCATCCAAACGGCCTTCGTAATGCATATCAATGACATCACCACGTTTGGTCTTCCTTTCACATTCAGCAGGATCAACCTTTTTAGTGACACCTGTAGCATGTTTCAGTTAGTGTGTGGGGCTATGGAATAGGTGGAGGTGATAACGTACCAATTCTAAGTTGATCCAGTGCTTGGACAGCAGTCGCGGATAGTATGAGAGCTAGAAACAGCGATACCAAGTGTCTGAAGTTCATCTTGAATTATTCTAAATGGTAATTGTTCTTTAAAGAGGATGTAAATATTCTGAGGTAGGTGTCTTTTTTGCGACGGTGCGATTGAAGATTTGGTGTCCATTTACCAAAAACACGCCGCACAAAGTCATTCTTCGACCATTTTCAGGCGATTTCGGAATCAGATTCACCCTTATATTCCGGAAAAACTCCGGTGAAAAAAGCTTCGAAGCTTTCGAATTGCGATAGATCTGGAACCTCGTTCCCTATAATCTGGAAAGGGGTATTGGGGGTCAGGCCAGAAGAGATGCCGTGATTAATGGAGTCCGGCAAGCTCGTTCTGTCGGGGATCTGGAGAGGAGAGAGCTTTGAGTCGTTTAACTCTCTCGAATAAAAATTGAAATCAATACTTGCTGGTGTCGTAGTGGTGTCTTCAACATTTGCGGTAGTTCTAGAGGTAGCCGAGGCTTCCCGAACATAGGGTTCGTCATTTGCAGATGTGATCTCCTTTGGATTGGCTCTTTCCACCAAACTCATGACAATTTTTCCAACGGTGTCTGTGGCATCATTCATCTTCTCGCCAATCTGATTTAGGTGCCAGTATACCTTGGAAATCAAACTCAAGGCAGTATTCTTTTGGTCGGCATCCATCGTGGATAGACTGTCGCACAGTGTGACACATGCGTACACGATCTGTGCCAATGAGAACGAAGGAGATCCTCTCACCAGCTTCGGTTTCAGATTCAAAAATAACTCCAGAATCTTGAACGCATGATGAACAAGGGCAGTATGGCCAATGTCGGTTGTAATGATAGGTGCAGAGGCTGACTTCGAGGAGCGATCCTGCGTCGTCTTGGTGAGGTTCTTCAATAGAAGGATGTAGCAAAAGTGGTACGCAAAAGTCAAGAGTCCTGCCACATCTCTTTTAATCAAATGGCGCCAATTTTCTTCCCACTCTTGCAGTTCATCGAACGCAGTGGTAGAACGGTTTTTTGAGCTTGGCGACGTGATCAGTCGCACAGTCATGAGATACAGCTCTATCTCACTCACCTTGATTGCATCTCCAAACGTGGCATTCGGAAACTTCAAAGCCAAGCTATGCACATCGAAGTACTCTTTGGTGATCATCACAGGTTGGCCGGTTCCCAGAGAGTTCTGGAGGTGACAACTGCACAGCGAGTTAAAGATACGCAAATGGTACAAGTCCAATGCCTCAAACCTATGTAATGTGTTGACTTTCGTGGATATGCCGCGAATATCAAGTGAAAGCATCAGATGTTTTATGCCTATTCCCGAAATCAGCCAGTTATCCGTCTGAGTCTGTTTAGGTTTCCTGGCGATGTTGTACAATGAGAGGTAGAGTAAAGCCTCAATATCATGATCTGTCAACGGGTCCGTCACAACAACGACACCCAAAAGTTTCATGGTCAACCAATATAATTGCTCCTGTTCTTTGACATACATGTAGTTTTCATCGAAACACATAGCCAAAATCACAAACACGCATGTAATGAATGGATGTTCCAAAACATACCGTCTATCGATCTCTTTGATTCCTCCCGGTATGATCCAAAAATGAGAAATCTCAAGAAACGACTTCGCCAGCTGAATGCAGATCTCCTCGTTAGAAAAGTAGAACTGGATGAACTCATCGCACGCCTTCTTCAAAGGATCGCTGCGATCGGCGCGGTTGAACAGTTGAGAGTCGATTCTTTTTATTACGTTCAAAGGCGCAGAGCTGATCTGGCTATTGGAATAGCTGGTATTTCCAAGAATGCTACCGCTTTTCTCATCAACATCGTTACTTTGGCCATTTTCTTCTGATTGGGTCTGGCGAATGGTCTGCACCACAGAATCAAGCTTATCTTCAAACTTCTTGAATGTGTTCTCCACAGATTGCATCCAAGACTCAATTCCCGTCACGGAGTCCGAGTTAGTTTCACGTGCTATGTCTTCTTCGTCAACTAGTTCCTTAAGGGAGCAATCAATCAACAATCTGCGACACCTCTCACACTTCCCCAGTTTTGGGATGAACTCGCACTTGGTCTTGAGTTTCCTACACGCAGAGCATGAAGACCACACTCTTTTCTTCATTTTGCGTTGTTTCTTTGAAGAAGGTGCTAACAATTCCGATCTTTGGTCGCCGCTGCTGTATCCGTTGGAGTCTTCTTTTGTAAAGTCTTCTTGTCTCTTATTCTTGGACGCTTCAGCTCGAGCGGAACTCGCTGCGGTGGAGCTAAAGCTGGTGGTATCCAGTAAACCATTCAACAAATATCGCTGTTCTTGTTTTGCGGGTACCATGTGCTGACCTTCAAAGCAACCAAAGATTGACTAATTGGTGTTTCTATCTCCAGATTCGGAAGAACAGTGTCTGCTTGAAATGGAGCCTCAGACATCTCATTTGGGTGCTCATCGCTAAGTATATGTGCATTACTCATAATTTCGCCGCATTTATATGCACATCACAGGCTACATATGAACTACATGCAAGTGATAAGAGTATGGCTAGAACGTGTAAATGTGTTTTTCTCGCTTTGGTGTTAGAAGTTCCTAAGAAGACATGCTGTAATTGCAAGGGCCACCAACTCTAGACTTAGTCCCGAAAGCGAGCTGGAAGCCACATTCATCTCTCTGCCTCTGACAGACTTCGAGTTGTTAGTTCTGGTCAGAACGCCGTCTTTGTCGCTGACCAAAGTGGTCTGTGCTTCTCCCTGTCCTGAACTACATTCAATCTTTCCCCCTCTAACTACCTGTCCAACCCCATTGCTGATCCACTGGGAACAGTCAAAGTCGCTGGCTGTTTCCAACGAAGCGCTTCCCTTGACGACCTTGAGTTTGTCAAGGTTAGTCTCGACAAAGTTGCCCGAGAATTTGATGGCACCCCCGATAGACGAAAGGCTTGGGAAAAAGTTCAGTCTAGTGATCTGTGGGTTGTCTTCGATCATGAGTCCACCTGCAACGTCCGTCATGGATGGGAACTCGACCTCTTTCAGGTTAACGTTCTCGATGATACTCAGAGTTCCTCCTGTATTCTTCAACTTGGGCAGTTTCAAAGAGGTGAAAGTGTTTTCAATAAACTCAGCGGAAGACTCCACCACTTGGAGGTTGCCCAGGTCAATGGTTCCGATATCACGCATAGTAACGTTGTTGGCCCATGCCAGGGAAGACAACGACACTTTTGTATCCTTTGAGTTTGCAGAGATCAAAAGCTGCTCTGTAATCTCTTTTACCGGAGATGTGATTTTCTCCATGAAACGGTTGTTGTTCAGGTTAAGAATCCTGAGCTTGTCAATAACAAATCCGGTCAACTCAACCAGAGACGTATCAGAGATTACCAGCGAAGATAGTCTTTTCATCTTCGTTGGAAAGTTCAATTCACTCAACAAGGGCAGGACTTTGAGCTCAATGTTGTCAACTGAGTCTAACTTTGGCAAACTGATGGACTTCAACGACGTTAGTCTGCTGAAATAGATTGACCCATCCACATTTGCAAGATTATCACCTCTAATTGACATCAATTGGCTGGAATTCTCAACCCAGATGGACCCTGTAATAGCCTTTATGGCTCCAAAGTCTACAAAATTGTCCTGATAATTCTTGAGAAACAAAGAGCCGCCGACAGTGGCACAGTCTGCAACCGCCCACAAGTCACCAGCATCCTTCAAAGTGTAATCCTTGTAGCATCTGGCGTCTATCTCAGCCTCAGGCGATTGATACTGTTCTGATTCTTCTGAATCATCCTTTTGGAGATCTATGGTTGATAGTTAGTTAGTCCGAAAGTTTTGAATCCCAAGATTTTGGTCGAACCGTACCGTTAGAGTAAGGGAGTGCGAGAACACTCGAAACCAGAATGAAAGAAGTGAAAAGTCTTTTCAATGAAGTGTTTTGCATAGTTGCTGCTGGTGTTGGTTTATTTGAGTGATACCTGTGTGGTTTCTCGTTCGGTCAGGAGACGGAGCGGATAATCAGAAGGTTGGGCGCTTATAGGTGTTTTCCAGGACTACTTTTTTTTGGTGCGGCTCACTATCTTTTTTTAAGTTATGGGCTCTCTTGGAAAACTCATCAATAAGAAATACTGTCTTTCAAAAAAGAATTTTGGAATTTGGTGATCTCTCAAAGCATCTTGAAATTCTCAAAAAATTGGGAAATATACAAATTTGTCAAATTCTGTTCGTTTTGCAGTCAATACACTCATGCTGAGTCAATAATCTTTGGCCTCAGACAACAAAACGACCCCCAAATGTGTATTTCAGTGTGACTTATTCTCTTTACCATCAGCCACTAGTGCCTATGTATGGAAGGCGTTCCCATTCAGGCCCGAGCACTCATGTATGTTTTCTAATATGACTTAGCTTCCAGAGAGGTCGGGCCATAAAGATGCAAGGAACTCGTTCTGTTTCTGCAAGAAGCCCTAGAGTAGACTTATAGAGAACCACTGGTGTGGTTTCAGACAACCTTCGCAAAATATATGTTCCTCGCTGCTCTGGTGAACCTTACCTTCGTCTTACTCCTCTCCAGATTGTCTCCAGATTGTGCAGTAATCTCCATTCCCACAAATATTTACTCTACTGTTTTGAAAACAATTTCTATATATTTGCCATTTGGCCCATCTATCAGCTATTTCATTGATATATCCGAAAATGGCCAACATGGATATCCGGAGCTTGATAATTGCAGAGAAAACCTCATACGTGCCAAAACAGCATCGAACCCAATATAAAGATCATAGGATTTTACGATATCAGAACTTGCCCGTGTAGCGTAATGGTTAACGCGTTTGACTTCTAATCAAAAGATTCTGGGTTCGACTCCCAGCATGGGTGCGCTTCTATTTTTTTTGTTCCTTAATATCACAGGATCTCAAGCTTCACTATTGGTCAATCGAGCTAAGCATAATTTCAAGTATTGCTTATTAACTCAATCGTATCTGCGATAAGTTTTGGTCTAGTTTTAGCCAAATACCTCTTTGGGAAACAGGTCCTTCTGGCTAGGAGTGGGGTGCTAATCACGCCCAAAAAAAAAGCGCGGTTTACTGTTCCATTATAATTTTTCAATGATTTTTCAGGGGTGGGAATCATGAAAGGTTCCGGCTCCAGTTTTGGCGCGCTAGCATGCTAGACTCACCATCCCACGGAGTCATGACCGACCATCTTCAAGAACCAGTGGGGCAGTCGGTGGCCCCGAACAAAATGTAACAACGATAACAGGCCCAAGCCGTACAATCAGAGTTATTTACTTATTTCCCCAAACGGATATGTGATTGATTTGGTGCGCTCAAAGCCCCAAAGCGAGAGGGTCTTCTTGCATAGGGCCCTCCCAAGAGTGTAATTTACCGAATTAGGAAATCTCCAAACACGTGGAATTTGTCCTAGATGGACTTCAGGAGAACGCGTTTACTTGCAAATACCTGTCGAAACGGAACCTTAGATAACGCTAGAAAGTCCGTAATTCGTACTCGGAAATCGTGCTTTAAGTTGTTAGAGTCAAAAGCTTAAGACCCAAGAGCCTGAGATTATTGATTTAGTGTGGTAAAAGCATACAACCTCAAAAGTAATGGTCAAGTGTGAGGCTTGCTCCACATACGAACTCACACAGACTGCCACAACTTTAATATCGCCGCATGAAGGTTGAGGACCAGCCGACCTAATTACCGATCAAAGAACTGCAGATTTGATTGCCGTTAATCCGCAAACGGAAGAGGAATGTTTTCTCCAGTCCACCCCATCCGAAGAAGGTGAAAAAAAGATTTATGGTAGAATTCCCGGTTTGCCGAGTATTTAGAGCTTACATTCAAAGAGCAACATTAATTAAGAATAGAGTTTAGATTTAATATACGGCGTTAGCAATCATAACATGAAATACATGCAAATTGTGGCCTTTAAAAAATTTACCGATTTCTTTTATATTTTCCAGAATTTTCACCGCAATCTTTTTGACAGCGCCTCGGCAGAGGGAGTAAAATTTCATCGTGGCTCAGATGGGGATAAAGGTAGATTGCGGCAAAGCAGGTCGAGCAAAAGCCGAGACTTCTAAAAGCAGGCATTAACGGCAGACCATAAGGTGAACCGGGACAGTAAAATTATAGGGTCTAGGACCATTAGACTGGGTTCTGGTGAAACAGCAATGCAAGCAAGGTGAATGCCACGATAAAGCAGGAGTTCCAAAACCGGATTGCTTAATTGACGGGGTCCCGCGATGGGCTTAGAAATTTAAAGTAGGCGGAGAGGTAGGATAGGAGTGGCAGAATAAATGTAGTCTCAAAGTGAGGAATGGCGGGAGAGAGCAAGCAAACCATGGTATACCAGGGCCCATTCAGACATGCTTAACACAATTTGCCATAACAAATATCTACACAGTAAGTAGCATATCACTTCACTGGCATGTCTCGTTATCGTACTTTGAGTATCAATCTGCGTGCACCACCCAGAGATCGCTGGCTATTTTTAGAACGCCCCCAGAGGGTTCTCGTAATAGGCGCCGAGACCGTTCACGGGTATATGTTCGCAGTGTACAAAAAACTAAAATCTACCAGAGGGCGACACCAACGGCAAGAATTAGCTGACAGCCCCTTGTGCTTACGAAGATTTTGGTTTAGCGTCTTCACATTGAAAGGAGTTTCCCCCCGAACAAACGGGATGAGTAGGATGAGAAACACGCGCCGTCAGGAGGGCGGGCCCCCTTCTGACGCGCGCTTGAACAGTCTTTGAAAATTTTTTCAGTGCGCACACACCCCACCCCCTGTTCTTGCAGATGAGTCTTTGTGGCAGTGCGTTTTCGGCAGGAAATGTATATAAGGAAGGGCTGCCGCCCCTTTGAGCCTTTTTCCTGGTGTCTTTTTTTCCCTCTTCTTTCTCTTCTATATTATAGACTTATCATCTAAAGTTCTCTCGCTTATATCCATTACTACAATGCAATTCAGAAACGTTATCGTCGCCCTTGCCGCCGTTGCCACCGTTCAGGCCGCTAACGCCTCCAACGCCTCCAACGCTTCCAACTCTTCATCGAGCTCTGTGTCTACTGGTGCCGCCGCCTCCTCTGCTATGGGTGCTGGTGTTCTTGGTGCCGCTGTTGCCGCCGGTGTTGCTTTGTTGTTCTAAGCAACTAAAATGTTTTTATTGGAGAGCAGCAGGTTTCAGCCTTTTCGAAAAATGTACCCTTTTTTCAACTGTTTTTTAGAGAAGAAAACAACCTCTCTCTCCTCCGGGTTCAGGGGATTGTATCAATAATAATCATATCGTTATACATCTAAACAACCAGTGTAGAGTAAAAGTTTTTGCCGTTTTTCTAGTATCCTGTTCTGCTATAGCTTGTTCTGTCGGGACAATCTGGATTGTGGCGGAGCTTGTGGCGGGTCGGCGTCCTGCAAAATTTCAACCGTCGAATTCCGTAGAATTGTTCTGGCCACTTCCTTCTCCCGGCTTGGGCGGAATATGGAGACTTCATTTTACCTTATGTTCCGAAAGGATATAATTTCCAAATACTTGAGCTTTTCCCCTGTTGTAATTTCCCTGATATTGTAAGTCTACTTCGCTTTTTCTTTGCCCTGCCTCGCCGAGAACTAGTATCTCGGATTTCGATTTTTTGGTCAAACGGCCAATTGCTTTTGAATGGTTGCTAATTAGTCCCGATTGGGACACGTTTTACCCACAAATGGAGCCCCTGAAACGCTGCACCCAAATTCATGTCCCTGTCAATCCCTGCGCAACTATACGCGATTACGCGATTACGCGATTACGCTTGTGGATTTTGGGGCCCCTTTTGGTCCTATTAGCCGAGAGGTGCAATTTTGGAGTTACATACTGAAATGGTTGAAGAAATCGCAAGCTTAATAGACTTCATAGTAGACGTCATGATGACTGATTCAGGTACCTGAAATGAAACTGGAGTCACGGCGTTTGATTTCTACAGCAGCATTGGTACTAGTCTGCCGATCCTTGCAGTATCGTTGTACCTTCCAGTTGTATAGTAACTGACCCTTTGGACTACACGTGACTCGAAAAAGGCCAACAAGTCTACTGGACCAAGACGTCTTAAAGAAGTTTCGGGTAGGGTCGATTAATCTCTTATTGGTTAATACACGACAATATGTTTCTGTAGGCGCACACCACTGTTTTGGTATTGTCTTGTCTTGTCTTGTCTTGTTCTCGTGTTCTCTCTGACCAAAAGCCTGTCTTCGCGTCAATTTTTCTCCTTTTAAAGCAATAAAAGCCAGATCTTTGTGTCAATGGCACCAGTGTTTCCGCTGGCTTTGCCCTTGGGCTCGCAGTTGACCACTGAACGCTATGCTGTGTCTCTCCTTTCAGTCGAGGTGGGGTCTAACGACGAGTTCGTTTCTATCATACTTGATGATTCTGGTGAGAAATTCATGGCCCAAAGGCGAAAAGGGACTTCAGTTGACGAAAACTATCACCCGATGTACACTGATAACACTTTGAAATCGTTGGCAGCAATGCAGCCATTGCTAATTTGCTTTGATCAAACATCACCTACAAGAATTACAGTGACATTCCGGTCAGACTATACCAAAACAGGGACAAGGGGAGTTGCCATGGGCGATTTGGTGTTTCAAAAAACGAATTCAGCAGGTCTGACAGCAAAGGAGCCTGCTATTCTCATAGAATCGCAGACTTATTATGCATTTAAAAGCACGCACACACTGACCCCGGAGGATTCGGGTACCTTGTATTTTGAGTTGGTGGAGCTAGCTACGACAAATAGAGTGCTGCACCAGTTTGCGGTTCAAGTGCGACTGGTATCAATCAATCAACGATCCGCAGTCAAATCAGAGATACCTCAACCACAGCCTCAGTCTCAGTCAAAGGGGAATCCGTTTCCGGTCTCATTAGTGGATGGCCCAGCTTTCAGATCTACGCTGGCTGAGTACGAGGAGAGAATTCCAGCTTTGATATCTATTTGCAAGGTTTTGAGCGAGGATTTGACTTCCTTGGAAAGTTCCATGGCTCAGACATCCAAGCAGAGGACTCGATTGAGGGCATCTCTCCAACAATTGGTAAATTCGCTTCCGCCAGATTCTTCGACACGGTCTTCTGTTAGCATAAGGCTTCGTTCGGCGTGTTCTAATATTGACGAGAGCTATGCTGAGCTTCGTGGTGTTTTGGCACAGACAGTATACCCACTACTCAAGAACCATGGCTCAGGGGCTGGTTTGGAAACTTTGGCTACCCGAAAACGCACATTCGAGGATGAGAGCTCAAAGTATTACGCTTGGCTAAGTAAGTACCTCGGCTCAGGCAAGACGAAGGACGAAAAGTTTCTGTCGAAACGGAAAAGCTTCGAGCTGAGCAAGATCGATTACATTACATTCTTGTCGGAGTTTGGCATAGACAAAAGCCTGAATAGGGAACAATCACAAAGAAGATTACGGGCAAGGGCTAGAATTGAGCAGGCCTCGACTCCAGAAGGGTTGAAGAAGGCCTTAGCCGCTGTCTCCGTGGACCCTGATAGTGGTGCGGTCTCCAAGCAAAGATCAGGGATCCTGTTCACTCAAAACGGCCAGGGCAAAATTGGCTGGCACAAACAATGGGTCGTCCTGGCGGATGGAAGGCTTTCTGAGTACATGGACTGGAGAAAAGGTGAATCAATAAGAAACAAGCCCATTGATATATCGCTTGCAAGCATCAAGCCCGTGGATGGGGACAAGCGCAAATTCTGTTTTAGAATTATCACATCCGATGGAGTGGAGCACGTTTTTCAAACCATCGATGAGGATGACAGGGAGGGTTGGATAACAGCACTTTACGACGCAGGCCAACAGATCCGCTTTGGCAGTAACAGTTCGCATTCGTCTCTAGCCGAAGACAAAGGATCCCACAAGAGCAAACAGGATTTGGCTCTCAACAGATCGAGGCGCATATCCTCTGTTTCTCTGACAAATCTTGCTGCAGTCCATGGTGCAGATGCATCGAACGCAATTTGTGCTGAGTGTTCCTCAACAGATTCCGTTGAGTGGATTTCGATCAATCTGCTAACAGTATTCTGCGTGAAATGTTCCTCGGTACACCGATCTCTCGGGACCACCATAACCAAAGTGAAGTCTTTGAAGCTGGACAACTTCCCGCCTGAGGCGCTGCACATGTTATGCAAAGTGTCGAATTTCAAGTCACGTCAAATCTGGGAGGCAAGACTCTCACCCGCAAAAAAGCCGCGAGTGGGTGTTTCAGACCAGGAACGGACCCGCTTTATCGTTGACAAGTACTCGGCAAAGAAATATGTCTCGCCACTGTCTACTACAGAAGCTGTGGACTTGCTTATCCACGGAGTAAGGCGCGGGAATCATTATGAGATTATCGAGGCTCTTGCGGCCGGTGCTGACCCAAATGCAAGCGTCATGATGAAAGGGGCGACAGTTCCCTTAATTGCGTACGCACTACATCACCCAAACACAGACAAATGCGGAGCGGTTGTTTACGATACAGCAGAACTGCTGTTTCTGAACGGGGCTCTTCCAGGTGCGAAAATCACACAAACGTATGGACTGGAACCAGACGCCGTGCAGTTTTGGCAAGCCAGAATCAACAGACTAAATCCTCAGCATGAGCATGCAAAACAATTACCACAAGTCCCAAAGGCCGTACAGGGTGGCCAATCACTCAAGCCACCTAGCAGTGTACGAATTCCGGCAAGCACGAGCAGTAAGTTTTCTTTGTTGAAGAAGAAGACGAAGAACTGAGAGAGGAGAAAAAAGGCGAGTCAGAAGCCGAAAAATTGACGATTCTATAGAATTGATGACTGCTGTAATTATATAATTCTTTGAAATCTCCATAGATTTCTTGCATATATCCACCGGGCCTCTTGTAGACTTCCTCTAACTGTCTTCCTTTCATTCAACTTACCCTACCAGATATATGCAGGCTGCATGCATTTTCAGAGCCGCACGCGCCGAGTCCTCGAGCGCTTAGTACCAAGCATTCATTCCCGTTCCTCACTCACAAGGGCGACTGATCCTCAAAAAAAAAAACCCACAATAGACCCAACATGAATGATAATCCTTTTGATCATTATGCGGTAGGGTTCCGCGTAGGAAAAGGCAATTTCGGTGACGTGTACAAGGCGTAAGGGCTTACCGTTAAACGCTGTGAAAGGCAGAAATGACACCACGAATACTAACATCCCATTATAGAAACAGCAGGACCACCAACGAGCTGGTAGCCATTAAGGTGGTTGATATGGAGGACTCCAATGACCAAATCGACGTCATTCGTCAGGAGATCCAGTTTTTGTCAGAGTTGCGATCAGACTACACCACGGCATACCGCGAAACTTTTGTGGTTGGAACTTGTTTGTGGCTTGTGATGGAGTTTTGCGGCGGAGGATCATGTGCAGATTTACTAAAGTGTCACAAGAGACTAAGCGAAGACGCTGCGGCATTCATCATCCGGGATACACTTCGGGGATTGGACTACCTTCATTCTAACGGAATCATACACAGAGATATCAAAGCGGCTAATTTACTTCTAACCGACAATGGGAACGTCAAAGTTGCAGATTTCGGAGTTAGTGGCCAGCTCGGGCTCAATGCAGATTCCAGAAGAACGTTTGTGGGGACTCCTTTTTGGATGGCGCCAGAGATCATACTACAACACAGCGAAGACAGTGGTTATACCGATAAGGTTGATATTTGGTCCGTGGGAATCACCACTATCGAGCTAGTTCAAGGGAAACCTCCATACTCAGACGAGGACCCAATGAAGGCTCTGGTGCAGATTCCCAATCGGGCACCTCCAGTTCTCACTGGACCCGGACATGGACATTCTATTTCGACATTTATCAAGGCATGCCTTGTGAAAAACCCGAAAAAAAGACCTTCAGCTTCTGAAATGCTACAGAAGTATCGATTTGTCAAAAATACTAGACGCCAATCGCCACTTCCAGCTCTGATAGCTTCCAAACAGCAATGGATGAATGAATCCCGAGCCGCACATAAAATGCGAAGACCATTACCTGTACCGCTCGGCACTGCCGTTATCGGTGAAAACGTCCAGTGGGACTTTTCAGAATGCGATCAGAACCCGAAATCAGGAATCTCACCATTGTCCACGGACGATACTGATCTCAGACCGGAGTCAACAAATACTCCCCACACATCACCTTTGGAGTCGCCCAAGGTCGACTTCTACGAGGACGTGATGCGGTTTGCCCTTGACAGGGTCAACAGAAGAGCCAAAAACCGCAATGGCAAGGATTTTTGCACGTATTTGGCAAACAAGCTCGGCACGTTCGAGAGAGAACAGGCTGGTTTGTGTGAGGCCATAGCACAGGAGATCTATCGGAGACTGAGGTCCATTGGATATCAGTTCTAGACTGTAGAAGGACGGACCGAGTTAATTAAACAAAGAAGATCATTTATCTTCTTTTTAATGGTGTTCATTATTTTGCTATCTTTTGAAATTCGAAATTTCTATATTTTCGATAAGAAAATGCAGTATTCTGTTGACCCACAAAAGTCTGTGTGCTTAATAAAGGTCAGGCTTCAAGAAATAAGCCTTTAGGTATAAGTTAACAACAATCTAAGAATTCTTGATATTCGCTACAATTTTCAGGTGTTTCATCTTTTCCAAATTCTAAGTGATTTTGTTACTATTTTTCAGCCATTCTTGATTATCTTTCAGATTCACCTGACCTGCAGAAGCCCGGGGAACCGAGCCATCGCACCATATTGGGTTGCTGCATGAATCTGCCTATATAAGGCCTGTTCTGCGCACATTGACATCCCCTTACTTTCTCGTCTAGTAACTCTGTCTACAGATCAATAAGCTTCAAGCTTTTTTCTACGATTATGCACGCAAGAGATTGGTTGTTGGCTTTCATTGGTATCTTTTTGCCACCAGTGCCGGTGTTCATCAAAAGAGGTTTTTTTTCAGCGGACTGTAAGTTGAATCTCTGGTTTGCGCCTCCCTTCTCGCATCCTTACTAACCCTATATTCCAGTCTGGATCAACATCGCTCTGTTGTTCCTGGGATTCCTCCCTGCGCTTGTTCATGCCTGGTATATCATCTCTGTTTACCCTCATGAAAGCAGATCTTCCTACACAGGGGTGACTCTCCCAGGCAGAGACAGCAATAATTACGGTTCCATCTGAGCAGACCCCAAGTTCCGAAATTTTGCGCTGACGCCATTCGCAACAGGCCTTGAGTCTTGATCGCTTTCTTAGTTTTCTTTGATACCATTTTGACGTTATTTTACGAAGTTCGGACCGTAGTGCGTACGCCTCCTTGGTCTGTGTAGATCTGTTAGAGCTAACAAAACTCTTTGTCCTCTTCCAACTAGGCTCAAAAACCAATCAATTCCCTTGCTAAGCATCTCGTCTGTGTCTCAGCGAAATTATCTACCGGTTTATCTATATCTACCCCGATTTACGCGTCTCCATATGAATCATACCTGTCATGGCGTGCACCGCCAACCGCCGATATTTCGGCCATTCAGGCGGTTAACTGCCCATCGCCGCAGTCCACTAGTATAAAAATTTCGCTACTCCAGGGATTGCGGTACTGGCCTACTAACAAGTATTTGCACAGAAAAAAGAGGACCAAAACCCACGCGAAATCATCATTTCATACCCAAGCTCGCATTTTTTTATTTCCATAATTGTCGATCGCTTCTTTCAGATTATTCAAGCATCATATGGATCTGGTAGGCGAAATAGTGGAGCATGAGAGCTCCGCTCCCGTAGAGGCCGTTGCCCCGGGACCATCGCCTCTTTCTGCTTTTGCAAGACGGAAACCAAGCGACTGGAAATCAAGGTTTCGCAAACAGGGACTGACGTCGATGTCTGGAGCAGTCAAGGCCAAAGAGGGATCGAAGAGTGAACCAACACCTGATGATTATGGACTATCGGAGTCTGATCTGAACGCTAATTTGGAAAGAGTGAAGCATATGTCGCAGCAAGAGAAAGACGAAACAATGGAGTCTCTTTTTCAATCCTTCAGTCCAGACACATTGGCAGCTCTTTCCAAAAGGGCTGCTATGCGTAAGGAAATCCCCAAATCACAGCTGACAGAAGACAATTTCGAGTTACCCCCAGAGATAGAAGCGCGTAACGAGAAATTCTTAAAGAGCATCACCATAGAAGGCAATGGATCCTGGATTGGGGGTGGCCAGAATGGTGAGACTGCGGACGATCTGGATTCGAAATACAAAGATACAGAGACAGGGTCCATTGCAAAGACGGTATTGGACTCACCAGGCTTGAGACCTGTTTTGAAGACTCCATCTTCCTCAGTTAGCGTTAATTCATGTAGCTCTGGGAAAAAGGTGAGGTTCAACACAGAAGCTTATGTGAAGTATGACGATAACGATAAAAAGCCAGAAGAAGATGCAGACGAATGGGAGGACATTGCAGATGTGAAGTCATTCGAAGAAGACGAAGAGAATAACAGAAACGACGACGAAGCCCCCGAGTTTGCAGAGGTTCAAGATTTGCTTGTAAGTAATGACCCTGGCGTTCACTTTCCAAAACCGCGTCAGACAGACGACGAGCTGGATATCAACGATCCGTTGTTCAACTCCAAGCTTAAGGAGAAGTACTTTCCAGATCTGGCTGCCAATCCAATGGCATTGGACTGGATGAAGCCTTTGCCTGAAACGCCTAAAGAAATCATCTATGACTCAGTTTCAGACTTGCGATTTGATTTTGAGGGCAAGATCGTTTCCAATGATATGTTGGATTTACCCACACATCTTGGTTTGCACCATCATGCTGACAAAGCAGAATTGCCGGGATACACTCTGGCAGAGCTCGAGAGATATGCAAGATCGACTGTCAATGGCCAGAGGTGTATCGCAATACGAACACTGGGGAGAATTCTTTTCAAACTGGGCAAGGGTACCTATGCCGAGGTCTTGGTTCCGGAGTATGGCCAGGACGAGGAGGAAGACGAGGCAGAGAATCCTGTTTCTGAGATTACACAAAGGTTCTGGCGACTCATAAAAGAGCTCCGACTTGTTGAAAGTCTGAATTTTGCGGCCGATGAACAGCACACGAAGAACGTGAGTGTGCGAAACTATGCTATTGAGGCGCTTTGGCTGTGGAAACAGGGTGGTGGAGATCCAAGCGAGCAGACAGACGAGACTGTGAAGATTGAACAGTAGCACAGTAAAGGTATATTGGCAAAATATGAATCACTTAGAGTGTAACAACACCTTTAACGGTTGTACTGATTATTATCTAGATTTGGGGCGTGTACGCACGAATAATGAAGTGTTTGGTGGTCGCACGATACCCATCACCACCTAAAGCGGCTTAACGGCTTATCGCAGGTCATGAGACTGAAATTCTCTTTGTGTTTATTGTTGCTAGTGTGGCATCCTCGTACGAATGCTCGGGAAAAGACATACTCAGTATGTCTTGGTACTATTTCTGACTCTAACCTTTGTTGGAACAGATGCACATGAGATCGCACGCACAACTCTGGGAAATCCTTTGGACCCTGAATCTTTCATCTCAACAGGTGATGGCTTCGCCTCTATGGACATAGATCCTGACACATGTCTCATACCGCGAGGTCTTAGCTCGAACTTTGAGGCTTGCAACTTTGTAAGAACGCATTGTGACCACGAAAACTTCCGTTACGCCGAGTTTTACTATTGCATAGGACAGGGCCATGAGGACGAACAAGGCTCTCAAGGGTTCTACAAAGCTGTTCGCCTAGCCACTTCCGCTGGGTATTTGGGGCTGGTAATGGTGATATTTTTTGTACTGGGAATTGTGGCAAGCCATTTTCTGATTCCCGATCTTAGGCACATCTCACGAATGGCCAATTTCGACGAAAGAACGGCAGGCGCAACATTGCTATCCGTGGGGAATGGCACACCAGACCTTTTTGCGACCTATGCTGCTCTCGAATCTAAGTCTGCTGCATTAGCAATTGGCGAATTGATTGGCTCAGCCACTTTTGTTTGCACTGTGGTGGTTGGGTCAATGGCAATTGTTAGGCCGTTCGAAGTGGACAGTTCTGGCTTCACCAAGGATGTAGCATTCTTCTTCGTGCTACTAGGTGTAGCATTCTACTTCTTGCACGATGGAAGACTTGTGATATATGAGTGTGTTTGCATGATTATTCTGTATATATTCTATGTCATCTTTGTGATTTTGAGAAAACAAGACATTTCTCAAAGCACAGACGTTGACCGCGAACCACTGTTTTCACCAATACCCCATCACCTGCGACCTCCTTTGCCACGGTCTTTGACGCCTATTTCACCTGTCAGCACAATATCCAACTCATCAAGGATTTCTGCAAATTCAGAGCTTGTTTTTGAGAACAATGTTCTAGCAGTGGAGTCCGCAAATGCAAGGCTCTCGTTATACGATTCCCTGAAACTAGCAATGCGGGAAGGTGATGACCGGAGATCTCGAGACGATTCAAAGACTACTTACGCCGATTCAGAGCGTTTGTTGAACTACAATAGTCCCTTGCACGGTCAGAGTCCGGTAATTCCACAGATCAGAGTCGATGCACCTACCGGCCTGCGCATAGACACTAGCATGGACCCTAGCATAGTGAACGAAGAGGGCTATTTCGACAGTATCCCAGATTCGGGGTCGTATAGCGGAATGATATTGCCAGAATTTGCAGAGATAGATTTCAAGACCCGACCACTTGAATCAGGGCTTTCTCTTGCAAGTATTCCATTTTTGCTTCCTCTAAGACTGACGGTTCCTGTCTATCCAGAGACAGACCTCGAGGATGATCAAGACCTTCGCAGATTAATGGTTCTTTTCGGTTTCCAAGCCTTTTTTGCACCTTTCATCGTGTGCTTAGGATTAGAAAATTGGCCTTCAACTGGATGGTGGAATTTTGCAATTCTAGGAATTGCCGGAATACTACTTTCCCTCATACACATCATACTATCAAGATCGAGCTTCACCAGGTTCAAATACTCTAGCCTTTTCCGGCCAATTTGCTCAGGCTCAGGCTTTGGAATTTGTCTCATATGGATCACGATTCTTTCCTCGGAACTCATCCAAATTCTCAAGAACATGGGTGTGATATTTCGTGTTGATGAGGGAATGCTGGGTCTTACCGTACTTGCTCTCGGCAACTCAGTTGGTGATCTAATTGCCAATACCACGCTTTCTTCGTTGGGAAATCCTCAGACAGGAATAAGTGCCTGCTTTGGAACACCATTATTATATATTCTTCTTGGAGTTGGCCTGAACGGGTTAATTGTCATCATTGGCCCCAAAGGCAGTGGGACCAGTCTTGAGTTTGGTCTAGAAACGAATCTCTATGTTAGTTGTGCTGGACTACTGATGATTTTAATGTTCTACATAGTGGTCATTCCCAGGAACAAATGGGTTATTTCGCGCGAAATCGGAGTTTTCGCAATTTGTTGGTGGGTGTTGATAACGACAGTCAACGTGATATTGGAGTTAAGGCGAGGTTCTACTACGGTATTTCATAAAGTATGATAAATTAGATCGATTAAGTCCATATGTTTATATTCGTTCTCCACTTTGAGAGAAAGAAATAATGATATCAGATTGTGTAAAAATGCAGAGAAAAAAGGAGAAAAAAGAAAACTTTTCCAAAGTTGTCCTGGATGGGAGGTATGGGAGGCATGGGTTGATATTAGGCCATACATCCTTTGATAAGAAATCCAAAGCATTCAAGCATTCAAGCATTCAAATGGACACCTGGATGTCAAAAAATAAAAGAACAAATATCATGCATGGAAGAAGTGTGTATACTGTCTCGACATCTCGTGAACATCCATGGTAGTCTTGTAGTTGTTCAGCTCCATCCTGATATCCTTGATCATATTTGGAGTAGCAGAAAGCTTCTGGTAATTCTGCTTCAGACTCAGATTGAACCTATCGTACATTCGATAGGAATAAGTGTCGTTTAAGTACACTTTGTTAGAAAATGCCACAGTTCTCGACGAGCTTGGCTTCGGAGATTTCAACGAAGATGAAGAAGACGAAGAGGCAGGCACAGAGGAAGGGACAGGAGTACGCAAACAACCTTTGGAGACCGTCCAAGATTTGCGAGGAGGTCTGGCAGTATTTGTGGTGACAATATCGACATCGCACTCATACTCGAGACAGTCATCTCTGTGGTTGTCTCGCAATTTTGAATGGTAATGCGCAGCGTCATACTCGTGATAATCCAGCTCGAAAGACAACACGGCAGAACCATTTGTGCGAGCAGTAAGAACAGAGCTTTGAGCAGAGTTATTAGAGGAAACGGTATCTGATCTGCTCAGAGACTTCCTGCGATCCATGGACTTTTTCTTTTTGAGACTGAGTCTTCTGGTTTGACCGAGATCTTCCTGAGCCAGATCTGGGAAGGAAGTCTCTCCAATCCCATCGAACATGGAAGCCGTGAATGGAAACTCAAGCTCTAGTGGGGTGTCATCATCACTGGCCTCAGGGGTTACCAGAATCTCGGTAACCTTCGCAGGAGAACTCTCCTCGGAAGGTTCTTCACGGATCGAATCCGTAACCACCTTACACTCATTCTCGGTATGCATATGGTGTTCCAAGATTGACTTCTCAAAGTCAATTTCAAAGCTTCCAAGAGAGTTGATTTTGGCTTCACAATCATCGCCGACTTCAAAACTGTGCAGGTCGTCATCAGCGCTACTTATTTCTGTGAGTAGCATAGGGCATTCTTCTTCTTCCTGGATCGGCGCTGGGAGGGATGCTGAGTTCAAAGCAGAAGACGAAAGGTTCGGCTGCGACATGGCCTTTCTAATTTGGCTGACCTCGGCAGCCTCAACTGCCTTCAAATCTAGTTGATCTTGATGATTCGAAGGTAGCAGTTTTAGCGAGAGTCTGCTTGATCTAGATTGGATACTTGGACGGGGTAGCTCCGACTTCGAGGAACCTTTAGATTTCTTGAAGATCTTCTGGAAGAACCGCTTGAAACCAGAAGAGTTCTTCTGTGGAGCAAGCTTTTCAGTAACCGGAGATTTCAAGACAGGAGTTTTCGAGACGGGAGCCTGTGAGATGGGAACTACCGGAGCTGGAGTGACTTTAACAGCTGGAATAGTCACAGTAGGAACAACCACAACAGGAACAACCACAGCAGGAGAAATCTCAGCAGGATCGGCAGGATCAGCAGGATCAGCAGGATCAGCAACATCAACACTCTCAGAAAGTTCCTCGTGAACCTCAACGAGAATAGGCGAACCAATTTCACCAACAGAACCCAAATTCAGCGAGCAAACAGAGCCATACTTCACAGGCGGATCGTCGTTGTTGATAGATGAAACCGGAGTGTCCAAGTTTTCACGAGACGGGCTCGGACTTGAGGATGAGTTCAGCGCACTGATAGACGCAGATGACGACGAAGTCGATGTTTCGTGGGCAGTGGATGCAGAAGAAGCAGTAGAAAACCTCTTTTGATAGAGCGAGAACATCTGTTCTTCTTTAACGACAAGCTGGGTGTTCACCTTAAGAGGTGGCTGCACGAATGGAGGCCGCAATTGCTGCTGTTGCTGCTGTTGCTGATGATCGTAGAAAGAGGGACGACTAGAACGTTGGTGCAGTGCAGGTCTGTGAGTCTCCGGAGCCGTTGGCACTGTTGGTCCGCGTTGAGCGTGGTATGACAGATTCGGCAGCGAAGTTGAATGATCAAGACTAGGTTTTAACTTCTGGGGCCTATTGGATCTCCTCTTAGGATTTTGTCTGGGCCTGAACACTTCACCGTTGGGAAAGTAATACTCACTAGCCTGGGGCGCCACAGTGTTGATGCTCGAGCTTGCTGGCGATTGGACCAATTGACGTTGCGACACGATCGAGGGTATGCTCGTGACGGAGTTAGCACGGGACTGCTGACTAAGTCTGCGAGAGAGCTGCTGATGATATCCTGATCTGGGGGTTCTCTTGAATCTGTCCTCGAGGTTGACAAGCGAGTCAGTTGACATATGTCTCGATGAAATGTTTCTAGTTGAAACAGTGGAGGCCATGGTGCTTGTTGAAGCGAAGGATGCTGTCGAGTTCCGCCTGGATATTCCATACTGGAAATTCTGGGGCAAATCTGGCCTTTGTTGGTACATTTTGATAATAGTATGATGCAGATGAGAAGGCGATATCAAGAAAAAGAGATATCACAACTGGTGATGACAAGGTGTTTCAGCAAAAAAAACAGTGATCTAGCTTTTGAGAAATTGATAGCAATTTTGACACTGAAGCCTAGACAAGGGGAAGATCGCTTCGAATAATCTTTAAGATTTTGAGTTCACCAAGGTAACGTAGCCATGTAACTGAGCTAAGCACAGGAAGGGGGGGGGAGCAGCAAGGGCGCAGGTAGCCTGGAATGTTATCAGCTATAGTCCTGAATTGATGGCCAGAACTAATCCTGAGCGATAAAGGTAGTTGCTGCTATTCAGAATCAGTATTGTGGTTTTTTTCCGGTTTAAAAACGATCAGAATTGGCCTTCTCAAACTGGCTGTATTGTGCCAACGGGGTTGGTTGTCCTAGAGACAAGGACAACAGGACCAAAAATAGCCGTTCGAAAGAGGCGAGTCAGATATCGCTTCAGCACAACTAACCAAACAAGTGTTTTGGTCTGAACTGGAAAGCAAACACAAAAAGCTGCGGAAATATGAATAAAGCTTGTGAGAAAAGGTACCGGTTGAGAACTCAAAATTCAGGCTTCCAAAAAAAAGTTCGGCACCCAATTTTGCAGCTTGATGCAGTTGTAAAAATAGCCGAGTCGTGCAGAGACAGAACGGTTCTGGGGTTGGACCGTCAGTTTGGGAGGTTTCTGCAATAATATATCAAAAAATTTATGCTCAATCGTGTAAATTGGATCTTGTGCACAGTCCTTGGGCAAAAATTCTGATGTTTTGGCAAGAGGGAGAGAAAATGGGTGGCGCTGATGCAAGCAGACACACTCCGCTATATAGCCCCGAAGAGCTTGCCTGGCGGGAATGTGCCCTTACAGCTTTGAGTATATGCTGGAATCGCACCAAATGTGGGTTTATGAAGTTTAGTGGCCTGATGTATCTACAGCTAATTTCACTTTTTCGGTTTGGCCTCGTTTTCACATCTATCCATCTTAGTCCCTATGCCACTGTCAAAGCAAGGCAGCGTCACAGTTCCAGGTTGAGCTCCCCGTGGTCAAGCCATCAAGCATGAAACTCACAAAAGCCATATTAAATCAAGATACACACATAATGAACACACCATACTTAAGGATCATGTTCATACGTTTCGGGTGAAGACTAAACACACACTCCACACTCCACTCTCCATCACTGAGACCAGTGTCAAAACTGCCCCATTCCCCTTTTGATCCCAAAGCGGCCTTAATTGGGATGCCACATATTACCTTTTAGAGACTGAAATTTAGCCCGATTGGGACTCAACTCTGAGGCGACATATTGATTATCACACGAATCAAAATTGCATATGTATGGTATATGCTTCGACACACCTTCATAGTATACCTATAACCTCACTCGTTCAATTCTCTCCCAGATATAGAGCCGTACATTTACAAACATGATATGCTAAATTAAAATCGTTTTTGGCTAATTTTTGGTCGTTTCCCGTCCTCTCGTTTCCGCCGTTTTTTTCCGATTCTTCCGATCCGGGTTGCGGCTCTGTGACCGCCCCAAAACGCATTTCACCACATATGCCGTTCCGAGAAGAACAGACGCCAGCGTCGCATACCTTATCGCATTGAAGTCTGTCCGGATCGCAGCAGGTACTTCGAGCTGCATAGTTTGTTGACTTGCAGCGTTGGCCACGTGATAGAACACTGTCTCGGGCTCGAAGTACGATTTGTAGCCTCCAAGGGCAGTATAATCAAACGGAGAATGTGACAATGCATCCACTTCTACCTGAAACTGATCAATTTTTGCTTGACGAGCTTCGCGCTCAATCGGAGTGGTTCCTGCAAGAGACTCTGCTGCCTGAACTGGTTTTTTGAGATCACAACCCCAGAAAAGCTCTCCTAGGAGGAGTTCAACAATATCACTGCTATTCCCAGGCAAAGCATATCTGGAGTGGAAAGGAACCTCCAAAGATTGGGTTTCGACCAAACGTCCAGGGTCAACTCTTAGAAGTATTTCAGAGCCCCATTCGAGGGTATTGGCATACTGAGGCTGCTCCAAATTGTCACTACCCCAGAGTCCAATCAGATCTACTGCTTGCAGCCACTTAAGCTCATATCTATCCCAATAAACATCGTTGGGATAGTTCACGTGGTAGAATAGCTCGCACATGGGCTCTTTAGTGCTATTTGTCTCGAAGGAACCAGCCAATTTCATGGGTTCCCGCAGATCTCCCTCAAACTGAAGCCGTAATTTTGGGTGGAGTCCCGGAACATTAACAAGGGAAGTGTGTACTTCGGATACGGGAACTAGACGGTGTGGCCGCTGAAATTGAAGCATTGTGCGCTTCTCCTGAGCATCACCAAGTGCATACCGAAACCCATTGATCGCAATTGAATCCACCGAGCTTAGCCTCGGCTCTCTCTCAAACACACCAACTTCAGTCTTGACTCCGCTCTTGGTGTATACCGTATCTGGCTGCGCATGGTCGAAAGATGTGAACGATATGTTCAGTCCAGTAGAACCAAACGCTGCAGAAAATTCATCCACATGACCTAATTCGCCCTCACCTGCAAATCTAGAGAACACAGATGATAACCATTGCTGTACATGAACATCTCCGACATTTATTTTGGAGCTGAATCCACTGGGAGTAGCTATGAACTTAGTCTCGGTCTCAAGCCCCAGGTCCTGCAAGAGCATTGAGCCAATGGTCCGGATTTCCTCATCTAATAGCTGAAGCCGAGGCCTGAGATAAAGAAATAGTCCCGCGGAATTGTAAGAATCTAGTATCTCGTTTCCTACCGCTTCTGGATATCGGTAAGTGATCTCAAAACCCTGGAACACTGCTGCCCAGTCGCCAAACAGACTGGCCTCATACGGCACTCTCAACACGTTTTGCCGCGAACCAGTAACTGCTGGGATCTCCAGACTTTTTGCAGTCAGTTTAACCTTGGAAAAGACCTCGCTGGCATCTGTCTTGTTGTCAAGAATGAATGTGATCCTGTGATCCATGTTGATTGTCTAATGCGTGGTAGGCTGAGGATAGCAGGTTCAAAAAATGCAGTGAAACTCAATCAATGCATTCAAGCACCGCTAGTTCAAATAGAAAAAGAAAAATGCAAACTCCAGCTCTTAATCGAGCTTCTGGATTAGTATTGCTTTGCCTCTAGAGTTCGAGAACTCAAGGTGGAGTCGATTGTCTTGGTTTGGCAGGGGAAGTGTGCAACTCAATAATTCCGGTTTGGGGCTCCCAACCACGGGATCAATAAAAGTCGGATGCAGATGCTGTGCGGCGTGAGATTCATGCAGAATTAAACTTGCTTCCCAACAGAACTAAGTAGCTTGGCAACAGATATTGTTCTGTGTCCAAGAATGATGATATGAAATACTCTCTCTCTGTTCTAATGTAGAGAACGATAGCAGAATATTTAAACTTTCCACAGAATAGATAAACCAGGCTTACCTATCAAGTACTCGCTGCACATCCGAGCCTGAATTGAGGGTTTGACAGGTCAAGCACGATAAGCTATTTCAGTTTTAATCTCCAAATTGACCCAATTTGGACCCTCTAGCCGGGGTTTCTAGTGAACCTGCATTCGTTTCCCCGGTATATCGTGAGAGATTACGTCTCAAACAATGGCTTTTTGCGGTATGCATTATTGCTTGGCAGAATTCCCAGCTTTTTCGGGAAATATCAGGGAAGCGCACCCGGAATCTTCATTCAATTCCGTTTATTAGTATTCTGATTTCCATAAAAGCCATACTCCTAATTGCACAGTCATGATTTGCTCAAAACTACTCAAATAATCACTTTTTATGCGTAGATAATAGAAACAATGCAATCTTTTGAGGTAACCATTTGGTCTAAGTTCACTTCAATCATTCGATTGAATTAGAGACCTAAGATGAGTTTCACGAATCAATTTACGAAGCCCTTAATACAGAGGTAGATGAGACCAAACTTTATATGCGCTTTTGCAAACGAGTGGAGAATCAGTGAGGAGGCTACGCATGACCACGGGTTCCAGACCTAAGCCCTCGTCGGACATGTGGAAGTTTCTCATGTATCTTGAGATCGACCAAATGCTTTGCCTAGTCAAAGTAGCTTCTGCATGGCACCTGAGCGTAGAGGCATTTCCACAATTGAACGGCAATTACTCGATGATGCGAACATTGTCATTCTCATAGTGGGATCGCTCTTATCTAAACACCTAACTAAACCGCCTAAAATGCATCCATAGTATAGTCATGCTCGATGCCTGGAGTCACACTCGATATGAACTTAAGAAAAACAATCAGATACTGATCGACCCTAACCACCTCATCACCCTCAACGTCCTCCCATTCGTCATCCTGGTCCGACTGTTTGGAGTCGGAATCCGCCAGTCCCAATTTTGCAACTCCAGAAGTGATGGATTTTGTCGATTTTGCTTTGGCTGCCTTCGCAGCACGGTTCATGAGCACCTTCATGACTGTAGCGTGCTTGCAGGGATGTATCGACACTGAGGTTGTGTTCGACAGAAATGGCGCCTTCTCGATTGTAGCAGTCTTCTTGCGATAATCACTGGAGATGTCTTCAAACATCTCGTCTGGAGTAAGAGGAGTCCCATTGTAGTCGAAACCTACCAGATACATCTTTGGAACCCGGTAGGAGGTGGAGTACCCAACGTACAGATCGTAGTACCGAACCAGATCATCTACCGGCCCGTTAATAATACCCGGAACACCGGCACCTGGGGCTTCAGCATCTCCTCCCTCTGCATCCTCTTCGATCAGTTCGTCAATATCGTTATTGGCAGATTCATCATCACTGGACTCTTTCATTCCCACATACGCGTCTGAATGTCTCCTCTCTTGCTCCGGAAGACAGTGGCTCCGCGTATATGCCTGGTGATGAGTTGCGGTCCATCCCTCACCGTCTTCACCGTCAGAAACCTCCACATCCGCGCCATCGTCGGCGTCCTCATCAAGATAATCTTCGCAACGCGCGTACGACGGAACATGACGCGTCACTAAGAACTGCTTATCCGCAGGAAGAAAGTCCTTACGCTTGGACTCTGGGGCAGGTGACCATTGCCATGTGGGGAATTTGTAAACGAGATAATCGCCAGCCTCCACAAATTCCTCTGGCGTAATCTCACCAGAGCTGCGGAACGTTGATTCGTGCGAAACGGGTGTAAGATACTCCCTCCAGGAGCGAATAGTAGATCTGAGCATATCGCTATAGTGCCGGCAAAAACCTTAACAAGACACCAAATTTGTAATCTGATCAAACTGATAAATGTGGCGGCTTGGCAGTCTTACGTATCCTATCAAGTAACTAGAACTAGTCAGATAGTTTTGAAAATTAACTTGCACAACCCAGGAATCTGTTATCACAAATGCACTAAGAATCTCAAAAAACCTGTCAAAAAACAACAAGGCTCGCAGATACAGAGGAACATGAACCGCAAGCGTCAGGAGAGGGCGGCAAGTCATACAAGAAGCCCTTATCGCAAAAGACGTGCCCTAACCAACTCCGTTTCAGTCAATAGAGTATCCCACGACCCTGCCAAAACTCAATTTCACCACAACAGATTCAGCTTTGTCCCCAATGCCACGTCCGGCAGATCGCTCTCTCAGTCTTTTGTTTTACACAGCAGGTTCGCGAATCAGGCCCAATTAGGTCTCAACTCATTTATGCCTCCCAGAAAGAGAGTGAGCGCTGAAGCGAAGGAGCCGAAGAAGAAGACCAGCAAGGTAGTGGAGGTTGCGGTCACGGAGACTGAGACGGAAGATGGTACGGTTTCCCATGCCACTGCCACCAAGCAGCAGGAAGTAAGCAAGAGACGGCGTCTTTTAACGTCAAAGCGGATCATTTTTGTTTTTGGAACCGCAATTGGTGTCTTATTAGCAGCATATTTCGGTCATAAGCAGATTGATTCTCCTTTCCTTCCGGATCTGGACAAGCTAGTGAACTTTGACTCTTTTACCAATTACTGGGAAGAATGGTACGAGATGCTTCCGGCGTCGATGCAGGGTACCATGGATGCTGTTGAGGGTGAAAAACTTCGTGGATCCTCGGATTCATTTGCTATTGGCAAGCAGATGAAAGGAGTGGGTCTCGAGGCCAAACATCCGGTGGTGATGATTCCGGGAGTGATCTCCACTGGAATTGAATCATGGTCTCTCGAGGGCACAGAGGAGTGTCCTAGTGAACCCCATTTTCGCAAGAGGCTCTGGGGGTCGTTCTACATGATCCGAACCATGGTTCTTGATAAGGCATGTTGGTTGAAACATATAATGCTGGACCCAGAGACTGGCCTTGATCCGCCGGGAATCCGTCTTCGTGCAGCGCAGGGATTTGATGCGGCAGACTACTTCATGACTGGATACTGGATCTGGAACAAGGTTCTTCAAAATCTGGCTGTTATTGGTTATGGCCCTGACAACATGCTGAGTGCAGGATACGACTGGAGATTGGCATATCTCGACCTCGAGCGTCGCGATGGCTTCTTCAGCAAGCTCAAGTCACAGATCGAAATGTACAAGAAACAGAGGGGAGAAAAAGCGGTGCTAGTTTCGCATTCAATGGGTTCCCAAGTGGTGTATTACTTTTTGCAGTGGGTTGAAGCAAAGGGTGAGCATTTTGGAGGAGGAGGCCCCAACTGGGTCAATGATAACATTGAAGCCTATGTGGATATCTCTGGAAGTGTTTTGGGTACCCCAAAGGCGATTGTTGCCCTGCTTTCTGGTGAGATGAAGGATACTGTCCAGCTAAACGCCTTAGCAGTGCAAGGTCTTGAGAAGTTCTTCAGCAGAAGAGAAAGACTAGACATGCTAAGAACGTTTGGCGGGATTCCATCCATGTTTCCCAAGGGTGGAGATCTAATTTGGGGCAATCTGACGTATGCACCGGATGACGTTTTGAAAAGCAACGAAACCACAACGAACAGTCTTGGCCAGTTCATAACTTTCGATGAGGATATCGGAACTTATTCGAACAAGAACCTCACAATTGCACAAAGTATCGATTATTTGCTGGACCAATCGCCAGAGTGGTTTGTTAACCGTGTTCAAGAACAGTACTCATTTGGACTTGCAACCACCAAGAAGCAATTGGAGCTCAACAAAGAAAACCCAAGCAAATGGAGTAACCCATTGGAGGTGCCTCTTCCGAACGCCCCCGACATGAAAATCTACTGTCTTTACGGAGTTGGAAATCCAACAGAAAGAGCATACCATTACCGCGAGGAAGTCAATAAGGATGTGTCTAAGCTGAACGTTTCGATCGAGGCAACTAAGGAGAGCTCTGTTCTCCTTGGCGATGGTGATGGAACTGTTTCTCTGATGACCCACACTATGTGTCACAAATGGAAGGAGCCGGGAAACATCTTCAACCCAGGAAACAGCAAGGTAACTGTCGTGGAGATGAAACACGAACCAGACAGATTCGATATCAGAGGAGGCGCAAAGACCGCTGAACATGTGGATATCCTTGGTTCTGCTGCCCTCAATGAGTTGGTACTGCGAATCGCAGCGGGTGATGGCCTTTCGATAAACGATACTTACCATACATCACTCAAAGATATCGTTTCCTCGCTGGACTTCTGAACTTCTCTCTATTACCCGTTATATACTGTTGGAGCAGGCCCACAAGCACAATTGAGTTTGTTCAACTCATGATATTTAAAGTATTGAAAATGCCATACAACATACCTGGCTCTGTATATATTTTTGTAGTTATATCGGTGCTTGACAGTCGGGCGGGATACATATCCCACCCTGTACGATGTACCGCAATGTAACTACAAATAGCGCATCTCGCTTCAGGCTCGATGACCATCTAATGTTATTGTCCGCATCCCGTTACTTTTTCCGCTCGCTTCGACATGGCAAGCACACGTATTTCCAAAAGCGTGGGCGCGTAACTGCATGCCTGTGGAGGACAATAGCTCCGAGCCGCCGGAGGGCCTCAGTAACCGCCCACCCACCTGTGTGATGAAAGTGAAGTTATGTAAATATATTCTATATTCATTTATAATTATCGCCTCGTATTCATCACCGTCACTGAGTTGCTGAACCGCATCCCCAACACCGCTTGTTGAGTCCCGTGCCCGTACCAGAAGAGGGCGCGTAATCGTTTCAAGAAACTACAAAAACAGACGCGCCACGCCCAAAGAGGCAAAACATCAACAAACAACAAATACACGTTCGTCGATGGTTTATATACAGAAAGGGCGTCTTGGCCTTTGGTGTTTGGTTGACAGCATAGCATAGCAACATCAATCGGTTTGCTCGGTTGATATTGTTGAGAAAGGAAGAAGAGTACAGTTTATCATCCATTGCACCTGAAGTATAGCAGTCAATAGCCGCCAGATTCATTGAAACTTCCTGCCAACTCAACTCTACTGTCTTCCTTCCAAAAGCTCGTTTTTTCTTCTGTTTACGCATCCTTCCCTGATATATCTGCATTTAATCATGACTACTGCCACATCGACCCAGCCAGGTATCCATCGCATCCCTTTGGGTGCGCTGGGTGAATCGAAGCTCAACATCGCCAACTCCAAGAGGTCCGGTCTCTTTCAAAAGTCAGACGGAGCCCTACCAGCCCTCAAACGTGCCAAATTGGACCTGGGACTTGCCAGAAGGGCAGCATCGACCTCTATTTCCTCAGAGAAGTCCAGCGTCGACTATGCACAGGCATTGAAGACTCGTCTACGTCTGGCTCTCTATAAGGTCAAGACCAACCAACATTCACTCTCGATTTCCCAATTGGACAAACCCCAGAAATCTGCGTCGTTTCCAGCAAAGGAAGCCAACCCCCCATCGCTTCTGGCGGCTTCTACGCCGCTTTTTGCAAGGTTGGGTGGAAAGAGATCTGTAAGCTTTATGGACTATATCGTGGAGCAAAAAAATGAGTCCAAGGACAGAACAATGCCCCCTCCAATTCTTCAGCTGCCAACCCCCAACACCTCGGTAAACACCAGCACCTCATCACCTTCCAAGATTGCCCAAATCGGAAGACGCCAGCTCAAATCCATTTCCAAATTCACACTCCCTCCAATACCCAATCTGACTCCGCAATCGCAGCAAAAAGCGAAAACCGAGTCTTTGTCTCTTCCTTCAATTGCCGAGATGGTTAAGGGCTCCAATGCTTTGGAGACCTCTCCAAACGCGACGATCTTCTTGCAAGACTCGTCAGAGATGATGGTCACGCCTGTTCGCAGAAAACTGGGATCCAGATCCCAACATCAACCCACAAACGACACCACCATTGATCAGGACGAGACGCAGCTCATGTCCAGTCCAAGCAGACTGCTCTCTACGCCTTCCTCGATTGGAGCAGCCAAGTGTCTATTGCAATTGGCACTTAGATGAGTCATGAGAAAATCAAATCAGTTGATAAGCCTAATTTTTCTGCTCTTATCAGATTTGCCAACCATCTGTATGCTATTGGGAAGCCATCTTCTAGAGGTTGTCGACTTTAACCCTACTTGGCTTTCCGTCCTTAATTTTGCTACTACACCAAAATCAATACACACATCATGAATAAGAAGCTGTAGATACTCTTTCTTTCTTTGTTTCTCTATGTCTATTTGAGCAAATTGTCAGTGCTCATGCAGGCTCTCTATACTCATCTGAGACTGTAGTTTGCATCTATAAGCTCCAGTTTTGTCGTTCACTGCTTCTTTGTCTTTGGCTGCGACTTGAGTCCAACAATGGCCTCTGCAGAGATCCCACCAAAAACACATGCCACACCCACCCATTGCAACAAACTGAGGTCATGTCCAAATAGAAACACACTGAACAGCATTGACAGCATTTTGCGGGTGACGGTAACTGTGACGAGAACAATCGAGTCGAACTTCTCGAGAGTGATGAAGATGAAGATCTGGCCAATTGAGCCTAGAACAGCAAACACCAATATGTCATGGAGTACCTGGGGATAATTAACGATGAACCTGGCAGAATCCTGAAGCTCAGTGGTGAACAGAATCACATAAACCAGAGAAAGACCACAAGCCAGAAAGTTCAGACCAGACATGAGATGTGCACCGGTAACACCCAATTTCTTCTTGAACATGTTATCCTGGGTCGAGTTGGTGAGACCATCCATAAATAGCGAAATAACCAAAAATGCCATCCCGAGAAGCGTGTTTCCGTCGTTGGACCCTGGCTTGGCCTTGCCATTACCCAGAGTGAAAACTGATACCCCAACAGTAACCAGAAATGCAACGAAGTATTTGAAAAGGGGAAAGCTCCTGCTATATATGAGTTTGTGCACGAGCATTACCGGAATCAGTTTGCACGATTTTGCCAGAAGGTAGGTCAGATAGCTGACATGGCTAAGAGAGCAATAGGCAATGGGAGACGAGATGGTCTGGGTAACAGCGATTGTGGCGAAACTCTTGAGAATCTCGGGGTTGCCCAAAAAGCTCAGCGGCGTCTGGAATTTCTTCGTTTTCAGACTAAGATAAACCGAGCCGACCAAACATGCGAATAGTGACTGGACCCCGTTGATCAACAGCGGAGCCTTGAAGAATTCGGACTCGTCTGGCCCATAACCTCGCGTTGAGATCCTTTCAAACAGCAAGGCCCAGCTAATGAACGAGGCATATATTCCACCCACGCAAATCACCAACCATCCAATATTTTGCATCTTTGGGTAGGACTCAGTCGCTGTTCAAAAGAACAAGTAGACACTCACTGAGAAAGACCGATCTATCTCTGTGCGACTCTCAATTGGGTGCCGCACGTAACTGAAGGACCTAGCTCAGGACCTGCTCTTGCCTCTACCGGGCTTTTTTTGGTGATTAATGGTACCAATCGAATGGTGAGTTCAAACGGTTAGAAATCCTTTCCATGAGTGTTTATCATTACTGACAGCGTTTTTAGGTTCTTCCCCTTATCATTGGAGTTGGGGTCACGGTGGCGGCGCTGACACTCAAGTCAGGCATCCAGGCATACATACGCTACCAGAGGCTGACACCCTCCATGATAGCCAGTCTCAACAAGATACGGATATCGCACGAAAAATCGCCTGATCCAAAGTTCAACGTGCTGTTTGAGCAGTTTCCTGGGGGATTTAACTCGAAGATGACCGAGAACGAAGCACTTCTCATTCTAGGTATCACCGAGGACGAAATCATGCATTTGGACACTCAGTTACTCAAGAAGAAGCACAGAAAGTGTATGATTCAAAACCATCCAGATAAAGGAGGATCCCCGTACATGGCGATGAAGATTAATCAGGCTAAGGAAATACTAGATGCGAGTTATATGGTGCGAAGGTGACCAAAGTCTTTGTTGAAGCTGATTGTTACTTCGCTATTACTCACATTAGCGTTGTCATATACATGTACATAGATCCTTTCGGTTTGTCTCATCAAGAATCCACCACATTCTCCAATACCTTGCGAAGAGAAACGCACCAGCTCACTCCACCATTCGACATCATGAATGAAAGCACCTCTTCTTTCATGGATTCACTCGTCACTTCTCCATCCAAAGACCTGCGTAGTATACTGAACAGAAACTGCCTCTGCGAAGCATCTCCAAGTCGCACGATCGTAGTTTTCACCTTTTCCAAGTGATATTTGAGTTCTTTTTCCGGCAACGCATTCTCCTTCACAGTTACATAGTCCCACATTTTCAACAGCTCATCTACTGTTGCCGTATATGGAGATTCACTGTCACAGTCGTTTGACACTGATGACTGCCTAGACGAAACTCTCGAAGCCATCACAGGCGGCGGGGTTAGATCAGTGAGCCTAGTCTGGGACCCATACGCTGAACCTGGAGTTGGCGGCGTAGAGTAAAGAGATGTTCGCGAATTAGATGCAGAGGACAGTTGCGAAACAGATCTCTTTTTTTTTGCGCCTGCGCTGGGGATCACTGGACAATCGTTCCAGCCTGGCATCGAACCCGCGTTCTGGTACGACATGGCTGACATCCCACAACACTTTGTGGTAACTTCAATTTAGACAATAATTTGACCGGTTTAACCACAGACCAGAATGCACAGAACTTTTATTCGGCTTCAAACCGCGGACTATTGAGCGTGAACAGGTCCTTTTAAGCAGACACCGGAATTCTACAAACGCCACGTTAACAGCCCTGGTCTTTGTAGGTGTCGTAACCAAATTCGATATCTCGCATACAACTAGCTTTCCATAGTTTTACTTGAAAGAAGTTTGAAAATACAGTGCTCTATTAGTCTGTTGTGTATAGTCAAGTTTGAGCGATATTGTACATACATCTTTATGTGGAGGGTGAGGAAGCGCAGCAGTCAGAGTGCAGCGTTTATCCGGTAATCCTATGATTCAGCTTCATAGCCTTGGACAGAATGGTCTCTATACTAGGCCTTTCGTGTGGGTCCAGTTCTAGACATGCGCGGATCAGGTCTTTGATGCCATCGGAGTAGGCAGGGTTGGCTGGGAAGGAGTATATACCAGAACTGATTGCGAGGTTAATATTTGCACCATTCTCGAGCTCCTCGCGTTCAAAAGGTGAGTATCCGTACAGCAACGCGTAGAGAGTGCACCCGAGAGACCAGATATCAATTCTCTCATCGAGCTCATCACCCACCTTCACATCCAGCAATTCTGGAGCTCTGTAAGGCAACGTACAATGCTCTTCAGCCAGCTCCTGAACTGTAATCGCTTGAGCGCGGTTCTTAATCGTCACATGCGCCCTTGCACACGATCCCAGATCGCACAAAACTGGATTTCCGTCCTGAGAAACCATGATATTCGCAGGTTTGATGTCTCTATGAGCAAAACTCACAGTCTCAGTTAACTCAGTAGAGTCACCGTATTGCGACCCCCCGTCAGCAAACGGATCTACCTCGTCTTCATCATCCTCCAAAGGCTCTGAGCGTAACAGAATCTGGCTTTCTGTAGCAGAAGCCAAATCATCCTGATCGCCAGTCGAGCCTGACCTTTCCATCGTGTACCCCGTCTTAGGATGATGACGATGCATTGACTGAACACCGCGACAAATTCCCACAAAAAGAGAAAGCGCCTCCTCCTCAGAGATAACCTGTCCATTTACGACGTTCTTTGTAATCACATCCTGTAGTGATCCATCCTGGAAGTACGGAAGAAGGATGTAAACCGTCTTGGACCCATCCGGCTCTTGAACCACACTTGAGTCAATCGCCTGTATTATATAAGGTGAGCGAAATTCCCGATAACTATCCACCTCCTTCATCGCTGTTTTGACATTTTCGTTTCCGAAAGGGCACCGTATTTTCTTCAGGGCATACAATCCCCCGTCTCCCGCTTGCACTAGGTAGACGTATGAATAGGCACCTTCTCCAAGAAGCCGCAATATCTTAAAATTTGACTTGTTTATCCGCAGAAGCGGCGTCGACGATAAGCATGGCAAACACACCGCAAAACAGCTCGCGATGAACGACATTGTTGCCATGGAAGTGGGAACAAAGAGCTGCTATCTGTGGATTGAAGCAAAGAAGGTGGCATTTACGGTTGTTCCGATTTGGGATACCAAGCAACGATGCACGACCTTTTGGAAAATCGATAAAAACACGACCTCTCGTTTTTTCCTTCGTGAGTGAACTACGCTGGCAAGAAACCAAAGAAGCGTTGTAGAGATTGAGCGTTTTCACCAATATATTAGACAACTGCGATGGTAAGTGGATAATTATGATCACACAAAGGGGTATCATTTTGTGTACTAACATGTATTTCTTCCCGCAGTCGATAACAACTTCGGACCCCAACAAGGACCTCCAGGCCCTGTCGTTGATTGCAGCGCATTCGCACATCTCAGGCCTTGGTTTGGATGACAATTTGCAGCCAAGAGAGGCATCACAGGGAATGGTTGGTCAGCTAACTGCGCGTAAAGCTGCTGGTGTCATCCTGAAGATGATCCAAGCAGGCAAGATTGCTGGCCGTGCCGTTCTGATTGCTGGTCCTCCATCTACCGGAAAGACAGCAATTGCCACCGGAATGGCCCAGTCTCTGGGCCCTGACGTGCCGTTCACAGCTTTGGCTGCCTCTGAAATTTTCTCGCTAGAACTTTCCAAGACGGAGGCGTTGACCCAGGCTTTCCGCAGGTCCATTGGAATCAAAATCAAGGAGGAGACTGAATTGATTGAAGGTGAGGTGGTAGAGATTCAGATCGACAGGTCGATCACCGGCGGACATAAGCAGGGTAAGCTGACTATCCGCACTACCGATATGGAGACGATCTATGAGCTTGGAAACAAGATGATTGACGGTCTCCAGAAGGAGAAGGTTTTGGCTGGTGACATCATTTCCATAGACAAGGCCAGTGGAAAGATCACCAAGTTGGGCAGATCATACACCAGGGCTAGAGATTATGATGCTATGGGACCAAACACCAAGTTTGTGCAATGTCCAGAGGGAGAGTTGCAAAAGCGCAAGGAGGTGGTGCACACCGTCTCACTACACGAAATCGACGTGATCAACTCGAGATCCCAGGGATTTTTGGCGTTGTTTTCGGGTGATACCGGTGAAATCAGACCCGAAGTGAGGGACCAGATTAACACCAAGGTTGCAGAATGGAGAGAGGAAGGTAAGGCTGAAATTTCACCAGGTGTTTTGTTTATCGATGAGGTTCACATGTTGGACATCGAGTGTTTTGCGTTCATCAACCGTGCACTTGAGGACGAGTTTTCACCCATTGTGATCATGGCCACTAACCGTGGAATCTCTAAGACCAGAGGCACCAGCTACATGTCTCCACACGGATTGCCAGCCGATCTGCTTGACCGTTCCATCATCATCCGTACTGAGCCTTATTCTGAGGAGGAGGTTGGCCAGATTCTGTCGATCAGAGCTCAGGAAGAAGAGGTTGAGTTGGATGCTGGAGCCCTGGCTCTGTTAACCAAGATCGGAGCTGAAACCAGTCTTCGTTACGCCGCGAATCTCATATCCGTGGCTAACCAGATTGCCGTCAAGAAGCGCAGTTCGGTTGTGACTACCGACTGTATCAAGAAGGCCTATGTATTGTTCCTGGATAGTGGAAGGTCAGTCCAGTTCTTGGACGAGTTTAGCGACCAATACATCAACGACGACGGAAAGGTCAAGATCTCGACGGAGGTTGCGGGAAATGTGGATGCGATGGATGTGGGTGTTTAAAATGAAGTGTGTTAGAGTTGAAGAATTTGTACCACTAAGAACGTGAAATTTGTTTAAAAAATGACTTGATTTAAAGCGTAGCAACCGTGTGAACTGAACATCGCTACCCATCAGCATGTGAATAGTCTAGCGTGGCAGCTAGACGAAGGACTAATCAATCCCATAAAGACCCACTACAACAATGAATTGTCAATCCTAACATGTTCAATCAGTTGATATTTTTGCTTCGTTCTATCTATCCGTGTTATGCATGTGGGGATCAACCACTTCCCTTAGTGTTCAAGATCAATGCGATGATCATTCCATACAACCCCAGAACTTCTGCAAAAATCAGGATCAAAACGATTCCAACAAACAACTTGGGCTGGTGCATAAACTGGCGAACACCCTCATCACCTACTATACCAATGGAGTAGCCTGAAGCGAGACACGCAAATCCCACAGAAAGTCCACAACTCAAGTGCATGAATCCGTTAAAAAGCGAATAGTCCTTTGGAGAAATTCCACCGGCAATCAAGACAGCGACTACCAGTCCGTAAACAGATAAAATACCAGACATCACCACGGGGATCAAAGACCTCATGATCAGCTCAGGCTTGAATGTACCTATACCGGAGATACCGATACCAGATTTGGCAGTTCCGATAGCTGCTCCAGCACAACTTAGAACCATTGCCGCGCAACATCTGGAGAGAGGTTAGTAAGTCAGCAGAAAAGAGCCGTACAGAATAACTTGTACCAGGCTAAACACATACCCAGCAAATCCCAAAAAGGGAGCGAATGGAGGAACGAAATCCTGCGAAGACCTTTAGAAGGGTTAGTACAAGATCAAAAACATCATTAGCAAACTCAATTGGACACTTACATGGCGATCGAAGCTGAAGTCTATGTGTTCTTCGATAACCATCTAGTATGCCTTGTTCTTCTGCTGTTCAATCCTAGCAGCCAGGAGGCTAGGGCGGGTAACCCACTTGAGGTCGTGTATCTTAAGCAAGATTTGTTTACAGCACTCCACCATATCCAGAGTGTGAGTTGATTGTTTTGTCTCTTGCAATTTAATTAAATTAACTTGGTGGTGTTTCATGAGATAGGCAGTGTCATGTCTTCTCACAAACCAAAGAAAATACAGTTGCGACTGGATGACGTGAAGTACCTACACTCGCACGCCGTGGCAGCTGGCCACAGACACACGGATGCCAAAGTGCCTGATTCCGACTATGTCCTCAACAGACAGGTCAAGAACCTGGTGGATGAGTTCATCAATGAGACCTTTGAAAATGCTCGGAGGTCGATGGTTATAGCCGAGGACAGTGCAAAACAGCAGAAGGGTTTGGCTGATCTGATGAGCGAGTCAGACACGCGAGTTGAGCCAATCGACTTTGCGCTCGAGAAGAGGATGCGCGAGATGTATTCCAGCGTGGAGGAACAGGTGCTAAAGGTGACAAAATTACGAAAAACGATGCCAAGCGAGATTGCAGCACGAGGCCAGGAACAGCTGCGGCGCGTTGACGAGCTACAGCAGCAAGCTAATGATGATATGGGCATTAAAATATCGGCCGAAGAGGCATTAGACGAAGACTCTGCTGAAAAAGTCATACCAAACGCTTCGGAATGGAAATCTGCGTTTGAAGAAGCACTGAACAACCTGGAGAAGCTGAAGAAAGAGGCCCCGGAAGTAGCTTCGAAGATGAACAAGTTGGAAAAGATTGTGGAGGTGATCGAGGCAAGAAAGTGACCAAACTGCGGCTTGTTCGCGTGTACCATATTGTATACTAGTATTTAATGAAGGATTTAGCTCGGTTTAACGAGGAAACAGTTTTCCGTGTACCACCCAATCTGGACCAGACGTTGCAGAAGCACGACCTGAAATGTATACGCAAATCTTGCACTGGGATCGCTAAATACATACCGCGCCTTTAATAAGAATGTCTGGAATATCAGACTATCGCAAGAAAGCTTTTGAAATTCTGAAAGCCACTGTGCTTGATGACGAGGGAAAATTTCCACCACCGGCTTTCACGTCTGGATTGATCGTGTTCTTGATTATCGTGCATCTGTTGAGCTATGTGTATCCTCTGCAGAAGACATACTCGTTGGACCCGTGGGCTATCTACAACTTTGAATGTGAGTTATGAACTGAACATCAAGGAATCAGTTAAACAATAAATTTGCGAAATTTGCCACTAACACGTCAACAGTCTCCAAACTATCAATGTACCCTCTGGTGCACTCAGGCCTGTTGCATCTGTGCCTCAACATAATTACACTCGTCAAGTTTTTGTCCAAATACGAGAAAAGGCATGGAACCGTTCATTGTGGAATTGTGCTGAACACATTGGCTACTTGGACTGCGATTCCGTACTGTTTGTTTGGAATGTTGTTATGGCCCAACACTGCTGTTCTCGGGTCTTCGGGATGGTGTTTTTCCCTGATTGCATTCATGACTTACGGAAACAAAACACCAGTGCGTATCACGTCATATTTGAGTCTTCCGCAATGGGCTATGCCGTATGCGTTCATCTTATTGCTGGCAATTATGGTTCCCAACTCCAGTTTTGTGGGCCACCTTCTGGGAATGGGTACAGGTTACGCGCTCAGACTCGGGTGGCTCCGCTTTATGGTAGAGCCGCCAAGCAAGGTTGTGGAATGGATTGAATCAAAGCTTCAGCCGGTAATCGGGCTGATCCCAGGCGCAATTGTATACTACAAAGAGGCCCAGATGCGCGATGTCAGGGCCGAGGGGCTCATTGCTGAAAGCACGGTACTCCCTTTGGCACATCTACACCCCTCAGATGCGAATCTGCCTGCCCAGAAGTTTCCAGGTGAGGGAAATGTGCTTGGAACGGCGTAGAGCCTGGTTCCCAATATCTTATCGAGGGGCGTTCCTCTACCAACCTCATAGATTCGGTAGTGCACTAATAAACGCAATGGAAAATAGAGCTATATCTCCTCACAAGTACCCGCTTTACCTACCACATACGTTGAACGAATAAAAATTATACCAAAATCAGCCGGTTAATGCAGATAATCTGTACGCCTGACAACCATCCTCATGATTTTCGCAGTCCAAATTCTAAACCTTCGCTAGCTGTGCGTGCATCGACTAGATCTCCTCGCCACACGACCCTCCAGCCCAGTGTTTGTGGCGGTGCTTCTGGCGAGAAAAATCACGTCAAAGCAACGTTTAGCCTCTGGACCCGCTTATCTACACGCCCAACATTCGGACAAACCCACAACAGCCAGCCGGTTCCTGTTGAAAGTGGGACGCATTGGCGACTATTGGAGTAATATTTCACTGGCAAACGTCGTTGAAATTGTTGATCCTACACACAAATAGACATCCAGTCCGACTTGATGATGTCGATGCGTTCTTCGTCTGGAGGCCGGATCCCCCCCGGAGCGAGCATCGAGACATCGCGAAGCTTTTTGAAGCCGGTGATGGACAAGCCTGTGGAAGAAAGATCGGTAGCTAGAAGACTGATCAGCAAGTTCAATGGGTCGAACGGAGGTTCCAACAGCGGGTCCAACAGCGGCTCAGAGACAAGTAACAATACGCTAAGTCGAATTTCGCAGCTTTCTCCAAGAAAGAAAACGTTAGCAAGACGAAAACTCCAACAGGAAGAGTTGCTGAAATCCTCGTCTTCGAAGGTGCAGCCAAGGTTGGTTGCCCGCAGGCCTGAAGTCAAGCCTGGGGTAAAGACTGAGAACAAGCCTCAGAACAAGCCTCAGAACACAATACAACCTTCAGAAAAGCCTCAAAAACCAGTACAGTCCACTCACACGAAATCAGAGGTAACACAACTACCAGCTCTGAGCAAACGGGTGCTTTTTCGCTTCGATCATGCAACAGTCACATCTCACAACTCACAAACCCCAGAAAAATCCGTCTCGCACGGTAAGCTGCTGACCAGCGGAAAACTTGAGATTTACAAGCTACATAATGATGCAGTGACATACCTGGAGTGTGGAAATGTGACCTACCCGATAATGTCTCGGTCACGCATCATGAGGACCGATATCAACAAATTCATCCTCACTGTGTCGAACCCCCCCAGTTTCTGGCATATCCGGCTGAAAACAAGAGACCGTGCTCTCATATCGACACTCGAACAGTCCATAATTGATCTATGTGATTACGCAAACTTTTACGACCATGAGGAGGATGAAGACGGAGATGATGATCAAGAGCAGGATGAGGATACCAACGATGTCAGCACCATCAAAGTTGATGATTCGTTGCCACAGTCACACTCCTTGCAACGCACAGACTCTTCGGTGGCATGCTTTGGGCTGAACAGCGATAGTGCCCAATTGGAACTGGCCAAGCTGACGCTTTCGTATTCGAACGATTCGCTGGATTCATTGTTGGACCTATTTGACATTGACGTTACGAAGCGGGTCAGAAAGGTACCCAACCTATTCAGAACGCCGGAGGCTTCTCCACACACCTCAATTGGAAAAAACTTTGAGCCGGTTGACTCGTCAACAGCCTCATCTGCTAATGAATACAAGGACGCTCAAGACACTAAAGACACCAAAGACACTAAAGAGAGCAAGGATGCAACTGCGTTCTCGTTGATTCCTCTCACTCCACAATCTATGGATCCACATGATGGGCAAAGCTGGCTTAGCCCCGACGAACAAGATGACGATGCTGAACGTGAGTTTCTGGCCACTACACGGACAATGAATGGAAGATCTTTCAGCAGCAAAGTGCTGTACTCGTATATCAATGACCAGAGCAGGCGGATGGCCACAGGAAGGTCCGACCAAGGTGAAGTTAAGCTGAACGAAGACGAGATATTCAATTCGGTTCGGCGCCGGATCAACAGCGAACAGCAAAGGAGCACCTCGCGGGTTTCTCGGTTATGGAACTGGTGAACTATTCGCTCAAGTCTGGTGTCATCTACGATCAACTATGTCCTGGACTCAAAGCCTATTGCTCCTGTCTTCTTCCGCCTCGCTCGCTCTGTATAATCTTAATGAACTGGTTCAACAGTATATTCACAAGGTGTTAGGTAGGTACATATAGAGATATCATATTCTGTTTAAGCCAATGGTGGAGCACCTGGAACTGGGTTGCCGTTCTGGTCAATGTAACCGGCTTGCATCTGCGCTATCTCAACGGTACCGGCACTCTCGAATTGCATACCGATACCGACTCTGGAAGTGTTCTTGAACTGGTCAATCTCGGCAGAGAAGAGCACTGAAAGAATAGGCAACAGTCTCTTCTCCATGAAGCACGACACCTTACCCTGAGAGTCCACCTGGCCTCTGAAAATAGACTGTCTGAACTCGTACTTGGCACCCAGAGTGGTCTTGGCCTCGACAACCGGCTGGAAACCGATTGGTCTCATCATCTCATCGGTGATTGGCTCGATGCCCATCTTAAAGTCGGTCTCGATACCGGCCTCAACCTTGTCGCCAACTCTCTTCCAAAAAGAAGCGTTGAAGTTACCTTGGGTCAAACCAGCGTTGGCGGTTGCGATCCAATCACCAGCATTGTAACGGGTCATGTAGGAAACGGCAGCCTGGCCTGGGGCACTTGGCTGTGCTGAATAGAAGGCCTCAAGACCAAGGGCCAATCTTGGCGTGACGGATTGCAGAATCGAACCAACGGCAACTCCGGTAAACTTGTCCTCGTACAAAAATGAAGGGTTCAACACCTTGAAGTTGAGGGAAGAGTCAACGGTCTGGTAATCTTGTTCCAACTGAACCATCGAGGGCTCACTCTTGGCCAATTGCAGAGACACCTTGGAGACGTTGTGCTTGTCCCAGTTGATGTGGCATCTTCCGGAAACATTGAGCTCATTATCAACGTTTCCTTGGAACAAGACGTTATCATTGGCCACAACGGCACTGAAGGCGTATGGTGGGAGGACCTGGGAACCAATCGACAATGAGTGAGAGGTCTGGAAGGCTGGGTTCATCGAAAAGGCCTTGTTAAAATCCACCTTCAAGCCGGTGAAGAAGTATTGGTTCAAGAAAACATCACGAGTGACCTCCTTGTTCAAGTTCTCAACGGTACCTGGGTTTGCGAGGTCCAACGACTGACGGTGTTGGGCGATGGAGGAGTAGACGTTGTTCAGATATGAGAACACTGGGTTGGCAGACCAAAATCCGTCTGCTTGTGGCTTTGACTGCGTGAGCCCTGCAAGAGGCGAGACGCTCTTTGCAAGTTCTCCCAACGATGGAACAGAAGACATGATGGCGGTATGGAGGGAGGAAGTGTTGCTGAGAAGTAAGCGAGCTTTTCTGGCTCCGAGACCGATTTGCTCTCCTCGAAACGTTGAAATTTTTGCCGGGTATTAGTTGAGTGGAACACTACTGAAAAGTGTTTGGGACACGAAATGGTCAAAGGCCCGAAAATCGCGAACTTCTGGCTACACTGGCGTGAATATGCGCTGGTAGGCAGTTATTTGTATAAGCCTGGATAACGTTGAGTGGCTTAAATCACATGTTCCAAGAGTTAATCGGTAGCGCTCGTCGGCAGCGTAGTGGTGGATTACTATTAGCGGTGTAGTATACATACAGTTTAACTCTCAATGTCTAACCTCTCTGCCACAGAGTCACGAAAAGTCTCCAAAACAACCCTTTTTCGCGATATACGGTCGTCCATAGTTTTCATCTTGGCCAGCCGCGACTGGTGCGATTCGTCCAGTCCCTCAATCCCGTTGAGGAGTGTTCTCATCCGTGATACTCTCACCCGTATTCTTCCAGCCTGTGATAACAGTTAGTACGTGAAAGTCAGTTTTCTAGACAGTGGAGTGACTGCCACACTGCCAAATCTTCAAAAAATAAAGAAAAAAACTCCCACTTACAGCATTGTCAAAGTCCTTTGGCGATATCCGTCTGATCTTGAGTCCTTCCACCAGATCTAACAGCAGCGGCAACAACTCTATGCTCTTGAGTTCATCTAATGTTTTTTGTTCCAGCTGCATCTGGTCAACCTCAGACTCTTCTGGGTTTACCGAATTAGCTTCTTCTGTTTCACCATTTCCAGAGACCACCGGAGACCCCAATCGCGGCGTCCCCAATCGCGGCGTCCCCGACACCGACGCAGAGGCAACGGTATGCGATATTGGGGTTGGTGATTTCGAGAGCCCAGACATGAAAATTGATAAAAAATAAACACGGTGAAATACAATAAATACCACAAAAAACAGTAACAAACCTGTGACTTCTAGCTGCTAGCGAATCAACCTCAAACCCCAGCTTGTTATTCAACCTCAACTCAAATGGCAGAGGGTGCTACTCCTGACACTAGATACATTTGACAGATCCGAGATAGACGAGAGGCGGACTTGTTGCTTGTTACCCAGAGAACAAAGAAATTGTTTGGCTCCGCGACTCATTTTTTTTCCAGCCAAAGTTCCTATCATCATGAGCTCAGTCGCTTCTGCGTCCACCTGGACCACTTTTATTAAGTCCATTGCCTCCTACAACGGGGACTTGTCGTCGTTGACAGCCCCTCCTTTTATCGTATCTCCGGTGTCACAGGTGGAATATTCGCAATACTGGGCCGAACACACAGATTTACTGCTAGCACCCAACTTTATCACCGGTGAAGATGAAGATGAAGTTGCTCTTGAAAGAATGGTGGCCGTTGTCAAGTGGTTCATTTCTACGCTTCGTTCACAGTACTGTACCCGGAACGAGACAATGGGCGGCGAGAAGAAGCCCCTGAATCCATTTTTGGGCGAGATTTTTGTTGGAAAATGGGTGGACGAGTCTGAGGACAAACGCCTGGGTGAAACCGTCTTGGTTTCCGAGCAGGTGAGCCACCATCCTCCCGTTACCGGCTATGCTGTCATCAACGACCAGAACAAAACCCTGCTTCAGGGCTACAACAAGGTCACTGCCTACATGTCGAGCACGGCGCTTAATGTGAAGCAGTTTGGTCATGCAATTCTGGACTTCCAGAAGCTTGAGGAGCAATACTTGATCACGCTGCCCCAATTGCACATAGAAGGCATCTTTGCCTTCAGTCCGTTCGTGGAGCTTGACGGCAAGTCGTACATCCAATCCTCGACCGGCTATCTTGCTGTGATCGAGTATTCGGGCAGAGGATACTTTTCTGGAAAGAAGAACTCATTCAAGGCGCGGATTTTCCGCGACAAGGCCAGTTCTGGCGACAAGGAGAATGCCATCTGCACGATTTCAGGCCAATGGTCGGGAGTTTCGGGTATCTCCGGCGGTCCCAAGCGCCCTTCGGTCAAAGGAGGCGACGACATATTCTTTGATGCCCATTCCACAGAGCCCCAGCATCTGGTGGTGAAGCCCATTCAGGAGCAGCACCATCTCGAATCGAGAAGGGCCTGGCAGAGCGTTGCTGCGGCCGTCAAGGAGGGCAACTACGATTTGATTGTTCAGGAGAAGTCTAAGCTTGAGAACGAACAGAGGGCTTTGAGACGTGCAGAGGCCGACTCCGGTACGGAATGGGATGTTCGTTGGTTCGACATTGTTGATCTGGAAGACACAGCTGACCTCGTTGCATCTGGAAAGCCACAGGACCCTCTGGTGTCTTTGGCGCAAGTGGCTAGTCTTTCCACCAAGAACGTGACTTCTGGAACAGCGAAGGGTGACAAAGACGATCTGAAAACTGAAGTTGGAAGCAAGCATTGGAGGTTCAACACCGAGAAGTTTGCTGCTGAGACTGAGGTGAAGGTTTAGGTGAAGATAGGTGGATTAGAAGGTGAACATCGTGGCCCAGCTGGTCCAGCTGGTCCAGCTGGTTGAGACGTCTACGTCACAGGCGAATCAGTGCTCAGTTTTTTTAGGAACCTCAATTTAGTTATAGTCCAATATACAATACCTATGAAATGAGAAGGGTGTAGGAGGGTGTAGGAGCGAGCAGGGGGCTGGGGTATTATAATGAAAAGTTTCATAAAGATATCATATGAATATCATATAGATACCGTAGAGACATCCCATCTTCCTTCTTTTCCCTTTAAATCGAGTACCCAGCATCAGATGCCGTTTCGGAAAGAGACCCACTGGACTCGCCAAAAGCCTCGTGTCTAATCGCCATCATCCATGGATCGTTCAACAACTCAACAGCAGTCAGTCTGTTATTGGGGTCAATCTGCAGACAGTGTGTCAAGAACTTGCAACCAGCCTCTGATAGCTGATCTGGACTAGGAAACTGGGGAAGATGTCCACTGGCAATGTGGTACATCACGGCGAATTCGTTATCAAGATTAGCCCAAGGCCTTCTACCAGTAGCCATCTCTAAAACACAACATCCTAATGACCAGATATCCAACGATCCATCCTTGCCAGTCCCACTTCCGTTGATAGCCTCTGGAGACATATACATTGGAGTACCAGTCAACGTGTTGGCTTTCTTTCCGTGAGTCGCGGTGCGACCATCCCGAGTGCGTCCAGACACAGCAATCACCTTAGCGGCACCGAAATCCACGAACTTGATGACTCCCATATGATCGAGGAGAATGTTCTCCGGCTTCAAGTCTCTGTGGACAATTCCGGACTGATGAAGATATGCCAGACCTTCAAGCATCTGCAAAGCATACACCTGGATGACTGTCTCGTCTTCGATCCTGCCGTGTTCCAAAAGAGAGGCCAATGATCCTCCTTCACAGTATTCCATGAAAATATACACTCTGTCTCTGTGGACTTCCACTCCAAAGTATTGCACGATATTTGGGTGCGATAACATCTCCAGAACAGTCATCTCGTCCTTGATTGCGGGAACAATGGTCTTAATCGAGTGACTATCCTGGAATCTAATCTCCTTCACTGCCATAACTCCACCAGTATCCAGGTTGATTGCAGCATACACACTTCCAAAAGTTCCTCCACCAACAAACTTGCCCTTCTGCCATCTAATAGAGACAGAGCTGAACGAAGACGCAAGATAACTCAAGAACTGGTTCTCAGTATCGGTATCGTCCAGAACTCTTCCGACAGATTGCTGTTCCTGCTGCAAAGAATGTCTGTGTGCCTCTATTGCGGTAATCTTTCTGAGAATATCTTCTCTCAAAGCACCCAACAGATCTTCGTCTTTGGCAGCCAAATATGGGTTTTTCTGTTTCTGGAGGTTCCAGTTGAGCATTCTTCTCTTCTGGATCTCCTTGGACCTAGCACCCATAATATCAAAGTGAGATATCAACAGCGACATACACCCGGCAACCTTGATCTTGAGTCTATAGAATTGCTGGTCATTCAGAGTCAGAATATTGAAGCCTTTGGTCATATCCATGGCAAACTCCAGAGCTAGCACACACCATTTGAAGGTCTTTTGATCGGTAGGAACGCAGTCATCCACAATGAAACTCACCCATTCAATGCAGAACTGGATCAGCTTCATCGCTATAGTTGACTTCTTGACACCCTCGAAGTTTCGCAAAGAGCCTCGGCCAAAATCCCGGGTATAGATAAAGATGTTGTTGACAAGCTCCTGGCAGTCACCAATGCCCTTGCACTGATTTCTGACCAGAGAAGCAGAATCAAGCACTATGGTAGATACTCTGAAGAAATTCCTGTTGATCTTCATCATCTCGTGGTGTACCCGTGGCAGCGAACACCTCCTCTCGACCAACGAGCCAACCGTATCTTCTACGGCTTCCTTGAAGAACTCCTCTGCCCTCTCGAGATTCTCAATCGACCCACCTGGGGTGATCATCATTACCTTTCCGTGGGCAATTCCGTCGATTGGAACTGAGTCAATCTCGAGATCGGTAACATGACCATCCCAAACCATTGCCTTTGAAGGGAAAACTGCAAGAACGTACTCTGCTCCGTCGTCTTGAGCTGCTTCCTCTGGGTCATCATTGAAACCGTCAGGACTGGAAACAAAGTCCATATAATCGTTATAACTCCTCAACACTGTGAGGTGATGATCTGGGATCTCATCAAAATTAACACCCAGGTGCGATCCCTTGAGTATTCTGCAAACAGATAGCGGTCTGTTGACCAGACTTGGAGAAACAATCAAATAAAAGCCCTTGCTCTCCACTACACCATTAGTGTATAACAGAGAATGACCAGTCTGTTTCAGTAGATCCAAAAACCTTTTGATCTTGGAGTTGTTCAAATTGAACACTAGTGCATTCTGGAAATGGCTGTCTAGTGCTATACTGAATCTGAAGAACTTCCTTCTCAACGATCCAAAGTTCTCCATTGTGGTTGTGTACCATCTAAAGATCTTGTGCTTATCCAGAGTGGTATGAGTTCCATTAGCTGCGTATGACGTGGGTGGTCCTTGGTACTGCTGCTGAACATAGGTGTATAGCCTCCCCACCAGTTTGCTCGTCAAAATCGTGAACTGCTCTGAAATTTCGATACCACCACCATCGATGTAGAAACCAAGGTTCTGCAGAAATTTCCACTCTGTTTCTAACTCATCTGGTTCCTTGAACGTTCTAAACGTCTTGAACGATCTCGTGTCCAGCAGCTTTCTGTTCAGCAGAAAGAGATAGTGATGCACGCAATCGAGAATTGCCTTGTCGAAATCGGGATCCAAGTAGTCTTGCAAGGAGACCCAGCCCACCTGAGGATAACAGTACTCCATGAAGGATGTTCTTACTGCTAAAGCGATGTTGACATATAGCTTGAAATCGTCGATCATCTGCTCACTTGATTGAGCAGTAGGGTTTGCCAGCTTCTTGGCATATGCTAGTCTGCCGTTGATCAGCTCTTTGATGAGTTTCATTGGGAACAGTGCTAGAACCAACAGCTTGTCAACGTAAGAAGGGAGTCCAATTTCTTCAAAGACAGGCTGATACTCCAGAAATGACTCTTTTGCCTTGAACAACCATCTACTGAAACCCGAGAACAAACGCTTCTCAAAGATCAAGTTGGCATCCTTCTCCTTCATTATACGGTCCACGAAAGAAGTGTCATCTTTAAAGATCTCATTCTCACGTGGTTTGTCCTTTGGAGAAGATGAAGCCACCGCAGTGGACTTTTGAGATTCAGGAGTCTTGGTGATGTTCAACTCATCATTACCAACCCATCTTTTCAGGACATCACTTTCCAGATAAATGGCTTCAGTTATTGATTTCCAAGCATTCAACGCACTCACCCTGCGTTCAAACTCAGAGGTAGCACACAATGGCTTATCATTACACATTTCTCTTTGCGTCCTCCAGAGCTCCTGAGCCTTTTCGAGTTTATCCAGAATGGCAGTGACGCTCCCCAAAGCTGAAACATCCAGATCTGCTGCTTGAAAGTCTGGCTCAGTGGAGGCCGGAGGCGTAATCTTGAACTCCAGAATCTCGTTGATTGTATCGTCAACCAAACTCCTTCCATACTGAACCACCCTCTTCTGCTCGTCTTCTGTTCTATCAAAAAGCTTGGATCGTATACCAATCCAAAGATTTTCTTTGTAGGTAGCATGCAGGAAGTTCTCAGACTCGCTCTCATTTGACGGTCTGATAATCTTGGTCTTCTCACCCTTCACCACATCACCAGTTAACACGGAGAGAAGCATAGACTGCCATTCCAGTCTCTCTGTAACATATGGGTTTTCACCATCAATCGAGTTCAACTGGATATCGTCGTTTCTGTTGATGGCATTTAAAATGCTGTGGTTGGAGTCGAACATGTGCTCGTTATCGAAGAACTCGTTCTGGATGCCAAGCTTCTTTCTCACAACAGCAGCAGGTAGCTCTTCATCGTAGTAGCTATCTTCACTGGTAAATTCGGTTCCGTGGGCCAGCACGAAATCGGATTCATCGTCACTCACATTGGAGGCCTCGTCTTCAACGGAGTCCCCAGACTCTCTTCTGCGTTCCTCAGAGGTATAATGGTGAGCCATGTTGCTCATTCTCTTCAAATAGTTCTTCTCCTGTTGTAGATACTGCTGATTGGACTTGGAATTCAAGTTCGACTTGATCAGAGAGAGATGCCTGCTCGGTCTTCCCGCATTGGAATCCGTGGCTGAGGGATTAGAACCAGACCTCGGTCTTCTGGTTGAGCTGCTCAGCTGTGACAGTGCCTTCGAAGCGGCAGGAGTCCTGCTGACAGCAGCGGAATTGAGTGTGGATCCTGGGGTTCTTGGGGAGCTCAGCATCTCCGAGGAGTTGGTCTGAACCGGGGAGTGCGGTCTGGCCATCTGGATGAAAGGTGCCAATGTGGTGCTAGGAGAAGCGTGATTGCTGTTCGAATCCGGTTTCTGTTTAGGCAATTCTGATAGCTTCAAACCCACACGCGGCGGGAGAACCGGTTTCTCCGGTAATGGCTTGTCTTTGGCCGGCAAAGCAAATGTTCCGTTCGGAGATGACTGAGGCGTGGCCCTGGCAGCATGTGCAACTGGTGAGACAACCTGGGGTATTGGAGGTCTTGAATCTGGAGTTTTAGCCCCAGTGGGAGTTCCCACGGAAGATCTCGGGGATTCGCTCATTTTTGCCCAGAAACTCCAAAGATAACAAGACCGTGGTGATGTTGCTGGAGTGGCTTAAGCAGCTGAGTAAATTCTGGGTTATAAACAATTGTGTTGCTCAATTAAACTGATCAATACCCGCTCAGATACAAAAGTTCCGTCTTTGACAATATTCAACCTCGATATTATATCAGATATGGCGAAAAATTGGGATAATCAAGTAGAATACAGCGTGTGGTTCCAGGTGGGATTGACGCAGAAAGCACCCGCACTTTGACATCTGGTGAAAACACGACTCCAGGGCTTAAGTATGGGACGGCTGTTTTGAATTTGAATTGGAGGAGTTTGTCAGAAAAAACAGTGCAAAAACCCAGGGATAGGTGAAAAAAATGCCATCAGCGGGTAATTAGAGTTGATAGTTGTGTTTTTGGAAGGATTTACTAACTCAAGTAGAGAGTTCGCTGGATCTGGACCAATGCCTCGAAAGGCTGTATCAGGGCCAACTGGTGTCTGAGACAGTGGTAGACCAGTTGTGTTTCAAGCTGAAGGAAATGTTGATCAAGGAGTCGAATATCGTGCACATAAAGACTCCCGTGACTGTTGTCGGTGATATTCATGGGCAGTTCTACGATCTTCTGGAGATCTTCAAAATAGGTGGGTATCCACCTGATACCAACTACCTGTTTCTGGGGGATTACGTGGACCGAGGGTATCATTCGATAGAGACAATCGTGTTATTGATTGTGCTGAAACTCAAATATCCAAGTCGAGTGAATTTGATACGAGGAAACCACGAATCGCGGCAGATCACCACCAATTACGGATTCTACACCGAATGCATGGCCAAATACGGTGCAGGCTCGCAGGTGTGGTCGATCCTGACAGATTTGTTCGATTATTTAATTTTGGCTGTGATAATCGACAACACGTTGTTTTGTGTTCACGGAGGACTTTCGCCGAACGTCCAGACCATCGACTCCATTTTGGTTATTGATAGGTTCAAAGAGATACCCCATGATGGTCCAATGGCGGATTTGGTGTGGAGCGATCCCGACCTGGAACTGCTAAATTTCCGGATATCTTCCCGCGGAGCCGGATATCAATTCGGAATGAACATCGTGAACAAATTTCTGCAGGTGAACGGATTTGAGAAGATACTGAGAGCCCACCAGCTGTGTAATGAGGGCTATCAGGTATTCTGGGGAGGTAAGGTCAATACCGTATGGTCTGCACCCAACTACTGCTATCGATGTGGCAATAAAGCTTCGATTTTGGAGATATCTGATGATTCGCGATCTGAAGCAAGCTTCAGGTTTAACGTGTTTGACGCGTCTCCAGAAAGCGACCGCGAATTCGTCAAGATAATGAAAGGGTCTTCGTTTGGGTTCTCTAGTGAGGAAGAAGGTGAGAACGCAGGCCAGGACGACGATTTGCAGTTCTACGACACTTACTATAATGGGCTGGGAGAACTCTCAAGAAAGGCTCCCCATGTTGAGTATTTCATGTGATGATTTTGCTAATATTTGTACAATAAACCAGGGCTTGCTATGAGTAGTAGAGCTCCAGATTGGAGCCATCATGGATCTCGTAGTCCTCTAAGGTGATATGGTCTTTGAACACCGTATAACCCTTTTTGAGTATTATTTTTTCGTGAGATGTGCCTATCTGGAGAGACAGCAGTTTTTTGAAATCTCCGATTGTGTCTTCCGGTAGACATTTGACCTTTATTCTTTTTCCCAATCTAGAGGAGGGTGTGTGTTAGTGGTGGATGATGCATAGCGATTGGTGGTTGTTTTGACTTACCTGTCATTGCATTCAACCTGTATCATTGTAGATGTGATGAACTGTAATGTAGAATGAAAACTTTCAAAAATATTCGGGAAATATATTGGAGTTTGCAGAAATATATCAAGATATCGTGGAGTGAAGTGGTTAGCATCTGCAATCTCATTAGCCCTTTCTTAGGCCATCTCTAATGAACCTGCGATAACCATTTTTCAGCTTTACATACCACGGTCTAATTGTAGCAAGTTCATCATCGTATTCATACGCGCCAGCCAAATCAGCAGTACGGTCTTGTAGAGTTTTGCACTCTCTATAGCATTTTGCTTTCAGTAGCATTTTGCTCTGCCTTTCCGTACGACAAGTACAAAAATATGGACTCTTCACATTCACACCAGCGAACCACGCAGAGCCCGCAGTTGGTTCCTTCGTTTGCGTTCCAGCCGGCCGACGGAATGGCTAATATTCCTGACCTTCGTCCAGGAAGCCCAGAAGTGCTGGGTGATGTTGGTGAACTCGAAGAGGAGCCTGAACTGGATGGTGAGGTCCCTTTTCTATATAGAAACAATGTGCCGAGTCTTTACAGAGTGCAATCGCCAACACTGTCAGTGGCTTCCGACGGCATGAGCACGGACTCTGAAATACGCCAGTTTGCCAACCCGAAACTCACGACCGAGTTTTTGTCACAATCACCCACACTGGGGTCTGGCGCGTTGTCCGGCAGAATGAGCCGACACGCTACTCACATCTCGAATAGTTTGTATGGATCACCTCAACACAACAGCTCATCATCATCTCTTCCAGGCAGCAAACGCGATCCGAGAAACTCTTTTAACGGACAATACATACCGGGACCCGTGCTTCCTCCAAGAGGCCCTTCCCCTGTTCGAGCGAGATCCCCCGCGCGCATGCGGTCCCCATCACCCAACAGGTACAGACCTTTCAATTTTGGGTCTGTGGCCATGAACCCGGATGGTTCCAAGCAGAACCTTGCTCCGGGGCAAAAGGCCACATTTCGCCGCGGACACAGATATAAGCACTCGTCGGTGTCGATGAACCTGTTCCAGGATGCTCCAAAGAAAGCTCCTCTCAACATACCAAAGTCATTTCCCATCCCCACATTCTCTGAGATCGCTGCTTCATTGACGAAGACGCAGAAGCTTAAACTGACCGGGTCTCTTATCCATTGCTCACTGGCTGGGCTAACACACTATCTGGGATTCACATATTCCAATATGTGTCTTTCCACCCTGTCACATCTGGTGTTCTTTGACTCCTGGGGAAATCTGCTGCTGGTAGCGGTAATGATCATGAAGAATTTTGACTGTTGGGGCAGTTCTTCCCTGGTGTATCCTTTCGGACTCGGAAGAATTGAGGTTCTTGTGGGATTTGCCCTATCTGTGTCTCTGCTGTTTGTAGGTGGTGATTTATTTTCCCATCTTTTGGAAGAAATGATTATAGGGCTCATCGTTGGAGACAGCCATGATTCTGGGGTCAAGCAAGAGGAAGTGTCTGCTCATTCTCACCATGTTCACGAAGGTGAATCACAGATTGATACTCTGTTGTACGAAAGCTACCTCTTGTTGGTATGTGCTGTAACGGTGATTTTACCAATCTTCGTGAATGGCTATGGTAACGGGCTGGTGGAACCAGCCTCGCTCGAACATGGGGGTTCTAAAGAAACAGCTAACGAGCCTCTTGCCAATCCAAAAATTTCCAGTCTGAAATCCAAGCTGACAATCTTATATGCTTTATTTTGTATGGTTTATCCTTTGTTCCATGCTACTCCATACGCAGAGCTCACCAGCCAGCTCTCTACACTGACACTTGCATTGGCAATCAGCATGATCTCTTGGAGATTGATTGTTTCACGCTCGAAAATCTTGCTAATGGCCTATCCTTATGGACAAAAGAGCTATCGCCGCACCATTTCCAATATAAGGTCCCAAATCACCGCTCTGGACTTCTTCAAAAAGGCATATTCTATAGAGGACGTTCTCATCTCCAAGGTCAACTACAAGATATACGTGATTGTTGTGAATATCAAAGCCCCCGGCTCTGTTGATGATGATGAGAGTAAGCTGAGGTTCTATGCTACAAGTATTATCAAGGGATGTGTGATAGAAGCTGAAAGGACAGAGACAGAAGGCAAGTTCAAAACCCCAGACACCAAGACCTCTGATTTGCTCGAGATGGACTCTTTGAATACGTTGGACAATACAGGAGAGAAGTTTGAGATCACAATAGATGTCACGCGATAACAATACAACGACTTTAATGCATTTATCCCCCGATGTTCAATTTCTTGTAGTTTTGAAAACGATACTGAATCATGAGTTTTTCAGTTTTTGCAGCTAATCTCAAAATAGAGATAGTCAATATAGACTGCTGTTTCTTTGGGAAATCGGATTCAGAAAGAACAAAATTCTTACCATTGTCTCCCAATAACTTTCTTAATAGCTTTCTGGTATTGAACTCCCTCTCAAATCAACGGAGTCCTCACTATCTAAAGCGAGAATTAGTTGAAGTTTTCAATGAGCCGCACCGGGTGCTCAACCGAGGACATTTGGCAGACCCTGATGGAAGAAGCGTGCCCAACGGATCATCAACCGTTTAACCCATTCATATACTCTGCTACTTTTAACGTCACATTCACAGCGAATTCTCCAAAAATGTCTTCAGAGCTTACTCCAGCAAAGAAGTTGATTGCGGCTTACAATTCCATTTCCGGAGGCCTGTGGGGAATTGTCCTATTCAACACTGTCTCCTTGTCTCTATGGGTGGGACAGCCCGAGTTCTTCCAGCTCTCTAACAAAACCACCACGTTCATCCAAACTCTAGCTGCAATTGAGATCTATAATGCTGCCACCGGCTTAGTGAAATCGCCGGTATTCACAACCGTCATGCAGGTTTTGTCGAGATACTTACTTGTATGGGGTATTTTCCAGGTACTTCCAGACTCTCCTGCGAACGGCCATTGGTCCTATATTACATTATCTCTGTGCTGGTCTGTTACAGAGATTATCAGATACTTCTACTATTCTCAGAATATCCTCACCAACGGTAACCCACCCAAGATTTTGACCATCCTGAGATACAACACCTTCTACGTTCTGTACCCGGCCGGAGTTGCCAGTGAACTGACCATGGTTTACTTGTCGTTGGACGAGGCCAAAGAGGTAGTGGGTGTGTGGTACTATTACCTGCTCATTGCAGTAATGTTCACCTACATCCCAGGCTTCTACACCCTGTACACCCACATGATCAAGCAGAGGAAGAAGGCCATGAAGGCATTGAGGGAGGGGGGAAAGGAGTCAAAGGAAAAGAAAGCGAACTGAGTGGAGTGACATTTCCCAAATATGGCATTGTAGATTAGCTTGAAAACCATTTCCAATCTGACAGATGAGTTGAGAGTAGAAGAAGCCTCAAGTAGAGACGAAAGTGTCGTGCCCAATCCAAAATCTTTTCGACGGTGAAAAATGAGTTGAGATTAGACTCGACTAATCACCATTTCAAGGTTTTAGTACCACACATTTTCACGCTAATTAAACAGGATGTTTGCAAGAAACATAATATCAGCGACTAGAGTTGGTCTGAGAAGCAGTGTTTCGCCCATGTTGGGTTCTAGAATCATGACGCCTTTGGCTTGTGCGTTTTCCACTGGCAGAGCCAACTTCCAACAAGCACCATTGGCCACAGAGATCAACAGCCCCAAAGAAATTCCAAATTTGACCCCTCTGAAGTACGAGAAGGATATATATGCCACTGTGCGTGTTCACAACATCTCATATCTGGTTACCGAAGGCGATCTGTTGACGCTGCCGTTTCGTCTGATTCAGGCTGACGTGGGAGATATCTTAGATTTCAACGATGTCACTACCATCGGATCCAGAAACTTTACCTATCATGAAGACCCCATTCCTTCGAATGCATACACCATTAAGGCCGTTGTCGTGGAGAAGACCAAGAAGCCAATGGAGGTAAAGGAGAAGACCAAGAGGAGAAATCGTCATGTGAGACACATCAAGAGCAAGCACCCTATCACGATACTGCGGATCTCCGAGCTGAAACTGAATGTGTAAGAAGAAAGAAGAAGAGAAGCGGATTAAGAGGTGACTGAAAAGTTGGCGCACTTCAAGAGTCTCCCCAGACTCCCCCACATAAACCGTTTGGCAACAGATTTGTATATAATAGTCTAAATAAAGAGCTCTGACATCCGGTAAAGTTCTGAAATGTAGTAAAATCAAAGTACTTAATCCGAACAATGCTTCAAGCCATACTTAAAGCCAAATTGAATGGTCCTGCCATAGTTAAGGCTCAAGCTCATCTGCCAAAAATAATCCGTACACGGGCATAAAGACAGAAGAAGCCTAATAAGCATTTTGATTTGAATACAAACAAAGCTCTTATTTTTGCCAATTGTTTTGCCTGGTTTTCGCTATTTTTTTGTCTGTTTTGTGCAAATAAAACTCGAAGGCTGCTGGCCATTCCGAGTTCAGCACAATGCCACCAAGGAGACGTCGTGACAGCGAATCACACCAACCCTCAGACCAGCTTCCAACCTTCCTCTACAACGAGATTCCCAGCGAGATATTCAATGCCTCAACACTTAATGCCCGACTTCACAGTTCCAGAGACCCAGTTTCACCGTACGCATCAATCCAGAAGAAGGTTTCGGTATCTCCATCCGATGATTCGCAAAGGACTCAGACAGCCGTGAGGGCTAACATGGAGACAAGCCCCAAAACACCATCCAAGCTAATGCCCTCTGTAATAACCCAAAGCACAAGCAAGACAGCCCAGGAAGATAGTCCGGCTAATCAAGCATTGACTCCATCAAACAGAGCTTCGAATACGTCAGGACCGGCCGTTTCACCCATATACAGCGAGGCCTCAGAACGCTTCTCAGCTGCCTTAAAAGAGTCTAGACCCAGCAATTCCAAACAGTTCTACGAATCGAACGACGATTCCTACACTTCGGATTTTACAAAACATAGCTTTAGGGACAAAAGTGTCGAGGACGAGATATCTAAGTTCTCTTTCGAATCAAGTGTTCGTGCTACTCCATCTAAGGCAGACAGACATTTACGAAGCTCGAGAGCTTCTTCGTTCAGTTTTTCGGATGCACCCTCTATAGCAGAATACTGGAGTGCATCTGAAGGAAGTGTTGTTCCGTTTGGCAGTGTAAATGCTGAGAGTACTCCCAAGTCCGTGGTGAATATGCCTGGTTCTATAGCCGAAGAACCAAGACGAGACTTGAGAAGCGATCTTCAGTACGAGATTTCTACCCCCTTAAAGGTGAATACAGGTGTTGGCGACGAGCCATCACCGATAGAAGTGGTAGAAGGTGATGATTATCGGGCCCCAGCAAGAAAGGTCAGCCGGGCTGTCAATTCTCCCCATTCGGCAAACTCGAGTGTTTCATGGTCCGTTAACAATCCAGACGAGTGGACCACAGAGAATGTGACATTTTGGCTCAGAATGCACAGGTTTAACGACTCATGGGTTGATTATTTCATAGAGTGGAATATTACAGGGCAACGCTTCCTGGACTTGAGGAATTACCAGACATTGAAAGAAATCAGCAATGCTGTTGATACTTCCGATGACTCTACACCCTCGCGATTCATTCATCTTTTGCGCAAAGTTCTGGACAAACCATCTTCTCAATCCACGATCACCCAGCCAGCTTCTCCAATATCCCTTTTATCTGAAATATCATCTTCCACGGACTCAGTTACTGTACCTGCCATGGGAGCTTCAGAGACTCAAGCTGCAGACCGGACTGGATCATCCTTGTCGATGATATCGTCCGACTCTACTGCAATTTCCAGTCCCACGAGGGTAGATGAACTTGTTTCTATTGCATCTGCGCCGTTATTGACCAGTACGCCGACTGGCGAGAAACACGGTCTCCAGAAGCAGTCCATTCGCCAGCGGGACCTGAAGACGAACCTGGGTAGAAGACCTGTTTCCACCATTGAAAGCTCCAACAAGAGCCCCTTTTTTGCACCTTCGTCTCCTTCGGTTGCTCGTGGAGGCTTCTTCAGAAAGCATCAGAAGTCCAACTCATCCGAGTCTTCGTTCTTCACCGGGTCCTTTCTATCGGGATCTCATGATTCCGATAAATACAATAAGAAGCATGAGAGATCGGAATCGCGTGGATCTTCGATCACGAAGATGGACGTTACGGAGTCGTCGAAAAACCTTCTTTCAAAGTGGAAGATGAGAGCCAAGGATAAGGCAAAGGGCCCATTAGAAGCTGCCAGAACGTCCAGAAACCCAATATCTCCCATCACGCCTGTTAGCGCTTCTTCAGCTCATTCTGCCCATGACTTTTCAAGCTCGGATAAGAACGAAATTGCGAGAGTCACTACCACAGACACGAGACCAGATAAAAAGACCAGAGGAGCACTCTCCGAAAAGAAGTCGTCAGTTGATAGCAATGCCACAGTTCGTTCATTTGAGCCCCGTTTGAACTTGAAGTCGCCAGTTGACAAAAAATCGCCTAAGTCTGTATCTCCTCTTACGACAGCTCCAGGTTCAACTGATGCCCTTACTGAGTATCAGACCAGAAGGCCTCTTTCATTCCAACTGGACTCCAAGTTTAGACCGATCTCGAAGAATGCAAACTCAGACCTCTACATTCTAGTTACCACAGATAATAAGATATTCACGCCTGTGAACGTCGGTCTCGTCAAGAACCTGAATGAGCTAAAGGTGAAACTCAACCAAAGCTACAATCTGGTCGGGAATTCTGGGATCACATACCATCTGACTGATTTTGGCAGCGATCCTGGAGCTTCACTTGACGACGAAACTTTTGATAAGTTACGACAAACATCTTTTTTCGGTGGAACTTCCAAGCTGCTGTTGAAACAGAGGTTCCTTTCGCAAAACTCACTCATTACCGCAAGCACCCAATCTTCAATTTCTGACTCAGTTGAGTCCAATGGGTCAAGCGAGCAGTATCCCGCAACTCCTCAGTATCTTATAGGTGCTGGTTCGCAGCCCTCCAAGGCCAAAGATGGAGTTGACTATCTCAATTTCAAGGAGAGAAACGCAACACCAGTGCAGAAGCGCAGACTTCCAGAAGGCAGTCCCAGCCTGCATTCGGTTAGCCCCAAACAGCCCTCTCTTCGTCAGACATCGTCAGCAGCAAGCAACTCCAGCACAGAAACGAAGCTTTCCACGTTCAGGGTGATTCGCAATGAGAAATATGAGATCGATTTCGATAAGAAAAGAGAGTCTCCTTACGTGAGCGCATCAAGTCTGATAGCCAAAAGAACCGCGCCTCCACCGCCCGAGGATGGACCTCAATCTGTGGCAGGCTCTTTGAGCTCGAAGGTTAGAACCCGAAGACGGAGAATCCCTGCTTTGGGACTTAATATTGGTCCATCATCAGGTGAAGATGTACAATCTTCAGACATGTCACCCGAACAAATGCTGCGTTTGAGAAGCCGAAGTTTGGTTCATCATGCGTCCATAAGAAGACGTGGAACTGGAAGCTCTCTGATCTCGGTGAACAAGTTTAAAGAGAACCCAATATCGTTTGAAGGAGCTCCCCAACTTGATGATAGTTGCGACGATAATTCGGTCTCTTCCTCGGACGATGGACTTTGGGCCAAAGAACCAACTTCCCAAAGATCACCGGTATTGGATTCTGCCACTATCAGCTCTAAAGATAGTAGCCTCTATGAATTCGACAAAATGACTGTTAGACCACCAGCAGATGTGGTTTATGATAACCTGGAGGTTTTCTTCCCCAATACCGATTTAGATAAGCCCATAGTGGATGATGTGGTATCACCGCCGGTTTCTCCTGTGGTGGAAACACAAGCATCTACGCAAGCCACCGAAAAACCACCCACACAGAAGGATGCGCCAGGAAAGCTGATCAGACAGATATCTGTGATCTCCACCGAAGACCCATCAGAAGCTTTTCAGAAGGGTTTCTCTAGAGGCCACAGGATGAAGACAATTCGTATAGTTGCCAGGGAAGCCAAAGAGGCGAGAACAAAGATTCTGGAGGCCAGTGGAAAGGGAAAGAAAGAATCGCTTCTGCGAAGGACTAGTACCAAGATGTGGGGCCGCAGTGTTCGCGAAGTAACACCTCGTGATCTTCAGAAAGGCTACATCAGCAAACTGAGAAACCATAACGGTGACTACAAAGAGTTCACGTGGGTGAAGGGTGGGCTGATTGGAAAGGGTACATTCGGAAAAGTCTACCTGGCCTTGAACATGACCACCGGTGAGATGATTGCGGTGAAACAAACCACTATAGCTGATCTCAACAAAACCAAGGTGGATTCATCGGAGATCCTAGAGGCCTTTTTGTCTGAGGTTCAGACCCTCAAGGATCTGGATCATGTCAATATCGTACAATACCTGGGGTTCGAGCAGAAAGACCAGACCTATAGTTTGTTCTTAGAGTATGTGGCTGGTGGGTCGGTGGGATCTTGCATCCGCAGACATGGTTGTTTTGATGAACCTTTGATCAGATTCCTTACCACCCAGGTATTGGAAGGCCTGGCATTCATCCACCGCCGTGGCATTCTACACAGAGACTTGAAAGCAGACAATCTGTTGTTGGAGATTGACGGAACCTGTAAGATCTCAGATTTCGGGATTTCCAAGAAAATGAGCGATATTTACGCAAACAATGCTGATATGTCCATGCAGGGTAGTATCTTCTGGATGGCACCCGAGGTGGTTGATAGCACTATCCAGAGCCGCAAGCAGGGCTACAGTGCCAAGGTGGATATCTGGTCTTTAGGCTGTGTGGTATTGGAAATGTATGAGGGAAAAAGGCCATGGGCTGATCGCGGCGCATTCAGTGCTATTTTTTCTCTCGGAAAAACCAAGTTGGCTCCCCCAATCTCGGAGGAGACTCACAAGCTGATGTCCCCTGCTGGTCGAGACTTCCTGGATTTGTGCTTCCAAGTGAATCCAGAAAAGAGGCCAACGGCAAGAGAATTGCTCACTCATGAGTTCTGTAAAAAGGATTCTACGTTCAAGTTTGAAAACACCAGATTGTCGGAGATGTTGAGATTCAACGACAAACAGGACTTGAAGAAGGCAGAGATGATCAAGGTATCAGCTCAAGGAAGCTAGCACCAGGATTCCCTTATGTGATTATAACTACGATACCCATTTGATTAGCGACTCCAGCTAAACTAATATAAATTCTCACAAAAATCAAAACAAAAAACGAAGGTATAGACAGTAGTTTGCAGGACCTGTTGTCGCAGGGCCTGCCCTGATAACAAAAGTAGAGCTGAAGACGATACTCCAGTCTCAATGCATACGATTCCTCGAAAATTCCCAAAAAAAACATTCCCCATATCACCAATCAGCAGCAAAAAGAGCAAAAAACAAGATAAAAAATAAATAAGAAAAACAACAAGCAAACAGAAAACAAAACCTGAAAACCGGCTGGACCACCATCTGGACTGACCGGGCGCAAAAGGAAACAGATGCAAAACCTCTCCAGCATACCTAGGCACTGTAAATATATGCCTTGTTAAGTTTGTGAATCTCACGGCAAAGAATATTCCAGTCAACCTCCCTCAGAAACGAAGGGTTATTGCTGATTATAGTATCCCCAGTGTCGTAGGCAATATCGTAGTCAGCGTCATTATCAAACTTCATACCGGCAGATAATTTTGAAAAATCGTCCTTGGAGTCTTCAAAGCCAAGTGCAGGAGTACTAAATGATTCTGTGTTGAATGTAACCATTGATCTTGCTGTGGAATGGGGTACCGTTTCCACGCTGGATATGGTTTCACTTTCCGTCATCTTCACGAAGCCAGCATCACTTTCGTCATCTTCACTCATCAAGGCACTTTCTTCCTTGATGGGCTTTCCCTCGTCGTTACTAATTTTGCGAGATCGAACAACAGATCTGCGTGGAGCGATTGAAGAAATCGACCCAAAACTAGTGGCTATCGAAGCCTTTCTATCAACTGGCTGAGAGAAAATTGAAGCATTACTGACAGTAGAAGCAACACTCTTGCGCCTTTTCTCAGCAAGGTCACGTTTGGACTTGACAAAGGTCTCTTCCCATTTGAATAGTTCATACATGAGCTTCAAGTTAGGTTGAATAATCACATTAAGCCTCCTGACTCTAACATACAGGTAGGCTCGTGGTAAACTGATATTCAACCTCTTCATCGTTTCAGCAATACAAACTGTGGCGGACCTCGAAACACCCACTTGACAATGAACAAGCACCTTCTCATTATTAGCATATGCCTGTTGAATAAAGTCCAGGGCATCGTTGATGGTAGTGGTCAAAGTGCCGATTCCGTCATCGTTTATATTCCCTATTCCCATCACCTGTTTCACCTGGCAAAGCCTACCTGTAGAAGTCCTCTGATATGGTTCAACAGTCAGAATTTCACAGTTAGACGGGGTAAGGCTGGCACTGAATGAGAGATCGTCCACCCAAGGTATACACTCGCCGACACTGACAACCCTGGTGATACCAAGCTCATTGAGAAGATCGAGGTTGGCAGCATGCACTAGACTCCCTAGGTAAAGATGAGGTAGGATTCTGGACGGAAGCGAGCCATATACGCTTGCACAACATCCAACATCCTCCTCATTGCTGCTGCTCTCAGATCCAGATTCCACTTCCACAGTGGAGTGCTGAACCTTGGGACCATACAAGTCCGCCCTTCGATCAAACGAATTAGAGACCGAGTTTTCCATATCACCATATGAAATCCCGACATTGTTTTTGGATGGTGCAAGCAGCACAGATGAAATAACGTAGCTATCAATCTTCTCTGCCTTCATATTGGCACACTGTTCTTCCATTGTCTGGCCATACGGAGAAAATTTCCTCAACAAAGACTCCACTCTGGTCAAAAACAGGTAATCTGTCTTGAAAAGGAACACCGGCCTGCCGTATTGTTTGTGTAGTTTGACAATTGCATCGTCAACTCTCATATTCTCGGCATAGATTAGAAAACAAATGCCCAACAAAGAGGTTTCAGTATAGCCATCAAAACAAAAGATCAAACCTGGAGAAGAGGAGCTCAGCGAACACTTGTAGTACAACAACTTGCAAACGTTGATCAACGAACACAGATCCCCGTCAGTACAATCTCCCAGACTGACTGAACCCGATGACGGAAATTCGATATAGGTAGAGTCACCATTATCTTGATCGAACAGACCCTCGAGGTCAGACACTTTTGGGAACTTGAAGCCTTCACCACAATGGATGCATAGCCCCCACCGCTGGTTGGCATCTGATCTCAAAAGATCGTCTAAAGCCTGAGGTTCCAAAGACTCCACATCCGTTTTTGTGAGATTAACTATAGTGTTAGTAGGATCACAATGAAGAGGAGGATTGTGAAATCCTGGGGAAACTTTCCCGGTGAAGAACGACTTTGAATTATGGGATAAGGCATCCTTGAAACTCTCAAAATCGGCAGAGTTTCCAAACCAGACATTTGAAGACACATATGTTGCCCTAGACATCTTTGAAATCTCCAGCTTCTCCCTGTATATATAATTCGACTCCCAGTCCTCGAACACCTTTTTGTCGTAACCAGACGACTCAATAGACTTCTCATTCAACGAGGATGGTTGCCACGATAAAGAGAGCAGGTTTTCCGCAGCGAAAGCCTTCATATTGACATCCTTCACGATCATCGTGTCGTATGTGTTCACAGCCCTCATTGTCTTTGACCCAAGTTCCTCGTTCAGATATTCACAAACAGCTATGCGAGCCTGTCTTATTTGGGCAACATGCAACAATCTGGATATAGGAGCACACCTGCATGATTCGACTGGAGTTGATCTCGAGTTGGCGACATCCACAGTATGGTCCGAGCAGGTACAATACACTATGAAATCCGACAAAAGACCCAGTTTGGCGACTTGGATGTGAAAGTTTCGCAGAGAAACACCCATCGGAGGATCGAGATCTTGGAATACAGGTAGAAGTCCTGTTTTGATGCAATCAGAAAGTAGCTGGTCGTACGACATTTGATCACTGTCAAGATATGTCATCACTTCGGCAAGAGTGTATTCCAAATTGGATCCCATTTCGCAGGTGAGTATCTCATTTGCCGAAACAGCACCCTTGATCACCTGTTTACCTGTATCCGCGAAAGTGACTCCGCCTGTGCACGATTGCACCACAGTAAGGCTCTTTTTGCAGTTTACAGGCAGATCAGAAACAGTATCGTCCCAGGACTTCCCTTTGAGAAATCTTAACTGCGCGAAATTCTTGCGCGACATCCCATGAAGCCAAGGGAACATCTTCTCCACCTCCGGCATCTCTGACGAGTAGTGCGCCTTGATGATCTCGCACGCCTCATTTGCCGAAATGATTTTTATCGAATTGTCGGTCTTGAACCCAGAATGCTTGAGTCCATATCGCCAAGAGGTAGCTGGCGAGAAATTACCTTCTGCTTCGGTATCGGATGTATGAGAAACACCAGATCTGTAACTCGAGTGTAATGCGTCATCGCCTTCAATCACCCCATCATCGAGGGGTCCGGCTGCAAACAACGGCGCATTTAATCTGGGCTTAAACCGCCCTCGTTCAGCATCTGAGGAAACACTGTTGGCTCGTTTTGAGCCTTTCTTTTCAGATTGTAGATGGACAGATGCAGGATTCAGAAGTGGGGGTGTGGACCTAGGCTGATGGTTTGACGTTATTGTCTCCTTATCTTGGTCATGCGAGTCCAATGAGTCCTGATCTTCAGGGGACAGCGCTAGGTTTGAGTGCGAAAATTCCACATCACATGCAAACTCTGGAGCATGTGGTGGTGATAGCAGCATTCCAGATCCCGAGACAAGCACGCCTTCGGGCGGTGTGGAAGCATTTGATGATGGCGATTCGAGCCCACAGGACGACAAAGGCCTGTTGATGCCTATGGCCACCGAAGATACATCTGCCATCGGAGCGCTGCAAAACGGTTTAAGAAAAAGTATGTGATAGCGGAAAGAATATAGCTTGAACACTGGCTTGAAGCTTTTGGAAGAAATATAAGTCTTTTGTTAAAGAAAAACAGATTATCATCAAATCATCCGGAGAGATAAGGGATACATCGGGCTGACGCAGCCAGATAGGGGGAACGTTTGTGCCGTCACACGACCATTGTTTCCATCTACAACCCGCAACTTGTTGTGAGTTCGTGGTTTTTAATCAACTTTCAAAATGACTTTCGTTCAGTATACAATTAGAAGTAATAATTCAGCACCCATGTTCTTACCTTTCCAACATCATTACCAATGAACAACAGCTCACCGCCATTACTGAAACACACGCTAGTGACTCTTCCCAGAGGAGTACTGGAAGTTGGCCAATTGCCATACACCTTGCAGGAGGGCAAATGCACCATCCTCAGAGCATCCTTTTTGTCTCTACTGGCAATGCAAAGAAGCTGACCATCAGGCGAGAATTCCAGAGTGGAAATGGTGGTAATAAGACTTTCCACAGTGCCCATGGGCTTGTGAGCCGAAGACGACCTGTCGTAGATGTTGACTATACCAGTGTTGCTGCCAATTGCCAACCATCTGCCATTCTTTCCTCCACTGCTGATTCTTGTGATACCAACTCCACTCTCATCCTGCCATTTTGCAACAATCTTCTCAGTCGTGTACTCCCATTCCCAGACCTCACCAGCTGTGTTGACACCAAACAGATGGCAATCCTCGGTGAACTCACAATCGATCAAAGTACCTTCCACCTTGAAACCCTTCACCCACTGTCCGCTGCTGGTACTTATCACATTTATCCACCCAGAGTTACCCAGCAATGCAATAAAGGCTCCGTCCTTTGAGATTTTGAAATTTTCGAAAGACTTCTGTGTTGCTTCGTGACCATACATTCTGCTGATCTTCTCAACAGAGCCCTCGTTTACCTCCCATTTGTACATATATCTCCTTCTGCCACCAGCAAAGATGGTCGTCTTGGACTTGTCACCAGAGACCTGGAAACCAGCTGTTTGGACTGGCATTTTCCTCAAATGCAGAGATGTCACAAGCTTGTTCACCTTGGCATCAACATGATATATTCTGAGGGTACGATCGAATCCACCGGTTAGCAGTAGAGGATGTGTTGGATGAAACGACATGGTTTGTATACCTGATTTCGAGGGATGTTTCGAGTTTGCATCGTTGGCCTTCGAGATGTCCAGTTTGTCGGCTGGAAGCATTTTGAAGCTCTTAGATTTCAAATTCTGGAAATTCTTCTTCAGGAACTTGGCCAATGAATTTGAACTGGCACTCACGTCTGTCTCATCATCTTCGTCCACTTCGCCATCATCCTCTTCCTCTTCCTCGGAACGGTCTGGATCATCAGCCCACGAGGGTCTTGGATATATTTTCTCAAATTGAGACCTCAGTCTGTGAATGTATGCCTTTCCTCGTATGACTTGCTCCGACTCCGTCTTTCTGAGTTTCCTCAGTTTGTCTGATTTAGCTATCGAAAGGTCCATTTTCTCGTCATCACTGTCACTCCAGGCATTAGACTCGCTGTCTTCTTCATCAGACTCGGAATCGCTATCCACGTCCATCTGGTCCTCCCCATCATCAACGAAGAAGAGCTGGTCATCTGCCATCTTAGTGAAGTTATCCCCTTGTTCTTCGTCCGCAGATTCAGAGTCACTGAGAGCCCCTTCATCCTGCTGTAACGAGAAATCATCATTATCGTCACCTCCGTCCGAACTAAAGCCTTCGTCTGAGAAATTGTCAAAGATCTTGTCAACCTGCTTCAAATTCGTCCCGAAGCCAGCTGCATCTCCAAACACCAGCTTTTCCAAGTTCAGTTCTTCCTCGTCTTTGGGCGGAACTGGAATGCTGGGATCCGGTTTGAATGGCTCGACCTGTTTGTTATTTTTCTTTGCCATCCTGTATATGTGGTACAGTCCAAGTTCAGCTAGATTCTTATTCTCTTGTTATTTCGACCTAAATAAATTTTGAAAAATCCGCATCCCACGAAAAAAAATCGGCTGAGCCAGACACTACCTTCGAGAACATCATGAAAATCGAAAGGCTCGCATAGTCAGCAGTTGAGAATGGAGAGTCCAACAGGATATATTCGCAACTATGTCGTATGTTGAATTTGTTATTACTTGGATTGATTTCAACTGTGAGATCCATCGCTTAGATTGCAATTTATGTTTACTAACTTTTCAGAAACCGCGCTTCCACATACTATACAAAAGGTAATCATGTCATGTCGCCAGCTCTGCTGCGTGCCCGCAAACCGTATTTCTGGAGGAATATGGCTGGCCTGGTTGTTCTTGGTGGTATATCGGCAAGTGTGTACATTTACACCTACACGTTTCTCACAAAAGATGATTTCGAGGACATTCCAATCCCACCTATTTCCGATGAGAAGCTGGCCGTGTTGAAGAAGGAGTACGAGGCTTCCAAGCAGAAGAAGTAATGCTTTGACTGGTTGCTTCTCTTTTTAGTTTTGATGTTTTTGAAGACCACGTTGATGTGAAAGTGTATATATGAGTGGAGGAATTTTTAACTACAGAAATAGGTATGGAAAGTATCTTTCATTAACAAATCGGTAGTTGAAGTAGAGTGCGCACTGAATTAAATAAATGGTGTGATCATGATTGGGCTATTGGCATATGTGCTGGCTCACGAGCATCCTAGCTTGGTGTTGGTATACTGTAGGTATGCCTCAGATTTGGCCTTCTGTAGGTCTTCTCTTATTGATGACCGTGATCTCATAGATACCCTCTTGGAGGTCCTGACTGCGTTGGGTCTGTATTATATCGACGAACCCTTTTGTGGGGAACTTCAGTCGAAGTGCCGTAAAGTTGGTTCATTTCGTGAGGTAAATATGGTTGCTCGGTTCGGAGTCTTGGTGGTGAAACAGGAGCCTTGATTTCTGGTAGATGCAAGTCTTCATTAGTGAGGTTAGCTTCACCATAGGCAGCAGGCAAAGAAGGCAACGTTTGCACTCCTTTATTGTTCACATAAGTATCTGTATACGATTTCTTAACAACGAAATCGTTAGCAAGATATTCCGGATTTTGCTGATCCAAAAAAGGATCCGAACCGTTGGAAAACGGATCGCTTCCATCATATGTCCTGTAGATTGGATTCATCTTGGGAGCCTCCAGACTCTCGGTATCGCCCTGTGGAATTAAGGGGCTTTTGTTATCTTCATCAAACGGATTATGTGACTGGAAGTCATGTGCCACTGGAGCAGTTGATTTCGTAGGAGGTGGAGGAGGCAGGATATAATCTGGACGTTCTGAACTGCTGAAAGTGTTTGATTTTCCAGGAGGGAGCGGAAACGAAGAGAGCATATGGTTGAGAGAATCCGTCTCGCTGCTTTTACGCCTAGGAGTAGCGGAAACAAAGACGTCAAATGGGTCACTCTTCTCAATATAATTGGACGTGAATAAAGTGCTTCCTTTTTCGAGATCAGTATCAGCATTGGAAGTCATTCGACTGGACCCAGCAACACCGTTATCGAAACGGTTGTTCGCAAGACGGATGTCGCTCAGCAACAACTCGCTGTTCTTCCTCTTCACCATTGAAGCCACTTCAGAGTTGATAGTAACACAGCAAAAGGCCTTCAGTCCATGCGAAAATCCCAGCTTGTGGATTTCGGATCTTAGAGGCAGCACGCAGCAAAGACAGATGATGAACCTCACGATGAAGATCAGCCAGATAACGAACGAAAGCGTCATTAGTGACAAAATCACAGCTTGGCGCACATCTTCCGTGGCAATTGCCTTGATAACTGCAATTATGTTGGAAGTGGATCTATTGTTGGTGATGGTGGTAAAAATTGTGTATCCGTTGAGTAGTTGTCTTGGAGAATCTGCTACCAGCAGATTGAGCCAGTCCTTCAGTGCGAAATATGTCAGGAATGTGAACCAGTTGAAGAAACTGCCCGAGGAAACCTCATTAAAAACGCAAAAATATGAAAACTTCTTCAAGGAAAAGAAGTTTCTTGGAACTGCGTAGAAATAGGATAGTGCGATCTGACCTGTTTGGTAGATCTTATAGCCCTGGATCCAGCGGAAGATCAGTATGATGAAAGATATACCGATACACCCTATGAAAACCGCGGAATATGCCACTGCAGGAATATACGCCAGTTTCGAAGCGTTCTCGGATTCACCCTTCAAACCAAATGTCACAAGGGTATAAATATCGGCAGCCATACCAATGATCTTCAAGGCTATACCCAGCAGCATGAAGAGATAGTTCAGCAGCGTACTGAGACGCGAATTCCGGAATTTGTTGGCATCCACATTGTCAAAGGTGTATTCATTGGTGAGCCACTTGGTATCTGTTCCAAAAATCCCCATGATTTAAGGCGCGTGCTGAGGTTCACAGATGGTCTTAAAAGTGTCTGTCTCCTAGGAGCACGCGTTTTTCACGACGGGCTCAGGGGGGGCGGATCGATTATGCTAGCACCTTGAACAAATGGAACTGATTCGAACTCAAAACCAGAATATGAGAATGCCAGTGTTGACCATATATACTCAGAACGTGACCTTGTGTGTTGAGCCAGAACGAGAGTTGGGGACCCATGCCGAGAATGTTTCAAATTGGCCTACAGCGCCTCGCAGGTCAAAAGTTTCTATATATACATTTTGGCAGGAGTAGCCCGAATCATGAGCTGATCGGCCTTTTCGTGCGGATCAAATTATATCGAAGTTTAGTATATATATATATATATATATATATATGTCTTATTGTTGCGACCCATTGAATAGAATATCTTCCCTTTCACTTTTCTAAGCCATTTATTGCTGGAAGGGGGATTCTACAGTAGTAGAGCCTGCATTTGGGGCATGCGTCTGGGTTTCGCGGGGGTTTACTATGAAGACATGATGCTAGCTATTAATGATTTTATTTTTCTTTCAATGGGTCAAAATTGCAATGTGATAGCTTAACAATTGGTAATACTCTTCTCAAGTTCCTTGCAAGCTATTTGTACCCAGAAACCATCATAGTCGTGAGTTTTCCCTTCATGTTTATGCCTTCACACCCTGCATGATCATCGCCTGTGATCGTCTGAGATTTGTGTAGAGACAGAATCTAAAAAACGGTGCTTTTTTCTTCACGATTTTTGTTTCCTGTCACCGCTTGGAGAATGTCCACATGCCATTCATGATGACAATTGCCAATTTTTTACCTCCTTGCATTTTACGGTCGGCCACCGGGATTGGGCACTGCCCTATCACCTGAGAAGTCTAGAAAGCAGTGACGGGATGAAGTTGAGATTGGCGATCCATTCACATTCTCCTGCACCCAAACAAAGTATTATTGATCCTCGGAGTGACTAAGGTGATGTTAGTGAGTCAGATTTGTACTTGACCGCGTTTTGCAGGTTTGGACCAAAGAATGGTTTTCACACTTCTATATGTCTCGATTTGCCAATGTCAACTCTACGTAACCAGGCAACGGTCTTCTCTGTATTCTCCCTACCACTTAGCTATGGATATACTGCAATGTTACTCATCTGACTCTGAGTCAGATGGAGAGAAAAATGACCCAACCGTTTCAAAAAGAGTGGAGATACCGATTTCAAACCCAAGCAAAATCACAAAGGCAAAGGTGCCAACCTCAAAACTAAAGGCCGACCATCTCTTTGGGCTCAAACCACAGCTACGCAAAAGCCAGAATACTCAAGATGAGCATGTGACAGATATAGAAGATGTTTTTGAACGGATACGAAACAAATCGCACTTTACGACTCTGACTCCAGACATAGACAATAAAGAAGATCAACCTGGAAGCGACGAAAAGCCTACGAATGACAAAACCGAGCAGCAGACAGTGGAGTTCAATGTGGACAAATTCTATCAACAGAACAATACCTTGATAGACAGTGGCGATCTAGACAGTGCCAAGCAAGAAAAGGAAAACAGGAAGGTGAAGTACTACGCTGTTGGGCATAACCAGCTGAGCGATGTGTTCAAATACAACGACAAAAGACATGAGCACGATGACTGATAGAACGAAAGTGAAAATAATGTGAATAACGGAAACCTGAAGCTGTATTGCGATTACCATACGAGATTCTGTGACTCAAAAGGTGGAGGGACAGTATGACTGGCCGGAGAATTTGCGCATCTGAGTCACGATTAAATCAATCTTGCAGTTTCAGAATATGCAACACTTAAGCAGATAATTAATAACGAAAATCCCAACAATATAAAGAAATTGAAATATCAATTGTAATGACTTAATTATCCACATGCTATCTAAATCCTGCACACGTGACCGGTTTACTTCTGCACACGACCTTGTGTCCGACATTTTCTTCGAAGGGAAAGACCAAAAGACAACTTTGATTAACGTAGCAGACAAGACATTGTTGGCAACTACTGATCTCTTCAACTGTCCACTCTTTGTTCAGTGATTGAGGCGCTCTCGTTTATTGCGCAATATTCTATACTCGTGCTTGTAATTTTCGGGTGGTATTTTGGTATTTTGGACATACTTTTAAACTTTGACCTTTGACCTTTGAACTATTCATCGAACGTTTACACAGAGCATCTTCACTACGCTGAACAAGAAAAAAGTAACAAGCAGCCTTATATACCAGATGGATCAACAGATTCGACAGGCTGTGGACATTCTCCTCAGTGCTACGAACGACCAGGCCTTGAAACAACAGGTAAGTTACTCGTTTGATCTGGCTACAAGGCAACAATTTTACTAACATTCGCAGGCGTTTGATTTCATTGGAAATCTAAAAACTTCAGACGATGGCTGGGAACACTGTTTGACCCTTTTGAACCGGAATGAGCCCCTTCCCGATGAACTGAAGTTTTTTGCCATTCAGGTGGTACAGGAAAAGCTGACCACTCAGTTGACCCAGGACCAACTGGTCAAGATAAAGGAATATCTGATTTCATATCTGAAGCTGAATCTGAGTTCACAGCCAGTTGCTGTTCCGTTTTTAAGAAATGCCCTAGCAAAAGCTCTGGGACTTTTATTCTGCAGGACATACACATCGTTTTACCCAGAGTTTTTGAAGGACTTCCTCTCCATGATCAAAACGGGGTCTGGATTCAACGATCTCGCCACCGATTACTATCTTAGGGTGCTTCTATTCGTTCATTCTGAAATCGGTGATCATCTTATTATCAAAGAAAAGGAAACCGCCGAAATTAGTAACCAACTCAAAGACGCCATCAGAGCCCTCGATGTGGTCAATCTGACCACTTCCTGGAAACAAATCTTGACCCACTACACCCAAACACAGATCGCTGACACGGAGTTGCAGCAAACCATTATAGAAAACACAATCACGGTGGTTGGAAATTACATCTCATGGATTGAGATCAATTTGATTCTAGATGAGGAATACTTGCGTCTTCTGTTCCAGTTTTTCAACAGCAGCATTCCAGCTCATGTCATAACAACCGCTTCCGCATTTGTGGAGATCATGGCCAAGAAGATGCCTGCGGTAAAAAAACTGGAGCTGCTGAATCTGCTGAATTTGACCCCACTAATTTCCAATGTGAACACTAACAACTTTGATGTGCTGATGGCATTGGCCAAACTCACAAACGCTTTGGGATGCGAGTCTGTTAGAGTGTTGGACACTGCTTCTGTTGATGAACTCAGAAATGAAGCTTTCAAAACTTCAGCATTCCAGCAGGTGCTGGGTGTTTTTCCGTTAATGTTCAAGTTTCTGGAGAACGAATTTGATGACATTTCTGTGGAGGTTTTCCCGTTCATCCAGGACTTCCTCCTCTTTCTGAAGAAGAACATCACGAACGATGAAATTGACTTCTCTACATTAAACAACGCTCAGATTGTTTCGGCACTCTACGAGAAGATAATCATTAAGATGAAGTATGATGAGGATGACGATGGTGAGGACGATGACGATGTTGAGATTTTCAACGAAGTGAGATCAAGACTTGTTGCGTTCCAAAACTCCATTTTCGTGCTTGACGAATCTCTTTCTTTGAGAATAATTACCAACTGCATCAACGAAAGCCTTTTCAATCACATAGATGACTCCAACAAAGATTGGAGAACTACAGAGCTCGGTTTGTTTGAACTTTCCCAGTTCAGTGATATTTTGAAAAACAATATCATGAACCTTCCAAAAACAATGTTGAATACTTCTGGACCGTACGAGGCATTCCATGAAATGCTGTGCAAGCTAGTGGACAATTCTGAAAAGATTTTGGTGAACCATCCTCTCATCCAGCTGCTGTTTTTTGAGCTGGTAGTCAAACACAGCATTTTCTTCACTAACTCAGCCATCCAAGTCGAGGGGATTGACAAGCTTCAGGTATTACTAAAGGTGTTGAAGATTTTCGTTTCAAACTTTGGTGTTTTTTGCACCCTTGACAAAGTCAAGTTAAGATCCTGGTTCTTGTTCTTGAGATTCATCAGGCTGACCAAGCCAAAGATCGATGATTATATTCTCGAGGAACTAATTAGAAATTTGCTACCTTTGCTTGAGATCAAGGTCAATGGTTTTACCGGGCCCGTCAAGCCCGACTACGAGTCTTCAACGGAGCTTTTGAATGCAGTGGACGGTAACAACTTTGAGCATCAAGCATACCTGTTCGAATCGGTTGGTCTGCTTATTTCTTTGGTGAATGGTGATAAATCCTCAGACAAATTGAGAATGCTAGAACTTGTATTGCAGCCTCTGTTTGCGGATCTGGAGAAGTGTATCAATGCGGGTGGAAACAAGGGCAACCTTTTGATTTCAGTGGAGGCATACCACTGTCTCGTTGCTATTGGAACAATTTTGAACGGGTACGAGCTTAGTCCCGGCGAGGGATCACAGATAATGCCTTTACTGGAGCAGATCTCTCAGGTTGTGTTGATCACCCTGGAGAACTTTGTTGATGATAAGATCGTCCGTGGTGCCACGAGGTTTGCTGTGATTCGTATCTTCCTTCTGTTGATCAAGATCAACGAATTCGGTAGTACCGATAAAGCGTTGAGTGATAAGGCAGGTGCGTTGCTGGAAGCAATTCTTCAAAAGTTTATCTCACTCATGATGGTGAACTTCGACAAAGCCTCGTTCACTGAGATGTCTGAGTTTATCAACTTCATCTCGCAAATCTCGCACTACTGCTTCAACTATCCATCTGTATACCAGATGTTGGATTCTTTGCTGACTCCATTTTTTGAAAAGATTTTCCTGGTGCTGAAGGAAAGAGGATCCACCGCGACTCAGGAAGACATCCGTGATCTTTTCTCTGTCAGAATGACAATTGCTGGGTTTGTAATCTACATGTGCAACAACCATCTGGCCTCGCTCTACTTGACGACAGCTAACAAGGCGCTGCTCACTACTCTTATCAACACTTTGCTGAACTACTGCATCGAGGGAATTGACATAGAAGTCACCACCGATGTGGGGATCCAACTCGTGAAACAGTCCCTGGCTGCCCTGACTGCACTTATTGGCAAGCTGGGGAGCGGCATCATCAACGATCCACTGGATCTGTGCCATAAGATTGACGGTGGATCTGGCTCGCGCAGTGCCTTCGAGCAGGTGAACGACGTGTTGATCAACAACTCCATAATCCTGGTTTTCGAGATAGCCTTCAAGCACAAACTCAGAGACTCTCAGCAGGTCCAGCAGGTGAAGTCCATTGCCATGGAACTGACACGGCTTTTGAGGGCAATTGTGTACATTGGTTACATCATACCCCCATCCAGGTCCGAGAGCAAGAAGAAGAAGGTGGTAAATGATCCCGCTCCAAACGGTGTCTACGAGTCCAACCAGATGATGGTTCAGCAGCTTCACGGATATCTCACGTCTCAGATGGGATTCCCCGTCGAGATGGCAAACGAGTTTGTCCAGAACCTGCTTGTTCCAAATGAGTCCACGTTCGGTAACTACTTTGCAAGGTTGATAGTTCAGTCGAGAACTTAAACGTGAACACCCCAAAACACATGAGAGCGCCCTCAAGGTTAGATCAAATCTGTAAATAGGATAACCGTGAGGTTGTTTTCTAATATTTGCATAACGTGAAAAGTTCATTTTTCGTCTACAACGGCCGTGGTATCAATAATTATTAAGGACATGAAAGCACTAAGTATAAAGGGAACAACAATGAGAGCCAAACGCTCCAAAGGGGATCAGAAGAATTGAAGTTGGCGACAGTCCAAAAAAGCACATCAACTATTTTTCAAGAGTATTAGAATCGCCCCAAGCATAAATTTCAGTCCTTTGGTGTTGGTGATAGTCCAGTTCTTCCACCTTGGACAGCCCCAGAAGTTTTAATTGAGCATGGAATACGTAAAAAGCGAGTAAAATTCACGGATCTTATTCCTTCTCGGCGGAGTTCTCAGCACCGGTGGATTCGGTCTCTGGAGCAACTTGTTGGTCAATGGACTTGACAGATCTGATTGGCTCTGGAATGTACATCTCGGACTCTTGGTAAGTAAACTCGCCGATCTGGGCAGCGTCAGTTCCCAACTCCTCCTCATCTTCAGACAATCTGAGCTTGAGAAATGGGATCTTGTTCATCACAATCAGGAGGATGGAGGTCACCACAAACGACCACAGGAGAGTGGAGGTGGCAGCAGCCAACTGGTAACCCAACTGTTTGTAGTGCTGGTTGATCCAACCACCGTCGATGATCGAGGAACCGTCCAAATGTGCAACGTAGTCTGCAGCGAACAGACCAGTCAGGACAGATCCAGTGAATCCACCAACGGCATGGAGCGCAAAGACATCCATACCATCGTCAATGTGGAGGATGGACTTGAGGTCAACAGCAAAGTTACACACGATACCGGTGATGACACCAATTGGAACAGAGAAGTACACTGGAACAAAACCTGCAGCTGGAGTGATTCCAACCAAACCGGCAATAGCACCAGAGCACATTCCGACGGTGGTCCATTTGCGGCCACAACGGAAGTAGTCCACAAACATCCAGGTCAATCCACCGCAAGCCGCAGCCAAGTTGGTGTTGACACAGGCGTAGAATCCTCTGATGGTAGCATTACCAGAAGAACCACCGTTAAATCCAAACCAACCGAACCACAGGAAAACAGTTCCAAGAACAACCGAAGTAACACTGTGAGGTCTGTATTTTGGAATACCAGAGTCGGTGATAGGGTCGTGTCTCTTACCGCAGATAAGGGCGTAGGCCAGGGCTCCAATACCAGAAGACATGTGGACTGGTCCACCTCCAGCAAAGTCAAGAGCACCAAGAGTGTACAACCAGCCATCAGCGTTCCAAGTCCACATGGCAATTGGGCAGTAAACAACGGTCATCCACAAGAAGAGGAACACCATCATTGGTCCCAATCTGGCTCTCTCACAGGCACCACCGATCATCAGGCAACCAGTGATCATGGCGAACATGCCTTGGAAAAAGCAGAAAACAATGTCTGGAACGGCGGCAGCAGCAAAGTTGTTACCCAAAACATTCATCAAACAGAAATTCTCAAGGGAACCGAGGAACACGGAGGATCCAACACCAAAGGTCAAGGAGTAACCCCAGAAGAACCATTGGAAGGACACCAAGCAGACAGCCATCATTGAGGCCCACAGAAGCGACAAAGCGTGCTTCTTTCTGGCAAGACCGGAGTACAAAAGTCCCACACCTGGAATCATGATCCACACCAAAACTCCGGACACCATAATCCAGACCATGTCACCCTTGTCATACCTGGCGTTCAAGTCATAAGTAAGGGAGTCACCACCGGTGCTGACATCGGTCAGCCCAGAAGGCAACGCATCTGACATTGTGATGTGTTTTAGCCTTGCTCGTAAGTTTGGTTCTCAGATTTTATACACGCAGAAAATATCCCGAAAAGCTTGAAGTCTAGATTTGCTTAAAGGCAGCAGTATAGACTTGAGTTCAGTTCGGATTCCTACTTGATATGCTTTCACGCAAGGCAAGTTCAGAAATTGATCTGCGAAAAAAAGAGGCGACTGAGAATTCTGGAGAAGCTAGAAACAGACGCCAAATTGAGCCCAAAGAGGGCAGGGGGCTCTTATATATTTGTTTTTTAATGTATCTGGCCATTGTGGGTGGCATTAGGCCAAGAAGGGTCTCACGGGTTCATCTGCACGTATGATTTCTGGCCAATGAGCAGCCTGCTTTGGGCGCTAGATAACGGTTTAAATCTACCGTTTCCGGTCTTGGAATCGTCCCGACACCGGCATCGGAAAAAAACTACGAAAATTCTTCTCTGGGTGGCGCACGTCTTGGCAGGCGATGGTCATCTTTGCATGGATTTTTTTCACGTCTATCAAAGTATCATAGTTTGGGGTGATCACTCCGAAGGAAAAGATTTTTATTCCGCAACCATTGATTTCTCAACGAGCTGTCATTGGTCTACTGGAATCCGTTCTAGATAGTGCGGATTACGCTATATGTGGTAATGGTCCAATTTGGCCAATTGAGCCGTAGGCCGTGCTTGTGCTATGTAATCAGTAGATAGCTGCTAATGTCAATACCAAAAGATAGGGAGATGCATGCGGCAAGATCGTCTCCCAAGCCGAATCCGAAAGTTAGCTCAAGTGACAAGCGGGCCGATGCTTATCTTCTGGAAGTTTATATCTATTTCCTTTTTCCAATTCTGGGCGTATGACGTGATCGAGGTTAAGCCAGTAACTCACTATCAGTCTTTTGCCGGTTCTTATTCTTCATCCTTGATCAGCTTGCAATCCATGAACTTGACATTGGCAAGTCTGGATTCATCAATGGCATCCTTATCAAGGAGTCCAAACTGTATCAAATCTCCAATCACAATCCCCATTTTCTGCAACGCGTACCCCAAACTATCAAAGTTGTCATCCGTGTCGTCTCCAACCTCTTCACCTTCGCTTCCAGCTTCAAAGGTGGCATCTTCTTCAACTGTGATCCTGTATATTTCCCCGTTAGGGCCCTTTTCCTCCGTTTCCTGTCCAAACAATTCATGTAAAATCTTTGCATTTTTGTGCAATGACCCATTGGTGATCACTGCCCACAAAGCCCACAATATAGAATTGCATGCCCTCCATTTCAAAATCTCGTCGTGAAGCTCCGGAACCGTGTGCTGCACCTTCATCTTGGAAAGACCCTTGCATTTAACGTAGGAATCTAGGAAGTTCAGTCTTTCCTCCCTCGACGGATAGGCATCCTGGTCGAGGTAATAGGACTGCGTTGGATGGTGATAATTCGCCATCCACTCACAAAAATGATTGGTTATGTCGTATGCCGGTAAATTTGGACCTGAGTACTCGAAGTCAATCACAACCAGCTCTTGGTCAGTTACTTTCCCCTTCTTTTCCAAACCAAGGGGTGTGTAAAACAGCAAGTTTCCATACTGTGTATCGTTGTGGCAGAAAACTAGGTTCTGGTTGATCTGGAACGGTTCTGTATAACTTTCCAAAAGCCAGTCTCTGTAGGTCCTTATAACTTTTTTGAATTCCTTGAAACTGAGAATGAACACATCCTGTTGCTCATCTAACGTTGCCTCATCAGCATACTTCTCCACAGTGTCCAGCCATTTTCCAATGGTACTCCAACACACTGGACCACTCAGTCTCTCTTGCAACTCCAAAGGAATACCAGTATGCAACTCTTTCATTCTTCTGCCAATTCTTCTGCTAATGTTTGGGTCTCTAAGATGGTTCCTGTCCAACGTGGTGGAGTTCTCAAGATACTGTTCAAATCTCCCATTGGTGAAACAACCCATCAGTTTCGGCCCAATGTTGTTGGCGCTCAGTCTGGTCAGAGTCTTCAGCTCTGCCTCTCTATCAATGATGGAGTCCACGTTTGGACCGTATATTCTCAGTAGCAAAGGCTCATAATTCTTGAATGTGACCTTGAAGATGCAATTGGTCAACGCCCCGTTTATCCGTTTCAGTTCCAGCTTCGCGATTGAGCTGGGAGTAATAGGGATCTTGTGCCACCTGGGAATCCTAAGGCTTTGCAGAATGGATATTATGTCTTGCTTGAAATAGTCAAGTGGCAAGCTTTGGTCCAGATGCGCTTTCACAGTGGGGACAAAATCACGTTCCTGGCCAGAACTCAAAGCTGCCTGCTGAACAGAAGCATCCTTGAAAGTGTCAATCAAATCCACAACGTGGAGAGAAGAGGTGGACGAAGACCGCCTGCTGAACGTGGGTCTTGGGAGTGAGTTGGACCGCTTGGTGCTGGACCTCCGGGATCTCCTCGGGGTATCCATCGAAGTGGTATGATTGGCCTCTAGACTAGACAAAAACTGAGGAGTGCTAGTGCTGAACAATCTGATTGTCTCGTGTGCAGGAATGCAGCGGAAGCGGCGATAATGTTGGGGTTCGGCGTTCACATGTGAGACGTGTGCAAACCGATTGCTCAAGATCGATAATCGCACGCCCCAATATTTCATTTGAGTGTTGCACTTGGTATTTGAGGCCTCCAATTGGCTCGATAAACAAGAATACCCGTTCGGCGTAGCCTTCTTAGTCTTCCGCTCCCTCTCTTGATCGAGGTTTAGTGAAACGGAACAGAAACAGACACTCCGGTCTTATTGGTACCTGTGTAGCCTTGCTATGTAAATCTTGAGCCAACCTGATTTATCTTGATCAACTCTGTGATCAAGGTTATTTTTCAGAGGTGTTTCTGTACAATTACATGCAGATCTAACCAAAGCAAAGGTTTTCCACAAACTGACAAGAAGAGAGAGAATTTTCTTCCGCTGACAGCACGGTTTCCGAGGTCTCATAAGACTGTCAGTCATAAGTTTATTTCCATACCTACGCAGAGAGCCGCTTTGGACTGCAGTAGGAGCCAAACAACAGCTGGAAACCAGAAAAAGCAACCAAAAAAGCGCTCAAAACAAAACACTCGCAGCGCTGCCGGATACCTGATGCAAGGCGGAAACTCGGACCGGAGAAGCCATCTCTCATTGGGGATTATTACTCCCTATCATGAGAGATTGAAAATAGAAAAGAAACATAATAAACCCAGCTCGTACCAAGATGATGCACTTTATCCGAAGATAGTAGGGGCTAAGTTTAATATCCTTCTACTTCGATGACGCTAGAGGCATTTGCAGAGAGAGACACATAAACTAAGGTGCGCTGTTGTAAGCAGAGTTTCCATACCCGTTGCCTCCTGCTGGTAGGCTTTTACTGGGCACTGCAAGGTACTGTAGTCTATTGGTGAATCTGGATGACAACCTCAAACATTTGTTAGCGCTGTATTTCTCATTTTTCTAAAATTCGCGTTCAATTGGGTCTTGACATTCCGATTCGCTTCTCGTAAGAGACCGGGTTGTAACGCTTTGTCATGCCCACTACCAGCCAATAGCCTGGCAGCATGGACTGTGATGCAGCTGTATACGGCACTTCATCTAATCTAGCATAGATAGTTGTACCGGTCTCGGAATCTCCTCGATGTAGCTCGTTTTATTATTAACACAATGGTCCCGATGGCGATGAGAATTATGTTTTGCAGTTGAGCCCTAAAGACAAATTTTAAGTGTTGTTTCTCGTAGTAGCAATTGAAAGATAAGAAACCAGTATTAAGGGATCTCCGGTTTTTGCTCCGTAAGCTTTCTGTGGATCATTGCTAAACAAAAGTCCCAAAAAGTGTAGAAAGTTAAATTGAGTTCACTGTGCAATTTCTTACTTGGCAGGAGGGGAGATCTACCCACTCACTGCTCAGGTTCGCTGCAAAGCATTTGGTCTATGTAACTAATTTTTACCCGTACCAAATATAATCGACCTGATAGACATTATCAAATGATTGGAATCGGGGAAAACGGTACAATTGCAAAACCGTTGCGCGGTTCAAAGATTTCTGTTAGACCGGCGTGACAGAGATAGATAAAGATGCATTGTGTCACAGGGGAGCAGATCACCCCCACTTGAGGCGGCGATTGGCTAGCAAACCGGGTCTCTACAAAGAAAAGAGTAAAGGGAGTGCACTCTTATTGTTTTTCTGATTGTGCAAGAAGAACAGTTAAAGTAGAAATTAGAAGATAAGCAGGCTTTCGAGTCATCATCCCTTTTGATACAGCAGACCACAGAGCCGCCGTCAATCTGGCGTCTAATTATGGTCTCTCGGTTTTTTGAAGCAATTTTTAGTTTGGCATTGTCACAATGCTATAGTTCATAGCAGTCATAAGTTTTTGCATCGATGTGTTTGCAAAACGGAATTATGATTTTCGCGCTGTTAGCCGTTGAAAGACACTGGCGGCTACCGTACCGTTGTAACTACGGGCGATAGTGCAAATAGCTGGATTCATTAGTCGCTGGGTACACCAACATTTGTGTTCTCGTCATTAGTGTCACGTTTTATCTCACGTTTCATCCCTGTCGGTCACGTCTCGTATAAACAACTCATCACTGCCTCTTTGGTCTCAGCTGGGTCCTTAGCCAGTTCTCGCGTTTCCACCAGAAAGGTATCCAGATGCAAGTCTTCTGGTTTCAGGCTTTCAAAATCTTCAAAGCAGATGAAGTTCACCAATCCCCGCAAATGTTTCAAAACATGAATGACTCCTTCCTCTGAATTGCACTCGATGAACTTGAATTGCTGAGCGTTCTGCAATTGTAGCGACTCTCTAGTGACCTTAGGATGGAGTATGAATACTATGTCCTGGACCATATTGGACAGTTCCTCTAGAGGCAATCGGGCCTCCACAACGGACTGAAAACGTTAGAAAACTGAATACTGGCGGAAAATGCATATATATATGTTTATTCCACTCACCTCTGAAAGCACTATCGATACTCGTTTGCTGGCGTACTTCCTCTGCTTCTGACTGACCTGAATCCTCGTCCTGTACGCATACGCCACAGACACAGAGATTAAACCAGCCAGCGCCAACACTGGATACACGTATCGTCTGTTTCCTCGTGACATTATGAATAGTAATAGTACTTTCTCAAGCAAAAATATAATCCGAAATAACTGATTAATGAATCAAAAAAGATGTCGGGAGAACTTATCGCTTAATGGCAGTGCTAGCCGATGACTTCAGCCACTTCAAGCCACTCACTACTCCAGATTGCAAGCCACGTGAAAAATCACACTGAGACACTGACGCGTAGAAGAACCGCCACCATCAGGCTAATACGAGGTTATTATGTCGTACGATGATCGTGTCTTATTCTCCGCCACAACAAATGCGCTGTCGCACTTCGCGGATCTGGTGAATGCCATTGCGGTGACAAACTCCACTATGGAGGTGCTGGTGACCCCAAGAGGGCTCATGTTCAAGACTACAGAGAGAGGTGTGTTTGAGATATCAACATTGTTGGAACCTGGCTTTTTTAAAAACTTCGATTTAATTACAACCGATCAGCCGATTCGTGTGTTTTTGGATATGGACTCATTCATAGAAAGCGTGAATCTTGCAAACACCATGGCCGCAGCTTCAGAGTCGTCTGGTGAGACGGTGCAGTGTACATTCTCGTATCACCATATCGGGGATCCGTTTATTGTGACATTTGAGGATGATCAGATATTAGAGAGGGTTGAGTTTATGATAATAAGTGATACCGGCCTTGAAAATGAAGATTCTACGGACTCTGCTATCACCGGTGAGAACCAGGGCGACTACTTCCAGATAGACCCCTCCAGGTTGTGTCTAGATATGATGCTAGACTCGGCAATGCTATACGGAATTCTCAAAGACCTAAAGGAGGTGAAAACAGAGCAGATATATCTCTATTGTGCAATTGAAGACGACAATCCCCGAGTGGTATTCGTCTCCAAAGGTGAAGTGGGCTATAGTCGAATGACACTCCCCAACATCAACAACGCTCTCAAAGAAATGGCAATATACAGAGACGAACGTCCCACAACAGAAGACTCAGTGTCAACATTCTACAGCTTCGAGAGTTTTTCTAAAATCCTCAGGACCGCCAGTTTAGCTACCACCATCAAGTTCAAGATAGACACTGATGGCCGCACGGTAATGAGTCTACTGATCACCAATACAAAGTCCTCTATAACAACGGTGATCGAGTTCAAAGTTCTTCAGACTTCAGACTTGAACCATGATGCTAGTATGATCAATAATACCTTCATGACCAGACTGGTCTCGAAGGAGCAGAAGGTCAGTACTAGCAGACACTCCAACACAGCAGGTACTCAACTAGAGACCTTGGTCAATGTCGAAAGAGCCCAGCATCGCCGCACAGAAAGTGGCCAAGATTTACCATTATTCCTATAGAAAAAAACGAGTGTATATTCATTAAATAATCATCCTTACAGAAATTGTATCCAACTAATAGGCAACCTGCTTTTTTTCCAGTTTTGTGTTTTTCAGTGTTCTAACGATACACTTATTGGGAAGCAAAGAACTCCAAGATCTGGTTTCTCTCCTCGGTGTCAGCACCCCAGTTGGTGACGACAACACAAGAGGCACCGACAACCTTACGGGCGTTACCCTCACGGTCCAAGGCACACAAACCGGCCCACTCACCCAACTTCTTGGCGTCAGAAACCTTGATCAAAGGAATCTTCTCTTCTGGCTCGTCACAGAGAGCCTCAACCAACTTAATGATGGACTGCTCGGTAACAGAGTCACACAAGACACAGAGTTGAGCCTCTCTTCTGGAGAGAGCCTTGGAGGCTTCTCTCAGACCACGGGCCAAACCGTCGTGAACCAAGGCGGTTCTAAGGACAACCTTCAAGGCATCCTCGAAAGAGGCTCCAGACTCTTCAGCTGGAACTTCGACAATTTCTTCAACGTCAGACATGTTAGATTATATTAGAAACTTCTTCCACAGTGAATACCGGTCAGTAATAATCTGGTCTCAGAACTAAGATGGTTAACAAGTCTGAAACTTTCGAGGTGAAAAAAGGCGATGGCTAGAGTCGTGTGTGATCAACCCTAGCCCTGGTTAATGTCACGTGAGTGAATTCAGCATCGGATGGTAGTGTGTTCCCAAACCTGGGTATTTGGGGTAGTGCTCTGACAATTCTGACGCGTAATTCAATTAATCCGTTTTAGGAAACTTGAAAGGTTGGGAATCCAACTTCGCGACACCTTCCTTTCTTCAGCTCCTACACTTTATTTTCTTGTGAACAGCGAACCAGAAAAAAGGCAAGTTCCCCAATTTCTGCCTTGAATTGTCTCAATGTCTTCCAGTCAAGTCCCCTCCTCGCCTTTTCGCGATATAGAGGATGATACACTAGACCAGTCCCAGTTGCCTGGAGACTCCTTGGGAGAGTCCAGTGGACATCAACAACAGAACCTCCCGAGTTCTCCTATTTTCGTGCCACAGTCTTCGGATCCTCCGCTGGTGAGTGATGATCCCAGATCTTCGAATCCGTTCCAGCGTTTGGCCGAGGCGTCGTCGCCTTTGAACTTCTTGTCGTCTGATCTAAGAACTGATAACTCCAGAACAAGCGTCAGATCCAGTGGTGTCACTCCAAGACGGATCCGTGGTGATATCCATTCAGCAGAGGGTATTTCTTCTCCCAGAAGATTTTTCACCCAACACTCTAATAGGCTATCGAGTGATATAATGGCATCTTCGTCTTCAGCTGGTTTGAACTCTGATGCCAACGCCGGTAACCCAGACGAGCCAGTCAGAGTGATCTGGGGTACCAACGTGTCGATTCAGGAGTGTGCCGATAACTTCAAGGGGTTTCTTATGGCATTCAAGATGAAGCACAGAAAGAGACTTGAGGGAATAGAGAGTGGTTTCAGTGAGTCTGACGAGGCTTTCTACTATGTGGACATGCTTAGCAAGATGAGAGAAACCGGTGGAACCAATCTGAACTTGGATGCAAAAAACTTGCAAGCCTTTCCTTCTACGAAGAAGCTTTATCACCAACTGATCAACTATCCTCAGGAGGTGATTCCCATTATGGATCAATGTATCATGGACTCCATGGTTTCGCTTGCCTACGATAACAACACCGAGGAGAATTTGGATGTGGCTGATATCGAGTCGCGGGTCTTCAAGGTTAGGCCTTATAATATCACCAACCAGAAGGGTATGAGAGAATTGAACCCCAACGATATCGACAAGCTGGTGGCGGTCAAAGGTCTGGTGATCAGGTCCACTCCAATTATCCCCGATATGAAGATCGCTTTCTTTAGGTGCAGTGTGTGTGAGCACACTCTTGTTGTTGAGAATGACAGAGGTGTGATTCAGGAACCCACTCAATGTCCCCGTCTGGCATGTCAGCAGAAGAACTGTATGCAGATTGTTCACAACAGATCTTCGTTTGCTGATAGACAGGTAATCAAGCTTCAGGAGACTCCAGACAATATTCCCGATGGTCAAACCCCACACTCGGTTTCTCTGTGTGTGTACGATGAACTCGTGGATGCCACCAGGGCTGGTGACAGAATCGAGGTGTGCGGAATCTTCAGATCGACTCCTGTTAGAACCAACCCAAGACAGAGAGCTGTAAAGGCGTTGTACAAGACATATCTCGACATTGTGCACATCAGAAAGATTGACAGGAAAAGAATGTCGCCAGATGAGTCCACACTGGAGAATGAACTGAGGGACCAGCAGGAGGTTCAAGAAGTCAGAAAGATATCCGAGGCCGAAATCGAAAAGATCCACCAGGTGTCAACCAGAGATGATCTGTATCAGGTACTTTCCAGATCTCTTGCTCCTTCTATTTTCGAAATGGATGATGTGAAGAAGGGCATTTTGCTGCAGTTGTTCGGTGGTACTAACAAAACCTTTGTGAAAGGAGGTAAGTACAGAGGTGACATTAACATTTTGTTATGTGGTGATCCCTCGACTTCCAAATCTCAACTTCTGCAGTACGTCCACAAAATTGCTCCTAGAGGTATCTACACCTCTGGTAAGGGTTCCTCTGCTGTCGGTCTTACTGCTTATATTACCAAAGACTTTGAGACCAAAGAACTGGTGTTGGAGAGTGGAGCTCTGGTTCTTTCAGATGGAGGTGTCTGCTGTATCGATGAATTCGACAAGATGTCGGATTCCACAAGATCCGTGCTGCACGAAGTCATGGAACAACAGACAATCTCGATTGCCAAGGCCGGGATCATTACCACCTTGAACGCTAGAACTTCCATCCTCGCCTCGGCCAATCCTATCGAGTCAAGATACAACCCAGACTTGCCTGTGACCAAGAACATCGACCTTCCTCCTCCTCTTCTTTCCAGATTCGATCTGGTTTACTTAATCCTCGACAAGGTTGACGAAAAACTGGATAGACAGCTGGCTCAGCACCTGACCAGCATGTACTTGGAGGACCGTGTTGATAGTGCTGCGAAGACCGAGATCCTTCCTGTGGAATTCTTGACTTCCTATATCCAATACGCGAAGGAGAACTACAACCCGGTGATTACAGAAGAGGCTAAGAGAGAATTGGTGAAAGCCTATGTGGATATGAGGAAGCTGGGTGAGGATGTGAGGTCCTCAGAGAAGAGAATCACTGCTACCACCAGACAGTTGGAGTCTATGATTAGACTTGCGGAAGCACACGCAAAGATGAGATTGTCGCAGACAGTTGACCTTTCCGATGTGTTGGAGGCTGTCAGGCTGATCAAGTCTGCGATCAAAGATTACGCCACGGATCCTGTTACTGGAAGAATAGACATGGATTTGGTTCAGACCGGTCAGACAGCTTCAGAGAGAAGAATGCAGGAGGATCTCGTGAAGGAAATTCTGTCGATGATTCAAAACAGTTCTGGTGTGACCACATATGACAAGTTGCTCGCAAATATCAACGAGAACTCGCAAGCAAGGGTTGAAAACGCAGATCTATCCGAAGCCTTGAGGAGACTGGAGACTGAGAACAAAGTGGCCGTGGTCGGAGCAGGCCATAAGCGTGAGATCAGGCTGACATCTCTCAGGGTTTGATGATTCTGGCGTTAAAAAAAGGTTGCTTTGTTTGTTTGATTGTTTGTTTGCGATTTTTTTTTCTTTACTTCTGTGTAATAAGTATATCATTGTTCAAGTGAAATATTAGTTGAAAATTACGCGTACACTGTGTAGTGTGCAGTAGTAAACACAACGTTATGAAGCCCGCGATCACGTCCCCGTTGATTGGACGATCAGTTGTGTAGTGCACGCTTGTTCCGAAAAAGTGGAATCCTCGAAGAAGTGACAAGAGACCTGCTTGATCAGTTAATCCAAAGCAGTAACCTGATCATTGTACCGATATGTTTTCCCGTCAATTGTTGAGATCAACCAGAGCCGCTAACGGTGCTCGTTTTGTGTCCACCAGCGCTATCACCACCAAAGCTTCCGGTAAGTACTTTCCAGTGATGAAAACACAACGGGCCAGGGATGTACTAACGCTGTCAACGTTTAGATCTTGCTAGCAAGACCGTTTACTGGTCCAAGGTCACTGCTGAATTGGCCAAGGAAGTGTACAAGAAGGAAGGTTTCGCTCCACCCTCCGTTGCCGAGTTCCAGAAGGTCTATGAGTCCCTATACAAGGATGCTTTGAAGTTCGCGCTCGACCCAAAGGCTGCCGTTAAGTATGCCAAAACCATATTCAACTCCTTGGACAAGAAGACCAGCATAACTTATGGCTCTTACCTTGTCCAAATACTTGGTCTCTTTTCTCTCGGAGAGATTGTTGGAAGAAGACAGCTCGTTGGCTACCCATCTTTCGGACCAAAAGAGCACCACCACTAGATTATTACGCTTCTTTGTTTGAGAAATGCCATTCAAAAGGTTCTATAAGTTACATTTGATATAAGAAACTGACAAGTGTTCTCATCGATGTTTCATTCGTCGTCTTCGTCAGAAGCGTCTTCCTGTAAAGTCTTGCGCTTCTTTGATGCTGCGATCATCTCCTTGCGAGTCTTCCTCTTTTGCCTCACCACCTTTGGAACCGTTGTAATTTCCTTTCTCATCTGGGGCCTGCGCTTAACGTCAATCTTCTGCTGTTTGGTGATCTTCGGCATATCGTTCATCCACTCACTCAGCTGGTCCTCACAACCAGACTGCCTCATCACATTTATGACCGGTTTGATGGCAACCACGTCTTCCTTGGTGTAAAACGTAACTGCCTGGCCACTTCTTCCTCCTCTTCCGGTTCTTCCGATCCTATGGACGTAGGACTGTGCAGACTGTGGGACATCGTAGTTGATCACAAGATTCACTCCCTTGAAATCAATACCACGAGCCATCACATCTGTACAGATCAAGACCCAAATCTCACCTGCTCTGAATCTCTCAATGACAGTGTCTCTCTGTTTCTGTGTTCTCTCCGCGTGTATCACGTCCACGTTCAGCTTATCGTAGAGAAGCTCGTGGAACAGAGCCTTGGCCCTCACCACCGATTGCAAGAAGATGATGACAGGAGGCTTGAATTCGCCTTTTTGAATCATCTGTCTGATAGCCACAAGCTTGCCGTCTTCGTTGCCGCAAAATACCAGTGACTGTTGGATCTGTGAGTTGGCCGCCTCTTTATGGCCAATGATGATTCTTACTGGAGAGTTCATGATGGATTGTGCGAGCTCCTCCACAGTGGAAGTGATAGTGGCAGAGAATATCGATCTTCTCAGCTTTTTGTTGGTGCAATGACTTAGAATGCTGTCAGTTTGTTCCACGAAACTCTGGTCAAAAAGTTTGTCGGCCTCATCAAATACTATGTGCTGAACATCGCTCAGATCGAGCGCCTCGCTTTTCACCAGGTCAATCAGTCTCAAGGGCGTGGTTATTATAATGTCGTATTTGGAAGCCGAAATTATCTTGTTTTTCAGCTTGGCAGCAACGCTTTTGGAAAGCATCGTCACTCTGAGTGAATTCCCCTTGGCTAGCTTCTCTGCTTCGTTGAATATCTGGGATGCCAATTCCTTGGTTGGAGAAATCACCAATCCTCTAAGTCCATGCTCCTTCTTACTTGCTTTCAACTGACTTATCAAAGGGATCAAAAACGCAAGTGTCTTACCGGAACCTGTAGGTGCACAGGCAATGAGGTCTCTCGAGTTCAGAGCACACGGTATGGCTTCACATTGAATTGGAGTTGGCTCTGTAAACTCCGAGTCAATGAGATTTTGCAACAGTCTCTGGTCGAGCTTAAAACGTTTCACCATATCTTCAAAGGAAGCAATTGGAAGAGGCATATCGTCACCTGAGACTTTTGCTTTGTAGGACTTCCTCAATTTCTTAGCATCGTCCTGGTCTTTGATGATATTGATCTCTTTTTCTTCTTCTTCATCCGAAGAGTTGTCATTATTTTCTTCTTCTTGACGAGCTCCTTGCACCAGTTTGTGTTTTTTCACGTGGAAAAAATCGGTTTCCTTGTCTACTTGTCTTGCCGTATCTAGCTCTGTCTTTTTAGACTTCTCCTCTTGTTTCTGAGCCGGCATAGAGAAATCAGTGGTGATTTCTCTTGACTTCTTCAAAGAAGCGCCTCTGGAAAGTACTCTGAAGATATCCATGTTTAATATTCCAAGGAGATGGATAATGTGTGTCTGTAACTAACTATTGATCTATCTGCTAGATGTATAGCTGAGAAAAAAAATCTTAGATGAGGAGTGGCGGTGCATGTGGCTGGTGGTTTGACCTTGATGCGCATGACATGAGCTGGCACTATGTATATCCCTCGTGGGGCGTACACAAGAAGTTGCAAAAGCGACGGATATAATTGAAATTGAGTCTCTGACAAAACTAAGGCATTTTACCCTTATCCCGACAGTCCCGAGGAGACCGCGAAAGTGGCCTCCGAAGGCTCAATCTCCATACGCTCTAGAATATCTGGACTGCACACGACTTCGAAGAATCAGAAAAAAGTGTCGAACATTGAAAAATGTCAATCTCCCGTATTAACACTCCGACTACCAACCAACATACACAATGAACTTTAGAAGTTTGGGATTGGTACAAAGGGGTTTTTCTCCCGTGGTGAGGTTACAGCAGCAACAGATAAGAAATCTTGTTGTATACAGGAGCTCCAAATCGAAGGGTGGAATCCGTAACCCTGATGACTACTTGACTTCGGGTTCTCGCAAGTATGAGCTCAATGAGGACAATTTAAAGCACATCAAAGGCTACTTGTCGAGCATAGAAAGTGGCAAATATCAGTTGCCTGACAGACTTCTACTCCAGGTGATAACCCACAAGTCGTTTGCACACGGTAAGCTTCCATACAACGAGAAGCTCTCCATATTGGGATACAGTCTGTTCAGCATGACGACTGCAAAATTTGCCCTGCATATAGCGGAGGTTTCCAAAGCCAGAGATGTGGTGGATGTGGTGAACTCTACTGGGTTTAAGTTGTTGAACCGCAACTCGATGTTGGACGTTTTCTCCAGTCTCACGGGATTGGCGAAGGTTGTTTTCTGGAAGAACCCTGAGCCCCTCAACCTGGATGGTGCCAGTGCGCTGAACAAAACGGTGGAAAGAAACACCGTGCTCGCTCTCATAGGAGCCATCATCTCGCAGCATGGCACCAAGAGTGCCGAAGAGTTCGTCATCAACGAGGTCATACAACAGGCAGTCAAGAGCGACTACTTCCAGCCTCTTGAGTCTACTGCATAGGGACTTCCACTCGCATGTATATAACAAAGAACTAGTCAAAATACTGGTGTCCCACTCAACACCTCACTTAAACACTAGAACAAGAAATTCTTAAAAATTAGACCATAGTGTAAACTCTAAATTTCCCAAACCAGCTGTTGGGGAAAGCGCGTGCCGGAGATCAAAAATGGAAACACTGGAAGCTCTTCTTTTCTCGCTTGAGAAGCTTTGAACAAGACAATTGGTTCGATTTCTGGGAAATTTAAACTCTGTAAATGGTCGAAGCAAGTGATTTGGTCATCCACCATCGGGTCTTGCAAAAATTTCTGCAAGATGCTGGGACCAGTTTGTCGCAACCAAACTCAACACGGGTAGCCAAAGCGCGAGAAAAGCTAGCCAAACTTTCTGTGAGCCAATTTGCAGAGTTGAGCACGGACGTTTACGATGAATTGCAGAGAAGAACGAATACGTCACCACAAAAGCCCAAGACGCTATTGCCAAAGCCTACGTTTCACCCTAAGAGAAATCAGGCGCGTGAGAAGCTAGCCTCTTTGCAAGAATCACGGTTTGGTGATCTGGCCAAAGATATTGCATATGAGGTTGAAAGAAGAGGATTTCACGAAAGTGTTGAGCAACCAAGTTATTCGGAGAATGTTTATGGAAATCAAAGGTCCATGGATAAACCATACGAGAATCTTGACATCCTCAAGCACTCTCCACAGAGAACAGGGGTCGAGCAAACCAGGCAGGTCCCAACAAATGTCTTTCCATCCACCACTTATGCTGATGAGTCGTTTATGAATGACAGTACCCTAGAGATTTCCACACCGGTTGCAGATGCCTTTCAGAAAGAGATTCGCTCAAAGCTTGTGGTTCCTTCTAAAGCCTCCCTTTCGTGGTCGAGTGATGAAGATGAAGATGCGGTATTTCCCAAGGCAGCTAACGAGGTTAAATTGAATGGCTCTCCTGTCAATGAACGACTTTCGTTGCGTCGTAGCAAGGAAACCGACTTGAAATTGTTGATGGAAGAAAGCACCAAGATGGATCAGAAGATCACTGCTCTCGAGTCCGAGAAATACTCGCTTTTGTCCGATATAGAGGATTTAGAGATAAAGCTCAAAGCTAAAGAGGAAGAACTTGTGAAGCAGCAGAAGGCTTGGAGTCTGGAGAAACAGGGTCTCGATCAACAGCTAAAAGAACTGCAGCAAAACTTGGAGTTCAAGCACGAAGAGCTTGAAAACACCAAGCAAATCACGAGTGACTGGGAAGGAAGACACAAAGCTGTAAACGATGACTTTGCCAGATTGCAGGAAATGTATGAGGATCTCACTGATAAGCATAGGCAGACGTCGGAAACTCACCAGGAATTGGTCCAGGAAAAGACTTTGCTTATGGAGCAGATTTCCAAGCTTCAAGATGTCAATATGGCTCATCAATCAAATGCTTCTGATAGCTCACATCTAATCGAGGAGTTGGCCAATCTGAAGCAAGCACATGCCAAACTCCAAGCCGATAACGAGACCATGGCCAGAACCGTCTTGGATCACCAGAACTTGAATAAGCAGTACGATGCTTTGAAGGAAGAACATTCGAATCTCCAGAGATCTGTACCCACTGTGGATCTGACCTCTGAACTGAAGAGTCTCCGTTTGTCGCACTCCGCTCTCCAAGCCGAGAATGAGCGGCTCAAAAAGTCCTCTGCCAACTCGACAGCATCTAATCCTGAAGATGTGGTAGCTTTGAAGAAGCAAGTCATTGACTGGCAACAGAAATACCAGAGTGCTTCTGGAGATTTTATTGCCCAGTCCTTGAATGGATCCCCTCTTAGTGACCAGTATATCAAATCAATGACAGCGTCTTCGGGCCTCCTTCTTGCTTCGTCCGTTTCAAATCTGATGGCCTCGTCAAAGGTTTTCCTCTTGGGTTTGGAACCAGAAACTCTTGACGTCGATATTTTTTTCGATGGAGTGTCGCAGTTTGCAACCTTTGCTGGTGTGATTGCTAGCGAAGGGGAATCTGATGGTTCCCCTTCTTCCACTGAACAGTGTCGCTTTGTGCGTGCTGCAATTGCGAACTTCATAACTGCATCTCGGTATTACGCTATCTACAACAAGTCTATTCCGAAACTGGTTGTTCAAGCGGCTATGAATGATGTCTGTTTTACAGTGTGTGACTTGATCGCAGCTGCCAAGATCAGAAGCGGGACTGACAAAGCATCAACCATCTTGAAGACGCCCATTTCGGACAGGTTTCCCTCAGAGGTTCCCAGAAGCTACTCGACCAAGCCAGAAGATGACGTGTCTCCCGTTCGCCCCTTGAAAATGGCGCAGAGACTGGGGTCTGCTACACCCAGCCCTGAAGCGACATTGCCAAGGACGAGAGACTCTCCTACTCCTCGCATGTCGTTTTTAGTCAAGCCTGGTTCCAAGCTGAAGGATGATGTAATGTCAACTCCTAACAGTAAAGATGTTACCTCTCAAGCGTCACCCAGTTCTACAAAGAGCTCAAGCATTCTTTCCAAGGTGCAACAGTTTGAATCTCCCGAGAAACTGCAGAACACGAAAAGGTACTCACCACCCAAAGATTCATTCCCTTCTTCTAACGCAGGTTTTTCCAAGTTTGGCCTTAAAGCCAACAACGTTTCCCCTAACCAGTCCAGAGTGACTAGCAAAGATGATCAGGATTATTCTCCTAATGGTAAGGCCATACCCTTGAACACTTCAACAATAGAAAATCGCAAGCCATCCGACGGTTCAGCTCAGCGATCCTTCCAGCCATCTGCAGTGGACAATCAACGCAAGGTGACAGCCAAGGAAAATTTTGACATTAGCAGATTCGACATTAGAGACCCGGATAACACTCTGGAAGAATTGTTGCACTATCTAGAGCACCAGACCGTGGAAGTGATTGCTGCCATTCAGATGCTGCTGGCATCAATCAAGGATCCAAACATCACGATTGGTGCCTTGCGTACCAACGCGGAGCAGATTCTGAATGTTATCCACCAAATGGTGGAAGCAACAAGCACATCCATGAACCAGACAAGAAATGCTATGCTCAAGGAACACGGCAGTTGGATAGTCCAGAGTCTTGTCGATTGCGCAGGAAGGATGAAATCACTGTGTGCATCCAGCTCGAAGGATCAGGAGTTTGCGGACAAGAACTTCAAGCAGAGATTGGCTGGAGTAACTTTCGATATCGTGAGAAGTACTAACGAATTGGCAAAGACCGTGGAAGAGGCAAGTTTGAAGGAGGAAATCGCCATACTTGATGCCAGACTCCAGCACGGCGTTGTGGTGAACTGATAGAGAATCAAAATTACTTCCAAGAATAGGTTACATCTACTTTTAGCTTTGTGTTTTTTTTGCCAGCGTTTATTCATACTAAATCATGTTTTTATGTCTTTTAGGGAAATTTGTAGAATTTTGCATTTATCTGGAAGGCATACAGCATGCGTTACAATGGTTGGAAATCATTAGAGACACAAACATAATAAAGAAAACGTTTTCTTCAATTATAGATTCGTAACTTGATTAAGCATATATACCGTCACCTTCATGTTCAAAAATTATCTTGCTAGTACAACCTTCAGCTAGGTCTACTCTGCCTCGCCTTTATAGCAGTGCTTCGGGCGGATATGCAACCGAAAATTGAAGGGTTATGAATTTCCGAACAGCTTCAATGGGCGGTTCCGTTTACCGATTTCGAAGTTTTGCACGATTAGATTTTGTTAGGCTTTTCTAATAAAGCTTACAAATGATACTCGCGGATATGTCTCCAATCACCCCCGACTACGCTCACTTGGAAGCTTATACAAAAAGGCTTACTCGACTACTTAATCTCGCTCAAATGCTATCAGTAGCTGATAAGAGATTTATTGGTTGGCGCACAACCAGAATACATAACCCCTTGAACGGCTCCATTCTCTTCTTCTTTGTGGGCTTCCTTTGAACGTGACTAGCAAAATGGATGAGAAAATTGAGTTCAAGCCATTTCTAGAACAGCCTCAAGCTCTGCATGCAGAGAAACGCTACAAAAAGCCATCAGGGCTCAGAAAGCAATTGGGCCTTTTGTTGTTGATGGCAATGACTGCTTTCTCACTCTTCTCTACCTGGTCCTGCGGTCAAACCCAGTCCACGAAAGTCGACAAGAACGTTGTCGTGGGTGCCTATCTTAAAGCGATGGAGACAAATAACATTGAGGAATGGCTCAAGAAGTACACGAGTACTCCACAGACTGCCGGCACTAACTTTCCCATGGTTCAATGGTGTAGGGATAAGCTTGAACAATACGGATTTGAGGCTACAATTGATGAATACGAAATCTACATGAGCTACCCCAACTCGAGTGCATTGAGTCTTTTGACTAATGATTCCGTTGTCTATGAGGCTCCCTTAGTTGAAGATGTTTTGGAAGACGATCCAGACACCAGTGGCGACGATTTAGTCCCCACTTATCTGGGATACGGTGGAAATGGAAACGTAACAGCTGACTACATCTACTGCAACTACGGTTCCATGGCTGACTTTGCCAAGTTGGAGAAATTGGGTGTCTCAGTGAAAGGAAAGATTGCGATCATGAGATACGGAGGCATTTTCAGAGGGCTCAAGGTCAAGTTTGCCCAGGACAGAGGTGCAGTTGGAGCAATTCTGTATTCCGATCCAGGCGACGATTTTGGTATAACTCCAGCCAATGGCTACAAGACGTATCCCGATGGACCGGCTAGAAACCCTAGTGCTGTGCAACGTGGATCCGTCCAATTTCTGTCCTTTTTGCCTGGTGATCCAACCACTCCTGGCTATGCTTCCAAGCCTGGTGTTCCAAGATCCGATCCATTCTACTCTACACCCAGAATTCCCGTTCTTCCCCTCAGTTACCGTGATGTCACCCCAATTCTGGAGAAGCTGAACGGATACGGGCCCAATGTGGACGAGGTCATCCCTGCCGAGGAAGACACGTCCAGCGACAAATTCACAGGCGAGTTACCTGGATACGACTATTCCATTGGCCCCAACCCTGAAGCCACACTGAATTTGTACAGCAACCAGATCTTCAACATAACGCCTTTGTGGAACATCTACGGTGAGATTCTGGGTGAGAATCAAGATGAGGTCATCATTATTGGAAACCACCACGATTCTTGGATCAAGGGAGGTGCTGGTGATCCTCATAGTGGAAGTGCTGTGCTGTTAGAGCTGGCAAGGGGCCTCGACGAAGTGATCAGAACCACCGGGTGGAAGCCAAAGAGAACCATTATGCTTGCGTCCTGGGACGGGGAGGAGATGGGACTTCTCGGATCCACTGAATTTGGTGAATACCTTGCTGATAAACTCCAACGCAAGGTTATTGCCTACTTCAACTTGGATGTGGCTACAATTGGTCCAAACCTGGAGGCCAGTGCCTCGCCCTTATTGCATGAGCTTTTCCGTTCTACTTTAGCCAAGCTGGAATACCCTAAGGGAGGATCTCTTTACGAGCATTTCAAGGCGTTTACAGGTGACAGGATTACCAACTTGGGGTCTGGTTCCGACTACACTGTGTTTCAGGAGCACTTGGGAATCCCCTCCATTGACATGGGATTCATCTCTGCCAAGGGCGATCCAATCTACCAATACCACTCCAATTACGACTCATATCACTGGATGGAGAAGTTTGCGGATCCTGGGTTCACATATCACAATCTGATGTCCAAGCTTCTGGGTTTGCTCGTAATCGAGATTTCAGAGTCTGACATGATCAAGTTCAAGCTGGAGGACTACTCCTCAAGTCTAGAGGAATACTACGAGGACGCCATCTCTGGAATTCCTTCGAAGTGGCTGGAACAAGAGGTCAGTCTCATGAACATGCATGTGATCAACGGACTTTTTGCAAATCGTGTTTCTAGCGGTGAGTTCACTATTCCTCGTTACTTGCAGACCTGTCCTCAGATGGCCGAGTTTGGTTCTGTTCCCACAAGCCATCACCACAAGAACACTACGTTTGGTGATCTCTTGGGGAGTGCTAGCAACTCTCTTAAACAGCTCAGCAATACCACTTTACTGTTCGACGACAAGGTGCTTCTTGTTCAGGATCAACTCAACCACTGGGACGAGTTATCGCTAATTCAGAAGATCAAGGTCCATTTTACAGCCAAAAAGTACAACGCTAAACTCAAGTATATCGAGCGTGCGTTCTTGCACTATGATGGACTTGACGAGCGCTCATGGTTCAGACACATTGTGTTTGCTGCTGGTAGATACACGGGATATGCTGGTCAAACTTTCCCGGGACTCAGAGAGGCCATTGAGGATGATGACTTTGACCGTGCTGTTAAGTGGTTGTATATCATCAGTCAGACTGCGAAGAAGGTGAACTTTAATCTTAGTGTTTGATGGAGCGGCAAGACTCATGTTCTAATATGGATACTTTATGAAAAACGAGTTAGCGCATCCTACTCTGACTCAAAAACAATTTTTTTTGATCCAAACATGTATTATAAAATCCTCAAACAACGGTATCTAGCTGGGAATACGCCTATCCAAACCGCCAGACTTTCTACGCTCAAGAAATATCCGAACTGCTTCTTCTGCTCCCAATTTGCGTAGCAGCTTGAAATGGAAGAGCCCACATGCATTGCAAAGCGTCTCGGGACTGAAGGAGCTTTTCCTCCATTCGGGTGTTGAGGTGGAACCACATTGAGTACAGACAGGGCCATTGCCAGTGCTGTCGCCTGATTTAATCCTCGACTTGAGCCCAGACTTGGGTTTGGATCCCTGAGCACTTTTTTTGGTGCGAGGATTCTTCTGGTCCCTACGTCTTTTGGCAGATCTGTTGCTAGCGATTTTTTCAGAAAGATCTTGAAGACCCCGATAAACGTCTTGACAAAGGCTGTGGCAATGGGAGGGGCCCATCAGCCTCATGGCCTCTTCCAGCTTCGCAAGCATTCTGCTGACCTCATTGGCGTTTTTCTCTGTGACAACCAACTCAACGCGTTCTACTGAATGGAATGCCAAAGAAGGGTCACTTCTGGGCCAGCTATCGAGTCCTGCGACGATTTCCTTGAAAGAAGGGAGCACTGGAAACCTATGCATTGTTAGTGGCCGAACTGTACTACCCTTATCAGGAGAACTCTACTTACCTCTTGTTGGCATCGTTTGAGTTGTTCATTTCGCTACAATCTGCTTAGGAGCTCAAGGGTTGTCCAAAGAAAGAGCAGCAAAAGATCCAAGTCGATACAAGTAGAATCTCGACTCACACCAGAACATACAATGCACACCAGAACGCTATTGAGCCGCACGAAATGCAGCACCTGCACTGCATCTATGTAGTGAACCAACCAAACTTTATCCCACACACACCGACGCAACCCCACATCTGCTTTAAGTATGGGGTTGGCAAATCGCTGGAGAATTTGCACACGCGAACGCAGCTGTAAGTAGTAAATTGACTGCAAAGAATGAAGCACAGTACATGAATGAATATTCGTATTTGAATCAACAACCTTTAATTTCTCATCGTTCAAGTCTGGCGCAGAAATCACAGTCTCGTTCATCCGATGGTTGGTGGATAGGAGCCCCGATAGACACGCACCCCATAATTCCCCCACTCGACGCTTGCTGTTGCGGAAGTGTTCATTCAACTTGGCCCCTTATTGTTGCAAATAATCTTCTTCATTAAACTTGCTGTGATTTCTGTGTTTCTGTATACCTAATTGTGGTGCTATAGAGTGTGTCTTGTACCTTGTTTAAGCTTTTTGCGTGTTTTTGAATGTCTCCAGCCCATTTCACGGCTTTTGAGAACCTGGTAGTCTCGGTCGACGTGGGAACAACTTCCACTCGTGCAATCTTTTTCCGCAAAGATGGAAGCCATGTCGCCTCACATCAGATTGAATACTCCACTTCTGCTCGTGAGGCTTCGAAACGCAATTCACCTGAAATATTTACGCCGGAGGGCGTGGCCATCTCCCTGAGTGATTCGGTCGAAATCGAGTCTCGCATCAATGAACCCACACTAGTCTTCCCCAACCCCGGGTGGGTCGAGTGTGATCCTATCCAGGTGCTTGGAAATGTGATTCAGTGCCTTGCAGCATGTCTCGTGCAACTGGCGACTACAGAACATGATGTTCAGTTCAAGATCTCTGCTATTGGAATCGCCAACATGCGTGAGACTACGATCGTATGGTCAAAAAGAAGCGGGAGACCTCTGCACAATGGAATAGTTTGGAATGACACTAGAACTTCCAAACTTGTTGCCGATATCTACCAGAATGAGTCTACGGAGCGCATTGACCGAGTTCGTGAGCTCGGAGGATGCCCTATATCCACCTATTTCTCTGCCACCAAATGGCGCTGGCTCTACGAGAATGTTCCACATATCCGGAAGGCATACGATCAAGGTGATGGTGATCTTATGTTTGGAACCGTGGATACCTGGCTCATATATTGCCTGACCGAGGAGTCTAGTTTCGTGACGGATGTCACGAACGCATCTCGTACAAGTTTGATGAATATCGAGACCCATCGGTATGATGATGAGCTGCTGAGCTTCTGGAACATCGACCGCTCCAAATTGCAACTTCCAGACATTAGGCCAAGCTCATATGTGTATGGTCATTATCACACCCCAGACTTGCGTGCACTTGGAACTACGCAATTCCATCTTTCCATTGATGCGCGTGCAGTGCTCCAGATGCTCCATGGAGTACCAATAGCAGGATGTCTTGGGGACCAATCAGCTTCCCTAGTTGGACAGTTGGCTGTTAAACAAGGCGATGCCAAATGTACTTACGGAACTGGAGCCTTTTTGCTTTACAATACAGGACCCCGCATTCTTGCCAGTCAACACGGAGCTTTGACTACAGTGGGATACTGGTTTCCGCAACTGAAGTCAGAAAATGAAGATGGTGACGAAGACTGCAATAAACCACAGTATGCTCTCGAAGGATCTATTGCAGTTGCAGGCTCGGTGGTGCAATGGCTTCGCGATAACCTTAGACTGATCTCGAACTCAAAAGACGTCGGTCCGTTGGCTTCTCAGGTTTCCAATTCGGGGGGAGTGGTGTTTGTCCCGGCATTTTCCGGACTGTATGCTCCATATTGGGACTCTGGCTCTAGGGGGACCATCCTAGGTTTGACTCAGTACACCTCGGCTGCGCACATAGCCAGGGCTGCACTGGAGGCCGTTTGCTACCAAGTACGTGCCATTCTAAAGGCGATGATCAGCGATACCGGATCGTCTCCGGAGTTTCTGGATGATAGAAACCTGTCAGCGGCTGATAATCCTCTTTCTTCATTGCGTGTGGATGGTGGAATGTCTAAGTCAAATGAGATGATGCAAATTCAGGCAGATATCTTAGGTCCCTGTGTAACCGTCATTCGGTCTGCCAACCACGAGTGTACTGCACTTGGAGCAGCCATAGCGGCTGGACTATGTTCAGAAGGCGAGGACTCTGAGCCGTTCATGTGGAACTCACTTAAAGAAGCAGTGCGGATGGTTAGTGGTGGTGGAGACCTTTCCGCTGAGGAGCCATCTGACAACACGTTCCATGCCGAGCTCTCTGACGCGAAACGCAGGCGTATGTGGAAACTGTGGGAGAGAGGCGTAGAGAGGTCACGTGGTTGGGAGATCAACGACGATGACTATGACAGAGATGAAGAGATGGAGGACTAGAGGTATATTTCACTGGAAGGGACTAATCGTATAATAATATTTGACTAGTGAAAGAATATGTTGAGTAGATCGAGGAGATAAGCTTATCTCATTTCCTGATTGAGAAAAGTAGTGTCCCCCCGAAAAGGCCGCTCAACCGTGCGGCCCTCAAATTCGAATCTCTGTCCCGTTCATTACCTTCTCCTTTTTCTTCTTTCAGCTTGGCCCACGTTCCTGTTGTTGCAGCTGCACTATTTAGCCAATTGGAATGTTGATTGACAAAGCAAAACCTGGATTCATGGAGAGGTTTTTTCGCCCTGTACAAAGGACTGTTCTCTTCTCCCTGACAACATTGGCTATCCTGCTGGTTGTGAATAGCCACCAGAAATGTAACAAGCAGGAAATCTTGTTCTTTGATAATCCTGACGCATTATGTCCAATTGCTGGCACAATTCTACCAAAAGAATCTTGGATTGCCAACCAGACCAGGCATGTGTTAGAGGATGTAGATTTCCGCGAGAAGTCTGCTGCTAAGCTGGGCGGAGCTGTAAAAGTGCCCACCGTTGTTTTTGACGATTGGAAGTCACCCAAGGATGATGCCGAGAAATGGAGTGAGTTTGCCGCGTTTCACAAGTATCTCGAGCAGACCTTTGCCACCGTTTACGATACTCTTAAGGTTGACAAAATCAACGAGTACGGTCTTGTATTCACCTGGGAAGGCTCTAATTCATCCATGAAGCCTATTCTGTTGACTGCGCATATTGATGTTGTTCCGGTGGCACAAGAGACCGTTTCAGACTGGAAACATCCTCCGTTCAGTGGATTCTACGATGGAGACCATGTTTGGGGTAGAGGATCCAGCGACTGCAAAAACTTGCTTGTGGCACTCCTTGAAACTCTAGAGTTGCTTGTTGCCGACAATTTCAAGCCCACAAGGTCCATTGTCGTTGCATTTGGGTATGATGAGGAGGCTTCTGGAAACTACGGAGCGCAGTCGATCGGCGAGTTTTTGCTTACCAAATATGGCAGAAACTCGTTTTACGCCATTCTTGATGAGGGTTCAACAGGTCTGGCCAGAGTAGGTGGGAAGCTGATAAACATGATATGCACTGGAGAAAAGGGATACCTTGACTCTGTGATCGAGTTGAAAACACCAGGTGGACATTCTTCGATCCCTCCAAAACACACCTCCATAGGCATAATGGCTGACTTGATCCATCTCATCGAGGAGAACGACTTTGAGCCCGCTCTGATCAATACCAACCCAGAACTGTCGCTTTTGCAGTGTTTGGCTGAAAATACGGACATTGATGTTTCTTTGAAGAAGGACATACTGAGGGCTCATCTTGATGTCAGCGCTAACTCTAGGATCGTGGATTACCTCTCGAAGGACTTTTTTGGCAAGGCGACCATCAAGACATCTCAGGCTGTCGATATGATCAAAGGAGGCATCAAATCGAACGCTCTACCAGAGGATGTCTCTATCTTGGTCAACCACCGTATATCTGTCCAGGACAGTGTCAATACCGTTGGGGAACATATCGAAGACCTAATTCTGCAAATTGCTGAGCAATACGATTTGGGTCTTATCCATGACGGAGAGACAATCCGGGAGATTTCGAAATTTGGATATTTCAACTATACGGGAACACAGCCTTTAAACCCTGCCCCGCTCACTCCTATCAATGGAAGAGTGTGGGAAACGCTTACTGGTACAATCAGAGGTGTCTTTGAGACATATTTCCTGCCAGAAAATGCCACTTTACCCATAATATCAGCACCAGGCCTTTCCACCGGAAATACAGACACTAAAAGCTATTGGAAATTGACCGACAATATCTATAGATGGATTCCATCAGCATTGACTATTACTTCAGCGGAGGATGAGAATGCTGGAATACACAGTGTTAACGAACATGTATCCGTGGATTCCCATCTGCAAACAATCGCTTTCTACATCAACTATCTGAGGATCATCGACACTGAGTTCGACGAAGAAGAGCAATCGGATGCTGTCGAGTTTATCTTTTAACCTGCACAAAATCTTAATGGAACAGTCTGGAATTGAAAATAAGGATACACTGAATAGCATAAAAGTTGATATTCAAGACCCTCCCAGCTATGAGTAAAAACACCACGCTATGATGTTCCTATTAAAAAGACCGTAATATTTCTCCTGACAACTCCTACCACCATTTAAGTAATCCCAAAAAAAGGCCTTATATTTTGAAGTTGGTTTTTTCGTCCTCGTTTTGTGCAATAATAGGACAAACAGAAGCGGGGCCTGCTCAATCTTAGATCAAGATTTGATATACGTGCACCCACCAACAACTCGTTTTGGGGACACCATTCGCAAGACCACCTTCGCCACTTACGCCAACATGATAACTCATTCGTAGCTGCTTCTTTGTACAACAAAAGGAATTGAAAACCTCTAATTTGTAGGTCTATTACTCAATTGATCTGCATCCCACGAATTCAGAAAAGCCATGGCCCAGACTACAGTTGCCTCCGAGTATTCCTCTGAGGTCCATGCCGAGCCCATAGAACATCGTTTCAATCCATACTCAGACAACGGAGGAACAATTCTTGGAATCGCAGGCGAAGACTTTGCCGTGTTGGCAGGAGACACCAGGCAGTCTGAGGGTTACTCCATTCAGTCGAGATCGATGTCGAAGGTATTTGATGTGGGTGACAACATACTGATGAGCGCCAACGGATTCGCAGCAGACGGAGATGCGTTGGTCAAGGCTTTCCAGAACCAGCTGAAATGGTACCACTTCAACCATAACAAAGAACTTTCGATTCATAGTGCCGCGAGATTGACACAGCAGCTATTGTATGGTAAGAGGTTCTTTCCCTACTACGTGCATACCATTCTTGCCGGTGTGGATGAAGAGGGAAAGGGTGCCGTTTATTCGTTTGACCCTGTTGGCTCCTATGAGAGAGAGCAGTGTAGAGCAGGTGGTGCCGCTGCCAGTCTGATTATGCCTTTCTTGGACAACCAGGTGAACTTCAAGAACCAGATGGATCCATCATCCAACGGTACCAAGAAGAAGGAGTTGAGGTATCTGAGTCTGCAGGAGGTTGTGAATCTGGTCAAAGATGCGTTTTCTTCGGCCACAGAGAGACACATAAATGTGGGTGATGCTTTGCAGATAGTTATTGTCACCAAAGACGGAGCCCGAACCGAGTATCACTCTTTGAAGAAGGATTAAAGTACACATAGATAATATCTATTTAGGGAGATTGAAATACTTTGAAGTGACTCAACACTTGAAGAAAGCACACGCATTCAATGCATAAAGGGTTCGAGGCAATCCTAAGCGTAGCAGTCAAGCTTTAGCCTGAAGCAACCTCAATCTCAACACTCCAAGATTCGAACTCACATACTGACTGTTCGAGCCTTGCAACTATTCCAACAGCTAGACCCCCTCACCAAATTCACCACACCGTTGTTTATTGCGGCAGATTGAATCCCCAGTTTTTCAACACCTTCTGGTAATACACATAGAAGAAATCTGAGTAAATCGTTGTCTGTAGCAACCCAGCCGAAACACTCAACAAATCTAGTCTGTTTTCGCTGTAGTATCTGTAAAACCAGTTTGGAATGTACAGAGCACGGTATAATCCCAGAGCGAATATATAATGAGTGGTGATTGCCTTGGCCTCGCCGGTCTTTTGCAACAGGAACAACTGGGGCAGAATGCACACGGCTTCCAGCCATAGCGAAAACGACCACAAAATCTCGGAAAACGTGAATTTGTAGTGGAAAAGCAGGCTCATCACGAAACTTCCTCCAACGAGGTATTTGACAGGGAAAACATCTTGATCCTCCTTGAATTTCTTGTTGTACTTGGAAGTCATGAGCCACACTACATACACCGAGCTCGCAATGAAGAAGATCTTCATAAGAGAGTTGTACAGCGAGACATAGGTCGTAAGGAGATCAAGGTACCTTGTAACAAACACGACAACGTAAAGTATCTGGGTTTTAAGCGAGATTCCACTGGTGGTTTTGCCCTTCTCTATGGTTTGAAGCAGGATCAGGATGGACACCAGGTGAGAGATGTCACCTAAAGGGTTAGTTAGACAAAAAAAAAACAAGCTTCAAGAGGTAATCAAACACAAAACTTACCCGCTATACGAAATAGGTTCAACATGTTTACAGGAAGCAATTGGAGTTGAAGATCGTCTACTAAGCTTGTATTCAGACTGACAAGTTGTCAAGTTCGAGTAGCTAGACAGAATTTGAGTGCACACTACTGAAATCAGATCCTTACATAAGCATAATACAGATTGTCTATCAGTTCTTTGTTAGTCTAGGTCATAAATCTTCGTGGAACCAGCCGGTGGCTTCATCATCATGAAAGCTGTCTTCAGCTTGTAGTTGATCCTTGAGTTCACGGAGTTTGACCAGCGACAGGGTCTGGCCAATCTCGCCGCGAAGAAGGCCCACCACGTCGTCTTGGTCTATATTGTGATCTATCTTGCGGACTTCGGCGCTGGCAGAACTGGCTCCCGGAAACTTGAACACGGTGGGATATCTGTCTACCTGAAGTAGTGAGACAGTCTCTGCATTTTCAGGATTCGCCGCATCCACGACACAGAACACCACCGAAGAGTCTGCCATCTCCACATTATAGTGGTGTGCTAGATTCTCGTAGAACGAGTGGTGTATGTTATCCCATTTCTGTGTCCAAGGGTAAACGAAAGCCATAACAACTTCCTTTCCAGAATTGATTGTTTTCTCGAAGTCGTCCGTCCCAGCTAATCGCACGACGGAGGAATCAGGATAATTTGGCTCTACGCCCGTGTTGGTCCGAACAAAGGTAACCAAGTTATCCGTTGTTCTTTCGCTCTGAAACTGGGCAACTATTTGACCATTGGAATCGAAAAGAATTACCTTGGGGAAAGTATTGATACCATATCTAGCCCTCACTGCTTTGTTGGTGATACCATCAATCTTAATGATTTGCACATCTGTATTATTGAAAAGGGTCTCGAGAGGATCGTAATGAAAAGCCAGATGGTAACAATGTGCACAGCTTTTGGAGTAGAACTAGCGATCAGCGTTAGAATGGTAAATCATTTCGAGGGTCGAAAAGGTACATACGTTTACCAGAGAATACTTGTTCTGTCCGAAAGCAAGCAAGTCAAAGTCCGAATCACTAAGTTCAATGGCAAAACCTAAACTGACTCTCAAGAACAGAAGCAGAAAAAACCCGAACATCGTTATTTGGATCAATGAGATCATTCAGCTTGATGAAGCTTGAATTCTAATGGGGTTTTTATCTTTTTCATCAGGTTCTCACTTTCTGGTTTTCACACGATTAATCTTCAGCTATGAAAAGCTCCGTAATGAAGAACTAATTCCGGTGGGTTGAATTCTAATGTTTTTTAGTCATCATAAAGAACCAGAACTTGGTTGCTGGTGAGTGCGATGTTGTCTGCTAATAATTCAAGCGCCTGGGATCGAGGATTCTAGTGAACTGCCGCACACAACGTTAGCATAAAGTGCTATCGAAGGGCATGTCACTTCACAAAATGCTTGCGTACTAGGTTCTAATCTTCATGTATACATATTGTTCAGTAGTCAAAAAGTTTGGAAAGTAATATCGAATGGAGTGTTTCAATTAATCTGAATTTGGCAAAAAAACCAAAAAATGAAAATCTTCTAGAAAACATGAAAGCAATGTGGTGCTCTTCTACGAACAGTTGTTTTGGCACAAAGACCCTAATTCATATCTCTGGGTCAAAACTGAAGCTCAATTGACTCCACGCCTTCTAGTATTGAACTAATTTTTACCTATTACCCCTTTTTTATGCCAATTTGTTCCCCAAAGCCCACAGAAAGCCAGTTCCTGAGGCGTAGGTCTCATGGTGAAAAGGCACGTGACCACATCCACACGGGGACTGTATGATGATGGCGGGCTACAATGTGGAGAATGGTTCAACGCCTCGCTGAACCAGTACAATTCCTTCCTAGAAACTGAAAAAACCACACAAAATGCCCTGGTTTTACATTGGAACACATGCGTCTCCGGGATCACCCACTGGATTGGACCGGTGGATTCTGAACAGAAGATCCAAGTTCTTGCTACTGTTCTCTTCGCTCGTGGTTGGGGGAACTTTGTATTTGCTGTTTTTCAGCAATGATTTTGACAAAATTGGGAAGAGACTGACCCCCAAGAATGCAAAAGACAAACCGGACGAGACTGAAATTGACAAATGGAATAGATCCCAGCTTTTTGCGTATCTATCGAAAGTGAGTATATACCCACAGCTTCAGATATACACCCATTGAAGCTCTCCAATCTATCCAATTTATGTTCTACTAACACCCAGCAGAAACAGATATATCCGGACGCGGAAACCCCCATCGAACAGATAAGAAGTTTAGTCAAGTCGTTGGCTTGAGCCACAGAGAGGGCATCTCGAGCAAATTAACGAGCAAATTGCAAAAAGCCGCAATGGTGGTTATATAAAACCGAGTATATCACTTCTCAATCTTTCGACCTATAGTGTTACTGATCTTCAATCTATGAATCAAATCTTTTCCATTTTAATGCCCAATTTCTAGCCATGTTCATCCAATCAGATGCCTCTATCAGTCTTCATATTGACCCCGAAGCCTAAGTGGGGGATGAGTAATTAGCCTGAATACGACCTTGGATCCCGGTAAATTCGCCATCCTTTCCACCACTTTCCTTACTCTTCCTTTTCATCCATTGAGTTATATTTTCAAATCAATTCATCAAACTTAACAAAATGGTCAAAGCTGGTAAGTACAACAATTGCAATTGAGACTGTTGTGCCAAATATCGGCATGCTAACTCGCCATAGTCGCTGTATTAAGAGGAGACTCCAAGGTCGGAGGAATCGTCACTTTCGAGCAAGCCTCGGAATCTGAGCCCACCACTGTTTCATGGGAAATCACCGGAAATGATGCCAATGCTCTCAGGGGCTTCCACGTCCACCAATTCGGTGACAACACCAACGGATGCACTTCTGCCGGTCCTCACTTCAACCCATTTGCTAAGACCCACGGAGCCCCAGAGGATGAGACCAGACACGTCGGTGATCTTGGAAACATCTCTACCGACTCTACCGGTTTGGCCAAGGGCACCAAGCAGGACAAGCTCCTGTCACTATTTGGTGAGAACTCCATCCTTGGAAGAACTGTCGTTGTTCACGGCGGTCAAGATGACTTGGGAAAGGGTGGCCACCCAGACTCTCTCAAGACGGGTAATGCCGGTGGAAGACCTGCCTGTGGTGTCATTGGTTTTGCTGCTTAAGTAGGAGAAGATATTTGCGATAGATCCTTGAAGGCGGTTTGAAAAGGATCCTCAGATTCGATCTACCAATCGTTCTCAAGAGATTTGTCCCATTTGCTTTCTATGTTCAAATATGGCTAGTCCGATATTTATAAGCACGAGACTCCATGAATTTATCTCTGCAAATGGTCTATTTCAATGTAAGGCTTGTAGCACGTATGCAGTCTTTTCTCTGTTTTTCACTCGTAGTCTCCAAACGACAACAACCCTCCTCTATTCGAATGCCGAGAGAAGTAATCAAAGTCAATGGAGACTGCATTTCCAAGAAGAACAGCTCGTTGATCCAAAGTCATTGACTCAGAACTCACATTAGGATAGTAGTCCTCCAGTCCATAGAAACTGGAGGGGTCCATCCTTACTATGTAGACTCCAGTGTCGGTCAAGAACTCTCTTGCGAAACCGACAAAATTCCTCGAAACTGCACCAAGCACGTATCCTTGTTCATCCTTAACGGGGAAATCAAGTGCTAACAGTCCAGAGTCAATTTCACCAAATTGGTCGTATGTCTCGTCGGTGCCTGTTTCGCTCTTAAACAGGTTGTATCTTCTTCTCCACAGATGCCACCTTTGGACGGACTCGCCTATAATGCCACCACTTTCATCATCACCCTGAATGGAAGGCAATATGGCCTTGATATGCGAATTGATGAAACTAAATGGCCTTTTGATCGTTAGCAACAGGTTTCCCTGCGTATCGAACAACTCCACAGTGAAGGGCCGATGCAGTCTGTAAACCTGCCTCATCATCATCTTCACGATTCCAAAATCTCTCTCGATTAAATGTCCCAAAACCTGACCACTGGGGTCAGAAACAGTGTATCTGTTCGCCTGTTCAAATCCTAGGAACAGATTCATAAACTCGATGTTTCTCTCTATCACTAGCGTGGGCTGTGATAGTATGGCTGAGACGGTATCTGTAGGAGATATGATACCGCCTTGATTATGGTAGCGCACCGAAGGACTAGCATAGCTTGGTGAGTTGTACTGAGAGTCATCAATTCTCTCGGCTCGGATTGCCTCTCTTCTTCTCCTTCTGCCGGATTGTTGGTTGTACTCGTTTCGAGGCAATGGAGAGTACAGTCTTGAAGCCTGCAACGGCATCAGCGGATTCAAAGACCGCAGTTGCACGCCATTTTTCCAAAAGGTCCTAGACAGCATTCTGAGCAACAAAATTACGTATCTCTATCCGAGGAGGATCAATTTCGGAGATCTGAAATCTCTTTATTTATCAGCCAGACCCCAAGTAACAAGCGCCTCCAGAGAAACGCATAAGGTCTCTGCCATTTTCGCGTGTCACTAAAATTGTCTGGAGTCTGCCATTTTCACGGGTCATCAACTCCTTCCGATTCCGTCCAAGTTTTTCAATCTCCAACATATTTCGAGTGGTAATCCTTGAACATCAGCTCTTTACGACCAAAAACAAAACAGTCATGTTCAGCAAACCAGTGTTACGAGCTACAACACGCTCGGCTAGGCATATCCACACGGTGCCTACCCTGCCCCTCCAGGAAGAGTGGGCAAGCAAAGGCATTCCGCAGCTGCTCTCAAAGGATGGATTTAACACGGCATGGACGCAGTACCAGAACTATTTGCTGACCCGTCTCACTCTCAAGACTCAGGGAACTGAGTTTGAGAACCGCTCTGTGAGCGATATCGTGATTTCCAGCGCAAAAAGGTCGCAGAACACTTCGATATACCACTTTGCATCGCAGGCTTTCAACAACCATTTCTTCTTCCAGCAGTTTTCAAACAAAAGCCAAGGCTCAGTTCCATCATACGGGCTGAGTAGTCTAATCAAAGACCAATTTGGATCCATAGAAGAATTCAGAGAGAGCTTTTTGTTTGAGGCAGACAGTTTAAGTGGCCAGGGTTGGGTTTGGCTTGTTGAGGAGAGTGACAAAAAATTGTCTATTCTGAAAAGCTATAACGACGGCACCCCGTTGTATCTTCCACGCAACCAATCAATGGACCTTAATGGAGCCGTGACTTTGGAACAGTACGAGGCTCTTGAGACCTATAAGAAAATGGTGGATACCAAACTGGAGGACTTCACCTTGCCGCTTCTATGCGTCAACGTCTGGGACTACTGTTGGTTGCATGACTTTGGCATAAATGGCAAGGCAGAGTATCTCGAGAAGTTCTGGGAGTCCATAGATTGGAATGTCGTGAACTCAAGGGTTTACAATTTGACTGACGTGGAGTAACAGACATAAACCAGTGTACATAGAACCATACAAAATGAACTGACCACATATAAATCATATCATATTAGTGTCACATTAAACTATATCTCCACCTCATCTTCGTATGATCCACAATCAAGAACTATCTTTTGCGAATGAGCATCCTTGCCCCAATTCAGCCCACTAGAGGTTATCACTCCAAGGGTTACTCCAGCTAAGACCCTGACTTTCTCACTTGAAGCTGTTATCTGCTCCTCAATATCGGCCAATTCAGAACTCATTTGTGAATTTTTCAGCTTCATGTTGGAATCCATGTTTTTTCCCAAGAGATCAAGCAGATCGGCCAGCTTCACTTTCTCAGATTCAATAGTGTCTTTGTTCAACTTCCTCACTGCATTTGCATCGGAACCAACCGAGTCAATCTCCTTCTCCAGCATCAACACATCCTGAGCTAACTGATCCCGCTGGTTCACTAGATCCACTAGATCTCTCTCCGTTGAACTAATACCATCAGCCTGGTGTATTGACCTCAATAGAGGGTACGTTATTAGTTGGTTTTCCAGAACCGTCTTTCGTATATGAACCATTCTCTCTAAAAACATGTTCACAGTCTCAGTCTGTGAACTTTCGGGGCTTGAAAGCGAATGATGTACCAGCAATTTGTTGAAATCCACTCTGTAGTCCTTCTCCAACGCGTCGTATTTCTCATCTATCTGCTCTTTGGTGAGTCCATCCAAATCTTTGAGAACATTTTTTGTGATCAAAGCATCCACCGACGAAAGCAGTCCGTTGTATACATCGTGATAATCTTGCTCAGGTGATTTGGTCATAATTCCGGTGGAATCAGGCAGGCTATGTAGACATTAGTAACGTCACATATTCTATCTATTTATGCCATGCATGAAGGACGTGGCCCAGACACTACCCTACATGCATTACGCTTGAAGAGCATTCTGCTTTCTCTTGAGAGTGCAGCGTGTAGACCTGAATATATCATATATATATATAGATATATGTATCTATGTATATACCTATTCGCACAAATTCACAATGGACAACAAACCACCCTTCACTTACCCAGCATTATACGACTTCCCGCCTTTCTTCACAAAACAACCAAACTCCCAGACCTGGCAGTCGCAGCTTTCCAACTGGGTCAAGCTTCTACTGGCATACTGCAAACACAATAGAATATGGATTTTGTCTCCGGATGGAACCCCGCTAACTGCAACATCCAATGATGATGATTCAGACAACGAGGAGTTTGTTCCCAGCACGGAGTCAATATTCAACAACGAGAAAATACAGAGGTCCATCAAGCCGGATATGAGTCTGGAGATCCTCAACACCATGGTTTCACAGGGTAAGGCTAAATGGAAGGATCCTAAGAATCATAAGATGGGAATCTACATATACTGGTACAGTCTTGAAGCGTGGGCTGATATGATATATGATTGGGTAAGTATTGATGCTTTGAATGGATGCAGACTTGGTCTGCGGCCCTTTTGCTCAAACAGCTACTAACAGATTTCAGATCGAGAACACCGGACAACAGAACTCGGTTCTGACAATTTACGAAATTCGAAAGGGAGAATTAGGTCATAACCAGGAGTTTCATAACATGGACATGGACATGTTTATCTCTGTGCTGGAGCTCATGGTCAAGAAAGGGCAGGCCCAACTGATAAGGGACGAGGATGGATCAATTGCGGGCATCAAGGTTGTGTAAAAGATACGAATTGAACGAACGGACATACGGGTGGGTACACAGTAGGATAAAACGTATGAAGGGACTTATCAAAACAACGAATACATTTTTGTCTCCATAGTATATTATGCAGAGATCAATCACACTTATAGAAACTCCGATGCTTATTCAACTGAAGGAGTATGAAGATATCGAAAACATTGAGTTACTTGTACTTATACTTACGATGAAAAGCGATGGTGTCACCATGGTTTATAGATCACCTTCAATTCTCACTTAAGCCGATGAAGCGACAAGCATCACAACACAGCAATATGGTTAATCATTATATGTGTCATAAAATAAGGAAATAAATAAAAGAAGCTGAGAAAAATCAAAAGATCGATAATATCAATATTATGATTTGATCATTGCGGAAGAGCAACCTCTACTGCCAAACCTTCAGCCTCAGTACTTCTCTGGGGTATCTCAAGATTCTTACTGGAAACCACATCAGAGGCGGACTCAACATTTTCTTTGAGCTCTTCTTCGTCCATGGATTGCTTTTGAGGGCTCGAAATGGGCACATTTTTGACGAAAAAGTCAACGAGAAATGCAGTGCCTGAAAGAGCAATAGCCAAATAGAAGACCTTTTGGTATCTCTTCATCAGAGCCTCTTTGGCTTCGAGAGAGTCACCGAACTGAGTGTTTCCCACAATGGACGAGACACCAGCAGAAGCAGCCGCCACAAAAAATTCACCCGAAGTTATAGCAACTCCAGACAGTAAACCTTGCATGTCCAATGGACACGACAAGATCAGAGTGTTAAGAGTGTTGATGAAGACGAAGACAGTACCAGAACTCATGAGGATATAGGCTGGAAATCCGTATCTCCAGTAGGAGTCCATTGTGTAATTCATTCTGCTGAAGAGAACAGCCCCAGTCAGAGAGATTGAAGATCCGAAAAAAATACAGTATTTTGGTGGAATCTTACCGAACAAAAACCCCACAAGGAATGTCAAGATAGTCATGGTGATAGGACCTGGAAGAGTCTGGACTGCTGAGACAATGGGCGAATGTAGTGACACATATTGGAAGATCTGAAGGGATGCCAGTGTCTGAGTGAACATAGAACCGTAATTGATGCCGAGGATGATAATCAGTGGGATGAAGTTAGGAAGGTCCCACATTGCTGGTGGTATTAGCAAGTCCAGATTCTTTGACCAGCTGAATTTCTTGTAGAGATAAAGTTCCCAAACCAAGAATAGGATGAGGAGAACAACACCAATAACAACCAGAACGTACGCCTTTGGTGAATTCCACCTAGCACCACCCTCAGTCAGACCAGTGACCAATAACAAAGCTCCGCTGAGCATAATCAAGACACCCAAATGGTCCAATTTGGACACCTTGGCCGGTGAAGTTGGAGTATGCCTAACACAGAAAAATGACAGGACAGAACTCAAGATGCAGAGAGCGAAAAAAAGGTAAAACGATCCTCTATAGCCAACTGAACTCTCGTAGAAAGCACCACCAATAACAAAACCAATACCCGAGGCCACGGTCATGATACCCGTAAGAGCTGCCAGAGCCATCTTCAAAGCGTTTCCACTGTAAGTGTGTGCGATAATAGCGTACGACGAGGGAATTGTTGCAGCAGCGCAGATTCCTTGAAGAGCTCTAAACACGATTACCACATAAAGGTTCTCAACAGCAGCGGCGATAAGCAGAAACAGTGAAAGAGCGAAAAGACCACCAATAAAAATGATATGGTGACCAATAATATCGCCGATTCTCCCCATTATCATAATAAAGCCCGCAAAGCAAAGAGCATATGAACTCAGTGCCCAACTGGCAATAGGATAAGTGGTGTTGTATTTCTCTTGAATTTGTGATAGAGTCGTTGCGACAACGGAGAGGTTCATAGCGTCCAGCAATTCGGAGGTCGCAACCACTAGAAATACGATCCAGGGCTTCTGGAAAGGACGTCCACCACGCTCTCTAAATTTGCCGATTTTTTCTGAGTAGTGAGCAAGTGTCATTATTATGCGATTGTTAGAAGGAATATGCAATGTGAATAAGCGGCTACAACTTACCAAATCCCAGAGTTTTTGAATTCCAAAAACCACTCCAAGAGAGATTTCGCTGCCTTTAAATAATGCTTGATTCATTGTTGGTCGGGGATTAAGGATTTAATCACCATTATAATGCTACAATGAACGGCGTTATCCTCTAAGTCCGAAACGGAGTTTTATAATTAAAGCCCTGTCCACCGGCCTTAAGTGAGTTAAGACGTCTAAGTTGGTTCACTATAATTCACTTCTTAAAGTACTGTGAAACAAATTGAAAATATTGAAAGCTTCCTAAAACACAAGGAATACTCAAAAAGCATTTTAAAAGTCCTCCTTTTATGATTTTGGGCTACGAATCATCGTAATCTACAGCCGCACCTAATAATGCCGGCACGGCTACAATCTTCAGCCGCGCCTAAAAATGCCAGCACGGCTAAGGCCGTCTTCTGGGACTCACGCTTTTCCTCGCTTTTAAAAATCTGTGCAAGATAATGGGACCAAGATCATATGAAACAAACGTGGCTGCTGTGCGATATACGCGCTACAGTTATGGCTTCTTTAATCAATCAGGCTTATCTGTCATGTGAGTGAAACTTCCACTCATCTTCTTACACCTGTGGAGAGAAAAACGCCTTCCTAATGAGGCAGTCCAATATTTGAAAGCCAGATTTTTTTGCACGTTTACCAGTTCCTCGTTCCAGCCTTTCTTCTTTTCTTAATCCAATAGCTGAAATCCTGAGTTACTTTGATCGAGCGGGTGCATTTGAGTACCCCTGAGCTTTTGTCGGATTATGAAGGACGAGGATGGGTCAATTGCCGGGATCAAAGCTGTGTAAGAGTATGAATGAAATTAACGAGTATATATACAAAGTGCTGAGTAGGACAAAAATGAGGGACTGATTAGAGATCTGATCCTCTCACGTCTCATATAGATACAAAGGCCAAATCAAAATGGTCAGTTCAGTGGAGAGCCTGTCTCCACTGCCACACCTTCAACTTCAACTTCAACTCACTTCTGATTTTCTGAAAGATCCTAACTGGAAACCGTATTCGAGGCGTTCTCTGTCACGGATCTGGACTCAGGTTCTTGTTTGAGAGCTTCCTCGCCATTAGCCAGTTGTTCTTGAAGTCCCGAAATGGGCTAGTTCTTGACGAAAAAGTCCACAGGGAATTCGGTACCTGACAAGCCAATACCCATGTAGAAGACGTGATGTTACCTCATCAATAGATTTTCCTTGGCCTCAACATAATCACCAAACTCAATATTTCCCACGATGTTACTACAGCAGAGGCAGCAGCTACAAAAAATTCGCCTGAAGTTATAGTAACTCCAGACATTAAACCTTGCATGTCCAATGGACAGAGTGTTAAGGATGTTGAACCAGTTCCCAGGAGAATATAGGCTGGAAACCCGTACCTCCAGTAGGATTCTGTTGCATAACACATTCTGCTGAATAGAACAGATGCCGTGAGAGTCAACAACGTTCCGAAGAAAATGCAATATTTTGGTGGAATCTTTTTGCTACTGGAACGTATGCTTTTGGTGAACCCCATTTAGCACCACCTTCCGTCAGACCAGTCGCTAGTAACAACGCTCCACTGAGCATAATCAAGACACCCGAATGGTCCAATTTTTCCACTTTCGAGAGAGAAGTTGGTGTGTGTTTAACACAGAAAAATGCGAAAATTACGCTCAAAAGGCAGAGACCGAAAAATAGAAAGACTGCTCCTCTATAGCCACGCCGCACCTGATAATGCTAACGTGATCCTGTCAGCCGTGCTGAGAATAAAATCGTAATATCTCTACGGAACTCAAATTCTCTTGTTTCCAGATAAATGCAAAAGATGATAGGACAATGCCCAAACATATATATGCACTGCTGTAAGGCTGCAGGCCAGCCATAATCAAAGCTTTAATCGATCAGTTCCATCTATTAAGCGAGAGAGAGCATTATGACCAAATGCGGAACCTTCCCAACTAGGAAGTCCAAGAGATTGAAAGCCAAATTTTTTTTTTGCACCTCTGCGGGTTCTTCATTTATGTTTTTCTCCTTTTTTACCCCAACAGCTGAAGTCTCCAGTTACGTTGGTTGAATATCGTCAGGGGCATTTGCGTGACTTTGAGCTTGTCTAAACACCCTATTTTTATCGGAACAAAATGAAATACGTCGTTGTGTCAGGAGGTAAGTTAACGGTCAACGCGTCAATGGGAACAAACGTTTTTCGATACTAACCTTATGAAAAAGGTGTTATCTCTGGTATTGGTAAGGGTGTTATTGCCTCTTCCACGGGTATGCTGCTCAAGACCCTGGGGTTGACAGTTACTTCAATCAAGATCGACCCCTACATGAACATCGATGCTGGTACCATGTCGCCATTAGAGCACGGTGAATGCTTCGTTTTGGACGATGGTGGAGAGGTTGATTTGGACTTGGGTAACTACGAGAGATATCTCAACATCACTTTGACGAGAGACCACAACATCACCACCGGCAAAATTTACTCCCAGGTGATTGAGAGAGAAAGAAGAGGTGACTACCTCGGTAAGACCGTCCAGATCGTTCCACATCTCACTAATGCCATCCAAGACTGGATTGAGCGTGTGGCAAGAATCCCAGTTGACGAGTCTGGGTTGACTCCAGATGTGTGTATCATCGAATTGGGTGGAACAGTGGGTGACATCGAGTCTGCCCCATTCGTTGAAGCTTTGAGACAGTTCCAGTTTAGAGTTGGTGTTGAGAACTTTGCGCTGATCCACGTTTCCTTGGTTCCAGTTATTCACGGAGAACAGAAGACTAAGCCCACTCAAGCAGCCATCAAGGACCTGAGATCTTTGGGTCTGATGCCTGATATGATCGCCTGCCGTTGCTCCAACAAGTTGGAAGCCGAGACCATCGAGAAGATCGCCATGTTCTGCCATGTCGGTCACAACCAGGTTCTTGCTGTTCACGATGTGAACTCCACCTACCATGTTCCAATTCTTTTGAACGAGCAAAAGCTGACCGGTTTCTTGACCAAGAGACTGGAATTGCAAAAGATCAAGCTCTCCGACAACATGAAGACCAAAGGTGCCAAACTCTACAAAGACTGGTCGAACTTATTGACCAAGCACGACAAGTCATTTGAGAAAGTCACCATTGCAATCGTCGGTAAATACACCCATCTACACGATTCGTACCTCTCGGTGATCAAGGCCTTGGAGCACTCTTCCATGAGATGTTCAAGAAAGCTGGAGATCGTTTGGGTCGAATCATCCGATCTCGAGCCAAGTACCGAGTCCGCTTCTGGTGACAATAAGGTCAACTTTCACAAGGCGTGGCACAACGTTTGCGTTGCAGATGGTATTCTCGTGCCAGGTGGTTTCGGTACCCGTGGTACAGACGGTATGATTGCTGCCGCCAAATGGGCCAGAGAGAACAACGTCCCATACCTGGGTGTCTGTCTCGGTCTGCAAATTGCTGTCATCGAGTTCGTCAACAACGTGGTGGGAATTAAAGGTTCCACCTCAGCCGAGTTTGACGAATCCGCAAGTGAAGAAACTGCTTCTGTCGTGTACATGCCTGAAATCGATAAGGATAAGATGGGTGGAACCATGAGACTTGGACTCAGACCAACTGTCTTCCAAAAGGGCACAGAAAAGACTGCCATCAGACAATTGTATGGCGGCCACGAATCTGTTCCAGAAAGACACAGACACAGATACGAGATCAATCCCAAGCTGGTTTCCCAGATTGAGGAGAAAGGCCTCAAGTTTGTTGGTAGAGACGAGACCGGCTCTAGAATGGAGATCTTTGAGCTGGAGAACCACAAATACTTTGTTGCAACCCAGTACCATCCTGAATACATATCCAAGGTGTTGGATCCCTCGAAGCCCTTCTTGGGCCTTGTGGCTGCTGCTTCTGGTATCTTGGAAGATGTATTGAAGGAGGATCTCAATGCTTCGGGAGCCTTTTAAGGGTCTCTTTTACTTCATCTGCATACTCTGTAAATTATGATAATAGACACGATAATAACGAGATTAACTGTAAGTTGTAGCCCGCTACGCTCAAATTTTTTTTGAAAGTACGGTTATACATTGTATGCGGTGAAAATGATTATGCACGATGATAAGAAGATACATGGCAATACACGATATTAGAGTTGACATTGAAATCCATCACATAGGGTAAATTACCCACACTGCAATTAAATCTTTGTATACAATGCTGCAATAATATTTCAAGTTAAACCGAGGCATTATCAGCGATATAACTTGCAACTAAATCCACATAGTACAATCTGTAACAAAATGTCTGTATGATTTATATTCATATCAAAACACACAAAACCCAATTATTGAAGTTAACAATCAAGCTTGCGATCGCTTATTATACAGCTGCGTTCGTGATAAGTTTCAACAGGCAGACCGAATGGCTAAGCACCAGTCAACTTCAAAACTACCCAGAAAAATCCACCACTTAACACCGGAATCGTGAAGTTATCATCCCATCCAAACAAGTCTATGGATTCGCTCACGGCAGCAATGAGTCCCGCCAGAAGGCTGAAGACGTGGATATTCAGCAGGTTCTTCGCCGGCACATAGCCCAGATCAACGTTTACATTCACCTGTGGGTAATGGGGAATGAAGTATCCATAAAATAGATACGAAGCCAAGACACCAGTGATGGCTGCTGCCGTCGACCCCGCCAGCGACTTGTTTCCCACCACTTTTGGCGTCAGGTGGCCGAAAGCTCTACCAAAGGTAGAAGCAGCCGTGTCTGACCAAGATAGTAGCAGCACACTCATCACGGCAACGTCTTTCTTCTGCGAAACAAAAACCAACGCCAAACCCAAAAGGTACCAAATAACACCATTATAGCTATTCACTTCTTTCTCGCGCATTAAAAACCCGACAGCAGCGCAATACAGGTCATTGAACCGCTTCGATCTGAAGCGGATCAGGTCCAGAGCAGATACACCAAAGAACCCAGCAAAAAGCGGCACGACTAGCCTCTGTATTTGGATCCCCTGTGTATAGAGATAGAGGGTAATGAATCCAATCGATACATGGAATACTTTTCTGGGGACTTCGTGTTTGTGGACAAACTTACCAAAACGCTTGTGAGCCCCTAGCAGCAGATCGGCTGTGGATCGGTTAAAAGGAGACGAAACCAGCACCGAAAGTCTTGAATAACTGGAACTTTTTCCCAGTTCTTCGTCATCAGATATACTTGAGGCAGAAACCAATTCCAGATCGGATTCGTCTGCCGATTGGATTTCCGAGTCGTCTTGTTCGAAATCAGGGTCGGCTTGCTCATCATACTCGTCGTCGTCAGCAGTCTCCACCAGAAACGTGGGTATTTTAGCTCTGGGAGCTCTTGAACGAATTTCCTCGGCTTTGGCAACACCGGATGCAGCAGATCTGTTTGCCATCAAATGTATAAGTCTAAGGTGTGTGCAGAAACGCGAGTGCCGTAATTTGGTTCTATGGGCTAAAACGGCAAACACATGTGAGATTCGCAGAGGCAACAGAACCCATCAGATTTGGGAGTCGTGTGAGGGTAATGTTTGTACAGACTTGAGGCTGGGAGGGACCGGTATCGTTCCCAAAATACGGCTAGTTAGGCTGAAACAGTACAAATCTAGTTATAAGTGTAAGAATAATGTCCATGTCAATTTTGAGCTGTTTTCTGGTTATAAATGGCTCTGCTTGGCCATTCTTTTCAGCTGCAGACTCTCATCTGCACGTTCCAAAGGCTCGGACTGGGATTTTGTCGTGCACTTCCAAATCAAGAATATTTTTTCTTAAAGGAAAAAAAATTCAACTGAGGCTCTCTGTAACACATACTTAGAGACTATCGGACCTCACTCAAACATGGGTAAATCAAAGTTTGACAAGTACAAAAAGGCCAAGGAGGAACGCTCCAAGCCTTATGCCAAAAAGCACAAGCAAGAGGATGGTAGCGATACCGAGGAAAACGGAGCTTTGGTCAACGAGCTGGATAACGACTATGACGATGTCGCAGAACTGCTGGGTGTGACCGAGGAAATCGCCAAGCAAGAGAAAAAGACAAAAAAGCACAAGCAAGCTGACCCTGAAGAAGTTGAGAAATCTGCGCCAATGCCTGAAGTCTCACAAGATGCCGACATCGTATCCGAGGAGTTCTCTTCCCTCCAGCTTTCTGAGCCAACCATGCAAGCTATCAAAGACATGGGATTCACCAAAATGACTGCCGTTCAGGCTCGCACGATACCTCCTCTGTTAGCAGGAAAGGATGTTTTGGGAGCTGCTAAAACTGGATCTGGAAAGACGCTTGCGTTCTTGATCCCAGCCATCGAACTGCTTTACTCGCTGAAGTTCAAGCCTAGAAACGGAACCGGTGTCGTGATCATAACGCCAACTAGAGAGTTGGCTCTCCAGATCTTTGGTGTGGCACGTGAGCTGATGGCGCACCACTCACAAACTCTGGGAATAGTTATTGGTGGGGCCAACAGAAGACAGGAGGCCGAGAAACTTGCCAAGGGAGTGAATTTGATCGTGGCTACTCCAGGTAGATTGCTAGATCATTTGCAGAACACCCAAGGCTTCATCTTCAAGAACCTGAAGACATTGATTATTGACGAGGCTGATCGTATCTTGGAAATCGGTTTCGAGGACGAGATGAAGCAGATCGTCAGAATCCTGCCAAACGAGAGTAGACAATCTATGCTGTTCTCTGCCACGCAAACTACCAAGGTCGAAGATCTGGCCCGGGCCTCTTTGAACAAGGCCCCATTGTACATTAACGTTCACCAGGATCAAATCGCTTCGACGGCAGATGGACTGGAGCAAGGCTACGTTGTCTGCGAGTCCGACAAGAGATTCCTGTTACTCTTCTCTTTCTTGAAAAGAAACAGAAAGAAGAAGATTATCGTGTTTCTGTCCTCGTGTAATAGTGTCAAATATTACAGCGAGCTATTGAACTATATCGACCTACCGGTGCTGGATCTCCACGGAAAGCAGAAGCAGCAGAAGAGAACCAACACCTTCTTTGAGTTCTGTAATGCGACACAGGGAATAATGATATGTACCGATGTTGCTGCCAGAGGCCTGGATATTCCTGCCGTTGACTGGATCATTCAGTTCGATCCACCAGATGATCCAAGAGACTACATCCACAGAGTGGGTCGTACTGCCAGAGGCTCCAACGGTAAGGGCAAGTCTCTCATGTTCTTGATTCCATCTGAACTGGGATTTTTACGCTACCTGAAGGCTGCCAATGTGCCTTTGAACGAGTACGAATTTCCCACATCTAAGATCGCCAACGTGCAATCACAGCTGGAGAAGCTCGTTAGCTCCAACTACTGGCTGCACCAATCTGCCAAAGATGGCTACAGAGCATATCTCCAGGCTTACGCTTCGCACCATCTCAAGACCGTCTACAAGGTTGATAAGTTGGATCTGGTGAAGGTGGGCAAATCTTTTGGATTTACGGTTCCTCCAAAGGTTAATATTTCAATTGGAGCAGGTAAATAGAGGGATCGGATCTCAGCATCTGAATCTGGTCCAAGTCCTCAAGCTCAATTGGTTAAAACTACATGCAAGTAATAAACAAGAAGAATTATTGTTTCTAGTTTAGTAGTCCGGAGTCGTCTCCTCTTAGTTGAAAGCGTGGGACTATTTTTTGTGTAGGTCATTATCGATGTTGAATCCCCAATGAGATCGTAAAGCAAATAAAGAAAAAGAGATGAAAAAAGCCGGAGAGTTTTGCCCTGTCATAAACAATACGTGAAGATGTTGAATTTCATTTGTAGACGCAGTCGAGTCACTTTCTGCCCAGCAGAGTCAGGAACTCGTCCCTGGTCTTCTGCTGCGCTCTGAAGCAACCGAGCATACAGCTTGTCGCGGTCACGGCACCACTTTTCTGGACACCTCTGCTTACCATACACATGTGTGTGGCCTCGATGACGACAGCAACACCGCGTGGCTGGAGAATCTCGCTCAAGGCAATGGCGATCTGCTTGGTAAGCCTCTCCTGGACCTGGAATCTGCGGGAGTACATTTCCGCCAATCTTGCCAGTTTTGAGAGTCCTAGGACCTTCTTGTTGGGGATATAGCCAATGTGCACTTTTCCAAAGAAGGGAACCAGATGGTGTTCACACAATGAGTAAATCTCGATGTCTTTAACTATCACCATCTCGTCGTGGTCCTCTTCAAATACAGCCCGCTTTATGACGTCACTTATGTTGTCTTCGTAGCCTTTGGTGAAAAAAAGCATGGCTCTAGCGTATCTCTCTGGGGTTTCCAGCAAGCCCTCTCTTTCAACATCTTCGCCAAGTTCTGATAGGATCGTCTTGACAGCATCGGCGATCCTGAGCTCTTTGGCATGCAACTCCTCGGGTGAACTTTCAATTCTCTCACGAGCACCCTTACTAGGCCACGATAGTCCATCTTCATCAATTGGAGGCTTCAGGGTGTAAGGAGACGCGGGTCTTGTGTTGAGCGGGGTCTTAAGCTTCTTGTAGTATGGTTCAGATGCCGGCCTGGATTCAATGTCAGCAGCATGTTTGGTCTTGCCGTCCTCGGATGTGCCAAGGTGGCCATTCACCGGAGATCCCATTTTTCAGAATAGCCACTAAACCAAAACAAAAAAAAAAAAATCAGCCTAGGATCTTTTGCTGCTGAATAAAACTGATCCTGGACTCTGCTAAATTTTTCTTCGCTTACGAAGTGACTGACATTTTAACTCCGTGACAAAAAGCCGTTGCCGAGATCTTACATAATCCCGAGACAATCAAGACATGCTTTGAGACAGGCTTTGAGACATGGTGTCTCTTTTTTTTTTTTTTAGAACTCGGCGTTTGTCTGTTGCAAAAAATTGATTCGAGATTTCTGTTTGAAAACTCGGAGAGTGTATTTGGAGATAAGGCTTTTGGAATCACTGAGGATTTTTGCAGATCTCATAGTTTTGACGTACTCGGCTTAGATGCTCATTCAAAGTACCGGATCTTGCACACTATAGCTCTGAATTTTTACACTGTGAGATACCAGAAACCTTTAAGATGGAAGAGTCTTTCTCTTATGGGTGTATTACATGGGCAGTGATACTTTTTATATGGTATGTTGTGGTGCTGTCATTGGCCAGTTATGGCTTTTTCGGCATACTGGCGCACTCCAGATCAAAGGTGAATAACCATCCTCAAAACCTTGACCACTCTAATCTGGACGGAGTGACGATCCTAAGACCTCTCAAAGGGCTAGATCCCGAAATGGAGACGTGCCTGAGATGCGCGTTCACCCAGAATTATCCTGCCGGCAAACTGGAGATTCTCTTTTGCATTGAAAACGCTACAGATCCTGCTACAGAGGTGGCCAAGAAGATCGTGGCTGAATTTCCTCATATTGACTCCAAGATCTTGATTGGAGACTCGGGTTTGCCGGATTATTTCGGACCAAATCCGAAGATTAACAACCTGGCCAAGGGCTATGCCAGGGCCAAGTATGATATCGTTTGGGTATTGGACTCCAACGTGTGGGTGGGTCCAAATACACTCGAGAGATCTGTGTTTGCACTCAAGAACTCCACCAATAACGGCAAACCAACACACAATTTCAGCACAAAGAAGGGAAGACGTGTAAATCTGGTCCACCACACACCATTGGCCGTGGCTGTGGAGCCGTCGTTGGGCGCCCTATGTGACGAGATGTTTCTTTCCACATCGCATGCCAAGTTTTATGTCAGCCTGAACAACGTGGCGGTAGCGCCATGTGTGAATGGAAAATCAAATCTCTACAGAAGGACAGAGCTTGATGAAGCTGTCAGACAAATTGGATTGGGATACCTACCCTCCAACAACGGACAGAGCGGAGAAGAAGGACCCGATGCTGCATTCTTTGGGAAATCAGGCCAGGGAATCAGATTTTTCGCGAGATACATCGGCGAAGACAACATGATTGGAATAGCATTGTGGAACAAGATCGGCGCATGTCGAACCGCAATGACCGGCGATTGCGCAGTTCAGCCAGTGACCAGTGGTTCCAATGGTGGTCTAAAGAGCTACGTGGAAAGACGGGTCAGATGGCTGAGAGTGAGAAAATACATGGTGATGGCTGCTACTCTGTTGGAACCAACCACAGAGTGTTTTGTTTCGGGGGTGTATGGAACATTCGCAGTATCAGTACTGTTTTTCGGTCAAATGTTCAATTTGTGGTGGTTTGTATTTCACGTTTTAACATGGGTTTCCACAGATTACTACCAGTTCCACTTTCTCCATATGTCTGCATACTGTGACCACGACATGAGAAACTGCTCAATGCCATACTTTGTCCATCCAACTTTTGACGTCAGCAATGAAAACACTTCTCCATCTTCTTACAGGAAGCTTGCTCACTGGTTGCCAATCTGGTTACTCAGAGAGTCTCTGGCTCTTCCCATCTGGGTCATAGCCATAATGGGTCAGGAGATCGACTGGAGAGGCCAGCCATTTCGCATTCGCGCCGACCTCACAGCTGAGAGGTTGTGAAAAAATTAGACTAATACGCATCCCATTGTTTGCGTATAGAAAACAGCACACACTAGATTAAAATATAAAATGTACATAGACCGGTTCCGCTTTTGCATATGATTACCCAAGACAGAAATATAGGCGCGCCTTGGCCAAACGGACTTCACGGCCTTCAATCGGGTATCCCACGCCCCCCGCGTATATGACCCAGAAAGAGATGAGACTTAGAACGGTACATTCCTTTTAGACTCCCCCCTCTTTTTCTTTTTTGTTCAAAAATGTCCAAAGAGCGTGTAATCGTTATTGGCGCTGGAATTTCTGGCCTGAAAGCCGCAATTGACATCCACGCCGCTGGAATCAAGGATGTGTTAGTTCTGGAGGCTCGTAACCGTATTGGTGGAAGAATCTATACTACCCACGAGGGGAAAAACAGCACCTACGACATCGGAGCTTCATGGTTCCATGCTGCAGGATTGAATCCGTTGTTCCTGAAGAGCGTGGCCAAGGGAAACGTTGACTACTTCTTCGACGATAACTCAGCATCAATTGTCACCTCCGGGGAGGATCTTAGACCAGAATGGAAGATCGGCTCGGTAGTAGAGGAAATCAAGGTATTCGCTCGCAATTTCAAGGGAGAGGATACCAGTTTGCACAACGTGATTGCCTCGTATCTGAAGCAAAATGAGAATGTTCTCACGCCTGAGCAGAAGAAGTATGCACCAGCTGTAGCCAGACTGGGTGAGATTGGACCGGCAACTTCGTGGGATGCCACTTCAGGCAAGTTCACGTTTGCCCCATATTCTGGAAGAGATGCCTTCAACACCTCGACCTATGAGAAGGTGCTTGAGAACGAGGTTGAGGGATTTCCAAAAGAGAACATCCTGCTGGGCAAAGTGGTCACTGAGGTGGTCAATGACTCCGGCACGTTCACGGTTAAAACTGCCCTGGGAGACAAATATGAGGCTGATTTTGTGGTTGTATCAATCCCACAGCCTTTGTTGAAACTGGCTGGATCCTCCGAGGAAGGTGCCATAAAATTCTCGCCTCCGCTGCCTTTCGAATCGCAACTTGCCAAAACCAGCCACGGCACGTTGGCCAAAGTTGTTCTAGAGTTTGACTCCAGTTTCTGGCCAGACTCTGAAAAGTTTCTGATTATTCCAGATACAGAAGAAATAAACACTGAAATAGAGACTCCCCCCATTGCGTTCTCCAACGTCTACCAACAGGGAGACGTCCCCAAGACCTGGGAGTTCCCAGCACTCGTTGCAAACCTGAAGCCGATCAAAAATGTTAACTCTCTGGTGTTTTTGATTCCATCTCCAGCGGCACAGTACTTTGAAACCAGTGCTCCTTCTGCTGCCTGGCCAATTCTCAAGCCGATTTTGGAGAAGATCGCGCCAGGCACAGAAATCCCAGAACCTACCAACATCATCGTAACCAACTGGTCTCAGGACCCCTATTCGAGGGGTACGATCTCCGCTTCAGCACCTTCCGACCTTCCTATCGTCAAAGAGCTGGCCAATGGTTGGGGCAATATCAGATTTGCAGGTGAACACACCATTGAAGAAGGAAAAGGATGTGCTCATGGTGCTTGGCTCAGTGGAAAGAGAGAGGCTGACTATATTATTGAACATTCGAAAGATGGTAAGGGCGAAGGACGGCTTGAGTCATCGTGCAAATCACTGCCTGCCGCTGCGCATCTATGTGCATCCGACATTTTTCCAAACTTTCCACCTTTGCCTTGAATTAGATCTGCATTTAAATAAACCCTTATCCAGCTTTCAGTTCAAAAGACACCATTTGCCCCTGTATTCCCGTTCAGTGGCATTTCTCAAACAGACATGTCCTATATCCATGTAGAGCCGCACTCTCAAAATCACGTGATCCCATATTTTCATTTGTATTTCACACGACCTAGCGTCATCGATTGGGAAAAAATCATCATCCCATTTGGGAAGCACTTCCGAGATGCAATAATGGGCTGACCGGCTATCTATTTCTTGTGACTACAACACTTCCTCCTTTTCTTTCGCTCGGGATTTGGAAAACTATCAACGCGCTACCGCTAAACCAATATAAAATGCGCAGCAATATCCCGCTCCCCTGTCTGGAAGACTACGATGTCAGCGCTATAACTGGCTTTCTTCCTCATGAAGTGCCATTGCAAAGACTGACAAATCCATACTATGCCCAGTGGGAAGAGATTGCCGCAGCGGTTCCGTCTTTATTGCTCACCAGAAGAATTCGCTCGGTTGTGGATGCCAAATTGAAGCTTTTAAGTTGCGAATATCTCGGCTCAAAGGCCGAATGGAGAAGAGCCTATTCAGTGCTCGGGTTCATCGCACATGCTTACATATGGAGTGTTGGTGACTCTACCAATAAACTGCCCGCTCAGATCGCCAGGCCTTTCCTTGAAACTGCCGAAAAGTTGGATTTACCAGCTGTTGCCACGTATGCTGGTTTATGCTTGTGGAACTACAAACTTATATTCAACGACGAGGAAAGTTTGGAGCACCTTGATCTGGATAATATCACCACCATCAACACCTTCACTGGGTCCATTGATGAGAGCTGGTTTTACCTGGTCAGTGTATATTTTGAATATAAGGGAGCTCCGTGTATTGTGAAGGGTTTGGATGCTATTCAGTATGCTCGCGAGGGAAATATCGCCAAAGTGGTGGAGACTCTACAATCTCTAGCAGAGGCCATTGACGAGCTGGGCTCTGTTCTCATGCGCATGGAGGAGATGTGCGATCCCCACGTTTTTTACTTCAAGATCAGACCTTATCTGGCTGGCTGGAAGAACATGGAGTCTGTGGGACTGAAAAACGGTGTTTACTATGGGGACGAAGTGGAGCCTAGATTATACGCTGGTGGTTCCAATGCACAAAGTTCCTTAATCCAGACACTTGACCTGATCCTAAACGTCGAACACTTTGGAACTGGCGATTCCAAGGGTCATGATCAGAACGCCTTTATGAGCGAAATGAGATCCTACATGCCTGGGGCTCATAAACGGTTCTTAGAACACCTAAGCAAGGTCAACATCATCAAGGAATTCGTCACCGAAAATGCACCACAAAACCCAGAACTGGTGCTTTCCTACGATGCCTGTATAGCCATGCTGAAGGCTTTTAGAGACAAACACATACAGATCGTCACCAGGTATATCATCTTACAATCGCAGAAGTCCAAAACCATGGGTTCCGATACTACCAAAACCATCAGATCCGGATTGGCAAAATCCACTCACAAGAAAGAGGATATGAGAGGTACTGGAGGAACTGCTCTGTTGCCATTTTTGAAACAGTGTCGTGACGAGACTGGTGATGCTGCTGCTGGAAGATGGGGTAGAAGAATTCTCACTGGAGCTTTGACCTCGAAACCAAGCAGATCCGCCATGCTTGAGTCAGAATTTGAAGACACAAAGATCGGTATGGCTGGTTCCTGGAAAGATGACCGTAGCAATGTGAGAGAGGGTCATTGGTGAGCTGAAAAGAGCTGAAAACGAGGTCAGGACCATGCAGAATTGGACACCCAAATTGACACTGAAATGGAGACATTTACGAAACCGAAAACGAAACCGTGCTGAGACGACTCTGCCAAATTGCGCTATATATTCATCTTCGAAAAACCACAACTATAATTCATCACATTCGTAAACTTGTATACAAACCATTCAAGCGAGATTTTCCAAATCTCAGTCTTGTGCCTTCCTCTTTCTATTTGCCGGACTTCCATTCGGACTCTCATCATCCAAGTCCTCAAAGTCTATAGATCCTCCGTTGTTCACCTTCTTGAGATGTCTCACGTATGTAGAGGAACTCAGTGAGAAGATCCTGTCCTCGTCGCCAAAAACCATTTTCTTCTTCGCTTGTTGAGCAGAAGCACTCTTTGTGAAGTTGTCAAAGCCCTTGATGATATTGCCGTAGGTTGCTTCCGACAAATATAGCGTTTCCTTGTTGAAGATCTCCTCTTCCAGTTGCGTCAACTGCTTGTCCAGGTTTCTTTTATCCTGTATCCGCTGGTGCAGCTTTTTCTTCAGCTTTTCGTATTCGGCCACCTTTGTAGGTTCTGGCATGATTGAAAACAAATGTATGGAAATGAAACACCAAAGGTTTTGTTCGAAAGACTAAATCTAAGCTTGTGTTGTCTTGAGGACTCCTTGAAGCTGCTCGCGATGGTGAGGCGCCAATACACGACCTTTACTATTCACACGACATTTCTCCGAGGTCTTTCTTAGTTGTTTGAGACGAACCACATTTGCACGCGCAACTTCCTCCAATCTATTCCAGACCTTAATCACTCATAATGGAATTCGATATCCCTGCTTTGGTGATAGATGCCGGATCCACCTCGGTCAAAGCTGGCTTGACGGTGGATGAATCTCCCAGCATAGTGATTCCATCTCTGTATTCGCGTTCGTCAACCACCGAAGGTGACTATCATTTTGGCGATTCAATAGATCAATATCCAGAGAATGAGGTGCTCACAACGCACGAAAATGGTATTGTATACAACTGGGATGCTGTTGCAGCACAGTGGGAGTACATCTACTCGGAGCTCGCGCAAGACCCAAAGGAGCTTCCTTTGGTGGTGACTGAAAACTCCTGGGCCTCGAAGAAACCCAAGTCAAAAGTGTATGAAGTGGCTTTTGAAAATCTCGAAGTCCCCGTTTTCTCGTTGCTCAGATCACAATTATGTACTTCCTACTCTATTGGAAGACCCACGTCATTGGTAATTGAGTTGGGAGGGGCCACCACCAGCGTTACCCCTATCCACAATGGTAAGGTGTTGTCTAAGGGAGTTCACCACACCAAATTTGCCGGAGACTTTCTGAATCTGTTTGCACTGGAATCTCTGAGGGCAAAATCCGCCAGGGGTCAAGATGCCGATTTTGAGAACAGCTTGCTACCACGCAAGTTCCAGAACAGGACCACCCCGATTTCAGACTCGTTCAAGGCTTACCAGGTGAATAAAACTTTGACCGAAATGAAGGCCTCAATCCTCGCAATTTCACCATATCCAATTACAGCTGACCAATTCACGATGCCCAACTCTCTACATACCATAGAGATCCCTCATAGGGACTTCGAGCTGCCTACTGGTGAGCTTCTCCCCAACTTCGGTATTGGCCAGTTCAAGCTCTCTGAGCCGTTGTTTCAGCCTGCTCCTTATGCCGGGGCTTTCACCCAAGCGAAGGTTGTTCCCGAGTCGCTTGGCCTGACGGACTTGGTTCTGACTTCCTTGAAGAAATTGGAGGCTAATGGCGAGGTGTACCAGGAACTGTTGAAGAGTGTGATTCTGACTGGTGGTTCTACGTATGTCCCCGGGCTGGAACAAAGACTCATCAACGACCTGGTAAGATTTCTTCCGAACTTCAGCATAAACACATACTGCAACCCGGATCTCCTGGACAGAAATTTCAGCGCCTGGCACGGAGCTGTCATCCTTGGTACCAGGCCTCAGCCAGACTTCGAGAACCTGTACATCTCCAAGCATGACTACGAAGAGATCGGTGAAGACGGCCTCCTTGAGCGTTCAAAATAGATAAATGTAATTGTACCATAGTAACAAAAGACGAGCAATGTGTATTTTTTAAATTCCCCAGAATACTATTTTCTGACAGACATTACGGCTTCGGCCAAGCATGATGTTCAGGTTGGTAGTGTGATTCCCAGAATACCTCCATCTAGGCGTGGGGCCGAATTCAAGTTTTTTTGAACGTTTGTTCTTTAGCTCCAACTACTCTCCAGCAGACAACCACCTGGTTTCCGAGTGTTTTATGTTACGTAGCCTGTTCACAGCACTAAGAAACATGTCTACCGAAACCACCATTCCCAAAGCCGCTGCAGCAGCTGCCGCAGTCCCAGCTGCCAGAGCCGAGAAGAAGTCCAAGAAGGATGCCGGAAATGCATTCGTCTTGAAGACTCCAAAAGGTACCAAAGACTGGGCTGACAAGGACATGATCATCAGAGAGGCCATTTTTGGTACCCTGTCATCTTTATTTAAGAGACACGGAGGTGTAACCATTGACACTCCAGTTTTTGAGCTGCGTGAGATTTTGGCTGGAAAGTACGGCGAGGACTCCAAGCTCATCTATAACTTGGAGGACCAAGGTGGTGAACTGACTTCTCTTAGGTATGACCTGACTGTTCCATTTGCGCGTTACGTTGCCATGAACGGTATTTCTCAGATCAAGAGATACCACATCGCCAAGGTGTACAGAAGAGACCAACCTGCCATGACCAAGGGCAGAATGAGAGAGTTCTACCAGTGCGATTTCGATATCGCAGGTAACTACGATTCCATGGTACCAGACGCAGAGATTCTTAATGTTTTGGTATCCGGTTTGTTGGGACTAGGAATCAAGGATTTCAAGGTCAAGCTCAACCACAGAAAGATCCTGGATGGTATTTTTCAGGTGTGTGGTGTGAAGGACGAGGATGTCAGAAAGATCTCTTCTGCGGTCGACAAACTCGACAAGTCTCCTTGGGAAGTGGTAAAGAAGGAGATGGTTGTAGACAAACACCAACCGGAAGAGGTGGCCGACAAGATTGGAGAGTACGTTAAGCTCAACGGCTCGATCAGAGATGTGTTAGCTACCTTGAAGAGCGATGAGCTTTTGAGCAAGAACGAGTCGGCTTCTACTGGTATTGAAGAGCTCAGCACCATGGTTGAATATCTCGAAGCTTTGGAGGTTGAGCAATACATTTCCCTAGACATGTCTCTGGCCAGAGGTCTTGACTACTATACTGGTGTCATCTATGAAGCGGTTACTGCTCAATCCGCTCCACCCACCGATGCCGCAGAGAAGAAGAAGAAGGTTACCAAGAACGGTGCTGATGTCGAAGATGCGTCTGAATACGTTGGTGTTGGCTCTATTGCTGCTGGTGGCAGATACGATAAATTGGTGGGCATGTTCGCTCCAACCACAAAATCCGGCAAGACGCAGTCCATCCCATGTGTGGGTGTCTCGTTTGGTGTGGAGAGACTGTTTTCGTTGATCAAGCAGAGACAAGGCCTGGAAGCCAAGGTAAGACCTACTAACACCCAGGTCTTTATCATGTCGTTTGGTGGTGGTGCCGACTGGACAGGGTTCTTGAAGGAGAGAATGCAAGTTGCCAACACCTTGTGGAGTGCTGGAGTTGAATGTGAATATTTGTACAAAGCCAAGGCCAATCCAAGAAAACAGTTCGAGGCTGCTGAGAAGACGGGATGTCCTCTTGCCGTCATTTTGGGCAAGGAAGAATTTCCAGAGGGGAAGATCAGAGTTAAGGTATTGGGAACAGGTGAAAACGATGACGGCGATTTGATCGAGGTCAAGGACCTCGTGGATGTTGTGAAAGCCAAGTTGGCTGAGTCGAAGGTAGATGGTGTTGATGAGGTCACCAGGTTAATCAGAAGCTTATAGGTACTGGTGTGAAAATCTTGAAGAATAAAGAAGATAATTTCAGTTCTATAAACACCGGTATCTAAGCCAGCAAGTTCACGATTCTAATTTCAGACTCCTTGAGCAGTTTCCTATCATTTTCATCGAGAGGAGCGTAGCTCCTTCCCACACCTGTTGGATTTTCCTTACCTCCTCCTATCTCTATTAAACTGCTGAAAAGCACTGGGCCTTCGGTAAAGTCGAGATCGTGGAATTTCCTGGTTGGACCGTGTATTTTCAATCTGGCAGATTTCCACTCTTCTTGCTCTTTCTCCGAAGGAAGAGAGATTTTTCCAGCGTAGAACCTTGCGATAGTGGTTGCCTGGGCCTCGTAAATACGGAAAGACATACCCGAGGTGTGAACACCCACACTGGTGATGAGCGGATCAAACGTGTGGAAGGTTTGTTGGAAAGAGGATGGAATATAAACGCCAGTTGTGAAATTTGGACGCAAATCGTTCATATATGGGAACGATAGAGAGTAGCCCGTAGCAAAGGCAATCAAGTCTGGGTTCTTCAGGACCGAGCCATCCACGAAATGGACGTCAAAACCACCGCCTACCAGAACAAACTTCTCAATGGCAGGCTTTCTGTGTGTCTTTGTATAATCCTTATCGGAGTCTTGATAAGACCTTCTGGAATTGTACACTTCAGCAGCCTCAGGAACAGCATAGGTGACCAAGTCATTTGCTGAGATCCTAGAGCCGACGATCAAAACAACCTTATCTTTGAAAATTTGAGGACCATCGTAGAACTTTGAATGAGTAAATCTCTCGGGGAATGCATCCTGGGCCTCCTTTATACCTGGATAGGAAGGAATGAAGGGAATCCTGAATTCTCCGGAAGCCAAAACGATGGCATCAAAAGTCTCGACCCACCATTTATCTAGCGGTCTCCCCTTGGAGTCAACTTCATCAGTTTCTTGTCTTAGATAAAGCACAAATTTTCCGTCCTTCTTTCTTATGGTCTCAACGGTGGTGCCCAGCTGGATAGAGTCTGGGAATTTGGAAAATCTGTCGAGAAGATATTCATGGACTGAGGGAGCATCTGTGAAACCAGCTTCAACTGGCTCTAGCAATTTGGGCCATTCTCTCCTGTCCGAGAAAGTCATCATCTTCTCAACAACATTAGTCTTCATGTTGTGGTAGCATCCTGTCTCGTCGAACCTCTCCTTAGGTACTCGGGGCAGAACAATAGTCTCTACTGACCCATTCACCAGCTCTTCAGGAATACCCGAAGGTGGCTCCAACTCAGCGCTGCTAGCACCTGCCGAGACAATAGGCACTCTCTTTTTTTTGTCTGGAGCAAGAAACCAGTTTCCACCGAGTTGTGCGCGTTTCTCGAACACCTTGATCTTTTCAAAAGCCTTCTCTTCGTGCAGGGTCTGCAGGGTGATGGCTGCAGATGCACCTCCACCAATTACGGCTATGGACTCAACTTTGTGGGAAACTTTTATGGGTTCTTCTGAAAAAGTCATTTTTTGCTGAGTATTTGGCAGTTCAGGAAAGAGTGTTGGTTAAGGAGGTGTATATGAAGTGGAGTGAGGATGGACGTGTCAAAAGGTGTGGCTTCTGTCTCGTTCACGCCATAGTCACAGAAAATTCCAGTCTGTCGCGATGAGCAGTAGGATGGTGCGGCTCAGAAGATTGTCTGGGTGGTGATATTAGTGGAAAACCATACTACAGCACATTGCGAATTAAAAACATTAAAAGCTGAACAGACGAGTTACACTACACACAAAAATCATAGCAGTCTGAAACTCACATTTCAACCTGCTCGCTTACTCGCTAGCAGACTCAATCCTTTCCTCGGAGCCTTTCAAAGATTCAGCTCTGAAGGCACCAACTTCAGCAAGATGCTGCTTGTTGAGCTGGGCGTCTTCATCACCAAATATCCTGTCCATTTCCTCCAATGGCACTCCCTTGGTCTCGGGAATGACAAACAAAGTGAATAGAAATGCGATAATGCAGAAAGCCGCGAAAAATATGTAGGTTCCCCATTTCATTGTGTCGAGCATCCTTGGAGTCACCAATCCGATGATGAAATTATTCATCCAGGTGGATGAAGTGGTGATAGAGATTGCTTTGGATCTGATTCCAATTGAGAATATCTCAGATGGCAAGACCCATCCGATAGGAGCCCAAGAATAAGAGAAGTTGACGTCGTAGATGAAGATAAACGCAACAGCAGTTCTTCCCGCTGTTTTGTGTTCAGACAATGCAGAACCGTACTTTCCAACGATACCTCCAACAATAACGAGCGACACAAAAGTTCCGATTGCGCCAGCCATTAGCAGCGTTCTTCGACCTGTTCTGTCGATCAGAAATACCGCGGGAAATGTTGAAAGACAGTTCACGATACCATATACTCCTGTGCCCAACAGCGATGTGGTATTAGAATTCATTCCCAGCTGAGAGAAAATAGTTGGAGCATAGTAAATAATAGCATTGCAGCCCATGAACTGCTGGAAAAACATCACAGCAGAACCAATAAATACTCTTTTGAAATGTGATCTCGTAGTAAGGATATCCCAGATACCAGCAACATAGAGACTGACAGGATTGGTGATTTTCCCAAACTTTCTGTCGGCATATCCATTCTCAAATATGACATCTGCACGGATTTCTGCTAATTCCTGCTCGATCTCACTTTCAGTGTTCCTGCGCCTGAGATACTTGAGAGTCTCAACAGCTTCTTCCTCACGGCCTTTATACAACAGCCATCTGGGTGACCGTGGGAAGAACATCATTCCAATTCCAAGAACAAAGGCTGGGGCAATTTGCAAACCAAATGGAATTCTCCAGGATGCATCGGACTGGCCTGTGCATCCGCCAGCTGGGACGTCAGTGTAGGGGTTGAATGACTTTCCGTTCTTGTAGGGTACATGTGGGGCACACCGGGTCCCACCAATGAAATTAGTACCATAGTCAAGCCAAAACGATATAAGAATACCCAAAGTGATGGACACCTGTTGGATAACTACCAGGCCACCACGGATATTAGGAGGTGCAAGTTCTGACATATACATGGGCACCACCATGGTGAGTTGTCCAACACCAAGACCCGCAACTCCTCTTCCTGCAAATAGCATAGGGGTTGAGTGACCAGCACATTGAAACACAGAGCCAATAACGAAAATAACACACGCGATCCTAATAGAGTCTCTTCTGCCAAACTTGTCGACGATAGGAGAGTTTATTAACGAGCCGAACCAGGCACACAACAAGAAAGTTGACACGAACCAACCTTTGTAGTCGGAGTCTGTGTTTATCCTCGGAAATTTAGCCCCAAAGGATTCCATAGTGACGATACCACTGATCACACCTTGATCATAACCAAACAGTAGTCCACCTAGAGAAGCAAAACACACAATGGATCCCACAAGGGGATCCTTAAACATTTCTCTGATCATTTTGGAGAATGGATTTGTTTGATTATCTACAGGGAATAAAATAATGATTCTTCAGCAATCAACTGGACCTTTATAGCGTTGACCAAACAAAGATCGTGAGTGATATTCTTGCTGTGGGTATGCGTGAACCCCACACATTTGTTGGAAAACTCTGGGGTAAGTTTGTGCCGGACACCCCCCGCATAATCTCAAAGGGGAAATGGCGTCCCCGTTTGTAGGCCGGGGTAGAAGACGTCATTACCGATCTTCAGCCGTTCGTGCTACTTGTAGCCGCAAGGGGAAGAGTCAGAGGATTTCACTGGTATCCGAGATATCTGGTATATCCCATGGAGCAGTTTAATCCGGAAGGGGGACTGGTGGGTGGTGTGGGGCAACCCCGATTGTGCACGCAAGGTGCAGCCGCAGATAGAGATAGCTAAGTAGACGGAATACCACGGCATCCGAGCAAAGTTTTTTAATGGAGAATTGATTGATTACTGTTGTTCACATCGCTGCTGCTGCTATTGATTTATACTGAACGCTTTCCTTTCGTGGGCTGTGGTTAACTTTGTAAATAGTTTTAGAATACCATGGTTCCACCAAGTGCGGAGTATCAGCCCATGAAGGCTTCCACCGATGGTGAACTAATTGAACGGGTATTGGATTGTTATTATCTCAACCGAAATCCTAATACTAGAGTCTTGATAACTATCGCTGGAGGCCCTGGATCTGGGAAAACCACGATCACTTCCGCTTTATTGAAAGGGATAAGCTCCAGGTTCGGACCTGATTTCGCAGTTGTGATATCCCAGGATGGTTTTCATTACTCACGATCAGAGCTCGCTCTACTATTTGACTACCACGAAGCCATGAGAAGACGTGGGGCTCCTTATACCTTCAACTCCCAAAAGCTGGTGGAGTTGGTTAAGCAACTGAAATGCGATAGATCCAAACCTATACATGCCCCCACTTTCGACCACAAAGACAAAGACCCCGTTGAAGACTCGCTGATTGTGAACCCAAGCTGCGAAATCGTGCTTCTGGAAGGAAACTACCTTCACTTAGAGGAACAACCTTGGAGCGAGATAGCAACGCTATCGGATGAAAAGTGGTTGGTGTACACTGACCCCCTTCAGGTTAGACAGAGACTTATAAAGCGCCATATCGAAGCAGGAATAACAGACAAATTGGAGGATGCTGTCAAGAGAGTAGACTCCAATGATATGGTGAACGGGGATTATATACTGAGTCATTCATTGAAGCCTGACTTAATCATTGAGAGGTGAGAGCAGAAGAGGTTGACTCTGTTGAAGGCAGCCGATATCTGGTAGCTCAGCAGAAGAGTTGCAAAATGGCTAGCAGTTTTATAGATAGCAATCTAGCAAATATATTTCACCAATTCTCTCAAAAATAGTTATTACCTATCGTTATCTAATGCAATTTGTCATATCTCTGTACCTGGGCTCGGATAAATTTCAAGCGATGAGCACCGGAGCTTCTAATGGGCTGGAAAAGATTTTATGCCTCGAGCATCGATCCCGATAACCCGCATACTAAAGATCTGGCTGAGATCTCCACTCAAACGCTTATTGTCGCCCTGTGAATTTTTATCCAAGCCAAGCTTTGCTGGCGTATCCGGCATGCAGTTCGAATCGTTGAACAACAAAAGGCTCAAACCCATACCATCACATCAACAAGCTTGCGACTCCTGTAGGTTGCGGAAGCTCAAATGTTCCAAGACCACTCCGAAGTGTTCTAACTGTCGCGAAAATGGCTTTACTTGTGTGTATTCGCCGAAAGTCATACGATCACCTCTTACAAGGGCGCATCTCACCAAAGTGGAGAGTAGGGTGAAGGCCCTGGAAGCACTGCTCTACAAAGTGCTGCCTTCGGATGTGAACATCAACGACCTCTTAGAAAAAAACGGAGACTTATCGAATTCTGGCCTCGCAAACTATAAGCAGATTGATTTGAATTCCTCCACACAAATCGACCCCTTTACTCTTCCCAACGAGAGTATTTCGGCTTCTTCCATTGACGAGGCCAGGCTAAGCGAGGCATTTCATACTAAGCTCGAGCTACAGCCGGAGGATTACCTTATCGACACAAAAAAGGACGATCATCCACATTATGACGAGCGCGACGATTGGAACCGCCCGGAGGATCTATTTGGATCCAAAGCCGTGGACGGAATGGCCGCCCTCAGTTCGGATATAGACCCAGGGTCAAGCAACGGATATTTCGGAATCAATTCCAGCAACGGTCTGCTGAAGTTTTTGAATATCAAAAACAGAAACAAAATCAATTTTTCAGAACCTGAAGAGGAGTTTGAAGACAGAGCCAGTCAAGTGCCCATGGCGAACATGCCTACTGATGAGTTCGACGAAGTCCTCGACGATACCAGCTTCCAGGGCATTTTGATCAACTCATATTTCGAAACATATCACAAGGTTTATCCCTTCATTAACTACAAGGTGTTTTTCGAAGATTACAAAAAATTTGTGGAGCCAAAAGAGGAGAACGATGCCATAGTGGGAATGGACGATATCACGTTCCAGATCCTGCTGAATACTTTGTTGGCCATAGGGTCTTTATGTCTCTACGGTGAAACGAAAGTGGATACTTTCTACTATAGGCGTGTGAAGAATCTCTTGAGCCATATCAATGTGTTTGAATATGGTGATGTCCAGCTTTTGGAGAGCTTCGTCTTACTCAGTAACTATGTTCAGAAGACCAATAAGCCCAATACTGGATGGAATTTTCTGGGTTTGGCCTTCAGAATTGCTACTAGTCTTGGACTACATAAGGACATTCATCCTGATGCCGATATCTCGACGAATTTCGAACTTTTCGAAAAACTGGAACTCAGAAAGAGATTATGGTGGGGAATGTACTTTTTCGATGTTGGTACGGCTTTGACGTTTGGTAGACCGCTCACTATCACGTTTCTTTCGTCTGTGGATCTTGGTCCAGTCTCAAATATTGATGAAGAGTATTTTGCGAGTGGAGAAGCTTCAAACGTAATGCAAACTATCAAGCCTTATCCAACAATATACTCTGGTTTGATCCAGGATTCACGGCTAACTGCTGTGACCACGAGGATTTATAACTACCTCTTCTGGGTATCCAAGTTTAAAAATGATACTCACAAGATGAAAGGTCTGTTGGAAATGAACTCACTGTTGGTCAAATTCATAGGAACACTGCCATTGTACTTTAACGAAGACGATGCTGTATCGGAGAAGAGCCTTGTGAGTGTCTGTCCGCCTTCGTGGTTTGACTCTTCCAGCAAGCTGGTGATACCGAAATGGTTCAGTCTCAGCAGAATGAGACTGAATTTAAGATACAAAAATTTGCAAATGCTGATGTTCAGATTTGCCATTCTGGGAGACGATGATAAACTCACCTCAGCCTTCAGTCATGATCAAGAATTCAGCACTCTTCTTTCGCAGTGTCGAAAAATCTGCTTCGATGCTTCTTTCTCGTCGATATCAGCAGTTGAGAGATATGTTAACAATTACGAGTTCGACGTGCTTTCATCGTGGTATGCCACTTATTTTCTGTTCCAAGCAACGTTGGTTCCTCTTGCCCATCTACTCACATTGAGAAATAAAAAATCCAGGCATCTGGAGGTGGAAAGCGAAATGTTGACTCAGGTTCAAAGTGCAAAATATTCCTTGACCCAATTGCGCAGGTTCAACCGACTGGCTGGTAGATTTGTGAAGTTGATCGACTCATTGACAACTGCATCTGACAAAAGCAGCTTGCAGCCAGCCAAGGCAGGAGCCAAGCAATCCAGTCCAGACTATGACTTCAACAACCAGCTTTCCAACGCGACTGTAAGCTTATTCTCAAACTCGGACCTAAATTTCATGAACAAGAGCCAATTTTCGTTCGACAACTACAAAAGCTCATTTATGAGTTTTACCAATACCCCAAGTCAAGCCACTGATGTGCAGGAAATGCCCATCAAGACCGAGTTCGAAGAAGTGATGCCTCCTTTAAGCGGGTCTTTGGAGTCCAAGGGAAATATTGACTCGCTTTTCTCATATCCCACCGAGGAATCCATGGATCCGAACTTCAATAAGATGCTGAACAACTTTTTCGTGAACATGGACTAATGGACGGTTTACCAATTTTCGGTATGCACGGCTGCTGTATTTCTATCGCTAATTATGATTGTTATTTTGTTAAGCTTGGCGAGGTTTCCCAGTAGAATTGGAGGAAACAAAGCTTTTACCCGTATTGCCGTATGGAAGTTCAGCTGTAGTCCCCGCTGTTAAACATTGAGATTTCACTTTCAGCCTTGGCGTCAACCATACCACCGTTAAGACCAGCTTCTCTGATACGTTGATTCTGCGCTCTGATTTGCTCCAATTCCTGAATATAGTTGTCCTCCACACCCGTGATGTAGTCACCCGTGAAGACTCCAACCTCAAAGCCGTCGATTGGTGGAACCTCACCCTTGAGAGAAATAGGGTTGTATTCGTCAGTTCTAGAAACGACAGGAGTCAACGCCAGCTCTTGGGCAGGGATCTCAGGCTCTCTCTGACAACAGGCAACGAGATCGTCCAACTGCTGGTAGAAAACTTCATCTGCTCCAATAGCATCGGCAACCTCGTGCTCGGTTTTGTTGAAACCAACGAGGGCCTTGGTGTCTGCCAAATCGATACCGTAAATATGGTTATATCTAATGACAGGAGAACAGGATGCAAAATAAACCTTTCTGGCTCCTGCCTCTCTAGCCATGTTCACGATCTCCATGGAGGTGGTTCCTCTTACGATGGAATCATCAACGATCAGAACAGATCTTCCGTAGAATTCTGAAGCCATGGCATTTAGCTTGCGGCGAACAGAGGAAGTTCTCTGCTCCTGATCTGGCATAATGAAAGTTCTTCCAACATATCTGTTTTTGACAAATCCTTCTCTGTATGGAAGATTCAACTTCACTGCACACTCCAGGGCCGAATGTCTGGAGGTGTCTGGGACTGGAATAATCACATCTATTTCGTCCTGAACCTTTAATGACTTAGCCTCAAACCTTTTCGTGATGTTGTCAGCCAACTTGCGACCCATCTCAATACGAGATCTATACACACTGATTCCGTCCATGACGGAGTCTGGTCTGGCAAAATACACATACTCGAAGATGTCAGGAGTATAAGTTGCCATAGGTGCGACTCTTCTGAATTCGGGAGAGTGGGAACTTTTTGGTATTATCACAGCCTCACCAGGAAGAATATCTCTGTAGTTGGTGAAACCGTGGGCTCTGAGAACAACCGATTCGGAGGCCAACATGTAATCTCTTTGGCCATCCTCTTTCACTCTTTCACCGATCAGCAAAGGTCTGATTCCATGAGGGTCTCTGAAACCAATAACACCGTATCCAGCAAGCATAGCCACGCACGCATAGGCTCCTCTGCACATCTTGAAAACGCCCTCCAATGCGCTGAAAATATCGTTGTTATTGACTCTCGACTTGTCGTATTTGGCCAGTTCTGCCGCAAAAATATTCAATAGTAATTCCGAGTCCGAATCCGTGTTGATATGTCTGTGAACAACTTCATCTAGGTACTTTTTCAATTCAGCGGTGTTCACGAGGTTACCGTTATGACTGAGAGCAATACCAAAGGGAGAGTTGGCATAGAATGGCTGGGCCTCACTCATGGCCGAAGATCCTGCGGTAGGATATCTCAAATGAGCAATTCCCATGCTTCCAACCAAGCCTGTCATTCTGGACTGAGTGAAAACATCACGAGCCATACCGTTACCCTTACATTGATAGAAACGACCCCTCTGTCCACAGGTGACTATACCGGCAGCATCCTGGCCTCTGTGCTGCAAAAAAAGACAGCCATCAAACAGCTCGGATGCCACATTTTTGTCTTGATCGGCAAGACAAATTCCCAAAATACCACACATAATTTTCTTTTTGGTTGAGATTCAAATGATGGCCTTGTATTCTTGGTAGCTACCTTCGCGTATCTCTTAACTGATAAGCACAGATCTAGTGAAAATCTGCGTCTAAAGCCGTGGGACTTGAAAAAAAATCAGAAATATCTGGAGCCAAATATCTGATCTTCTGGGATCAGCTAAGCTATGAGCTTAATATATATACACGGTGTTTAAACTGGTGAAAGAGCAGGAAGAAAAGTGTAAAATTTTCTGATAGCTAACGAGTCAGGAAAACTTTTTAGAGGTAATTAATCCGGGGACGTGGGCGTGCACCAAATTTGACTCTTTGGGCGAATGTATGGTTACTAGGCTATATCAATTATTGCTTCAAGACTTCATTTAAGGGGATAGATAACTCAGTTTTGAGCATTATAATAAAGTTCAGAGTTCTGCCTCTTCAAGTGGAAAATATTTTGCAGAAAGAATGCCCTTTCCATCTTTCATCTACCCATGGTGTTTGCACTGCGTTGCAACCATAAAGATACAAAGCTGATCACTATCTCGTTCTTATATTACTATTTTGAAACAAAATCAACTATTGACAGGAAGGCGGAGGTCTGGTAGACCCTCTTATTGGCTTGCACCAAATAAACTATATTCGTAAACGGTCATAATGTTGGAAACGCACTTCACCTTCTGGGCCAGAAAAGACCTTGGCCTCCACGATAAATTCCCATTGCAATGAGTCCAACACCGCCAATTCTGATCGAATTCTTCCACCACAGTGGATTCAGCTCTGGATTTGCACCCTTGAACGCCATTCCAGAGGCAAAGTAAGCACCACCAACAACACCCGCAAAGGAGGCCATCACCTGACATGGTATGCAGTCCTTGACCTCTTCCTCGGATAAATCTCTTGATTCTGGAGGGTTGAAAATCTTGGCCAAATTGGACATCTTGAAACTGGATATACGATAGTATCGGAGTGTATACGGGTTGCTTATCGCAAGCTTGATTAGAAAAGGTCCTTCCTCGATTTGAAAATTTCAAAGTAGTGTATATTACAAATATGCGCCGCACATATTTCTTGATTATCGATTTCCTCCAAATAGATATACTTTTCCACTTGCACTTCCACCAACCATCCAGTTTTGGGTGGGATGGAAGGAGGCAACTGCTGGAACTGCTGTGAGTAGTTCATCCCCAATGTGTCCCACCTGCTCACCTGTGGCGGTGTAGACATCAAAGTATCTGTTCATATTGGCAATCACGAATTTCTCTATTCCGTCTCTCGGGTTGGCATGCCACTTGGACTTGATGATTGAAACCCAACGACCAGTCTGACAATTGTGTTTGAGTTTGTGGTCTGGAACCATGTTGAGAGGGATTTGCTCTGGTTGAAGTTCCTGGTCTGACTGCAATTTTTCAGGTATTGGATATTGGTATTTTTTGGTGAGCTTCGAAGTATCCCCCAGGTTGAAGACATTTATCGTATCGTCATAGCCATTGCAAACAATATCTCCACTCATATTCCAGTCAGCGCAGCTGATACTGACTCTGGAGTTATAGGAGCCTATACAGTTTGGTGACTGTGCCTTTTCGTATTCAGACCATTTGGATGCGCCCACGTTTCTCAAGTCCCATATGCGGAGAGACCTATCCAGAGATGCAGACGCCACTTGATGCGTAGCACTAGGATTCAAAGCAAAAGAGCCGATTTTCTTGTCGTGAAGTCTGAAAGGCTGAGCATACTTCTTTCCCTCTCTGAGATCAATGGTACTGAACTCACCGTTCAATGTGGTAAAATAGAGAACGTTCGCGTCTGCAAACTGGATATCTGAGATTCCACTGAGGTTCTCCCATTGATCGTAATATGTGGTGATCATATTGGACTTAAGCGAACTTAGATCAAGTGTCCTTATAGTTCCATCGTAGGAACAAGTAACTACTTGGGTAGCCTCATTTGGTCGCAACGCATACTTTGGAATATTCTTCCTGTGCAATTGGAACTGGTATATGTCAGGCTGAGCATCATCACCTTCGCCTTTGGAATCCTCACAGGACCAAACACCGGTTGTGCCATTGGTGTCTCCTCCAATGACCAACCTTCTGTCTGATGTTGGGTGAAAAAAAATCGTGGACATACGCTGTGGTGTCAGCTTTATATCATTGGGCACAAATTTATCGTATATCTCAATACTGCTGAATTCATCTCTCAATTTGTTCACTGTCGCGTTGCTAGACTTTTTCCGTTCAACCATGATATCATAGAAGTCTCCCATTGAAACGTTCTTGCTGATATTTTGAAATCTTTGCAGATCGTCATTCATGCCATTTACTTCTGTGTCTTCAATCTTCGGGAATAAATCAGCGAGGCTGATATCGCCGCTCAACTGGATCCTCTTCATTTCATCTAACCTTTCCTTTCGACGTGCTTCTTCATCCGCAAACGAATCCACCACGGAATCGTCATTGGGTTCCAATTTTACACCAGCGAGTCTGCTTGATCTTCTTGTAGGAACGATGACTGGCTTTTCCACTTTCGACTTGCGTTTCTGCGAATTGGCCGACTTAATGCTTTCCTTTCGTTTCACCTCTTTGGCAACATCATCAGATAAGAAATCCAAGCTTAATTTCTTGAATAATTCCTTGTTGCGGGCAATATTCGCCTGTCTCTGTTTTTCAAACTCTGAAACAGCCATTATATCGTTTTCACCGGGGAAACGTAGCGTTCTGCGTTATCTGAGAGCAAGAGTGAAAAGTTAAATGATCCTCGAAGACGTGTAAGGGAGGCAAGTATTGACGCGTTCACCGCCGCCCCCACCGCCATGTTCTTATCGTGAGGCGCATGCTTTGCTATCAGTGCTTTACCAATGACCTTACGCAAAATATTTATATTAGTTACAAAGCGATAATTTCCAGCGCTTTTCTCAGAACTCAATAATTTTCGTTGGAAAGAATTCGTCGATCAACTCGAGGTAGTAGGGCTTCAGCTCGTCTAGATCGTATTTTTGCTCTGTCTTCGAATAGAGGTCGTAAGGGTTGAATGCCTGAACACTCTTGAGCATTTGCTCGTCATGTTCGTTCATGAGATATCGGTATGCATTCTCTTGGTGCCATGGGTAGAACGAGTGGTATCTGATCATAGCAAGGGCCTCCGGGGGCAGAGATGAGCTTTTCTTTGCGACATGATACATGTATTCGTCGTGGCCCCAACTGAGCATGACATTATCCAGTCCACAATGGAAAGAATAGATCCCAAATTTAGTATTGTAGAGTGGATTTGTGGCATCCGGGTTGTTCTTGAAGGATCCCTGGTATATGATCTTCTTGGAAAACTTGCAACCGACTGGGAAGGTATCACCGACCACATCCCATTGTCCGTCAGAATCGAAAAAGTAAAGCAGCTTTCCAAGATCATGTATCAACCCTACCAGCTGGAACCATCTCGGCTTATTATCGCGGCGAATAGCCTCGGCAGTCTGAATCGCATGGTCAATCTGAGACAGCTCAGTGTCTGGATCGCTTTCGTCCAAAAGATCATTCAGCTTTACCAAAGCATCCCATATAGTCATCTTGTCCCGCACTTTTGTTTTGAAGTTGATTCTGGCTTGCAAATTGTAAGCAACTGTCTGTTTTTCATGCTGTTCCCTGTAGAAATCTTTCACCCTATCGCATGCCAGTTCATACTGCCTATACGATTTCTCATCCACGCCTTTCAATATCTGAGTGTTTGAGTTGTCCTGCCAACTCTTGTCAACTGCGACCTTTCCCTTGATCTCTGCCTTCAATATATTGATTCTCTGAACATCATCATCTATTTTCTCCAAGGAGACGACACCCTTGGGAATGTGCTTGGATGTCTGGGGCTTCCCAACTCGATACTGTGCTGAAGAGTTAGCCTGTCGTATTCCGGCCATGGCGATATTATATATATTGTTCTCCGTCAAGGTTTGGAAATATAAGGTTAATGACTAAGCGACCTACTCTATATCACAAATTTGAGACCTGCATCTCTGCCATATCAATGAAGTGCCACTTTCTGCCAAATAGCTTCCGGGTCATCGTGTGCGTCTGCCAGTTCTTCCTGTGCCACGAGGACGCCATGTGATTTTCCATGGTTGGGAACTTTTTTCTTCCCAATCCCTGGCTCTGATTCTCGTTGTTGCCTAAGCTCTGCCAGGAACAAGCTCAAAACGGCATATCTAACACAACTACACCAAATTCATTGTCAATTGCACTAATAGTCAATAGCACATTTTGCATCTCCGTTTTGTTTCGAAATTTACTTTGCTGTTGCCTGCTACACTTCCTAGCCTGAGAATGCCACCCAAGAAGGCCCACAAAAAGACGGCTCCTGGATCCACACCGCCCTCGGCGAAGAAGGAACAGAATGTTCCGACAACGGTTGTTAACGAGAAGGAGACCAAGAAGCAGGCTTTTGTGGTCCGGACCATCTGGACGCTGCTGATGATATTTGGGATGTTTTCCATAATTGGTGCTGGACACATATGGACAATTGCCCTTGTTCTTGTGCTTCAAACCCTTGTTTTCAAAGAGTGTATCACCATCACCACCGAGACTGCGCGACTTCAGAATCTTCCCTTCACGAAAACTTTGAACTGGTACTTTCTGTTCACCTCGATCTACTACCTGGATGGCAAGTCACTGATGTCCTACTTCACCACTCTGTTTCTGAAAACAAACGTTCCAATCGCAATAATAAGAAGCATGACTGCCCATCACAAGTTCATCGCATACTGTCTCTATGTGCTTGGATTTGTGTTTTTCGTGGCTAGTTTGAAGAAGGGTTACTACAAATTTCAATTTGCCCAGTTGTGTATTACCCATATGACTTTGCTGCTTGTGGTGTTGCAATCATATTGTATCATCAGCAACATCATCCAAGGGATGATCTGGTTCTTGCTTCCCGTTGGTTTGGTCATTACTAACGATATTTTCGCCTATATTTGCGGAATCACCTTTGGAAGAACGCAACTTATCGCGATCTCTCCTAAGAAGACCGTCGAGGGCTTTGTTGGTGCCTGGTTTTTTACCGGATTGATGTCTGTTGGACTCGCCTATTTTTTGAGCAATTACAGCTTCTTCATCTGTCCTGCGGAAGGCGATTTGAGCGTCTCCGTGCTATCCGGTTTGACCTGTGATCCAAACCCTGTCTTCATTGAACAAATCTTCAAGCTGCCCCCCGACCTGGCCAAGCTGATTGGTAGAGATTTTGTGTCTTTCAAGCCTATCTACTTCCACGCCATGATTCTGGCCACGTTTGCGTCACTCATTGCTCCTTTTGGGGGCTTCTTCGCATCTGGCTTGAAAAGAGCCTTCAAAGCCAAGGACTTTGGAAACACTATTCCCGGCCATGGTGGAATCACTGATCGTATGGACTGTCAGTTCATGATGGGTTCTTTCAGTTACCTCTACTATGAGACATTCATCTCTACCCACAGGCTGACTTTGGGTTCCTTGTTACAAACGGTTGTCATCAACTTGAACCCCGATGAAATTTTGATGCTGGTTCAATCCTTGCACAGTTACTTGAACAAGATTGGTGTCATTGACGACAAGGTGTACAAGAAACTGGAGCAATTGCTGCAATAGGTGAATTGAAGGTAGTGCCGCAGATCCAAAGCACCGGCAAGAAGAATGAGCCGAAACCTTTTTCAGGTGTAAGTGTTTGGAGTTTCGGCAATAGTTGACAATTTAACGAGACTGGACAGAAGTTCAAAAGGTGCCGGTTGACATTCGCGCTTGTGATATTACTGCATAGGCCTATGACAGAAGCTCCAAAGTTGCCAGATTGTAATAGCACCACTCACCATCGGACTACATAAAACATTTAACCACTGCGCCGCTCAATCAGGTAGAAGCAAAACGAATGAACCCAAAATACGCCTATACGAGGTCGTGTACCAATATCAATAGCTTCGGCGCGTAATGAGCAACTTAGCAACTTCCTACGCTATGCAACGTTTCTTTTTTTAACCGCCCTGAAGCCTATAGAAAAGATGTCCCGCTTCTCTTAGCAGTTACTACGCTGTCACAACGGCCAGGCTATGATGTGTTACTCCGAGCAATTGGTGGGCAAGTTAAAAAACATACATATTTAAATAATTAGACTCAAGCAACCTCGTTTACTGATAACACATCTAAGCAACCATGGTCCAAAATTACGCGCTCATAATGCAATTAGTAATTGGTAATTTCACCGCCTTTTGTGGGCCAAAATTGGCTGAGAATTTGTGAAAAATTGGGCTGCGGCATCGGCCCCTTATAGAAGAAGTTTTGAACGCCATTTGAAAGAAAACAGTTTTCTGCATGTCGCCATGCGAGAACCTTCTTCCGAAACCCCCGTGGGTCTGCCCCAGAACACTGCCCAACCTCGGCACAATTATAAATACATTGTAAGATCCACTCCTGGGTTTGAACTCAATTATCAATTCATCTTCAGAATAAAAAAATGAGTCTACCAAAAAAAGTCCTTCTTGCCCTTACATCTGCTCAGGCCGACTTCTGGCCAGATGGAACCCAGGCTGGTCTGTGGTACTCCGAGGCTCTTCACCCATACCAATACTTTGTTGAAAAAGGTTTTGAAGTGACTCTTGCTTCCGAAACCAGCACTTACTTCCTGGATCCACACTCCACTGCAGATGAGTCTTTGGGTGGTGACAAGGACACATTCAATGATGCCAGTGCTCCATTCAACCAGGCTTTGAAGAGCGTCCAGAAGGCTTCAGAGCTGAACTCCAAAGATTTCGGCATTTTCTTCGCCGCTGGAGGACACGGTGCTCTCTTCGACTTCCCAAACGCTGATTCCTTGCACAAGTTGGCCGCAGAGATCTACGAACAGGGTGGTGTTGTTGCTGCTGTGTGTCACGGTCCAGCCATCTTCGACAACTTGAACCTGGCTGATGGAACTGCCCTGATCAAAGGAAAGACCATCACCGGTTTCACAGTCGCTGAGGAGGACTACGTCGGAGTTACTCAGATCATTGCTGACAGAAAGTTGGACCTTGTCAAGGACGTTGCTGCTAAGAATGGTGCTAAGTATGTTCAGCCGGATGCCCCATTCACCCCATTCGCTATTGCCGATGGGAGAGTCATCTCTGGTACCAACCCAGCTTCCGCACATGTGACTGCTGAGAAGGCTCTTGAGGCTTTTAGTGCTTAATGCTTTTCAGGTATAAAATATAGTCATTTTTAAGCATATCATCTGTAGACCCCCATAGTACGGCTGATCCAGAAATATTATTTTCGTGTGAAAGCTAATTTACAGCCGCATGTAGATATCAACAGCGCCTAAGTGACGACTTATGCTACATTCTGAGAGTTTCAGTCATTCACTAACTATCTTGAGTGAGCTTGATTGCAGCATGGTAGATCTTTACAATGCAGGGAAACCCATTGATAAGACTTTCTTGGAGCAAGAACAAAAATGGCAACAGGAGAAAGAAGAATTGCGGAATCACAACTCCATCCATAGTGCATATTATCCAAAATGGTATACAGAACGATGCCATAGATTTCCAACTCCGATGTCAACGCTCAGACGGAAAGAGAAAAATGAGGAGAACTTTGTGGGCCAACCCCGCCAGAAAAGCAAGAGCACGGCGAGTACATTGAGATCACTGAGACTATCATTCTCCGCGGTTGAGAGAAAGCTTATTGACCACACCTTTGGTGGGCATCGTCATCCAGTGTATTACGAGTCTAGCACTGAATCTGATCCTGAATCAGACTCTGGTAGTGATTTGAGTGAAGAGTTTCGGGAAAAGTTGCTTGATATCAAAGAGACACAGCATCAGGCTCATGCAGAGGAAGCTACAGTAAAGCAGGTGGTCCGGGTCAGGTACCGGTTTCTGGATAGACTGAAGAACGTATTTTTTTAGACAATTTCCATAGACAGTTCGAAACGAGAATTTTTTCCGTTTTATTTCTTACCACTTGAAATGTCTTGCCATGTAAAATTTGTGCCCACAGGGGATAACGATTAGATAGAATCAAGATACAATGGTCAGAGGTGTTGGTTTCGCGGAGAGATTTGTGCCTTCAGTAATTATTTATTTCTGGTAGACAAAAGTTCTTCAAATTTCAAGACGCTATTTTGTGCAAGTTTCAAATAATTTGCTAAACGTTAATGGATCAACGAACTTGCAGGGACTGTGAATTTTCAAATACAAAATTTCTTGAAAGACATACTGCCAACACTAGGTCAGTGAATACGGTTCAGAAGGAAAAAGGCAAAACTAAATTGAACATAAAAGAGAGAATTGATTGGTCTGACAGCCTCAACCATCCAGGCCAATGAGAAAAGAAGGTATCGAAAGAATGAAAAACAGAAGTGGAGAATTGCAACTTTCGGCTTAGCTTCAACTGCTTAAACGTGGACTCCCAGCCATTAGATCGCATTCACGAAATTTTCCTTGTTGTGCAAGTACGGAGTTGTATCACTAACCTCTTTGACAGCAGTTCGATCGTCGGCAGAATCGTGTTCCTCAGACGTTGCAAAGTCCTCTTGAACTGGTTTCTCTTTTCTGCTAATCTTGAAAAACTTAATACCTCCGGTACCCGGTTTGGCAGGTGCACCTGTGTTTGCAGTCTCACCAGCAGGGATAGGAGCAGCCTCCCTATTATTATAGTAGTCGACAGACTCGCTGTCTTTTGCAGTGTTCCGTTTCTTCTTGGTGAGGCCATACATGCAAGAACCGCAGGTCGTGAGGAAGGAAAAAAGGAGGGCAGCAACCGAACCCCACAGCAGACCAAACATCTTGACTCCCAAATGGGTTTTACTGCCATCATTGCGGAAGGCATTACGACCTTTGACAAATGCAGCTGTTATCAAACATGCAGCTGCCAACGTGAAGAATAGGGAAAGACCAAGGATCAAGGCGAGGAAAGGCTGGAGGCCAACGCAAATTGAACAGATAGACACAAACAAGAAGGCCAGCAGCAAGGCCAGTCCAACCAACAACAAGGCCCAACCAATTCTGGACAGGTAGTAGTAGGTCTTTCTGTGTTTCAGGAAAGTACTTGGTAGGTTCTTCGAATTTGAAAAGTTGTCTTTAGGGGAGAAGGGGTAAGCCGCTTTGGTTTTGCTGCAATTCTTGTTAGACCCTGATGATCCATCACACGTGTTATAACAAGTCCATCTTGTCTTCTCGAATTTTGCGCCTGGATACTTCTTGGTGTCCGCTTCAAACCAATAAAAGTGTTTGAGGACCGAACGTTCAGTGGACCCAGAAAGGAGTACGAGAAACATCATCACTGCCGTTCTGGATTAATAAGCTCGTTAGTTTGAATGCTTGCTAAAGGCTCAAGCTTAACATTATACTAACCCCAAGAGAAGAAGCAGTGGGATCAAACGACTGAATATACCGAACTTCATTTTGTGTGCAGTTCTTGTTTCGCTGGTTTAATTAGGACGTTCCCGTAACAGTACAACGGATTTGACAATAGTGGTGAATGAAGTATCATCAGACCATGGATTTGCTGTATTTAAGTAATATATGGGCCTGGATTCTTGAAACAGGCTCAAAATCCCGACCTCACTAAGTTCCATTTGGTTTTTTGTGGAGAAATGGAAATGTGCACCTACCGATGCCTTATCGTGACGTCACGTTCAGTCTTGACAGCTCTGCATGCAGGCTTCAGTCTGGGCCTTTGATTGTATTTCAATGTGTGGTTTCAATTGTGGAAACAAATATTGTATCGTCGGAGATCTTATTATTTTACTGTATATTTGGCTAAGAGGATCTATGTCTGAAATGAAATAGAGAACTCTTGTTTTGTAAGATGAATATGGACGTGTTGAACTGTGGTCGGGACTTGCCGATTACCAGATGATAGCAATAATAGCAATAATGAAGGTCAGTAGCAAGTACTGAATAATTGATATTGGAGTTGCTTGTTTGCAATTGCTGCTTAATTTGTGATTTCGATTCCAAATTCATGCTTAATTTTGCTATTGAGATAAGTTAAACACAATATCGAACTAATCTGCTCCACTTGGATGTGATGGCTTCAGCAATCTGGGAGCTATTCAAGTAATAGCAAAATAGCAAATAGCCAAAGAAAAAAAAGCGCTGGGCACGAATTTGAATATTGTAATTTTTTGTCACGTTAAGTGGCCCTGGAAATTGCCCTCACGGTAATCAATGTGCACAAAACATCTTTCAACGCCAGGCAAGGTTTCGATAGCGTACTGTAAGGTTTCCCCTATGTCATGGCAATCCCTCATATTCAAATCTAGGTTCATCACCAGGTCCACTTCAACATTGATGTTGTCTCCCACATGATATGTTTGTAGCGCTGTTATTTTCTGGATCGACGTTGCAAATCTCATACAGCAGTACAGAATTTGCTGTCTCTGCTCTGTGCTTGCAGCTGAACCTGTCAAGTTGCTGATATGCTCAAAAGCCACGGCTGACCATTGAAATACTACGAAGATACACAACATCAGAGCACCAAGTGGGTCCAACCACCACAGCTCTAACCAATGACCAATCAAAGGAAATATGATGGAGAATGTGTTGAAGACGATGTCCGTCTTGGAGTCCTCGGCCAAAGCCTGGATGGATGAGTTATTCACGGAAATGCACGCATAATAGCAAATTAGTTTGATAGCGATCGTGAGAATCATTATGGCTAGCGTGGGAAACGTAATTTGCACAACTTCGTGCTTCTTGTCAAAGATCAACAATTTCAAAGAGTCCTGAGCCACCTGTAGGAAAGAGGTGACCATAATGATACTGAAAATCAAAATCCCCAATGGCTCTAACCTTGCCGTTCCCACAGGGAAAAACGCTGATTTTCCCTTTGTAGAGAAGCTGTTGGCATAGTAAATGATTGCCGAAGAGAGTAGGTCTAAAACGGAATCCACCAGAGATGCAATCAAAGACATGGAAAACGTCAAGTAAACCACCAGACCTTTACCTCCCAGAAGACCAACATTAATGATAAGGATCAGCACAATCGTGAATTTCACAATGCTATCCTTTTCTGACTCACCTCCTGCTGCGATGAGTTCCTCTATGTCTGCTGGAACACCTGCTCTGTGATCCTGGAGATTGCCATCAATCCCCAGATCTGAGCCATACGACTTCAGAAGCGATATCGGTAACTTGGACCCAAGAAGCTCGTCTATGTCAGCATATCTTTCAATGAGGCCATTCTGGTGCTCATAAAATTTTCTGATATCTTTTTTCGGAATCGATTTCAAGATGTCTGGGGATTTGTAGAATTTCATCCAATCGGTCAGAGGTCCGATATCACCTAGTAAACTCTTTACCCTTTTATCGTGCAAATACTCCAATCTTTCCTGGAATGCCGAGACATCAACTGAACTCGCTCCAATTGCTGTGATTCCAAATCTTGTTGGTCTGGCAGTAGTCAAATACCCTGGCGTGTTTGGATTGAACATTGACGCTCTTCGCTGCATGCCTGGCTGCACAAGGGGCGTACTCGCTTCATCTATGAGATCGACAGCTTGCATTATGTTTTAACTCGAGCGGGCTGTTATATCACAATTCTTGCTTTTAACTTGTGTAGCACAACCTCAGCGATGAAGATATATTAATTAAGTGAAACAGTGAAAAACTTGGGTTATCGTAATCTGTTTGCTGCGGTTGGGACCTCCACGTCTGCCAAGCATCTCACGGGCACCTGAGATTTTTTTTTCAAACTTTAAGAGAAACTTACACTTTTATATCCGCACCACTGCCTGGTCTCAACACGGCTGATATCTCGTTGATTACGAATAATGGCGAAAGACAAGAAATTAGCTTTAGCGACCGCTGCGTCAGATGTTTATGTGGATGAGTCTGCCTCATTTGAGGCGTTCAACCTAGATTCAAGGCTACTGCAAGCTATCAAGACACTCGGATTCAACAACCCAACACTGATTCAAACCAAGACCATGGAGTTTTCACTCGAGCATCAAAAGGATGTTCTTGCAAAGGCTTCTACTGGCTCAGGAAAGACTGCAGCATATTGTATACCTATAATACAGAGGCTGTTGGTGCAATCGTTAGACGATGAAAGCGTGGGAGCAGTAGTGTTGGTGCCGACCGGGGAGCTTGCCTACCAGGTGAAAACTTTTATGGACAGATTAACGATGTACTGCGATAAGACCCTTAAATCTGTGAATCTTTGTGATACCAAATACGTCAATCAAACAGGGAAGATTGTTATTTCTACCCCTTCTAAGTTGAAGTTTCAGCTGGAGTCTCAACCTGAGTTTGTTTCCAGATACCAAGACGTGCAGTTTCTGGCAATAGATGAAGCTGATTTGATGATTTCCTATGGCTATGAAGACGATCTCGACAGTTTGATTAAGTCATTACAGCTGTCATCCCCCAAGATTCAAAAATTCCTAATGAGCGCAACGTTGAACGATGAGATAGACAACCTGAAGGTCAAGGTTTGTAATGGTAAAGAAGCCGCCATTATCAAGTTAAACATTGACGAATCTAAAGACAAGTCTCAGCTGGTTCAATATTACATTAAGACATCCGAGTTTGAAAAGTTCTTGCTGACATATGTTATCTACAAATTGGGACTGATAAAGGGCAAGACTTTAATTTTCGTGAACGATATTGACCGTGGGTACAAGCTGAAGCTGTTTTTGGAGCAATACGGTATCAAATCATGTGTTTTGAACTCTGAGCTGCCTTTGGTTTCGAGAGTCAACATTGTGGAACAGTTCAACAAAGGCGTATATCAGTTGTTGATTGCAACAGACGAGAACAACTCGTTCAAGAAGCGCTCCCATTCAGAAGGCTCTGATGATAAGAAGGACAAAGAATACGGAGCATCCAGAGGTGTTGATTTCCAGAACGTTGCTTGTGTTTTGAATTTTGATCTCCCTACTTCTTCGAGATCCTACATCCATAGAATCGGCAGAACTGCAAGAGCAGGAAAGTCTGGTATGAGTCTGTCGTTTGTGGTTTTGAAGGAGCAGTTTGGAAAGCACAAAGCTTCATCTTTTCCCACTTGTGAGAAAGATGAAAAGACTCTCGGAAAGATCGTCAAGAGCCAGGCTAATATTGGACTTGAATTGACGCCGTTCAAATTTGACATGGGCCAGATCGAAGGCTTCAGATACAGGTGTGAAGATGGGTTCAGAGCAGTGACCAAGCATGCTGTTAGACAGGCCAGATTCAAGGAAATCACACAAGAGTTGATCAACAACGATAAGCTGAAAAGATACTTCGAGGAAAATCCACAAGATTTGAAAAGTTTGAAGCATGATTTTGAGATACACCCAACCATGGTGCAGGACCACTTGAAGAGAGTCCCGGAGTACTTGTTGCCAGCGGGTGCAAGAGTTGAAAAGAAGAATCTTGGATTTATTTCTTTTACTAAGGAGAAGAAGGGTAAGAAGAAAAACGGAACTTCCAAGAAGAAGACAGATCCTTTGAAGAAGTTCAGAAAGTGAATAGCAGGTCTTATCTACATAGAAAAGATTAGATAATCAAATAATGTGGTATTTTATTACTGAAGTAGTGTCTGAAGCTAAAAAGAGGTCAGCCCATATTGATGAGAAAGGATCTTGAGGAAGCAATATTCTGGAGAGGAGAAGTCACAGCAGATTGTGATCTGCTTTTTTGAAGAAAAAAGATTTTACATATATACACAAATGAAGTCCATAAGTGTGTTTGGTGGGAACGGGTTCCTGGGAAGAGCGATTTGTAAAGAGGCCATACAAAGAGGATGGACGGTGAACTCTGTCTCCAGAAGTGGAAAACCGGTGCAATCAAACGAACCTTGGGTGGAGAAGGTCAATTGGGTCAAAGGAGATGTATTTCAACCCAAGACTTACGAAAGTGTGTTGAAGACTTCGGACGCAGTCGTTCATTCGCTGGGATTGATATGGGAGAACCAGGATTACAAGAAGCTGATCAACCTTGAGTCCAGCGGAGCAAGTAACCCTCTGAAGACCTTGGCTCAAGCATTTCAAGTTTTTACAAGTTCGAAAGGATCAAATCCCATGGAGAAGGAAGTTTTTAACACCTACGACGGTCTGAACCACCAGAGTGCAATAGTATTGGCAGAGGCTGTTGCAGAAAACCTATCTGATGAATGGCCAAAGAGTTTCCCATTCGTTTACATAAGCGCAGATTTCAAGTCTCCATCGCCAGCAGAATACCTCAAGTCAAAACAGATCACAGAAATAGAGCTTTACGAAATGCAGCCCCAGCTGAGACCTATCTTCATGAGACCAGGTTTCATGTATGACGAAAACAACCCTCGCAATATGAGGCACGATGTTAAGAAGATTCTGGAGCTAATTGGAAAAATCGATACGAAGAACTTGATCGGGCTACCACAAACCGTGTCCATACAAAAGGTTGCCCGAAGCATATTGGACCATGTTGCAGAGCAAGGCTTTGTAGGTCCTGTGAATATGGATCAAATGCAGTAAAATCTCTCACTTAACGAGGTTGAAAAATGAGGCCCTATTTTTGGAAAATATTGGCTCATGCCCGAAACGAACTATGCCTACACAAGAAAAAAGTATTCCAACCTCAGTTGTCCTGTATCTGGAATAATTAACGACAAAGATATCTAACTCATCAAAGATTATCGTGATTTAGAAAACACCCAAACAAAAGCCGAATTTGTTGGATAAAACCGAGTATCCTAACGCGTGCAGACAGGAGCCCGGCTATTTCAAAATCTCACTCCAAGGCTTAGAAGACAATCGAAAAAGAAACCAACCTAATATCCACGTGCACTGACCAAACGGCGTATTTTCCGATGCATCTCGAGGACGCGTACATTCATTCAGTTCATGCCTGAAATGAGGGCTGTGCCATGAATAAGAATCTGTAGACCCGCTTTTCCAAAACATGAGCTGAGTCGCCGAAATATTTCTCCTGTAAGTTAGACACCGATAGCTCAGGCTTTTTCTGAATCAATTTTCACATCAGTATTAGGTAGTGTGTGCTTGAAAGTGTAGCCTTGTTTCAGTTCCCGAAGACCTCGGTCCCACGGTTGTTAGGGTAACCGCGCAGTCTGGAAGGCTTTGCCGTTGTGCTGGTGATCCGCTGCACCATATGCGAGGAAACATGGATCATCTTGATGATGAACTCAAGGGACAACAAAAAGGCAATAAAATTAGAGAATTATATTGGTCTACATATTCTCGCGATCTCTTCCGAATCATATTCTTCTTGCCTATTTTACGTCGTGATGATACCTAATGATCCGTCCGCAAATTGTCACTTCGGACCTTTTAAGAGTAGCTGCATGAACATCTATGTCCGTGCATTTCAACCAAGGATGATATCACGCTGTGCGTAAGCAGTGTTCAAATCGGGTTGTTCCGTGCCTGAAATATATATAAGCGAATTGGACATGGTGACACTGATTAATCCCGCCTCAAACATTTTCCAATCCACGCTCTGTGTGCTAAGCTGATCTTTTTTCTAGCCCTGCTATTATTATTTTTACTGAAGGTCCTGGTTTGTCTTTATCTCCGTTCCAATATTTAAAGACTGTTCTCCGGTAATAAAAGATAATCGAGACTCTCGACTATTTTATCTGCCAGCATCCTGAGTCTATTTTTGTTTTCTGTTCGACTCAGATCAAAAAGGTACCGCTATATGACCAAAGTTTGAGCGATCCTCGTTTTTTTTTATTTTTCCAAGGAGCATATTCAATCTTTTGGAAATCAAGGATGATTTTCAATCAAAAAGTTCTTGGGATTCTGCTATTTTGGTTTAGTTTGGTGCTTAGTGCAAAAGTGACGACCACTTCGGCAACGCCAACCACGGCTCTCACGACGTCTACTACACCTACCACTACACCTACAACCACGGCACTCACAACCCCAACAACTTCCACTACCCCGACCACTACAGCTCTGACTATACCAACCACAACAGCGCTGACTACACCAACTACAACATCCCAGACAACCCCCACCACTTCAACCACGCCAACCTCCACCGCACTGACGACACCCACTACTTCTGAGTCAACCAGCTCTGAGCCAACAGAAATAGCATCCGCCAGCAAGACAACTGTTACTTCGGACACCTCGAAAACAGCTGCAACTACAGCGTCATCTACAGTCCTGACCACACTCGAATCTGCAAGTACCTCCGAATCAGACTCAGATGACTCGAGTTCAATCGCGGCTTCGACTACCTGGGTTTGGGTCACAAATACCGTTGATGGTGTCACTGTAACTACATCCTCGGCATACCACCAAAAGTTTAGCTCGATGTATCGCACAATCCAGAGTCCTTCCTCTGGTTCGATCGGCTTAGGTACAATCACTGGAACCGTGGGTGTTCTGAGGACCTACCGAACAGGCACCGTCTCCTCTAGTTGAGGCATGTCCGACAGAATTCTGGAAATTGATTTTTAGAAAGATTTTCCGATCTCTTGGGACTTTCACCTTTCACGCATTTTATCGCTTTATAGAATTCCTGATGGATACAGTCATGGTGATAGTGAGAGTGCTTGATACTTGATCATTGATGCAGGTGTACGACCTTTTCAGTGATATTTATAGTACTCCTGCTACTTCACACAATTTTAACTCTTAGTATATCACACTTAAAGTTTGCTCTAAGTGTTCATTATAAACCACTTCACTTACAGTAGAATAAATTTAACGTCTCAGTACTGATTTCGAATATCTTTTACGCAACTAGGTGACTCGTTATGACTCCCGTAGTTCACGACAGGGTGACCCGGACCCAGCGACGCATGTTGACATCTTCAAATGCCGCCCATGGTGCATCATGGGTATGAAAAGATTTCAATTCGAAATGCTCCATATAGTAGACATTCTATTGCCAAAGTTATTTTAGTATCATGAATAGTAGTTATTTCGAAACTGGTGGAGAAAACACATACTTAAAAGGCTCTGGGAGGCCTGCGTCAAGCCGCAGAGGAGGACGCATGACAGTTTTCTTGATATATGCAGCAAACATAGAAATTTTGAGAATTTCCGAGGCGGTGGTATTTGGGTTGACAGCTTTTAACAATCATAAAATCAAAAAAGAAACTGCTTTCTATAGCTTTCTTTTACCATATTTTATACAATCTATCCCGTGCTGCATATAGTCTAGAGTTACTTCGTACTTTGCGCATCGCTCAAAAATAGCACCGGAGTTCTTTTGAGGATTGCCATTCCTAAAGCCAATCGCTATGGATACCAAATATACATGATTGTATGACTGAGTTGTAAAAAATGCGACCTTATTTCCAAATTGTGACGTTGCGAGTAAAAGTACAGTCTATATAAAACTCTTATCCAAATAGCTCAGCACCCTTCCATCCTCGCTGTGGTTGTTGTAAACACCTGGTCTTTGGGGATATGGAGTTGAACCTGAAGTGTTTGCTGCAGTAGCGGTGGAAATGATGTTCGCCGCACCGACTCTATCGGTTGACCCCAAATAATTAGGTGGCGAGGGAGCCAATAGACTGTAGGACATCTGAGGAGCATAAAATGTATTTGTATTGGAGCTTTCATACTTGGCCGGGTGGCCTTGCAACTGCGAGTGCGATAATTGCTGCGGCAGACTGGATGGCAATTGAGAAAATTGCTGCGCATGACCATGCTGGTTTTCGTGGTGATGCATTAATGAGGACTGCGGTATATGCGAAAGAACTTGCTGCGGTTGTGGTATGTTTTGTGGTGCTCGCGGAACTTGCGAAGGTTGTGGCAAAGGATGAATAATCCGTCTGTCCACAAAGGTAGCGTACGTGGAGTCGATGTGTTCATCCTGGTAAGGATACAGAGAAGTATCTAGCTCGACCGTGGTGAAAATAGGATCTTCGGTAGGCCTTATGAGAACTGATTTCATGCCGTGTCTGTTCATATAATACTCCTTCAGGTACTCATTGGAGACGTAGCTGATCAGATGCAATTTCACTCCAGTGCTCAGAGTGATTGAAAAGCTCTGTTTCATCAAGCCGTTCATTTTATACTGGTAACTGTCGTCCCGGTTACCCAGACCTGAATTCTCCATCTCCTTGTACATCAGGAAGGCCCCGTTGACTCTCGAGGCCGACCACGATATTCCGTCAGTCCACCTCTTCATCCCAGACTCCTCTTCGTTCCATATGAAGACGGCTCCATTTTTTATTAGTTCGATTCTCTCACGCTCGGTGAGTCTTCTGCGTATGGTAGGAATCAGATTCTGTCTTGAGGCCTCAAGCAGTATTATCGCATCCTTCGGGGATAGCACTAATCCATGGTAAGACTCCATGAGATGAGCAAGATTTTTGAAAGATCTTTTCCTGTTGTTGCAAAAGTCTCCGCGACAGTGATTTGGTGATTTGCTTGATAGTTGATTGTTAGAGAGGCGCTCTTTAATCCGGAGTATCAGAAAATGTCCTAGACGCTCACCAAAGAAATAGAATAGCTCAGAGGAAACCGCCAAACTTTTGAACTTGACTTGGATCGTTTTGTGGAACACCTGTCTTCCGATTGCGTAGCGGTGAAGTTTGGAGAGCTGAAATGTGTGTAGGTGTGTGAGGCGATAGAGCAAGTGTGGGTTTGCCTCGACTATTGCTCCAACCCAGTAGCGTTTGCTCAATTTCTCAGTGCAACCATGAGCGCTCCCCTGAAATATAGTCCAGGACAAAAAAAAATTCTGGCAAGGTATATAAGTATGCCTCTTTCAATGTTGCTCTTGCGGTAGGATTGCGAAACAATAAGACCGTGTCCCACCAAAAGTTAAAATTCGAGCCACACGGAATTTAGTCGAGCCCTCGTTTAATGCGTGCTGGACTGCAGAAGACGCAGCAATTTAATCCCACGCAAAAACTATGTATATGGACTGGGGTAAAATTGACGTCCCCAATTCTTTTCAACAACAACGAATATTGTAAATACAACTGGAATCATCTAGCAATTAATATGGCTGTATGGCAGGCCCCAATATTAATGAGCCCTCCCACTCGATTCAGGGGGTTTGTTGGTGCTGCGCATCTAGACCGGCATTTATCGAATGTGTGATGCACTAGGACGAGAAGCTTTTGGGGCTGGCCTCTAGGAGTTCCCCGTGCGCGCCGAAAGTCTAAACTCACCGGATAACGTTTTTGCAAAGATCAAGCGATCTTAAATCTTATTTATCCTTATCTGGAGCTCCCCCCGGCTTTAAAAACTCGCAAATTGGAGGCGCAATTTTGGTATCTACGCTCGTTCCCCAGACCAGATCCAAATGCTCATGGTTTTCGATAGGAACTATCTGCTCGATCGTACCTAATTGCTTCTGCAAGAGCTGTATGTCCACCAACGAGTCGCTTGTTCCGAAAAGCACCATGATTCTTCTGGAGCCTTCCCCATTTTCGATGGGAAATTGGAATGTCTGGAAATCACTGCTGTTCTTATTTGCGTCATACATCTGGAATCTTTTGGATTTGATGATCTGGAACCAATGCACCGCTGATTTGACACTCGTGGTAGAGTAGAGATGGTAGTATGAAACAAACTTCTGCATGTAGTTGATGTTTTCGCTCTTCCAGTTGAACAAAATTTGATCGGCCCAGTCTATCACTTTGATGAACAACGGAGGGTAAATGATGTCTCTCCAAAAGTACGCACTCTTCAGAATGATCTTCTTTCCAAAGAGGAGAAACATGAACTCGGGACTCAAATTGATTATCGAGTTGATCAGAGGGTTCGATAGTCCATGGGGGGTTGTTGCTGGGGAGATAAGGATCATCTTGTCGATTTTGTCATTCAAGTCTCTGTTGAGAGAGGTGGCTGCAAGCCCTTGTGTGCATCCTTGGCTGAACCCGACGTAGTTCACCTGCGTCTGGCCAGTTTGTTTCAAAATATAATCTATCGAGTCTGGGATATCAAACATCGAATATTCGTCGATTGAGAAGTTCCAAAACTGCTCCGAGTCTATGGGTCTTGTGAGATGTCTGCACGAATACTTGTTTCCCCTATTATTCCCCAGCCAGACATCAAATCCCAAATCCGTCAGCACAAACGGAAGGTTCAGTCTCTCTTTGTACATGGTGACCCATATCTCTGAACTCATCAACAGTCCGTGTTGCATATAAACCACTTTCCCGGTGCGAGAATGAGGTTTCTTAGCCATTATTCTATGCAGAGTCAGCAGATATCCATCTTGAGTAGTCACCAGATAGTCCTGGACCTTATATCCGAAACAAGAGCACATCTCCTTAATTGACCTTGCATTTTTCAGTTTTTTGATGAGGGAAATCGTATCATCTCTGGTGGCTTCTTCGCTGGTAGCACTGCCATTTGTAGCATACAGCTGTGGCTTTGTTTGCTCGTCCGAATCTTGGTCGTCTTTGTCCTCTTCTTCATTCTGAGGAGTACCCATTTCTTTGATAAATGCATCATATATCGGATCCTTGGAATACAAAGGAATATCAGAAACAAGTCTGAAAATAACCCTTGTTAGTCTTGTGAAGTAGCGTATCAGCCACTTCGGCAGCAAAAACGTCACAAAGGAAATAAACGACTCAAGGACAACTACCACAGTGGCGAGAAATCCCGACATCATTCCGTTGCTTATGCTCATATTCAAATGTGAACAAGGAACTATGGGAGTATATAAAGAGCTCCCTTGGTGCTTTGCATTGTTCATCAGAAGACCCTTTCATGACATAACCAGCCTCGCACCTTTTTGCGCTTTTGGCTTTTTCTACGTGTGGCGACAAGTTAGTCAAGACACGCAAACGTTTAACAGAGAGCACGACCCGGTTTTTTTCGGGTTTCCCTTGAATACTAGTCAAAAGCATGGTTTATTGAAGTTGCCAAGCAACGATATGGATGTATGGCATATCTAAAGCAGTCTATATAAGCAATAATCCTCAACCGAATGGCTTGGGCATAAACATAGACAACGTGAGAGGTTTACTCAGAGCAAGTCAGGGTCAGCAGCTTAAAACTTCTTATCCCAGGAATCAATCTTCATGGTTCCGAAGTCCTCAAAGTTCAAATGCATCTTCAAGGCATCTCTCAAGATGTGAGGCTCGTGCAAAGTCTTCTTCTTGGTGGCATAGAACAGTGCTCTGTCGTAGTAGTCGAGCAGCTGAGGCACATAGTCGGGGTGAGCACAGTTCTTGATGATGGTAACAGCTCTCTCCTTTGGAGCCAATCCTCTCAGATCAGCAAGACCAACGTCGGTGACAATGATATCCAAATCGTGCTCGGTCTGGTCGACGTGGGAAACGAATGGGACAATGCATGAGATTCCGGTCTTATCCGTTTTGGAAGGTCTGGCAGAGGGGGTGTGCATGATGGACAGCTTAGCGTTTCTGAGGAAGTCGGCAGAACCACCGAGACCGTTCAGCATTCTGGATCCGTTGACGTTGGTGGAGTTAGCATGACCGTAGATGTCGACCTCTACAGGAGTGTTCATGGCGATGACACCCAATCTTCTGATGATCTCTGGGGAGTTGGAAACCACCTGGGATCTCAAACACAGCTTCTGCGAGAACAGGTCCCAGTTGGCAAACAGTCTCTCGAAACCATCCTCAGACAGTCTGATGGAGGTGGCAGTGGCATAGTCCAAAGCACCATTCTCGAAGAAGTCTAGGAACGAATCTTGGAGGACCTCGGTCCAAACGGTGAGGTTCTTGAAAGAGGCATCAGCAAGACCTTCGATGACAGCGTTGGCGATGTTTCCGATTCCACTCTGAAGTGGATGCAGGTTTTCGGGGAGACGGCCATACTTAACCTCCTGGTTCAGGAAGTCGATCAGGTGACCGGCAATCGCCCTGGAAGTGGCATCCGAGGGCGTGTTTGGAGGAACCTTGTCACGCGTGGTGGACTCCACAACGGCAACCACCTTGCTTGGGTCAACCGGAATTGCAACCCTTCCGTTCTTGTGAGAGGCCGAAGTGTAAGGATATGGTTGTCTATGGGGCGGATTTACCGGAAGATCAATGTCGTGCAGACCTTCGAACGATGGAGTGGCCGTGTTGACCTCGATAATGATCTTGTCCGAAACACTCAGCATTTCGGGAGAGCCCCCCACAGCAGGTCCCGGAACAATGGATCCGTCCTCGGTGATGGCAGTGGCCTCTATAATGGTGAAGTCCAAGAGATCGTTCTCCTTGAATCTGGTGTAGTAGCCGTACGTCAGGTCCTGGGGGAACATCGACAGATGCTTATCAAAGAAAAGAGTTCTACCATCGTTGATAGCTTTCTGGATGGGCTTTCCAACCTGATGAGGAGCTCTTCTAAGGATCATGGAGTTCTCTGCCCATCTGGACTCTTCTGGGCCGGCCGAAGCTCCCACAAACAGGTTGAAACCCAGCTTTCCTTGAAGGTTGTTGTCCTCGACGTGTTGGGCTAGTGCAGTAGGAATCACCTTAGGAGCTCCCACTCCAGTAAATCCGGACCAACCAAGATACTGGCCATGTTTGAAGAGCTCAATACACTGCTCCGGAGTTCTGAGCTTGTCAAGGTATGGAGCGTATCTGACTCTTTGCTTAAGGAGTGCCGACATTGTAGTAAAACTGGTATAAGATATAAATTCGGATATTCAGATCACAGAGACGACTCGTTCGGCGGAAAAGGCTGATTGAGTTGACTTAAAGCAGTATCCAGAATTTGTCTGAAGGAACAAGACGATAAAACAGGAGGAAACGAAGAAACAACGAAGGCTCTCATTGAAAAACTCGTGTTCCCGATAGGGTCGACCGGTGATCCCATTCCGACCGGGTGGGTTCTGTTTTGGGGGGTTTTCGGGGGTTCGGTTGGGCTGGACAGTTTCGGGTTGCTGTGGCACGGGAGGGGGGTAGTGGAGTACGGGTGCCACGGGGTGAGTTACGCTTTGCTCGTTTGATGAGAGTTGCAATTATGGACTTCATATGCATCAAATCAACTTTCTTGAGCTTTTCTAAATGGAATAACTGTTCTTCGAATCATCCCACTTTACACCGACAAAAGCGAGATCCGGGGGCATATCCGAGGCTCGATGAGAGAAGTCAACTGACACGGGGTGTGCATCTTGGAGGGGTCACGTCCCCTCCAAGTCCCTCCCCCAGATTACGTCTTATCTCTGTCGCATTTTGACAATGTCGGCTCCGCTGCCCTGGCTATGCCGGATTTCCAACACGACATATACTATTTATGGGAAATGTAGCATAATTATGGATTTGTGATTGGTGGAGATATCTACTCCAGAAACTATTTTTCACAAAACTGAGCGCCCCGATTGGTCTGCCTCGGTTGCATTTAACCTCATTTGCATTGGTCAGTTCTGTACGCACCATATATGTAGGTCATACTTCTGTACGCTAACGTAATCCACCCCTGGGATTTCCCTAACATTTTACTGGTCCTTAGTTTACTCCATGGGCGCGTAGGTGCTTCATCCGGGGCACATTTGCATACAGCGATCCAGATATAGCAGGATTTAACCAAACCCATTCAAACATGTTTGGTGCTCAACACGGAAATAACTCGACTATGCTTTTGATACAGAAAGCTGGATTATCTTTCTGTTAAATTCGAAGCGCATAGGGTTCTTTTCTTTTGTTTTATACTCCATCTTGCCCGTTTTAAACCGGTTTATCAGTTCTCCCGACAGCCGAGACTTCACCCCCAGTCTGATGCAATCGACAAGCAACTGGGCGAACTCACTGTCTCTCTAATTCTGTTTCCGGCTGACTGAGCTGCTCTGCCAACACTGATGCTCAATTGGGGTTTTTGGTATACGCACCAAAAGAACCTCACGTTTCTCCATAACATTTTCACCTCAATAGCTTTGCAGCGGTGCTGGGCTCCCTCTACCCTCGTTAACGCTTTATTGGTTCTGGTTAGTGTAATATTTATTGTTCTACACGGAGATGAGTGACTGCTTGTTGCCATCAGCCGCTACACGTTATTGAATCCGCAGGGGTTTTCAATCCGAAATTCGACCAATCCAGATGCTGTCTCATCGCTCTTCACTCAAACTTCGCTATCTTACTGACTACAAAGTTTTGAGTACTGAATATTTACACCGTATTTGGTAGGACAAAGTCATTATTTACTTTTGCATTGTTGATGTCAAAACGAATCTCGACTTCTTCCGCTAGGGTTCGGCAAAAACCTATTTTTGGCCGAGACATTTCAAAATGTCGCTCCAGACCTTCTTTGGGCTCTGCGAGGCATCCACACCAGCCCAGATACCGGTCTTTTGGTAGTATGCAACAATTGGCTCGGTCTGCTTATGATACGTGATCAATCTCTTTTGCAAGGCCTCGACGTTGTCATCGGATCTCTGGATCAAAGGCTCACCGGTGATGTCATCCTTCATTTCCTCCTTTGGTGGGTTGAACTCCTTGTGATAGGATCTTCCGGAGGCGGGGTGGACCAATCTACCGGTGATTCTGGAGACCAAAAGTTCGTCATCGATCTTCAACTCAACAGCCTTCTGCAATGGCTTTCCACTCTCAGTGAGCATTGAGTCCAATTTTTCGGCCTGAGGAATGGTTCTTGGGAAACCATCAAGAATGAATCCGTTCTTGCACTCGGAGTTGTTTTCCAGCTCACTCTTGATCATGTTGACCATGATCTCGTCGGAAACCAAACCACCTTGGTCCATGATCTTCTTGGCAGCAATTCCAAGCTCGGTCTTCTGGGAGACCTGCGATCTAAGCATGTCACCAGTGGCCAAGTGACAGGCACAGTACCTGTCCTTGAGGTTTGGCGCCTGGGTACCCTTACCAGCACCTGGTGGACCAATCAAAACCATACGGATAGCTGGTGGAAGGACTGGAGCCAAACCAGCCTTCTCCTCAAGAGTGGCAATTCTCTCGTGCAACTTCGACACTAGGGCCTTCAATTCCTCGACAGTAGACATTGTGTGGTGATAACAATGGGGTTGTTGGAAGGAGAAGCACGGTGATCTCGGCCAACGTTGCCTTGTTGAAAAACTCCCGGGCGGGAGGAGTTCACGGCCGGGTAATGGAAAACAGTAGTGCAAAAACCACAATACTTGTGTTCCCTGTGCCGACGGGATATATCCCGCTTTTCGGTCTTCTACTGCAGCGCACGACTTTACCAAACTGCTTTTTAACGGTCCCCCTTAGGAATTTCATGTTGACGTTGATGTCTGTTCTGTACTCGGTTTTTCCACATACCGGCACAAAAAATGGGTTTGTTTTCGAGGAAACCATCCAGGAGAGATGCCCCCGTATATTACTATGTCCAACCGCAGGTGGCACAGCCAGCTCAGCAGCGCGCAGCTTCCATGAACTCGTTATCTGGACAAGCGGCCGCGGCGGCTCTTAGAAAGTACCAGACTGGACCCTCTGCTCCCCAACAGCAACCATTGAGATCTAATTCACTGAGTTCAAGATCGTTCCGAAGCCCGCAACAAAGGAATTCTTATATGAACACTGGAAGGTCCAACTCGTTGACGTCCTCGTCCTCGTATTATACACCCCAGCAACAGCAGCAACTACAACAACAACAACAACAAGTGAGGCGCCAACCGTCAAGGTCCAATTCTTTGAATTCACAGACTTCACGGACAAATTCGATCACCTCGACGACGACAAGACCAGGACCAGATGGGAACTCCATAATACGGACGGTCAGAGAACAGAGTCTGGACGGAAGAACGAAGACTATAACCAAGCAGACCATTCAGAAACTAGGCTCTTTCGAAATTGTTAAAACTACAACTATCCAATCAAACAGACTGCCGGTTCATTCTGCACCTAATGCGAATGAATTGGAAAGTATTGTTGAGGAGTTTGACGATGACTTCTACCAGGCAGAAGACGAACTGCCGGAGGTTGCTCCCGCCATTCCCAAGAATCAGAGAACGGGCCGCGAGATATTTGCAGATCCTGCTGAGCATTCTTATCGTGATTTGACCAAACCAGCTCCCTCTCCTGTTCGTTCTATACTGAAGAAGTCCAATACTTCATCTCCTGTGGTTCAACAATCGCCCATGCTACGCACCCAGAGCGCCAAGAAGACCAGAATTTCTGACCAAGACAGCGATTCTGGAGATTCTGTGTACTCTGATGCATTTGATCTACTTCCTACGAATCAGAAAGTGACGGAGGACGTTCACTCCAATGGCAGCTTCAGAAATTCGGTAGAATCGGCCAGGAAAAGCGTAAAGATCAATGCTGCCCCTCCCTCAAAACGGAAGTCCACAGCTGACGAGACTGAGGAAATGTACCAGAAGGCGTATGCAATTGCTCTGAAGAAGGTATACGGAGAAGGAGGGAAGCCCCAGCCACAAGCACAACCCCAGACAGCTCCAGCTGTCCCAGGCCGGACCATGTCCATGACCTCCATGGGCAGTCAGGTGAGCAGCCATCCACACTACCAGCCTTCCAATCACGCTTTCAAGACGCATTCGCTCAGAACTGATATTCCTGAGAAAACGAGAAAGGACAGCAAGAAGAAGAAAACCCGCGAACGTGAGATGAAGGACGAAGTCAAGCTCTTGAAGAAGCAGAGAGAGTCGGATGCTACAGCGCTAATAAGTGGTCAACCAATTGAGCCGCACAGACTATCGGAGCAGAATGTTCGACCCATTGAACAGCCTGTGGTGGAGGCTGTTCCTGCTTCAGTGTCTGCTCCCAAGAAGAAGTCCTCGTTTTTCAGCTTCAAGAAAGATAAGAAACCTAAAAAAGAAGAAAAAAAGGATAAGAAAAAGGAAAAGAAAGCTGAGAAACCAAGCTACACGGAAGTCGAGCCAGTTTACGCAGAGCCTCCAGCAGAAAGCCGGAGGCAGAGTATTACAGTTGCGCTTCCAAATCATGCTGAACCAATAGGGAACGCAGATGTGAACCCCAATCTGATTAACGAAATCATCCCTGAACCAAGCACCGATGTCTCACCGGGATTACAGTTGTCACAAGATGTTTCGCAAACGGACTCTCAGTTCGAGTCGCTATCTCAACCGCTCTCTCAATCGCTTGAACCACGTTATGAACCACGTTATGAACCACGCTACGAGCAGAGAACACCTTCAACTGCTAATACCACTCCACCAATGCAGGAGGTGGACAACTTGCCGTATGAGACACAGCAACAGCAGTACTCGCAGTCCCAGGAAACTCCACAAGGAGATCAGAAGAATGCGCCGCAATCACCAAAGAAGGTTGGACGCAAAATCTTGAGACTGTTCAACTTGGACTGAAGCAAAAAGGAAAACGAATCAATTCGAAGTAAGGATCATAGTGTACAGTATAATTATTTCATTTAAACAAATATCATGACGATAACGCAGTATAATTCATTCTAATCATATCCTTGGAGAGAAGAGAAGCAGAAGAAAATTTTGCGAGGCGCCACGAGCACCTAAAAGCACTCACACTAGCCACAGAGGGGCAGCAACTGCGCCACAAACATCACGTGCCGTTTTCTCCGAAGAGGGGTAGTGTCTCAGACCACATTGACGGAGTTGTGTTTTGCGGCATATCGAAAGTCCGATAAATTTGAGGAACCGCCCTCCGAAGGATTCACGGTTATTTGAAAGTTTTCGGTCGCCAAGCAATTCTCCTTCATTTCCACCAGGTAGCTCTTAGACCAATATCCTCACGTTTCATAAGCACATGTCCAATCTTGAGCTCCTTGGACATAATACCCCAAAAGTCTGTTCCCATCGCCGTAGTCTAGCTTTACCCCACCTGCTCTGTGGGGGAGGGGAACGTTTCTCTTCCCCTCTTCTCTCCATGCTAACTAAGATTTTTCACGAGGCTGATACCGAGCCAATACACGCGGTAAACTTGGCCTTTTGCCAAATGTATCCCGCCTGTCAAATATCTTTTCCCTTATTTATTTGCTAATCCAAATTCGTCGTTTAAGACCTCTGCGATGTCTAAACGGTATATCTGCTCATTTTGCGCGAGATCGTTTTCCAGGTCCGAGCATAAGCTCAGGCATGAGAGGTCCCATACCAAGGAGAAGCCCTTTAACTGCACCCTGTGTCACCACTCGTTTGTGAGACGAGACTTGCTACAACGCCACTGCAGGACGGTCCATGGACTCCTGGTGAAGTCAAATATTGAATCCGCAATCTCTACAACCCCACTTTCTAGCGAACAGCGTGCACAGGCACGAACACCGGATTTTAGGGTAGGTCGTCAGTTCCAGCCTTCACAACAACAACAACAGCCTTCGCAACAGCAACAACAACAACAACCGGAACAAACTTCGGTGTCGCCGACTTCAGACTTCGCGGATCCGGAGGACGAGCCGGTTATTTCATCGAATCCAAATGTTCTTACCGAAAAGACCATCGTTACTTTGCTTACACTGTCCAAGAAGTTCAGCCATATCACCAGAGACCTTTCGTTGGATTCCAGTCTTTCCAACTATCTACTTGTTTATGGCACCAAATGTCTCAACAAACTGCCTATACTGGATCCCGCGAAGTTGACTAACTTGGCCAGTTCAAACGAGTTGTTCTACCTGGTAGTATGCATAGGTGCCTGTGAGTGCGGAGACTTTGAAGATGCCACCAAACTGTTTAACATCGCATGGAATATCATCATTGGAAAGATATCCTCCTATGAGATCAACTACAACTCTGCCAACTTCAACCAGTTTATTGAGAACTTGATAGTGCTGTGTTCGATCTCCATATCATACTTTTCACAGTTCTCTGCAGAGCAGAACAAACTGGCTATCCAGATCGACGTTTTGTTTGAATATCTCAACAACATCATTTCCACTCAGATCGCCAACTCCAAGCAGTCCTCGCATCCATTCGTGAAAAACTATCTGTGGCATGCTTATATTTTGCTTTCTCAGTACTCTTTTGTGTACAACAAGTCACCGTCCTCGCTGCACCTGTATCTGCTGGACAAGAATGTGCCCAAAGAGGACTCCAGATCTCAACTTCCGCTCAAGGTTTTGCTGAAAAATCTGACTATGACTTCCAATGTCACGGCAGATAATCAGAGCTTGAAGCATTCCATGGGGTTTACCGAACAATTGATTATCTGTGGACTCATGAACGAGCTGCAGCTAATCAAGTTCAATGATGCCCAGGCTGCGGTGGTGAATTCAAGACTTCAGCTTCGTAGTGGAGTTTATGATGACGATAGGAATCTGCTGCATAATGCCATCATATTGGCTAACAAGTCTTTTAATTATGGTCACAGCAACTATCTTGAACGTTGCAAGAATACTAACTCTGATTTCAACATTGGTGTGATAAGGGACGAGAGAGATGGCACAAGCGACTCTGCAGCTACCTCAAAAGGTGCTCTGGCCCTTGTCAACAGGTTTGTGAATGACCAAGATCAAATAGGGTTCCTTAACCTTTTGATAATCACAAAACGGAGACTTCTTTTGAACTGTCCTTTAAAGTACACCGATTTGCTCGCAAGCTATGTGTTCTTGCCCAAAGACGAAACCAACTGGAGTATGCTTGCTCTGACCCTAAAAGAGTTTCTCTATAACGTGGAAACTACATATGGTGTTCCAAGCAGGCTTCAGGTTGAGTTTGACCTATCCAAATTCTTTCCATTGCAAGGTGTCTGGTTAACAACTGATGACATTTATACCAATTTATTCGAGTATATTGGTGCTGGCTTTTCCAACTTTCTGGTGATCAACAATAATCTTGGAATCACCTCCTTGCCTCTAATATTTCTGGGCATTATCTTCGTCAACAAGTCGCTCAACAAGCAGATAATATATCTCAAATTACCCGAGAACAAGAGGTTGTTCTTGGAGTTTGTTGTGTCGAACTTCTTGGTGTTGTTTCGCATTCTTCTGTATCACAGGTCGCACAGTCGCTATTTGAATGGCGACAAACACTCTAATGTCAATGACGACGTTTATGAAGATGGCGAGTTCCACGAGGAGGACTGTTCGATGCTTTCTGCTATTCTGTATGCTATCAAAGATCTAGGTGCGAACGTGGATCATGGTTTGGAAAATGCTCGCGGTAGATCTAGAAGTATCACAATTGGGGAATTCATTAACAACAAATCGAAGGAACCAAAGGTTGAAAGTGTGAGAGAGATCTTAAGCGATGATTTGCAATTCTTCTTCTACTTCAAGAACCTCGAAAAGTGTCTTTTTGTCTGGTTGAGTGTTCTGGATGTTGAGCCCCAAAAACTGGAAAGATTCAGTGTTGCTTTGAAATCATGTCTCGGGAATTTGGTTTACTCCAAGCTGGAGTTGATCCAGAAAGACTCCTCACCAGTTCTATCGCACTCTGTTCTTGATTATCAGCCGCTAGTCTCCCATCAGCCTCAGCCTATGAGATCGCCCAATTCTTCGCACAGTGGTTCATCCTCGTTTGGATTCAAGAATCTCGACGAGGTCAAGGCCTACAACCCACCGCAGTATAATGCACCACAGGTCCAAGTCCCACAACAGGCCCAACAATTCACGCGTGGCGAGTCACCCAAAGGTTCTGTTTCTGATAACTTTATCCACAACCTTGACCAAAACTCCAAGCCAATAATTGTACTTCCTCCCTTGCAATTTTCCAAAAGGGAATCTCTTATCTAATGCATGACTCTGATCATGCGGGGTCAGTTTTTTGCCCCTATCTCTTCACTCATGGTGATGAACGCTTCGCTTCCTGTTTTTTGGTAACTAGCTGTTCTGTTTGATTTTCATAATTTAATTTCAATCTCGGCTGTATTCATGTAGCGCTATATGGCTGGTCTGTGCAGCTTTGAGCCGCACCACATGCATTGGTGTGGCCCCAAACTGGTTCCCGCACTCAAACCCACCACATCGTCCTTAGTCCCGATATGGCGCCAATAGGAAGAGAACTATGACAACACTCTTTTCCTGATACACTATTGCGCTACATACTTTCACAAATGGCGAGAAGAGACTATTCTGCTTCCGAGTCGGAGTCGCAACCAAAACAGGCACAATCAAACAGTCGCTCGTCCACCAAAGCCAGGAACTTGGCATTACAGCAGGCCCAGAAGGAGATTTTATCAAAGCACATCAACTCCAACGGACCACAGGACAAACCACTGGTTGACCCGCTGGATTTTGAGAGCTTGCCCAATGAGAGTCTCAGAAAATACAGAGAGTTGTTCTTGCTGCCTAATCCTGAAGAGTACCCGAATGTTCCACGGGAAGATATCATACCCACGAGTTTCAGCAGGCATGGGGAATTGTTGAGGTCAAAGTTAGCCCAAAGCACTCTATCAGCTAAAAGAGGCAACCGGATCTCCAAGAATGACCTTGCGAATGTTGTGAAAAGTCATTATTTGAATACTCCCGTTAAAGAGAGCGATATCATCACCAACTTTATTTACAAGGTGATAAATCAAGGTGAGTATTATACCTTTCAATTTACGCTACAGCACTTGCAGCTGCTAACCCTTTTAGAGAAAAAATTCAAGCTGGACTTCAACCAATGAAAACAAATCTTTTATTTGGGATGTCATATTTGTTATTTGCTAGTGTTTAGTTGCTAGTCTGCTTAGTTTAATGGCTATTAGCTATCTATGTTTTTAATTACACGCTCGCCTTCATGATGATTCCTCCGCCGTTCCTCAGATATCTCTAACACCGTTCTAATTTTTATGCTTGCGAAGATACGCCTCTCTCGATTGCAGGATCATGAACTCCTTTTCATCCTGAAAGTTAAAGGACGTTTTGGTCTTGTTCTTTTCGGCCAGCATTAACTCGTCGACGGTCACCTCGACACTGCCTGATTTCTGCAGACTCGCTCTGATTTCTGATTCTGGAATCTTTGGCAATATCGACTGGACGATCTCAACCATATCATTTGTCACTTCTCGTTTTATTGGCTTTACCGTCCTTTTTGCCACAGGAGTCGACGTCGTGGGCGTTGGTGTTGCCGGTTGGACGGACTGGCTAGCGTCTCCGGTGGATATAAACCAACGCAAAAAGATGAAGGCTATCACCAAGCTGACAACAAAGGTTGTAGTCGAATTATCCATGCCTGGTAAAGTTCGTTATCCTTGATGTACAAGTGTGTTGCTTTTGGTTGAGAAGTTATTCGTGAATTCAGGGTGATCTGGCGTGGAAAGAATCCGATTAGATAAGCCTTAGTTAGGACTCAACCTTACCAAATGGAAGAACCTAGTGAAACCCCAATTAATAATTCGACGTTGAAAAAATAGGCCAAGAAATGGAAGATATTCTACAGTAATTTAGTTATATTCGAGTGAATCGGCAGAAATTGCCTGAAATGTTTTGAAATTCAGTTCCTGCTAAATCTAACTAGAAGCATCAATTCCGCTAACAAATCCTCATTCCTTCTTCTCCACCAACGTAGGAGCAACCCTCCTCTTTTTCTTCTTCTCTTTCTCTTTCTCCTTGTCCTCTTCTAGCATATTCTGTGTCCTTGCCTCCGCACTTATGGGCGGTGTTTCATCGAAAGACGAGGGCTCAGTAATGTCGATCACCTCAATACTAGAGCTCTTCTCCGGCTGTAATTGGAGCAGTTCCATCACTGTGGTGGGATTTGGAGCTATAGGCGGTGACATAACAGGCGACTGAAGCTGCTGGAGAGGCTGTGTCCGTTTCATCAAATTGGTCAGATTGTCTTCGTGGGGTTCCCCCAAAAGCGAATCGGCAATGATCACGTAGGAGCAGAACCCATCAGCCGATGAAACTACCAACGTTTTTCCATCATTGGAAAAGCAAATGTCTGTGATCACGGCATAGTGAATATTCGAAACGTATCCAAGCGGTTTGACACGTTGGGTGTCATAAATTACCACGGAGTTCTGCGTAGCAACCGCAAAGATCATTCTGTACGGCAGGTTTATCACCTCCGAAGCCTCGTCTTGTATGAGTTTGTATATCACATTAGAGAATCTGATTGCGATAGCAGGCTTTTTTAGCCCAACCAGATGGGCAACAGGCGACCGATTCAGACCTGCTCTGGTGTGGATGTAGACAGTGTTCATAGTGGTGACTGAAGTAGAGGGCGGAACATGAGTGGCAGCTCCACCTACAGCTGCCCCAGAAGAACCAGCGCCAGAATAGTCAGGAGTGGGCGGAGCTTCTGTCTCTTCAACTGCCGTGGTAGTAGTCCTGAAAATACCAGAAGCTGTCAGCAACAGCGAACCGTCGGGCGAGAAGCTCAACCGCCTGAAAAACGACTGAAGTGTGTCATTATGATACAGGGAAGAAGACCTGTATGATCCAGAAGCACTGGATCCAGGTGGTGGATCCATTGGTCTCACAGCTGGGAGCGGTTGAATGCTCGGCGAAGGTGACATGGATCTCGCTGGCATTGTGGTGGTGGTGGTAGTATTGGAGCCAGTAGAAGAGGATGACAATCGTCTTTTGTGGGTGGAATGGGGTGGTTCCATCAAGTATGTGCCATGGTCCTTCGTCCTCAGATTCTCGAAAGTCAGAGGTGGGTTCGTAATACGGTGCGTAGGAATGTCCCCTTTCGTGATCTTGAAGTAGGTTGTGGGTGCAAGACTTAGTCCATCTGCTGAAGCATTCAGCTTGTAAATGTGAACAGATCTATCGGCCGATTGAGAGGCAATGTACTCGTTCCGTGGATCCCAGGTCACGCCCTGGACGTAATGGTTGTGTTCCGCAATCTGTTTGACTTGTTGTCCAGTTGCAACATTGTAAATCCGTATCACGTTATCCATCGATCCAACTGTGATATACTTCGAATCTGGAGACCACGACAGGTCGTACACCTCACTGGTGGAGTTTCTGTACGTGTGCTTGGTGAGCCAGCTTTCTTTGACTTCATCGTCATCTTCTGCCCCAAACACCTTTACAATGGTATCGGAAAGATGCCATATCATAACAGTGCCATCATCTGAAGCGGAAGCCAGTAATTCGCCCTTGGGATCAAATCTCACCACGTTGACTGCCTGGGTGTGCTTGGCCAGCGTGGAGAGGTACTCCATTGATTTGATGGATGTCCCGTCTTCCGAGTAGATGGGCCTCCATATCTGCGAACGTTAGTCAAAAAATGAATATCCAATGATAAAATCTGCTGCATTGACTCACCCTGATATTATTATCACCACCTCCCGTGGCCAGCCTGGGCGAGTGACCACCCTTCACAGCCCGCTGGAAATCAACCGAGTATACCGGCAAGTTATTATCATGCCAGTGAATCTCTAAACGAGCTGCCTTTAATGGTTCTTGGGAAGTCATTTGGAACTTTTGAGTTCAAAATAAATAAAAATTGAACACAATTCCAGTACAACCTAAGAATGTTGTAAGGATAAAGAAATGGAAAACTACAACTCAAAAAAGTCGCGTCTCATCAGATGCCTTTTTCAGATAATCTGATTTTCTCACTATCAATACCCTCGGTAACCTCCCCCGGAATTGGGATATTTTCGCGAGTTTGTGGTATTTTTCCCACGATTCTATATAATTTTCTGTGTTTAACAACGGTCTGAACCTCGAAATAATCATCCACTAGATTCCACGACTTTATCCGCGAGAGATTGGACTGCAGATCGGGGGTATCCTTCTTGTAGGCTATGCGTAGTCCCAAATCTCCGTAGAAACACTGGGTAAATTCTCTGTTGCTGATCATTTTCACCATTATCGTGTCATCGTTTGGGGAAATTCCGTATGACGCTGGTACCATGGTCACATGCTCGTTCAACCCTAGTTGCTCGAGAATAGCCTTGGGAACTGCTTTAAAGGGACTGGTTATCGGAATTGCCTTGCAGTCGAATATCCAGTCCGAAGAAAGGTTCAGAGTTTTTCTGAAGTACTCAATTAGTATTTTCTGTGATTCTGTCGACAGCTCATAGCTGATGGAGCCTCCAATCAAGTTTTTCAAAGTGGGTCCCTTCTTGCCGAAAGTGGCAGAGGTCTGGGCCAAAATCTGCGACACCACGTCCAGTTCAGAGTCTGGATGGAGATATATGGCCAGCTTCGGAGTCTCTATGTAATGAGTCTGAAATCCTAGTTCAACGCCTAGTTGGTGGAAGCTGGAGATGAACATCTCAGTTTCTTCTTCGTAAGGGCCATAGAACAATACCTCCTCCAAATATTGCAGATTCGTTTGTATCACCTTCTTGGTATATTCCCATTTTCTCTGCATTGAATTTCCCAAGCTGCTACTTGTTAGAACCAAATCGCACTTGATTTCCACCGAGTCCAGCATGGACTTGATAGGCCCAATACACTCCAGGTAGGGTTTATCAGAGATTACCACAGTCCTTGTTTCCTCGTCCATTTCATCCAATCGAATCAGTCGAACCAAGTCATTGTTGAGATAAAATTCCGGATCCTGTTCTGAAAAAATCCAGTTCAACAACACTGGACTGTTGCCCCATAAGCTCTCTATGTTTTTGGTACAGTCCTTGTACCATATATCGGGATTGAACGTGGGTTCTTTCAGCAGACATCCCTCGAGGTTATAGATGTGAAGCCTCCTTGTTATCATCTAAATTCCAGTCTTATGACTCTGCTTCTGTAATTAAGAATTCTGCGTCCAACCTGGGGTAGAATCTTTTTTTTTTTGACTTCCTGGAATCGCAGATGAGATGTCGCCAAAACCGGCCCGTGCCAAACCGGCTCAAGAGTCATCACCCGATTTCCAGCCGACTTTCTCCTGTATATATTCTCTTGATTTTTCACTTTTAACTTTCCATTCTACTTTGTTCCTTCTATTTTTCGAGCATGTCTTTCTTTCCGCGGACCATAGAAAAGGTTGCCATTATTGGCGGAGGCCCCTGCGGTGCGGGTGCTGCGAAGGCACTACTTGGCGAGGAAACCTTTAAGCAGATCAAGATTTATGAAAAGCGACCAGTGGCTGGTGGACTATGGAATTATTACGAAGAGCCTCCGAAGGTGGAATACCCTTCGCTAGATCCTTTTGCCATTGTCAAACCTCAGAAATTGGATGATCCTGAGAAAATCTACGGTAAAGAGGTGGTTTCCAGTGGAAGAGCAGGTACAGACTATTTCTGGCCCACTGCCGTTTACGAGCTGCTGGATACGAATGTCTGTTCCTCCATAATGGAGTATGCGAACTTTCCCTGGGAAAAGGGAATTCCACTATTTCCCAAGAGAGCAGATGTTTTGAACTATATTAGAAATTACACCAAAGAAGTGGAACATTTGATCACTTTTGGGGTAAACGTTTTCCAGGTGACTCAACTGCCCAATCAGAGCTGGGAAATTAAATCCCGACAAATTAACGAGGCAACCAACGGTGGGTTACTTTCAGATCCTCGCTACGAGACTACGGAAATTTTCGATGCGGTTATATTGGCAGTTGGCTCATACGATATGCCCCATGTTCCAGAGAAAAAGGGCTTGGCCCAGTGGTTAGAGAAGTACCCAGACTCAATATCACACTCGAAGTCATATAGACACCCCAGACAGTTCGAGAACTTACATGGACAAATCATCGTCGTGGGTAATTCTGCTTCTGCGTCTGACATCGCATTTCAGCTGGTGACGGTGCTAGACAGGAGTGTCTACAAATCGTGCCGGTCGGAGAACTTACTCCCTGCAGGTTCCGATGAGAGAATTAAGGAGATTAAAGACATAGACTTTTTCGATGCCGAGAACAAAACTGTCCATTTAATAGATGGTACTTCAGTGGATAATGTGGATCATGTCATCTTTGCCACTGGATTTCTGAGATCATTCCCCTTTTTGAATGGTTTAAACGCACACTCAAAGACGCCTCTCATCACTGACGGTGCTCGTGTTCATGGCATGTACCACCATTGTCTTTCGCGCAATTTCCCTGGACTGGGAATAATAGGACTTCCACGGTTTGTACTTCCAACACGACTTTCTGAAACTCAAGGAGTCTGGCTCTCGAGGGTGTTCAGTGGAAGACTGCAAGTGCCCTCTGTGGAGGTGATGAAGAAAGAGGAGGAAGATATTGTGACCAGGAAGGGCGATGGCCGCAACTTTCACGATATGAATTTCCCTGAGGATGTCCTGCACTATCGTATGTTAAACCGTGAGATATATTCTGCTGGACTTGACCATGGCTTCATGCCTGTACCCTGGAACGAAGAACAAACCAGACTGAGAGGCAGCATCAAACAGCTCAAAGAGGCCTACATTGCATATAGAAGACGCACGGGGAAACTTGCATCCACGATCGAGGAACTGGAGCGTGAGGAGGGATTCGTGATGCCCGAAGTTGATAAGGCACTTTTTGGCTTCGAATAGACTTTTTCTGGTTAAAATATATATTTGCTAAGTGCTAATGGTTACTTCAAGCTTAAAAATCCTTGGTGTAGATAGGGGTGCGCAGGGGGTGCGCAGGGGTCCCAAAGCGGCTCGACACATTTACATCACGTACGGGGAGGCCAAATATTTCAAGGGCCAGAGGTTATTCGGTTGTTTTGCGCGGTTATACCGTGCTGTCAGCTGTAGAATAGGTGATCCTAAAACACCTTATTACATTAACCTGATTGGACAAATCTGCAATGGTTAGTAATCCGACTCCTCGAATGGTCGCGTACCCCTGTGGTAATTTGACATGCGTATTTCGCCATCTCAGCCATACCGATCCGAGATTACTGGGGTCAACATGTGGAGCATATATATGTAATCAAAAGTTCATCTAACAAGCTCGTGAGTATTTTCGGGGCAGGCTGATCTTATAATGGGGTTTTTCTCGAGACCAATCGAAAGGGTAGCCATCATAGGCAGTGGGGCCCAAGGTGTGGCGGTAGCAAACGTCTTCAAGAAGGAAAACGCCTTCAAGCAGGTGAAAGTTTTTGAAAAAAGGCCAGCTGCTGGAGGCCTCTGGCACTACTACAAAGAGTCCCAGGACTACGAATTACCATCCCTTGATCCCTCTCGGCCACAGGAGCCATTGAGCCTTGATGATCCATCCAGTGCCTATGATGAGATCACCCTGGCCAGTGGGAACCAAGGAACCGATTACTTTTGGACTTCTGCATCCTACGATCTTCTGGAAACAAACGTTCCTACCCATTTCATGCAATATTCTGAGTTTCCCTGGAAGGGCGATAATCTGCCGTTATTTCCCCACAGATCAGAAGTGTTGAAGTATGTCCAGCGGTTTGCTGAGAATGTCGCTGATATAACCGAGTTTGGGGTGAATGTCTATTCTGTCAAGAAACTAGCAGATGGCCAATGGGAACTCAAGTCCAGAGCTGTTAATCCAATCACCAAGGGTGGGGTTGTTCCCAATGCCCAATTTGAGAAGACAGAATTGTTCGATGCTGTTATCGTTGTGGCAGGACCATACGATAACCCACACGTTCCTGAAAAAAAAGGTCTTAGAGAATGGCTCAAAAAGTACCCTGGAACGGTCACTCACTCGAAAAGTTTTCGTCGCGCAGAGGTTTTCAAAGACATTGGTGGGGAGCTGGTCATCATTGGAAATGGTACTTCTGGTATTGACATCTCCTTGCAGGCTGCTCAGGTTCTAGACAGGAAGGTTATAAAATCTGTCCGTTCTGAAAGCTATTTGCCTGTCTCTGATGACAACAACATCAGGGTTGTGGATGATGTAGTTGAATTCGATGCTGACAACAAGAGTCTGAAACTGGCAGACGGAACCGTATTGGAAAACGTTGCTCATGTCATCTTCGCAACGGGATATCTGAGGTCTTTCCCTTTTTTGAGCGAGTATAACAAGACGCTCCCTCAGCCTTTGATCACGGATGGCCAGAGGGTTCATGGGGTTTATCATCATACCCTATCGACATACAGTCCAGGACTAGCATTTGTCGGTTTGACTAGATTCATTTTGCCGAATAGAACCGCGGAAATTCAGGGCCTATGGCTTTCAAGGGTATTTTCCAACAAAGTTGAAATTCCCTCAATCGAAGAGCAAAAGGAAGAGGAACAGTATTTTGAGGCTCAAAACGGGGACGGCTTCAAATTCCACGATCTGCAGTTTCCGGAGGATTTGGTATTCTTTGAGTTATTAAGAAATGAAGCCTATTCTCAGGATAAATCGGTCAAATACCAATTACTTGCGTGGGATGATTATCAGCTCAAATTACGTGCGGCTTTGAGAGAAGTTAGAGTTGCATTTATCAAGCATAGACAGAGAACCAATACTGCTGCCACTTCAATCCAGCAACTTATTGACGAAGGAGACTTGGAAGTAGCTGAAGTCGAACAGGAAATTGTTGATCGTATTGCCAGTTCTTCAACTGCGTTTAGATTGGCTGTTTGACAACAGCGCGCAGGTTAAAGTGTTCAGCGAAGGTGCTATGATACCTCATTTATACAATTTACACCATTGTTCAAAAAAGATTTCTCATAAAAAGATCAATACAATTATCTACAAAGGATTCAAAGAACAACCATTAAAAAACTTAGCAACTAAAAAGCTTGAAGAACATGAAGTTTTCATTCTGTAGTTATACCACATCCTCTACCTTGGTGCGAGAAACAGACTTCGAGCCTTCAAAGTTCTGCTTGGTGCTCGAGGCAGCCTCGATAACCTCCATGTTCGAGTTAGAATAAACAGAGCCTCCATTTCTGGTGAATCTAGCAAACATCTCCTCAATATCGTATTCATCGGCCATCTCGGCCATCTCGTAGGCATCCATTCCCAACATCTCGGCCTCCTCAGAAGCACGGAGTTTCAAACCAGGAATATGGTCCACTATAAAACAAATGGCGTAAGTAGCAACGAACGACCAGATTGTGGTAGAAGTCCAGGCTGCAAACTGGTAACCCATTTGCTTCCAGTGGTGGAAGATCCATCCTCCTTCAATCTCCGTAACCCCATCAAGACCAGCTATGTACGGAGAAGCGAAAACACCCAAGCATATGGAACCCAGAATTCCACCTACCCCGTGCACAACAAATGAATGAGTGGTATCATCAATTGCCAACCACTCGTTCACAGGATAAAGCAAACGGCAGCAAATAGCCACAAATGCAGAAGTGATGGCAGCCCAGTACGGAGAGTAAAAGCCGCACGATGGAGTGATGTTTACCAGTCCAACAATAGCTCCCTCACAGGCAGCAATAATTGAGAATTTTTTAGTTATGATGTAATCAACCATAACAAAAAAGAAAGATGCAAAAGAGGCAGCAATTTGAGTGTTTGCCATGATGTAGCCAGTTCTCACGTTCACAGCCAGCAAAGTACCAGAGTTGAAGCACAACCATGTACCCCAAATGAGAGTAACTCCTGTGAAAACAGCGATTGGAGAGTAAGGCTTGTGGTCTTTACCATCTTCAGTTTTCCATTGTTTTCTCTTTCCAATGTACATGGAATAAGCCAGAGAAGAGACACCAGAAGCAATATGGACCGGTCCACCACCTGCAAAGTCCAAAGCACCCAGCTGGTACAGCCATCCATTAGAAGCCCAGGTGGCGTACGCAAAAGGACAATAGCACACAGTAGTCCAGATAAACCCAACCACCATAGATGGCAGTAATCTGGCACGTTCAGCGATAGCTCCGACGAAAATCTGGACGGTAGCCACTGGAAAGAAAACAGAGAAGGTAAAATAGACGATGGAGGGGATGGTTCCTCCCTCAAACAAAGGAGCGGCTCCTAAATTTTGCAGAGCACCCAGTTTGAAGTTTCCCAGGACATGTGAAGTAGAGGTGGTTGAACAAGCCAAAGTGTAGCCGATCAAGAACCACTGGATGGTGATAATGCAGGTGGTCATGTACGACTGGAAGCACATCTGCAGCACGTTCTTTCTTTTCAGGGCACCACCGTAAAAAAGACCGATAGCAGGTGTAATCATGAAGACTCCAACTGTACAAAACATGACATAGCCCATGTCTGAGTGATCCAATGTGGAGGTCTCGTCTTCCAAAGTAGAGAGGTCCCTGGCCTTACGCAGCAGCATGGCTGAGCCGAATCCACTGTTAGCGTAACCCATGATTAGTGAGTATTGCAATTATGTTTTTGAGAACTAAATTTGACTGAGGTGTTAGACGTCTATAATATCCTCGAAGCAAGCGGATATGGATATATTAAATATAAGTCTGGGCAAGGGTGAGTTCGCGGAGATCTGAGCTGGGCGATAAGACGCGCGCGGGCCTCGAATCGCACGCAGATAATGGGCCGCAATAGCGATAAAGCAGTGTAGTTCGCTGATTGGACCAAATTTTGGAAATTTAAAAAGAAGGCCAAAAGCATCAAAGCGCACAGTTGTGTCAAACAAAAAAGACAGACTACCGAAACGCTGGCAGCCATATGGGATCTGCTACCTTTATCTTTTATCTTCTATCTACAATATTCGCCTAATATCTATCGTTCTCATATTTGATTTGGTGCCATTTTAACCAAATTTCGGGCTTGAATATTCCGACAAATATGTCTCATCCTTTCGTTACTCTTTCCCAGGACCCTTGCTGTTGGTTATCGTAGGTACGGATTTTCCTAAAGTGGTAAAAATTTGGGACCATTTAGCTGGCGATGCCAAGACACTCAGGGAGCCGCTGGGAATCAGAGCAGGTTGCTAAGAAATATCGAGATGACACTTTAATTACCGAATACTGATAAATTTTGGGCATATTCTCGGCGCATTGACACCTGTGATATTTATATCAATTCAGGCAGTTGTTTGGTCTTTTTCACTGGAGCCTGCCAGGTGCTCAATGATGGCTTCTATGCCAGACTTAAATGGAAAAGAGCATACTTTTCTTCAAAGCGAGACACCCCCTACATTGTTCAAACCGGGTATGGAAGCCTATTTAATCACATACAATTCCGCTAGTCGGAACAGAACCCAGCCAACTATCCTTAATTCGACGTATTCACCGGCTGGGCATCACTTCTCGAAGCGGTTATAAGATCCTCAGGGTCCGGTTTTTTCTTTCCTGATTGGATTTTGCTGAGAGCACTACTTTTATAAGCTTAGCTCAGCATTACCTAATCAATTCAACGATAAGGCGGATGATCCAGTATTATTCTCCACGAGCTTATCGGAAGCTCTTAACTTCTACGCAGTGTTTCGGATAACATTCATTCTCGTGATTCATTTACTGCATTAATACGTAATATACCGGAACAGTCCTTCAGCGGACTCAAGGTTGAGATCTCTATTGATATCTCTATTGCCCTACAGCGGGATTGACTTCATTTCCAGACTCACGTATGGGGAGTCAGGATTGCACTCAACATCAACTTCCACCTTCCACTTTCTCTCTCCTTCTTTCTCGCCAAAGCCATGGTCTGAGTAGTCCCTGTAGTGCCAGACTACTTTGCCATCGGGCTTAGTTTCATGTGACTTCTCAAACTTGTAGTCCACACCACTCATACGGTTGATCTCGGAGAGCAAATGACGTTCAAGGTGATGATGGAGATTACGTACAAATTTTTTCGACCTTGAATTCATGGTGGGCTTGATCTTTTCCATATCGTTATGGATCTCACTGAGAACAAAAGGTGGGATGTAAGCGCACTTGGCATGCAAGAAATCGTACTCGTCATCCCAACTTTCATCCTTCAGAAACTGCTCGAACGAATCCAGGTCATCGAACATTTTCGTTGAAGGTCCGGCAACTGGTCTCACCGGTTTTGGAGTCAGATTGGTAACCTTGGTTGGTTCCGTATGTGCGATCATAGCCTTGTTCTTTCTTGCCATTGTTGATGGATTTGCTGCTGTTTTGTGTTAATTGGGTTTGTTGTTAAAGACAATTTATATCTTAATGATAACTAAGACTCAATTCATGAAACACTCCTTCAATTTTTGGCCCCTTATATACATTTTGCTGCTATTGCTGATCGGACTCTCATGACCTTTACCGATGTGGGGTGATCCATTTACAACCGGAATGACCCCATCGGGACGGGAGAAGACGGGAAGAGCTTTGAGTAATCTCTTCGCACACTACGAAAAATGACCTCAGCCTGCGCACTAGCCACACCAGTGACACCACCGGCCTATTTTGAGAAGGTAGCCCTTTTGCGCACGACTTGGGTCATGCCCCAGCAACCTTGTTCCGAGGTCAGTGCACAGCCGAATCGGATGAATTAGATACGGAGCAGCGGACAAAAATTAAGCCTTGCCCTTGGGGAAGATTATTATTTTAAATTAGACACTGTGCAGTGAGTTTCAACCAATATTATTAAGTAGAATATAAAAATAAATCCGTCAGAGAAAGTGCATAGCAAAGGCATGCAGTATACGTGAGAGTGAAATGCGAGAATAAGAAACAGCTTGCGTGGGGGTATTTGTATGTGTGGTAAAAAGCTGAAATAGCCGCTTTGTGAGGATGATATGCCAATGATTTGGAACCTTTGTGTGCCCCACGGTGGTGACTAGCTGAACAAGATGAGAAAATGAGACGAACCGAAAATGAAAGAACCCAAACGCGAAATGAGCTGACCATGAAGGTCGCTTTAACTAGTGAAAAACCACAAAAAAACTTTTAGCTAGCGTTCACAGTAGAGTCCTCTTCGATGAAAAACGGAAACTCAACAGACGAAAACTTCTTGGAGACAGCATTAAGTTTTTCAGAGGCAGTTTTGGGCAGCGTGAACGAAAAGCCAGTGATGGTGAGTTCGTAGTTGAAGGTGATCTTTCCACCCAGGGTCTCAATGGCTTGCTTGACCTCGTCGATATGGCTAGAAGGTGTTAGTGGTGAAGGATAAGAAGATGAAGCAGTCTTTGTATGATACTCACTCTTTGGGCGTTATCTTGCCTGTCTCAAACACAAGCACGTAACGAGAGGCGGACACCAATGTCAGGAGGAAAGAGGCAATAAAGAGAAGGTTGAGCTTCATTGTGGAGGGAGTATGAGATGGCAAGCGAGCGAAAGAGTTGATGGTAAACAGATGAATGAAAAGAAGAGAGGAAGAGAATAACAAAACGACGACAAGTTCAGTTCCGATTTTGCGGGAGAGGTCCCTGAAAATAAACTAACGTTGTTTCATGAAGCCTAATAGCGAAGATATGCAAGTCCTGACGCATAGTCCATGGGGGGACTGACCCTGCCACTTCTTTATGCGGTGTGTGGCTCAAACATAAGCCTGAGGCGGGGCCATTTTGAGACGATTTATGCACGTGGTGTCTATGAGATACAGATAGTCCGCGGGAGATGCAGACAAATGGATTCTCGCTAAAGGTTACAATAATAGTTCTGCTTTCTCGTAACGAAATAACAAAAAATTAGTCAAATGGTATTCTAAAAGGTGATGTATTTTACTTTGTCGCGTCGTGATCTGTCGTAGCTCCTTAATTGTTGACTATTCACGCTGTGCTCGATATTCGCGTCTAAAAACAATCAGGGGCTAAACTCTATCTCAGGGCCAAGATACCCAACCCTCCGCCTGGAAATCAGCGATGTGATTGGCCGGCATTCCTTCGATGCATAACTAGTGGATACCCAAGGACGAATTTGGCCTGAATTGGTCCGATCAGGTTACTCGCGTGTTTGTCTCCATGAGATTATTATTTAAAGACGCCCAATCCACAGACTGCTTTATGCTGTGACTGGCCGTTGACGTTGACACAAAACACAATGCAGAGATATTTGGCTTCACCGCGATATCAACGACAACGACAGTATAATCTGCACAAAGCAGGCGCAGGTTGTAGCGAAAATTCGTAGCTTTAGTTTCCAAATGTCAACTTATTTGCTGAGCACGCGAGCGAAGGTCTTTTGTCTCTCGGACCAAAAGACCTTATTTGTGGTTGAAGTTTTACGATACAAACAGCGTGAATTATTATTTTATCTGTCTAACCATTCCGGTTGACCCTGGAAGCCGATATCAAGAGGTGTAATAACCAAATGTGTTTAGTTCAGTGCACGACTATCCAAGACAACCACAATCAGATCGTGTACATCATATGAACTGCACTGAAAACAGTTGACTTCCGCATACTCGTAAAGTGCCTTGAATAATAGAAGTTGAGAGATTTGGGTCCGTTTAGTTTGTTGCTCATATATTGTGGATGAAATTCCTTTATTACCGCCACCCATAAAATGAAGAAACAATTAACCAACAGGTCGTTAGATAACCCTTACGCTTTTCTCTTGCAGTGTGTCAATCTGCTAGTTGGATCTCGTGCAATGCTGGCGATTTCTACAATTCGTCTACCTCCGGGTTTGGCAAAGGCGGGTCATTGGGTGTTTCTAACGAACCTTTCACTTTTCATTACTGTGGCATACAATGTTTTAACTATTGTGACATATGCCTCGAGGTCCACAAAGCTGTTCGAATTACACAGATATCTGCATTTAATTGCCACAGTCTTGGAATTAACAGTTTCCACTGTATACTGGCCTTTGAGACTTTGGTTTCTCCATCTGATCGCTGCCAAAGGTGTTGGGATTCCAATGAGCTTGGATTTATCAATTCATGCGATGCCCGCTCTCACTTTACTGTTGGATTTCTATCTTTTCCTGCCTAACTGGAATATCTCGAAACGGAATGCGTTGGCTTTGGTTACCACTCTGGCATATAGCTACTGGTTCTGGCTTTACATCAAAATGGATGAGACCTCGATTTACCCCTACCCCTTTTTGAATGTCTCCACGGGAAAGAGAGCTGTGATTTTCGTGGTTGTGGCACTAGTAGCGTTTACACACTTCTTGATACATCGACTTATACATTCGCGCTTGGTCAAAGCTAAGAAGATTAGAAAGGATTGAGGAGAAGTATGTGGATCGAAGGAAACCGATGGATTTTGGTACACAAAAACATAGAAGCGATTGGTAGTGGTTGGCAGCATGCCATCGGCTGATACTTATGGTTGCTTAGTGGCAATAAATATGAAAACCTCTTCGATGATCAATCATACTCATTACTATGTGACGAATGACTAATTGGTCACCGTTGAACGGAACTGACTACCCAGGATCTGGTTTGTTATTTCTCTCATATTTCATTGGAAGACATTGAATATTCATTTAGACAATATTGATCGAGGAACTAGAGTAAAGAAATATTCTTGAAATGTACATTTTATCGCCTGTCGATCTTCCCCGGATCTGACGATGCAGGGTCAAGTCTAGGCGCTCAAGTCTTACTCCATATCAAAAGTGAATAACATTTATGGTTTCAAAACGTTCAAAAAGAACAACTTGACCAGCCTTCTTCCCCAAATACTTTATAGCATAGATTGTGCTTTGCATCCTTATCATGCACATTTTGCATGAGGTTTATGCTGGTTGTTTGTAAGGTCGTGTACCGAGCCTATTTGTGTGCATGTTTGGGGATTTCAGCCTGTCACTGCACTGTCAAAGGGGCCGAGGTGTTTTCCTTGCAACACCACGCCTAATACTTCATAGATATCAAAAAAATCACGGCAGCATGATATCGCGAGCTGTGTTGAGGTCACTGGTTGCAGTTCTGACTGTATGTTGTCTAACGGGGCTGGTTGTTCTCCGGCAGCCATTTCAACTGTCACAACTCTCACATTTTGATGCAGCGAGCAGTACTGGTCTCGAGCGAATGCGAGATTATACCAATTTGGGACTGCAGCGGATACAGGGACTATTGAATGGTGGATGTTTGAGATCTGACTTAGCGGTTGAGTTGGCGCATTTGGACAGACTTCTGGCAGGTTATGTGGCTGTACCTGAACAAGGTTATAGCCATTATACTGAAGTTGCGGAAGATGATTGGCCAATTGACTTGAACCAATACAAGGGAAGACACGTGTTTAGACTCAGATATGGTAATTTGAAAACCCAAGAACTTTTGATGATGACAATTCTCGAATTGAACATGAACATATGGGCTACTGCAGTTACTCAAAATTTTGTTGATGTCGAAAGTGATGAAGAGTCCATTAGGGTTTTGCTCCAACAGTTCTATGGCAAACACCCGATATCCGAGACTCCCCAGCTACAGCTGGAATTTTTGATCGGGGACCTAGCGCAGACGGTCTACGAATCCTATCCGGCTGAGATGGACGTTTCCGAAGACGTTGGCTCATCGGTGGACTTATTTTTCAGAAAATACAGAGACTTGCACACCATCTACTCTTGGTTTGATTTGTTGGTCGAAACGTATCCTGATATTCTGGAGCTGGTCTGGATTGGCCAGACGTTTGAAGGAAGAGACCTTAAGGCCCTGAGAGTATCGTCTCATAAGGAGGGCAGTGAGGATGTAAAGACGATTGTGATTACTGCTGGAGTTCACGCCAGAGAATGGATCTCGACATCGTCTGCATGCTACATAATATACAAGTTGATCGAGGATTATGAGTCTGGTGGCAGAGATGCGCACTACTACCTCGACAACCTGGACTTTCTATTCATTCCAGTGACGAACCCTGACGGATACGAGTATTCGTGGCATTCAGATCGCCTCTGGAGGAAGAACAGACAGGAAACGTATCATCCTCGATGCTGGGGCATTGATATTGATCATTCCTTTGATTTCCACTTTCAAAAATCGGACGACCTTCCATGTGGAGAAGACTACAGCGGCGAAGAAGCCTTTGAAAGTTTGGAGAGCAGAATTATCAATCAATATCTCAACGAAACCAAACACCAGCATTCAATTCATGGCTACATCGATCTGCACTCTTATGCTCAAGAAGTGCTGTATCCGTACGCTTTCTCGTGCTCGCAGATGCCCCGGGACGAGGAGAATTTGCTGGAATTGGCGTACGGACTCTCTAAAGCAATCCGGCTTTCCTCTGGTAAATCATACGGTGTTTTGAGTGCATGTCAGGATAAAGGTGCGGATTTTTTGCCAGCACTTGGAAGTGGTTCTGCTTTGGACTACATGTATCACAATCGGGCATATTGGGCGTTCCAGTTGAAGCTTCGTGATTCCGGAAATCATGGCTTCTTGCTTCCAAGCAGATATATCGGGCCTGTTGGTGAGGAAATATACTCTGCCATAAAATACTTTTCGGCGTTTGTTCTGAACCCAGAGGGTTAAGCCCAGAAGTTTGACATTACTTCCAGATTTGTGTACTATACCTTATAAGTGTTCTCTTCTTGGTTCACTATCACGTGCTGTTCCTCATATTTTGCAGGCAAGGGTTTTCCCTTCTTCACCATACTTGTAAGCAACTCGTACACCACCTGAGCGGCATTGGTTGCCGTGACCTCGGCATGGTCAAAGGCTGGGCTAACTTCGACCACATCGGCACCCACCAAATTCAAGCCCTCCAGTCTCCGTAGCAATTGAATCAATTCCCGGGGTAATAATCCACCGGGCTCAATAGTACCAGTTCCAGGGGCAAAACCAGGGTCAAGTGAATCTATATCAACAGAAATATAGACCGGGACATCATTGGGGACATGGGCCAGTACCTTCTGAACCACAGTGTCTATTCCGTCCAACCATATCTCATCAGCCTCAATTCTAAGAAATCCCTGTTTGTCATCGTCATCATAGTCTTCCAAAGTTGTCCCACTGAGCCTAGTTCTCAGCCCAATATGAACATTGCTGTCGTCGGTGATCAGACCCTCTTCGTGGGCCATCCATAGCATTGATCCATGGGTGAACTTAGACTGGTCGCTATTCCAAAATGATGGATATTTAGAGGGCAACCAAGTATCCAGATGGGCATCAAAATGTATAACCGAGATCTTCCCATAGATTTCTGCCAAAGCCCGAAGATGTGGAAGAAGAATGCTGTGGTCACCACCTAGAGCAATTAGTCTTGGAGGATGTGAATCGTCTGCACTTGACGAGCGACGCTGCAGAAGCTCTACAAACGCCTGTGTCATTTGTTTTAGTGCCAGACTGTTATCCATTGGAGTTATTGGAATGTCACCGCAATCCAATATGGTGGCCCAACTCTGATATGGATTGTAACGGGCTCTGTGGTTGAATCCTCTTAGTGTGGTTTGACGTTGAGAGGCACTGCGGATTGCTTTTGGGCCGAATCTTGCCCCTGGTCTGTACGTAGTCGCAGTATCAAATGGGACTCCAATTATTCCGACATCAAATGATTGATTGTCTAGAAGGCATTTTGTGTAGTTGAGATGGGCAAAAGATGACATTCCCGAGAACGGCCAATCTTCTCCCCATAGCTGTTCCAGAGTAGGCTCCTTGTCAGCGATTGCTTGTGGGTAAAAGTCATACTGGCTTTGAAAAGCGCACACCGATCCCACAAATAAGAGACCTGCGAGGAATAAATTCGTCATTTCTTTCAAATTTCAGATGAATAGTGCATCGAAACTACGTAAAAGAAGATGGTGGAAAATGCATGCCCTTTTAAACGATGACAGTGATTAGGCGCATCCTTATCGTTTCCCCATTGGGAAGCTCCAGCCTGAAAAATTCATAGCTCACCAAAGCGTCAATACCTTAAGCTACTAGCGCTAAAATATGAATATCAATTTTATAAATATGAGCGCACATATAAATGTCAGGGCATTTTAGGGGCTTTTTTTTGATAGAAGTATCAAGAAAAATTGCAAACCACAACTTGAAGCATAATCTAAGCCTTTTCGACATCTGGGGTAGAAGCCTTCTCTCCGCTAGATTTAGGGTCGACATACCCTTCAACATAACGAATATCCTCGGCAGCATCGTCGTTTAAGTTGGACCGTGGACCATGGAAGTACTTGAACTTGTAAGTGTAGAAGTATACCATCGCCAAGACCCAAACACCACAGTTGATCACAACGGTGTAGTTCATGGTTTCCTTATCGACGGTCTTGGAGCCAGGGAACATACACAGGAACAGAACAAAAATCATCCAGCAACACACAATCCAGTTAACAATAGGAGACAAAGTGTCACCCAAGTAGAATGGGCCTGGCTTGAACTTGTCTTTGCCCGAGGTTAATCTCAAGAAAATCGGAGTACCCCACGCAATATAATTACCGGCAACACCCAACGAGAAAAGAGCATTAGCAGCAGTGGAGCCAGCCAAAGTCAAACAGCCAATGGTCAAGGCCAAAGCCCCACCAAATGCCACTGCTCTCAATGGAACCCTCAGCTTTTTGTCGACAACCTTGATGTATCTCGAGAATGGTAAACCATCGTCTCTGGCAAAGGCCCATATCTGTCTTGAGAGAGCGGTCAATAGAGAAGATCCCATCAACCATTGGCAACATGCGATCAAAACCATCATGGCAACACCCCATTTCTTTCCAAGAGAATCCTCGACGATCTGGGCCATAGCGAATCCGGTTGGAGAATCGATTACAGAGGCAACGTCACTAGACATGCAAGCTGCCATACAGATGCAGATGAAAAATCCAACGATCCAGCACACCATTGTGGAGCCAATAATTCCCACTGGAATACTCTTAGAAGCATTGTGAGCTTCTTCAGACATGTGCACACAAGAATCGAAAGCACCGATAGTCCAAATGGCAGTCATCATTGAAAGCATGAACTGCCATCCGGTAGGCCAATCGCTATAGTTTTGAACAGTTCCAAAAATAAATTCACCATCATTGAAACCCTTTGCTTTGGCTGTTCCTATTGGAACAGCAATGAAGAACAAAACGATAATTCCACTGTTGCAAATAATCGAAGTAGTCTGCATTTTCGATATCATGTTGGAGGTAAGGCAGGTGACCAAGATATGACTGACCACACATGCGGCAAACACACCGTAGGTTTTACCAGTGGTGGAAACAAATGTACCATCTGAGTTCATATAAGCTGCTGCCAGAACCTCCAAAGCAAATCCATAGTTCACCGAACACAATCCTCCACATAGAGCAAGAGTATTTGAAAGTCCAATCATGTATGAGAGTGGAACCCTGATCTTCTCTGGAGCGTAATGAAATGTCCAATAGTATAAACCTCCACTGGTTGGTATTGCGGATCCCAGTTCCGCCATTCCAATACCAATTCCAACAATGAAAATACCAGAAACAAACCAAGACCACACGAACCCAGCAGGGCCAGCCGTGAGGCCTGTAGCAGTGGTACTTGCAATAGATGGTAACAAACCCATGATGGAATATGCAACTCCAAACACCTGGAGTGTAGAGAACTTTCTCTTCAATTCCTGTTTATAGCCGATTTCGGCCAACAGATCGACATCATTGGTTACATGACGAGCATCAATTTCACGGATATCAGACTGGTGCGATCTTATAGTATCAACTCTCAGTGCTGAAGCACCAACCGACTTAACAGAAGTAAGCATTTAGAAAGCAAAAACTGACGAACAACGATTGCGGTTGATCAATGCCAAGCTATTCTGTAGAAAGTATCGTACCGCACAATGGCAGCTGTTTATATACAAAGACCCTGGAAGCAAATCGAGGAGAAACTCCCTGAATGGTGGGCGGTAATAGATAAGACAGAAAAGGTGGCGGCAAGATAAATTAAGGAGCCGGCCGACATGCGGGTGCATTCGACCGTGAAACCATTGGAACTAGAATGAGATCGATGATTGGACAATTGTAGCTGGAATCGGCCGCAGGAATCTTTTACAATTTCAATTTTTGATTGCTAAATGGCTAATATTATTTTTCAAGGAGGCATATCGATGCCTCCGGAATCATGGTAGGGGTGATGGCGCTTTCTTTCCCGCTTGAAAGTGGCCGAGGCATCAGCAGATAAGTCTCCTGCTGCAGTTCAATGGGGTATGCTTTCGATGATGATACAGGACCACTTTTTTTCCGTAATTCGTATTCTCGGTCCCCGATACTGAATTGCGCCCAATTTTTAATGTTTAATGTCATGACTTTATCTGTATATATATCAGTTCAAATCCAGGATCATACGAGTCGCCCTTCGGCGCGAACCTTATCTCTGCTATCTGTCAAGCTGGCGCAAGGAAGTGTGCAGATCATTTCTTTTTGACATGCAGGCAGCCGTTATCTATGGTTTCTGCCGCGTTGCGGAAAGTTCTTGCGCGGGAATAGAAAATCAGGTTAAGCTGGCGCGGTTTGCAGATTGCGCTGTACCGAAACTGATATCTCAACTGTATGATGTAGCCTTTAAAAGCACCAGCTGAGAGGTACATTGCATATATTCTGTTATTGATCAAACGGTTTTTTAGGTTTACTTGAGCCTTTGTCCGTCTCCGAAAACGGAGTTCTATGATCCTAATTTATATTTTTTCTGAAAAGTTCAGTATTTTCATAAAAATCAGCTATTAAGTGTATACTTAGAGGGATCATCAGTCTATTTTCAGAAATGCATCTGAAAGGTTTTGATGGGAGCGAGAATGACTATTCTGAGACTTTCAGAAACTGTAAAGCATAGGACGTCAATATTCTTTAACAACTCATGTATTTGTTACTGGCTCAGTTTTGTATAGATAGAATTGGAGTATCTTTCAAGTATGGAATATTCAGAAAAGTCAATTTCGAATTCCTCAGAATAATTATAGCCGATCCTGTATTTTGATTAGAAAGGGTTGTTTCTTAACTTAGTATGAGTCTCCAGCATTTATTTTCGCTGTAACTACAGAAGATAGAGCGGATTCAATTATATCTCACTACACAAAATTCACAGCCAACAAAAAAATCCTCCTGAACAAGAATCTCTGGGCTAAACACAAACCTAGTACAGAAGAGGGTTCGAAATTACGTATTTCCTGGAGAGACAAGAAATAAGGAAGATAGTCGCTGAGAAAAACAGCGGATTGACTCAACCTCGAAAACCTCAGGCCTGAATATTGGTCTCTCTGTCCCAATGTCAGAGGGTTCTCGAGATCCCCCAAGAAACTCCCGTTCTCGCGGAGATGCCTCACAAAATCCTGGATTCTTTTGACGTCACACGTCATAAGCGCTTTTTTTTCAGAGGCACAGGTTTGGGATGAAAGGCTGAACGTGATCCATTTGTCTCTAGACTATGAGCTGCCCTAAATCCAAGCGTAAAATTACCACATTGGACCGCGTAAACCCGCTCTGAACCCCTCAAAAAGTTTTAAATCGCTCAGGTCTATGGACCAAGCCGTGCGAAAAGCACCACAGGTGTTGATAATTAGCCCGAAAAGTGCTAGAATTATGCTACCATACATCGCCCTCTCCCTAAATAATTTCTTTCCTACTATAAGTGATTTTTTGAGATTTCACATTAGCGGGGCCTCGCATAGACGCCGACCGCAAAGTATTTGCGCTGTCTCGGAGTCTATTTGGGCCCGTATGCTAGGTAATCTCATGTTTTGATGAGAAAATTTTGCTAGTGAAAGCGTTCAGCCTCTATGTCAAGCCAATCAGAGAAGTTCTTGGTGTCTCCAAAAATCTCTCAACCTCAATAATGGTAACAGTTGCAACTTGAAACGCCTGTGATAATGCTGAACAATATGGAACGGGTATCAAAGTTGGCATGGTAGAATTCTTGAGCTATAAAAGCCAGTAGGAAGGCTCTCAAACAACCAAGTTACAGAGTACTGTCTCTTGTAAAACGTGCATACCAAATCCAGCGCTTTTCTACGCAAAATCAACCAAGCAACCCCTCCTAGTGAAGCTCATGTCTCTCCAAAGCCCCAAAGTGGTGCCAGTCTCCGATGAAGAAGTTGAGATTGGAATCTTGAACTCAACCGACTCAAACTTTCCAGTCAAGGTGAGCCAACTTTCCACAAATTTAATGGAATTCTTCTAACGAATGGTTTTAGTATCAGCGTAAAGCGAGAGCCAGCGAGGTTCTCTTTTTGGGATTCTCGTCTCTGGGTGCCATCTATGGTGATATTGGAACCAGTCCTTTGTACACTGTCTCGACCATCTTGTCGTCATCCTCTTCTTTGAAGAAGAGCGACATCTATGGCTCAGCCTCGTGTATCTTCTGGATCTTCACCTTGGTGGTCATCGTAAAATACGCCTTGATTGTACTCTTCCTGGGCCCGAACAACGGCGAAGGAGGTCAGGTAGCTATCTACGCCAAGATAGCCAGAACCCTCAAGATAGGACCTCGCGGAGTAAAGATTCCAGGGGTAGGAGTTGGTGGAGGAAAGGCTGCAACTGCTCTGTCAGACATGGATGAAGATCTGCTAACACTGACCAGAACAGCCACTGGAGCATCTGCAACAAGTAACAGGAATGAGGGCGCTTTCATCAAGAGTCTTTTGTCAGTGCCGATTCTCGTTCTTTGTTTCATCGGATGCAGTTTGGTAATTTCAGATGGTTTGCTGACTCCAACTACATCGGTTCTGTCTGCAGTTGATGGCATTGCAGTCGCGGCTCCTTCGCTTGAAAGCAAGGTGTTACCAATTTCCTGCGTCATTTTGTTGTGCCTATTCATTGCTCAGAGCCTTGGGTCTGGGAAGATATCCATTCTGTTTGCACCCGTGATCTTCATTTGGTTCATCTGTATCTTCGTTATGGGATGCATAAACATCAACCTCCACCCAGACATCATGAAAGCATTGAGTCCAGTTTACGCAATCGACTTTTTGAAAGATAAAGGTGATATCGACACATTGGCAGGCGTAATGCTTGCAGTGACAGGTACAGAAGCCATGTTTGCAGATATTGGCCATTTTGGAAAACTTCCAATCCAACTAACGCTGATATTCTTCGTGTATCCATGTCTCATGTTGACATACTTGGGTCAAGCCGCCTTTCTCATGGAGCATCCTGATGCGGTTGAAAACATTTTTTACCGTTCCATCCCCGGAGGAGTAGGAAGCGGGTTTTATTGGTTCGTGTTTGTGATTTCCACCCTTGCAACAGTCATTGCATCACAGGCTCTTATTCTTGGTGTGTTTTCCATTGTCAAGCAACTCATTATGCTGGACTGTTTTCCAAGATTTAAGGTCTTGCACGTATCTGCCAAGAACACCGGCCAGATCTTCATTCCAGTTGTTAATTACATGCTCATGGTTGGAGTCATCTGTACCACAGTTGGATTTAAGACCAGTGCTGCAGTGACAGCAGCTTATGGACTTGGAGTTGCCCTGGATTTCTTTGTCACAACGATTCTCATCAGCATTGCTATGATCTGGGTGTTTAAATTCAAGTTCATTATTCCGTTAGTGTTTTTCGCTGCTTTTGGAGCTCTTGAATGTACACTGGTAGCTTCTGGTCTGAAGAAGGTGGTTCATGGAGCCTGGTTTCCACTCATGATGACCGTGATCAGTTTTACTTTCATGAGTTGCTGGCGCTGGTTCCGCAGTTTGAAAGTGAACAACGAGCTGGATAGTGTCAAAAGCGTTCAAGACATGTTTGTCCTCAAGGCACCAAGGGGTGAGGAAGTACTGGATTTGAAACGCCCTAACATTGCTGGTAGGGAATTTGAGATCCTACCTGAGAGTGAAGCTTCAGAAGAAGAGGATATCGAAGAGGATATCAATGAGGGCTTCTTGCTGTTCAAGAATGGAGTGAACGAAATCCCTATAAGCAGAACCAAGTCCGTTGCATTCCTCTATAGCCAAACGTCCGTCCCTCTCACCGCCAGGAAATTCTTGCCTGAGTTGTTGTCCGACATTCTTTCCATCTTCCAAACTTTGCCTCAGGTTCTTGTTGTGGTTGAAACACGCGTGGGAACCGTGCCAAACCTAGAGCCTCACGAACGTATCTCCCTTCAGAAGGTGGAAGCAATTGACGGAGTTTATCGTTGTATCATTCGTTCTGGTTTCATGCAATCGTCTGAGATCGACAACTCTCTTGTGAACCACATTTTGGGTAAGATTGAAGAAACCAGAACTTTTGGCCCAAAAATACTTGGAACCGACATGCAACTCAATACTCCTCTGGTGCACCTTTTCGAGAAGGAGGTGCTGAAAGCCAGAGGGTTCACCACCACAAGTAGCAAATGGCTGAACATCATCAGGAGACCAGGTCATCTCACGCGCTCCATGGTTATCGACCATTTCCTGGTTCCTTTGAACTCAGCATTCCAGGGTCTGGAAGAGATGCTGAAGATCGATAACCAGGATAAGAACCAGGAGGTGATCTTTATCGGAAAGAAGACGAATATTTGAGACTCCAAGCAAAGAGACCGCACATGTTGGATTTTTGCTTATATCTTGCAAAATTGTTTACGATTCGCAGATTCTATTTTGTTTCCCAGAGAGAAAGAGATTTATTCATGAAGGAAGAAACGTAGGAATTGACATCGCACCCCGCGAAAACGTGCGATACTCGATTCTTCAACCAGGAGGTGGGGTATCTGACAGGAAAATCTTTCCAACTGAAGAGTGATTGAGTCAGTTAAAGAGATCTAACTTAAAGGAGCCTATAGATTGCTAACTTGTATCACAATGCCAATTGACCTCAAAGGGAAGGTAGCTCTCATCACCGGTGGTTCTGCTGGTCTGGGGGCTGAAGTTGCTGTGCAACTTGCTCAGGAAGGGGTGGACCTAGCAATCAACTACGCAAACTCGAGAGAACGGGCCGAAAATCTCCAAAAGAAAATTGAGACGGAATATGATGTCAAGGTGGTATTAATACAGGCCAGCATTTTTGAAGCTGGAGCGGCTGAGTTGTTGGTAGCGAAGACCATCGAATCATTTGGAAGGCTTGACATCGTTGTTTCCAACGCTGGTTGGACCAAAGTCGTGCCATACGAGGATCTGGATGCTCTTGACGAAGAACTGTGGGACGGTTGCTTTAATGCCAACGTCAAAAGCCACTTCTATCTCTACAAAGCTGCCAAGAAGCACCTTGAGGCTAACGAAGACGGTGGGTGTTTCCTCGTGAGTGCCTCAGTCGCTGGTAGAATTGTCTATGGTTCTAGTATCCCTTACGCTGTCAGTAAATCAGCATTGATCCATTTGGTGAAGTTCCTGGCGAAAACTCAGGGGACCAAGATCCGCGTCCATGCGATATGCCCAGGGTTGCTGCTGACCGAATGGGGGCAAAAGTTTGGACCAGAAAGAATCAAAACGGCAACAGATCAGACTCCAATAAAAAAGCTCCCAGAATTGGACGAATGTGCCTCGCATTATATCCATCTTGCGAAGCTTTCCAGTTCCACGGGAACAGTGGTGGCTATTGACGGGGGCGTGTCTGTGTAAAGTGTGCGCCGCACAATATATAGCTCAAGCGAAGTTTACCTCTTACGGTCGTTTCTGGCTTGTAAAACGTGTTTCAGTAGGAAACTCCTTTGTATCGATAAAACATTCGGAATTTTTCGTACTAATGGAGAATGCTCACTAACCAGTCTGACTGGATATTCCTAGCTAAAGGAAACGCCAATGCTGTGTTTAGCTACCGTGGTGAAGATCCTAAGCTTCAAGGTCTGGTGTTGAGGCTACGGTTGCAATTAGCAGACTCGCAGGGCTATATCCCGGTGCAATCCATTGTCGAATATGTCAACTCAAAGATAAGACCAAGCTTCAAGAATGGCGAGATTGTTGACATGTCATTGGTGGAGTTAGCACCCGGTTTCGCAGAGGCGTTATCAGGCATCTCACATGTGGCACTTCAAAAAGATGAAAAGTACGGGATTCTATTGCCGAACATTCTTCCAGAATATGAGAGGGCGACAAATATTGTGGAGATGTCCAAACATATCAAGTTTCGGTTTTATCAAAACGATATTACGGTTTTGGAGTTAAAGCCTAAATGGCTGTATCAATTACCGGCTGGTGTCAGCACATGTCGTAATTGTGCTCTAGAGAGGCTGAGAAGTGAGACCAAAAGAGGAAATACCGGAAAAAGTACTGGAGCAGGTGGTGGAATAAGCAGACCAATATGTCCTCTTGACTTATTGAGTCCTAAAACGCTTCAAAGATGGACAGACAAAGTATGCAGTCCTCTAGCCGAACACATGGATGTCACTCAGTTGAAAGTTCAATTGCTACATGTTCTTCAGCGACAGTCTTCAATAAAGGCCATATTTGAATTACAGAACGAAAATAATCTGGATGTCCACCAAAATATTCGAAACTTAAAGGGAGAATCCAGTATAGGCGAAGACCTCAGCCTAAGCATGACTATGAAAGACGTTACGGTTTTCATCACCTTTGGTGAAGATGCGGCTGACATTAAAATTATAGATCTGGATTTGAAGCCCGCCGCGAAGTGGTCTCATTGGAAGACAATGGAGCAGAAGTTGGTGGACTCGGGTTTTTATGACGAGTTGATGAGTCCTCCGTGCAACAGAGAAGTTGATTTGTGACAGCATGAGGCCGAGAATAAGCATTTGACAACAGTCCATGATTCACATCTGGCTCAGGTAGCCTTCGCTGCGGGTGCCGCCTTTACCAAACCCGCCGCCTTCATCGCCTCATCGACATCATATGGCGTTTGCGCATACTCGCTGTTGAATATAAGATGAGGCTTCCGCTTTGCCAGGTCCAGGATGGTCTTTCCAAACTCTGAGTTGGCCCACGCAAACCACGGTCTCGTGTATGACATCCCCCCACGCGAGTTAACATCAATACTCTCGTGCATTAGACCGAGCCTGCCGGTGGTTTTCATCAACGTGGTGAGATAGCCCGCAATTTCGTCATCGTTGTCAGTCGTACGAATTGCTATCAGCAATGACATAGGCCAGGCATTGTTAATACCAATGTGTGGTCCTCCAATACCTTTGAAAAACGCGCCCTCGAGATAATATGGGTTGCCCTTCTTCGCCATGATCATCTTCCGCGTAGCCCTGTAGATGGAGTCTGTCTTCTCAACAAAACCTAGATCAGGCAGAGAGAGAAGCGACGGAATGTTCGCATCATCCATGAAACTGGCACTGCCGTAGCCGTCTACTTCATAAGCAAACACCTTTCCATAAACGGGATGGTTCACTATGGCATGCTGGTAGATACCGTTGCGAATGTTCTTTGCAAAGCCGGAAGCAACTTTGGCAAGCTTGGCCTGGCCTGCGTTTGAGAGCAACGGTATCACTCTGTTCAACTCGACGTACATCTGGGCATTTCCAGGTACAAAAAGCTGGAACGTACACGCATCGTCTGAGGGTCTGAACGCCGATCTCACCAGACCGGTATCAAAATTGACTGGATTTCCGGTTCCAGCTAAAGGAAGGGTTTCTGTTCCTATGCGTGTATCGCGCTGGAAACTGTAATAAAATGGAAGAATGTTGCCCCGAGAATCAAATGTGGGTGAGCTTTCTCTCTGCAAAATGACCAGGACCATCTCCATTGCTGAAAACCACTCTTTGGTCATGAAGGAAGTATCGTCCGTGTTATCATAGTAGTCATTGGACAGAGTTAAAAACGAAGCCAAAGAGTCAATCTCCCATTTGCACTCGAAAACATGCCTCCATGGTGGAGGGGGGGATACGTAGTCCACAGTGGACGGTTTCCTCTTTACATTGGACTTGAGCGGGGGCTGGAAGGCATTGCAATATGGAGCCTTCAGTATGTAGTTGGCCTGTTGTGCAATTGCACCCTTGATCATAAGCTGAAGAGCTGGGTCATACCGTGCCATTGGCTGGTACACTGACAACTGCCTGGCAGCATCACGGAGCCATTCCGCATGGATGTCTCCCGTCACTACGAAAGTGCGTGGATCTGTCTTTGAGCTGTCATGCCACAAAATCGTCGTGTCTAAAGTGTTTGGGAGACAGTTCTCAATCAAACGAGACAAGTCAGGATCTCTCACTCGCTCCTTCAGATCCAGGATCACCTTCTCCACAGCAGCAGAACTGAAAGTTCGACATGATTCCGGAGGTCTCATATATGGAAGCTTCAGAGAACCGGAGGAGAGAGGCTTGTGCATCTGTTGCGAATAATCAAGATAATTAGCACATCGCGACATCTTCGAGCTCAACCAGCCTTCCTGCTGAAGATGCGGCTGGATTTCCTTTGTTCCAGTTTTTTTCTTTGGTGCGGGGGGCTGTAGAGATTGGAACTCAACAGCATCATCGGCAGAATGCGATCGGTACACAAAAATCAATAGCAACACTGCAAATACAGTCAACACGACACGCGAATCGCGATATCGCTTTCCAAATATTATAGCCATTGCCAGTGGAATACGGCGTAGCGTTCTGTGAGAAGGCTAAAATGATGGACTGAAGATCCGTATCTGTGTGGTTGCGAGCCCCAATATTATGGGTGGTGCACGTAAGAGGGTCTCGGGAAAAATCGGGGAGACAGAAGGCTCTGAACAGCTCCCCGACCAGTCTTCAGCTGAAATTATAAATCGCAAGAGAATAGGGCAGTCGCTGTCAAGTATTGTCTGCAACCCCAAATCCACAAAGCACGCGCAAAGGTTTGGGCCACACGTCCCCTACAACTAAATAATCTTCCACATGAGGCAAACCCACCTCCTGTTTGGGCCGCACACGGACACGAAAACCCCCGGGGCAGATTCGCCAAATCGGGTAATTGCCTCAAACGGCATTCCAAAATCGACATCGAATCAAATCCACCCGAAAAAGTCGCAATGCGAAGCGAGCTGCAAAGGGATTTTCCTTTCTCTCCCTTTCTTTCTTTGTTTTCCAACAACCTGTATTCTTTTGTTAATAATAGAATCTATTTGAAATGGCCACTCTTCCCAACTTTACTGTTAAGGACTACGCCTCCTTTGCCCTGGCTGGTGCCATCGGCTGTGGTGTCACCCACGGTTCCATGACCCCTATCGACGTGGTCAAGACAAGAATCCAATTGGAGCCAACCGTCTACAACACTGGTATGATCGGTTCCTTCAAGAAGGTTGTGTCTGCTGAGGGTGCTGGTGCTTTGTTGACCGGTCTTGGCCCAACTGTTTTGGGTTACTCCATGCAAGGTGCTTTCAAGTTCGGTGGATACGAGCTTTTCAAGAAGACCTTCATTGATTACCTCGGCTTCGACACTGCCGTCAAGTACAAGACCGGTGTCTACATTGCTTCTGCTGCTATTGCCGAGTTTTTCGCTGATATTGCACTTTGTCCATTGGAGGCCACCAGAATCAGATTGGTGTCGCAGCCATCTTTCGCCAACGGTTTGGTTGGCGGTTTCTCCAGAATTGCCAAGGAGGAAGGTGTTGGTTCGTTCTACAACGGTTTCACCCCAATCTTGTTCAAGCAGATCCCATACAACATTGCCAAGTTCTTGACCTACGAAGTTGCTGCCGAGGCCATCTACGGAGCCATCCCAACTCCAAAGGAGAAGCTCAGTGACGGTGCCGTCACTGCCGTTAACCTCGGTGCCGGTGTTATCGCCGGTTGTGCTGCTGCCTTTGTCTCTCAACCAGCCGACACTTTGCTGTCCAAGGTCAACAAGACCAAGAAGGCTCCAGGTCAGTCCACCATTGGTCTTTTGGGCCAATTGGCCAAGGAACTTGGTGTCAGAGGTTCTTTTGCCGGTTTGCCAACCCGTTTGATCATGGTTGGTACCTTGACTTCGTTGCAATTCACCATCTACGGTTCTTTGAAGAAGACCCTTGGATGCCCACCAGCCATTGAGTTGGGTGCCGGTGGTCACTAAACGCGTATGTTTTGAATAATATTCATCCCGCATAGAGTTGAAGACTGGGAATGGCCACTTATCTCTTGTATGTATCTAGATGGCTTTTTTAGGACTTTGCCGAAGACCTGTGGTTTATAGTTGATCATTGTAGAGTGATCCAGGTGATTGTAAGTTCATGAAATTTCCACGAATCTTCATAAGAACCACCTAAAATAAGATTGAGACCCAAGGCCTGAGTTATGGGTGACATATATAAATCATTTCTTGCAGAACACTAATAATGTTAGGCTGATAAAGAATTTTTCTACAGTTGACAATTCTCTCAAGGTATATACATGCCTTGCATGAGGACTGCAGCTGAAAAATTTATAGAAGCAAAACAAATATTCGAAAAATAGCTATCACCTGCTAAAGTTGCCGAACGTGTACAAATATGTTATAATACAAAATTTCATACAAACCTCTGATACTTGTTTCGTATACTAATTTCTAGCAAGTATCTCTTCTCAAGATCTTTCACAAAGATCTCTACTCCAGATCTCTATTGATGATCGCTTATACATCTTCCTCCTAGTCGAGACTCATACCATCGCCGGTGTTAACAGCAGCAAAAGGCTGGGATGGCTCAACAGTTTCAGACTCTTTTTCAGCTTGGACTTGTCCACCCATGTAGTTCTGCAATTCAGCATCCAGTTCCTCGATGGATTTCTTGTGATCCTTTGGCTTGGGCTCACGCTTGCCACGCTTCTTCGCTCCAACACTGATTCTGGAAGCCAGATCAACAGCATTCTCAACGCTTATTATCTGGCCAGCTGCTTTTCTTCCGTCAAACTGTTCAATGGCCAAACGAGAATCCTCCGGGTTAACAAAGCCCACAAAGGCCGTGCCCGTGGAACTGCCATTGGTTCCGAATTGGATCAGACAAAACTTGACCTCTCCCACTTTGGAGAACAAGTCAAAAATATCCTGTTCGGATAGTTCTGGGTGCAGATTTCTGACACGCAAATATGCTTTTCCCTCGCTGTCTTGGTTAGTCTATAAGCCTGGGACGAGTAACGCCCGCAATCAACACTCACCTCAGTCTTTCGGCTTCTCTATTTTTTGGAGGAGGCCTGAAACTCACCCTGTCATTTCTTGGATGGCGTCCTCTACCCGATTTGGTGTTTTTGCTAACTCCATTGGATCTCCTTGGGGGCTGTCTTGCGTTAGTTGATGAGCAACATCATGAACTGTGTTCTTACATACTCTGCTGGAGGGCCCGGTAGCAATGATGGCATCTAGAGACTGTTCGAGTCTCTTGGAATGGTCTGATTCGACTTCTGACATTTTATGTTTAGGATGAATGGGTCATTGATTAGTTCCCCTGCTCTGGCCTTCTTGATAGCTATCGACGAGCTATCTTGGTGGAGGATAGTTGGGTAGTGTACGGGCCGATTATTGCAATCGAGAATCATAAATTATGTCTAATACGTTAACGAGGGTCTAAGGATATGGCATTTGGGATGAAATCAGTAGTTTTTTTTAGTATGATCAGCGCGAGATTTTGTTCGCACTGTCCATAATTTATCAACTGCGAATATGGCCGTAGGTATAGGCACAGCAGCATGAACGTTCTCACTCAAGCTCCTTCAAAAGCTCCGCAAATCTAGGCTGATTTTCATATTTCTTCAGTTCCTTCACCCACAAAGGCAATGGCAGCTTCTTTGGGAAAGTCAAAGTCCCGTATGCAACCGTGAGCCTATACAATGCCTCCTCAGACTTCACCTTAGAGCCGACTTCAGAAAACAACTCCAGAAGTGCTTGATACAATTCTGCAGACTTGGTCTTTTGATACAGAATAGAATAGTTCAAAAACAAAGTCGCAACTGCAGCCGAATGGGTATCCTTCTCAGAGTTCACCATCTTTTCCAGGTTAGCCAGTGCAAAGATCTCGGACAAAATGGTCTCATCACCAGTGACAACCTCCCCCCACCACTTGTTGCTGAAGATATTACAGAGACATCTGTATGTCATCATGGTGATTGCAGAAGACTGATCGATCAGTTCAAATCCCAAACGGATCATCTCAAAAAGGTTATCTGGGAACTCTTCAGATTTGCCTATGGAGACTCTCAACAGATCAAATCCTAACAACTTTCCAGAAGTATTCCAAGTCCCAATGATCTTCTCGGCATAACTCATCAGGATCTTTACGTTCATCGTTTGCAAGGCCCCTTTGATTTCTTCAACTTGTTCTTCGGAGAGTTTGACTTCCTGTTGAGAGTTGAGTCTATCCAGACCCTTCTCCAAGGTTGCTATCTTAAACGTCTCGAACGTCACAAATGCTTTCTGAGGAAGGAGCGTTGAGGAAGATTCTGTATTAACGGGTTCTCTGTCAGCATAAGGGTTGGCCACGGGGACCGGTTGCTCCTCTGAAAGACTCACACCACCAGTGTTCTGGAGAATGAATCTGACCACCTCCTCCGTGTATGTGTTGGGCAGGTCATTATCTGCCAAAAACCTTTGAGCTGCAATATAGGCATTCTCATTAGCATTGTATGGTAATTTCAAAGGCGGTTCACCATCCTTGATATCAACGTCAAAAACATAGTCCCATTTTTTCCCCAAATATTCCTGCTTCTTGCCGCTACTGGAAGACCCAACAACCTCTCCGATTTTGGTCCATTTATTCTCTGTCCATTGATGTGCCTCAACAACACCTGAGGCAGTTTTGATCATGATCACTTTTCCCTCCTGGTCGCCCGGTTGCTGGAGTGCCTCGGGGCCTGGCAGTTTCTCCTTTTCAATATTATCCATGGACTGCTGGCTGATTGTGGAGTTCTCTACTGATTCGTTGAACTCCCTCAACAATTCTGGTGATGCATATCTCGCTGGGTCATTCGTGAACACTCTAACGATTCCATCACTAGATCCACTAACGATATCTCCGTTACTCTGAACAGTCACATCCCAGACTGAAATTGATGGCAGAGTCAAAACTTGCACACAAACTCCTTGAGGTGTCCAAATGCGAACTGTCCTGTCTTCTCCACAACTAACAATGTTTCCATCGGGCAACAAAGCCAGGGAATAGACAAAACTCTCATGGCCTCGCAAGACTGTCTCCTTAGAACCGCGCACAATCCTGATTGTTTCGTCGTTGGAGCAACTCGCATATCCGTCTTTTAACAATAGGAGATCTCTGACAACATCCGTGTGGCTCTTGACAGTCGAAATCAACTTATCTTCCTCCCACATCTTCACAGTGCCATCTGCGGAACACGTCAAGAACTCTGTTGGAGAAAGGATCTTCACACCCCACACAGAAGCCGCATGTCCTTTGAGATGATAAAGGGGCTGTCCTTGAGACCAAACAATAGCAGTTTTATCCCACGAACCGCTGATTATTAGATCATACGCATAATCCAGAGAACACACGTTGGCCGAATGGCCGATTAGAGTTCCTTTGGGCTCTCCCAGCACTAAGTCTGGGTCCGTTAAAACAATAAGCTTGTCAGCACCTCCAGAAACGATCAGACCAGCTGATTGGTCAAACGACAACGAGTTTATGAACCCAGTGGATTGGTAGTTTATCGTATGACTCCATCCGCCATCCTCGCCTCTCCTCCATACTCTGATAGTGGCATCCCTAGATGCAGAAACAATGGTATTCTCATCAGGAGACACCAATGCTCTAACATCTTGTTCATGAGCCTCCAGCGAAGCGGATAATCTGTATAAACCCATTTGCTGATTTGTCTGGGAATTGCCACACCGCTTAGAAGGCCATACCTGGCAACGTCTGTGGAGATATCCATGGGTCGTGCCTCTCCCAATAAGGGCTTGTCTCCATGTTCTTCTAATTCCTTGAAAAGCGTTGTGATTTTACGAGCAAAACTTGGAGCATCATATTCTGGTTGCAGTATCTCTAATTGTTCTTTTTTTCAATCTCAAAAAGCCTCGAATTGACCCTTTTCACCACACACTTAAACCTTTACGGCTGGGGCGATTGTCATAGCCGGGGTTCATAACCGAAACACGTAAGATGCTTTTCAGTCCTCTCTGCCCCTTCTTGTCAAGTCCAGTTCCTTACTGCCGCCAGCCTTATAGGTTTTAAGATCGATTCATGGTGTCCCCATTCCCGTTGGCACTAGCTGAGACCTTGGATGGTTACGTGGTTAAATCGTCATCTCCTAACTCCAATGACCCTGGCCTGCTGATATCGGGCTCCGGTTGCTCACTAGTTGACAACGAGAACATCAACCCAACCTCTCCTTTCACGACAATTTCGGGTGTGATCGGTATCATACGTTTGAGATCCAACTCATATGTGATCACTGCTGATGGTGCCATGGAAGTGGGTAACTTTTTGGGCCACAAGTTCTACAAGGTGTCTACTCATTCGATACTGCCATTGGGTAATCATCTCCAGAGGTACGCTGTGGTTGACGACGAGACCAAATATTTGGAGCTACTCAAAAACCACCTGAATGAGGCAACGCTGTATTTTTCTTACACTTATGACCTGACCAACTCTCTGCAGAGACAGGCTATGCATGGGGAGTACTCTTGGAGGAATGCCGACCCTTCGTTTTTCTGGAATCATTTCGTTCTGAGCGACCTCATGGCCTTGGCCAAGGATAAACCAGCAGCAGATATGTTTGTTTTGCCGCTAATCTATGGGTATGTGAATATTGTGAAGACATCTGTTAGTATGAAGTCGATTGGGTTCGGATTGATCACTCGGAGATCGCGCTTCAGAGCTGGAACCAGATACTTCCGCCGCGGAATTGACGAGTCAGGCAATGCTGCCAATTTCAACGAAACCGAGCAAGTTCTGTCGGTGTCTCACGCTGATGGCCAGGATGTGTTTTCGTATCTGCAAACCAGAGGCTCTGTTCCAGTCTACTGGGCTGAGATCAACAATTTGAAATACAAACCGCATCTGTTCATTGGCCCATCATCTTTGTCCGCAACAAAGGATCACTTTTCTCACCAGGTAGAAAAGTATGGCACGAACTACCTCGTGAACCTCGTGAACCAGAAGGGCTATGAGAAGCCCGTGAAGAGTGCGTACGAAAACGCTGTAAACTCTTTGGGTGACCCCAGAGTGAAGTACGTCTACTTCGACTTCCACCATGAGTGCAGAAAAATGAAATGGTACAGAGTTAGACTGTTACTCGACCACTTGCGCGAAATGGGACTGTCACCTACAGACTACTTCCATGAGACGGTTGGTGAAAAGGTTGGTGTATCTAAAACCCAGACCAGTGTGGTGAGAACCAACTGCATGGATTGTCTTGATCGTACGAATGTTGTGCAATCTACACTGGGAAGGTGGGTTCTTCAGTCGCAGCTTGAGTCTGTGGGTGTGTTGGTTCCTGGTCAATCCTGGGAAAAGGATGTGAGTTTCAACCTTCTTTTCCAGAACCTTTGGGCCGACAATGCTGATTACGTGTCTAAGTCGTATTCGGGTACTGGTGCTTTGAAGACAGATTTTACACGTACCGGAAACAGAACCAAGAAGGGTGCTTTCAACGATTTCATCAACTCTGTCACCAGATACTTGAAGAACAATTACAAAGATGGCCCCAGACAGGACGGCTACGACTTGTTTCTCGGAAATTTCTTGCCTTTCGAGTCTGTTTCGTCTCCGTTTGCCGATCAGCGCCCTGCCCTTATCCAGGCAATGCCTTTTGGCCTGTTTGCTTCTGTCGCGGTGCTTGTGACCACCATAATATATCCTCGAGGATCTCTCTTCGAGCTGAAAAACTTCTCGTTCCTGTGCGTATGTCTAGCTTTGGTCACGCAATCTCTGAATTACATTTTGAAAAATGGATATCAGTTTGTGAATTGGCCGAAGCTTTGCAAACTGGACTTCTTGGAAAAGAAGGAAGTTTTGAAAGACGGCAAGTTTAGGGGCATCCAGTTTGTGAGAAATGGGATCTTTGCGTCTGACTCTGACGTCGCGAAGAAAGAGTAGAAAAGCGGGCCTTGAAAGTCAACGAGGTATTAGACACAATTTGATAGATCAAGAATTATCATCTAACAGTACAGAGCACATTTGGTGTACTAGAAAGCTCTTTTTTGCCGAGTTTGGTTTATGGGATCAGATTCATGGTCAATAGAAACCAAGGCTCGGGTGTCCGATTCACTGCACTATTAGCGGGGCCAATCTTCTGGGCATGGACTATGAAGACTTGATGCGGATTCAGAGTTATTCTTCTTCCGATACTTGATATGTTTTGTATATTCGTATTTCCTAATCGTTATGAGTTATCGTAGCTCGCCTAATAGCTGATAAGCTATTTGGTAGTGCATGCCCAACTACGGATCAATACAATACAATAAGACCTCAGGTTACTCCTTGCCGCTTTATCACCTCTCCATACTAGATCAGTTATTATTATTTTTACTGATATTTTGAAAATGCCAGAAAACAGAGCCGCTCACATCACTGCTTTCAAAGAGACAGCAAAGTTGAAGGTGGATTCTGCGCCTTATCCAAGCGTGACCCCAGACACCATTGTCGTCCGTAACAGAGCAGTGGCTACCAATCCGGTCGACTGGATTTTACTCAAGTTCGGTTTCGTTGTCAAATGGCTGTTGAAATTACCATATGTGGGTGGAGAAGACTCAGCTGGTGAAGTTGTTGAAGTGGGAAACAGTGTCTCCAACTTCAAGATTGGGGACAGGGTCTTCTGCTATTGTACTGGATTGGATTCAAAGATCAATAATCCGGCTTATGGTTCGTTCCAGCTCTATTCGCTGATTGATCCTAAAGTCGCTACTCTTATCCCGGACGAGCTTTCCTTTTCAAAAGCCGCCGTTTTGCCTCTTGGACTTGCTACTGCTGCAGCTGCATTGTTTGGGCAGACGAATCTGGCTATGGATTACCCCACTTTGCCTCATGCGCGAAGAAACGGGCAGGTCGTGATTATTTGGGGTGGATCGACGTCGGTAGGTCTCAACGCCATTCAATTGGCTGTTGCAGCTGGTTATGAAGTGTACTCAACCTGTTCGCCAAAGAACTTCGATCTTTTGAAAAGCTTGGGTGCTTCTCATGTATACGACTACAGAGATGTCACTGCAGTGCAAGAGATTGTTTCCCAAATTGGAGACAAAAATGTTGTGGGAGCTGTTGCAATCAAATATGCTTCTGCTGAAAAATGTTACGAAATCTTGAAACAGGTGAATTGTCCATCGAAAATTGTTGCGGTGGTCTCATTACCAGTGTCGGATGAAACCAATGTTCTTGTGATTTCTGCGAATCTGATTGTATTCGCGCTGAAGTACTATGTCTTCCAATGGTCTGGGGTGAAACTGAAAAAAGTGAATGCTCTTGATGCCCGTCTCCCTGACATTTCAGAGAAAATCTTTCACGATTATGTTCCAAAGGCATTGGCGAGTGGTGATTTTGTGGCCTCTCCAGAGCCAATAATCATAGGAAATGGTTTGGATAACATTCAGACAGCCTTGGAGTTCCACAAAAAGGGAGTTTCTGCAGCCAAGGTAGTTGTGACCCTTGAAGATTAAACTTTTTTTTTGATCGATATGAGCTTAAGATTTGTCTTTGAAGGCGATATCGCCTGGCTAACTGTATCTACTGGCATCGCGCTTATCGTATTTCTTATCAGGAATAGTAGTGTACGACCCATCGGATTTTTTACCCGAAAAGACTTGGTTATTTGATGGTTGAAAACTATCGCTCTGATTGTTCTTCAACACCTCTAAGTCTTGTTTATTGGACATGGAAACGATCAGAAACTTCGCTCCTTGTATATACTTTGTTTCTTCGATAGTGGCCTTATCTTTCTGGAACAAGCTGACAGCCCGTGGTCACAAGATGGATCATGCATTGCAAGAGAGCCTGAAAAAGGCCTTTAACATGGATCTCCAGACCCCAGAGATGGAGGCAGAGACAATTCCGGAAATCAGTTTTCCTGGAGGAGTTGCCATGATTAAAGTGAAAGACCAGACTGCGACGTGTTGGGGTGGTTTTGCTCTGAGGTACAAAGATGCAAAAGGCCACAATCTTGAGCGTGAAAAGTGGATTGAGATGACTGAAGATAAGATATTCGATAGTGAGTTCAAAAGTCCGGCGTCTATGATTTTTTCTGATTACTGACATATGCAAGTGGCATCCATTACCAAGATCTGGGTGAGCATGTGCTTTTTCATCCTACAGAAGGAACATGGGATCTCCGTTGAGACCCCGGTCTATGAGCTTCTTCCGGGATTCTTGGGAGAGAACATGGATTCTCCGCTATTCGACAAGAGGAAGATTCTCATTAGACATCTTATGACACACACGAGTGGTTTCACGCCTGAACCAACTCCCATGCTGGATAGTCCAGAGATTGTCAATTTGCCAGTTGGTAAGCAGAGAGAAAGTGTGATCAAGAACTCTCTGGTCAACGAACCAGGCACTGTGGGGACATACAGTGACGTCAACTATATGGTTCTTGGATTCATTATTGAAGAGGTATCCGGGTTGACCTTGGATGAGTTTTTGAGGTTGAAAATTGTGGAGCCAATGGAACTAAAAGATACCTGTTACAACCCTGATCATAGCAAGCTTGGCAGAATAGTTGCGAACGAGTACATTGCTGCAGGTCACGAACTCGGAAGACCCCAACCGATCAGAGGGTTTGTTCATGATGATAAAGCACATGCATTGAATGGAGTGGCAGGACATGCTGGAATCTTCTCTACGCTTCATGATATGTCTTTGTTCTGTGACATGATCTTGAACAACGGTGTTCATAACGGGAAGCAAATTGTTGATAGTGATCTACTGGAGATTGCTCGGAAAAACCATACGACCCATATTCCAAATTTCAATCGTGGCTTAGGTTTTGAGCTGAATGCTGGCAGCAATATGGGTGAATTTGTGGAATTGCCTGGTGGAAGCTACGGCCATACAGGATTCACTGGTACCAACTTTGCTATGAACGATGCCACTAAGAGTTATGTTTTATTTTTGACAAACAGGACCCATCCTAACAGAGCACTTGGGTCTATTAATCATGCTCGGAGGGAGATCTCGCGAGCTGCAGTTGCTCATATTGGTCTGAAGAAGTAGCTTTCCAATTCAAGGTGCAGGAGCGGCCCACATACGAGTTGATCGCCAGATTCAAGTCACAATAAAATTGAAAATAGCATCAGTTGGTGTTTCTGCACCAAAGGCATCTAGTGTTTGACAATTGACTTTACCAAATTAATTTTAAAAAATTTTTTATTGGAGAAAAGTCACTGTTTCTACAACTACACTGTCACCACATTCAAAAACCAATTGTCATTTTATCAAATTATTGCATAACTGTTCACATCTTTATCAAAACATTGTAACGTAATATTGCGATAAAACTGCAAATTGAGGGTACTCGAGTCATCCTACCGGTCTTTATTGATAGTTCAGTGCTAATTAGCATGCACGCTCTCAGCCAAGCCATAACCCTACATACCTCTAATTAAAGGAAGCACGAATAGCAGAGGTGGTGTCTCTCACCAAATCTGCTCCTTGCTGGAGTCTCTCGTTCATAACCATCGCAGTGTGAGGGACACCCTTATAGATCACGATCTTGCTGTCGACACCGTTTTTCAGCAACTTTTCGTTATAAGCCTCAGCCTCTGACCTCAAGACATCACATTCGGCAGCTGCTATAAAACAAGGCTGAACCTTCTTGAAACTTTCATCTGGGTAAAACAGAGGACTTGACTCGGGATCCGAAAGAGTGTCGCCAGCCAATGGCAAGTATATCTGTCTGTACCAAAGCATCTTATTGGCCGGCAATTGTGGAGTCAAAGCATTCTCCTTCCATGAGACTTGAGTTTCGGCAGTAGCAGTGTTATCCGTAACAGGCACAACAAGCATCTGAAACTTTAGGGCCGGGAATTTTTGGCTCAGAGCCGAATTGACGTATTTGTGGGACACAATCGCAGCCAGGTTACCTCCTGCAGACGAACCAGCCACACATATTTTGGTGTTATCGACCTCGAGTGTCTCTGCCTCGCTCATAACGAAGAAAACTGACTCAAATGCATCTTCTACACACGCTGGAAAAACGTGTTCGGGGGCTAGCCTATAATCAACGGTGATAACCACGCATTTGGCTAGCTCTGTCAAATGACTGCAGTACGAGTTCTCGGTGTTGATTCCACCGAGCACCCAGCCACCACCATGGTACCAAATCGTACAAGGCCAGCCATTGGCTGGTTTCTTGCCTGTTGGGACAAAAACTCTTGCTGGAATTGAGGATTCGGCTTGCGTGACATTTCTGGGGATTTCGATATCGTAGATTTTGGCAACGTCCATTGGGGCAGCCTGGCCCGGAATCACGTTTCCGCCGGCTCTGGTTTGTGTGAGAGGGATTTTGTGTGTTTCCAAAATGTCTGGTCTGTTGCAAAGCACTTCTTCAAAGAACTTGACATATTCGGGGTCCAGCTTGTCAATCATCGAGGGATCGAGCTTCAATGGCAACTGGTTCAATGGCTCGGGCCATGAAAAGTCTTCTCTCAGGGTAACTTCGTAAGCGGACATTCTGGGTTGGTAACAGCTGGTGACGGTTGATGATGAGCGCCGTTAGGGTGTGTGAGTGTTCTCCGCAGTATATATAAGGAAGTAATATAACCGCTGGCATACTACGAACATCCAGCATATGGTTTGCACCCAATGGAAACTCCCCCCGTTTGTTATCGGCCTCTTCCAATCGCAGCTTCTCGGCTTATCTGCGGTGGGGGCATTGGCAGCTCCCCCATATTATCTGGCACAGGCAGTGGGGGGCACGAGCGCACGGGGCATCGGCAGAGCGACTATCTGCGAAGCACAGGCAATATTTCACACTTAGATATATAATCGCCTCGACCATTGTGACCGCAAAATCACTCAATTCTTGCAGAGAACAAACAAACTGAACCATGTCCTACCCTGCTGACTTTACCCCCGAGGCTGATAAGTCCTTGCTGCTGAAAGCATACAATGGAAAGCAGCTTTCGGAACTGCCCACTCCATCCTTCGTGGTGGACAGAGGTATCTTCCAAAAGAACTCTAATAGGATGCTCCAGAATGCCAGGCATCTGGGAGCTGACTTCAGAGCCCATGTTAAGACCCACAAGACCTTGGAAGGAACAATTCTTCAACTGGGAACGGGCCAATTGAAAACAGACAAGATCGTGGTTTCCACCCTGAAAGAAGCCTGGGGTTTGAAATCTCTAATGGAGCAAGGCCAAATCAAGGATGTGCTTTTCAGTTTGCCTGTGGTCAGAACAAGACTTCAGGAACTTGTTGATCTTGGCGAGAAGGTTCAAAACTTGCGTCTTATGTTGGATAATCTGGAGCAGTTGGACATCCTTGCCGACTTCAGCAAGAAGAACAGCATCACCAAGAAATGGTCAATTTTCGTGAAAATCAACATGGGAACCAACAGAGCCGGGTTTCTCAACAGCTCTGTTGAGGCCCTTATGGAGAAATTGCTCAATAGTGGAGTCAAGGACTACGTAAGTCTGTATGGCTTCTACTGTCATGCAGGTCATTCCTATGCTTCCAAGACCGAGCAAGAGGCCCAATCGTTCCTCCTTGCCGAAATAAAGAGCGGTAACGCGGCCTGCAAACAGGCTCTGGCTTTGGACCCTTCTTTGAAGCTCCAAATTTCCGTTGGAGCAACTCCAACGGCGCATGCTTCTCAGAACTTTGACCTCAGTTCTGCTGGTGAGCTCTTCGGAGCCCTGGAACTACATGCCGGAAACTATCCGTTTTGCGATTTGCAACAAATGTCCACCAATTGTGTCAAACTGGAAGACGTTTCTTGTAAAGTGATTGCTGAGGTACTTTCTACCTACAACGGAAGAGGCTCCAAGGAACCTGGCGAACAGCTGATCAATGCTGGTGTCATTGCTCTGGGCAGAGAAGTGGGTCCTCTACCAGGTTTTGGGAGAGTCTACTCCCCAGTCGGTTATGAAAACTGGATTGTGGGAAGATTAAGTCAGGAACATGGTATTCTGACTCCTCTGGAAGATAACAAGGATACCAGGATGATTCCATTGGGGACCCAAGTGGGTGTAATTCCCCAGCACAGTTGCATCACTGCTGCGGCTTATCCTTGGTACTTTATCACGGATGGGTCAGATAAAGTTGTAGATATCTGGGTTCCTTTTAGGGGCTGGTAATTAGGTCTGCAATGTAGTTGATAATTCTGCTGGTCGAACGGTGATTGAGTCGTGGTTTATAGGTGATCTGGTGGACATAGTTGTATAATGGACACAGCTGTCAGATAATGAAAGTATAATGCACATAAAATGCACATAAAAAAATACAAAAAAATACAAAAAAATGTGCCAAAAATACAAAAACTCTATCTATAAATTTTGGATATATTTGGCGTAAATTATTAGTTTTTTTTGGCCAGAAAACAACCCTAAATCAGTCATACAATAGCCATCTTATACTCACTCGCTTGTCACTTCAGCCCACAAAAATCCTCAACTACTAAGTTGACTCTCCTAATCCATACTTTTAATAGTGAATCAATTACAAACTGTCTTCAACTCCAGACAACTCGTCAAACACTGGTACATACTTCTTCCAGACACTTACGTCCATCTCCTGGTTTAAGGGAGGTCTTCCGATCAACGTCTCTCCAAAGCCATATTTGTGCTTCAAAGCATATTTCAGTCCCAAAAGATTGGTAGCAGCAGTCATCTCGTTAGCCTTGGTGATTAAATCTTGAAGTTTGGCAGCCTCGACCAGCTTGCCCTCGCTGAACAGCTTTCCAATCTCAACCATGCATTTGGGGAAAACGTTCGAGATGCCGTCAATGGCCCCGTTAACACCAACAGACATTGAAGGCACAAGCACTTGACCAACACCAGAAAGAGGAGTGAAGTTTTTGCTCTTCAAAGTCTCACTTTGGCCCAACATCGTGTACAGAGGAAAGTTGAAGTTGGTGAGCTTGCATCCAATAATGTTCGCGTGGCTACCGATCTTGGTAAATGAGTCGATAGTGAGGTCAATTCCATTTTGCACTCCGGGATAGTTGTAAACGATCACGGGCAATGGCGACTTATCGCCTAGCTTGTGGAACCAGTCAACAAGTCCATCCTGCTTGGTGATGGCTGGGCCGTAATAACCAGGAACAAGCACAATTATGGAGTCACTTCCAGCTTCCTTGTAGGCAGAAGCCTGCTCACATATGTCCGGAATACAGGCTCCAACAACTCCGGTGATAATCCTGAATTTAGGGTCTGCAATGGCATCGTGGATGGCCTTAACGATTTGTGCTCTCTCGCTCAGAGTCAGGTGTACAGCCTCTCCGGTGGACCCAGCCACCAAAACTCCCGACACACCAGCTTTGTAAAGAACTTTGGCATGTTCTACTTGAGTTTCAAGGTCAAGAGTTTTGTCTTCGTCATCGTGAAAAAAAGTAGGGACGGGAGAGTAAATCCCTGGTTGGAGCGATTTTTCGACAGTCATGGTGATTTATCGTGCTACACCTCTTATCACAAGCGTAAAACCAGTTCCGAGCCAGAATAAACGAGCCCGAGCCTCCGAAGCATTATATATAATCCGACCCACCCCCCGATATGAGAACGCAGGAAAGTGGGTCGGATCAGAAGTGGCAGTAGATAGTGGTGCTCCCCCCACCAAATGGAGGGAGGAATCTCTGATGCGTCTCGATCGCGCCGGATAAAGTGGGACAGAAAGGGCTGAAGATGGAGGCGAAAGTGGGATCACTCTCAATCGGGAGATAACTTTTAGTGAGGTTTGGGTCTTCACATAAATACAAATACATTCATATATATATAGCTAAATGGTTATATATTCATAATAGCTTTCTTCCGTTATTAATTTTCATACATATCGACGCAAAGAGTGTCATCACTCCCCATGCTTTTCCGGACACAGGTGCCCAGCAACTTTCCGTATTCCCTACCAGTCTCCCATCTGCATCTTATGTAGCTACGGCTGAGAATTGAGAGCAATCCCACCAAGTTGTTCACATTCTTGATACTGGGCAAAGCCTCGGCAAACTCTTTGATGGTCTGGCCGTATGAAACGGAATTCATAGTGTGCAAGGAACCAAGTGATTTCCCTGTCAACTGGGCAAACTCGTTTCTAATCCGTCTAAGATATGTGCATGCATCCTCCATTGCAGGAACGTATTCCCCATCAACTCTGAAATTTGATTTTGAGGAATAAAAGAAGGATTCCGGCCCGTAGAGATGGAATGAGTAGACCCAAAGCGACAAAACGGCCGAAATGACCACGTTAGGGCGGTATATGAATGGATCTTTGTTGGGCTCATAAACGAAGTTCACAGGTTCTGCGGCACCTTCTGGAGAAATCATCATTTCGCACAGCAAAATATAAGAATTTACCACACAAAGTCGCCCAGCTAGAGAGTTGGCCCATTTGGTGACTCTTCGCGCCACGATCTCGTAGTCTTCTGGCAGAATTGGTACATTCATTCTTTTCGGAGCACCAGCATAGACGATGTAATCGTAATGAGTAACTTTCTGGAATATCTGGGCGGCATGGAACTCGGGAAACTTGCACCGCAGGTCTCGAGGTTGCAATGAGCCCGGAATAGTAGACGGATTTACATCTGAATGATAAACACATGAAGAAGTGATGCAACAACTTCCCTCCGGTAACTGAGTTCTCCAGTTATCCAATGCTGCACCAATGGTTTCAGTCCACCTCTCCTTTACAGAATCCCAGCCAAGAATCGAGAGTTGGGAGTCCTTCTCTCTAGCTTGAAGAGTTAGGTTGAGTAGACCAGCTAGAAGAATTTTGCGTCCGAATATACCAGTCTGAACAGTTTCTTTTTGCAACAATCTCTTCAATGCTTCTGAAAATAACGGCATTTGAACAACAGAATTTGGAGCTTCGTTCCTATCCACGTTATCGTAGTCCCAAAACTCATCAGGACACGGTAGTGACAAGTTGATCTGGTAGGCATGCACGTTCACTGGATGGCCGTATACAACAGCATTCATTGTATCCACATAGAACGACATCCACGCTACTCTTTTCATAGACTCGCTCTCGATCCAGGTCCTCCAAAGAGTATTGGAATGACTCGGATCAGAGCTAACATCCTTTGAGGGGTCTCCGCCTAATATTGGACTTCTTCTCAACAACTGGATTTTTGCTCCGTTATAAATGCAAGCTCTTTCATGGAGCGTTCGCGAGGTTTTGGTGATCTCGTATGTTTCCAATATCAACAAACTTTGAATGACCCACGATTTACACGCGGGCTTCGCTTCCTCACAAGAAAAGATCAGCCAGCGAAGCGGGTCTGCTATCATGTCTGCCAGCTCATCCGGAGCCACCAGATTGAAATTGTCGGACGAGTTTGAACTCTTGGAAAACGAAGCTCCAATCATAACCATACTAAGCAGCAGCAAGGGATGAACCTGAAATGTTGAGAACGAAGGTCTGTGTAGAATGGGGTATTGTGAATGGTACATCAACCAATACAACTCCAGAAAGTATTTGATCTTTGGAATCTCAAAATCGGGATGGTTTTGAAGTGATGGGATGTATCCTAGCATGCTGACAATGAGCGTTTCATCCACATCGCTCTGGTAGTTGGCCGTGGGAAACTCGGGAGTGATAGCAAAGATCTCTTTGAGCATCGAAATAGTTGAAGATCCCAAATGACCATCATAATAATCATGAAAAGCACCGTTTTCCGGATGAGCAGAGTTGCCGCTGCTATCTGGAGAAAGGTTTGCAGGATCCCTCATCAACCATTTGATCAGGTGTGAGGGAGATAGTGGAGTCGAAGCAGGCAATTCAACACCCAATGATGGATCTCCTGCTGATTCGTTTGCAACAGGAGTAGTGTTCAGCCCTTTGGGATCAGTCTCCGGAGGGTTTGAACTTTGAAGCAGGGTATCGAGGGAACTGTTGTCAATGTTGTGTGAGGCATTTTGCATCATTGCAAGAGCACCATTACTCGCTTGAGAGTACACTTCGGGGGTGATGAACTGGACCTTCAAGCTGCTGGGGCTGATTTTCTTGGTTTCGCCTTTTGTAGTGGGTATTTCCTGCAAGGAGAAGGATGTTGTAAGTCTTTCTGGTGTCTGCGATGCTGTGGAAGTTGTGCTAGGAGTCACCGTATTGGCTTTTTTGGGCCTGTTCTCTCTGTCAGCATGCCTACTCTGGTGCTTCTTCATCACATCATGTCTAGTGAAAAGTCGCGTGCATCCAGGCCATTCGCACTGAAACCTGTTATCGACGCTGTGGTTCAGACTGTGTCTTGCCATGTGATCCGATCTTGAAAAAATCTTCCCACAACCTTCAAACGTGCACTCAAAAGGCCCAGTGCCTCTCTTTCGTCTTCGCGTGCTCGTGCTCATCAAGTGGTGGAACTATGTGTTTTTTCTTCACGGAAAAGGTCTATGGAAACATGCTCTCAACAAGCAAATTCAGGCTTTCTTTGTCTCTAACAGGTGGGGACACCAAAATTTCCACAATTTCCGCTCTAGAAACAAATTAGACACGATTTGTGAGATATTCCTCTTGTTTCTCGTGGAGTTTGATATCAGAAGTGCTTTAAAAGAATTCTGATTCCCCAATGGCACTGGGAAGTCACACAAGACAAGAATGATGAATTCAAGCCACGAATCTCAAATAAAAACAAGAAGAAGAGGCTCTGCCAGTTAATCGAATAGCAGAGTTGGTCTCGTTTCGGAACAAGTAAGATACGTAGAAAAGCACCAAGTAACGCAACCTAATGTCTTGTTCTCTTCCGGCATTCATTGTTGGCATGCGGCTAGGACTGGCCGATTCTCTGATTTTTGGGCAACCTTCCGGGGGTAAATTCCGGTTGTCGGTTTTAACAATCGGTCTACCGCGATCACGTGCCGATTAACTCTGTGTAAGAACGCCTGAAAGTTATCTTTTTTTTTGATCTTTATACACGAGATTATGAGGATGTTGTTGATGACTCAAAAAGTATCAGAGGTGAACGCACTGGACCTGGCTCCTACTATCACGAGACAATAGAGGCTGCCTTGATCGATATAGCGGTCTGGTCTCACAGATTGCACTCACCCGGCCAAGGGTTTTCGGGTAACAAACCGACTTGAATCCGGCACCCGGTACTGACGCGGCGGCGAGCTCTTATTCTAAATGAGTGGTACACGAATTGGACGGTTACAAAAGCATTGAGATCAATCTTTATCGTGGCCAATCAGATCCTGTCTTGGGAATATCTTACCACCCTAAACATTCAAGCTACAGATCTGTTGCCGATTAGCAAAATTATACTTTTGGAAACCTTTGAAGTTAGTTCGAAAGGTGTTTCAAAGCTATACTGGGGGCCCCATGCAGTTTTGCTGCCAACATAAGCGTTGATGGGGTGCACCATGCCTCGTTTGCAACGACCTTTGGAGGCGGGGAATTGCAGTCATCCGGGGTCAAGGCATGTTCGTAGCCGTAGGTCATCATGACGTATCTAGAGGGGTTGATAACATATTTATCAACATACTTAATTTTGAAGAATGAAGCGGTCAGATCACCGTCCGGCAAATTTCAAGCTCTGGGCGGTAATGCTGGAAAGTTGCCGTAAGTGACCCCACCAGTCCGGAATGCCTAAAGACAGGACCCCAAGCGTCAAACCAATCTCGCCGAAATATGATTACGCGTGATATATCCAGTGATCACTGGTGGGGGACCTGAAGACGCTGCCGTTCTTTTAACCGGTAAACAGGTGCCGTAGAATTCGATAAGACCAATGGTGTGATTGGCACTATGCGATGCATGTCCGCTTGGTGGGGGACCAGCGATAAGAGCATACAGAGAGATAAACCGAGAGTGGCTTCTATCGGATGCTCGATCAAAGAATCCAACACGCACACTTAAATAGACACTTATTCCAGACTCTAGAGATTATAATTTACAACTAAAGGCCCCAAACACAAACTTCTCTCAATATTTGAATGAACATGGAATCCAAGGCGCAAGGATCTATCGACGTCGTCTCGCAAGTCTCCAGCGAGAGCAAGAACGCTAAGAGCCAGAAGCTGGTTGGCCAGGAGGAAATCGAGGAGGTTAAGATTTACGACCACAAGCTCGAAAGACGGCTATGCATGAAGTTTGACTTCAAGATTTTGCCTCTGATCGCGATTATGTATCTGTTCAACGCTTTGGACAAGGGTAACATTTCCAATGCCAAAACCGACGGCTTGGCCGTGGACTTGGGAATCGAGGGTCAGCAATGGAACAACATGTTGTCCATTTTCTACATTCCTTTTGTTTTGTGTGGTTTTCCTCTGTCTCTGGTGATCAAGAGATACAATGCTGCCAACGTGATTCCGATTCTGATGTTCACCTTCGGAAGTATTACTCTTCTTGCGGTTTCCGTTTTCGACTACGGCTCTTTGATGGCTGCCAGATGGTTCTTAGGTATGTGTGAGTCTGCCTTTTTCCCAGGTATCATTTACTACTTGAGTACTTTCTACCGTCGTGGTGAACTTGCCAGAAGACTCTCTATCTTTTACGCAGCTGCAAACATCGCCAATGCCTTTTCTGGTCTTCTATCGTTCGGTGTGTTCCAAATCAACAGCAGCAAGCTCAAGGGCTGGCAGATTCTTTTTCTGATCGAGGGTGCTTGTACTGTCGTTATTGCTGTTTTTGCATTCCTGTACCTTCCTAGAAGTGTTGAAAAGGCAAAATTTTTGACCGAGGAAGAAAGAGAGTGTGCCATGTGGAGAGTCAGAACCGATTCTTCGTCTGCATCAGGCGAGTCCATTTCCTTCAAGGATGCCGTCAAGGTGTTCAGCCATCCTGTCGCAATTGCTTGGATGTTCCAAGAAATTTTCATTGGTGTTCCATTGAACTCTATCAACAATTGGTTCCCCCAAATTGTCCAGTCGCTGGGTAAGGGCACCGTCATGACTAACCTGTACACCGTTGCACCAAACGTCTGGGGTGCCGTTGCGCTCATTGTTCTCTGTTTTTCTTCGGATTTTGCACGTGTCAGGTCGGTTTTCATCATCATCGGTGTTGCGGTTAGTTTGATTGGTTTCGTGGTGTTTGGATGCATAGAGACGCAGAACCACATTGGTGTTGCTTACTTCTCATGTTTCTTGATGGTCACTGGTGCATCTTCTTCTTCGGTGTTGACCTCCACCTGGTACAACAACAATACTCCTAATGAAAACCGTCGTGTGGTTATTTCAGCTGTTGGTGTTCCTCTGGCTAATGCTGCTGGTTTGATCTCTACCAATATTTTCAGGGCCAAGGACGCACCCAAGTACGTTCCTGCTCTTGGTATCACCGCAGGTTTCGGTGGGGCTGCTATTTTGCTGATTTTGTGTATTTTGGGATTTATGGTGTTTGACAACAGACGCAGAAACAGGGCACAGGGAGTTAATCTGACTTACAGAGACGTTCCTACCTATTTGCTTGCTGATGGACCTTCCAATCCTAATTACAGATGGATGTACTGAACGCCTGGTTTTTGTTTCTCTAATTTTTTTCGCAATACAGTATTTTCAAGCTTTTTGTAAGGTTTCCTGGGAGCCACTTGCTGCTGGGGTGCATTTTAAATTAATGGCGTGATATAAACGTGCACTTTAAGTGTGAGGTAAGGTGCCTGCAGACTCCATGTCGATGGTGGTGTTCTTGGAATTTGTGATTGTTCCAACAAATAATTCTGCTCTGATACTTTTACTTTGATCTGTTGATAGTAACAAGTAAATTGCAAGCAATTACCAAAGAATTGCTCCAAGATTCAGGTTCCTGGTTAGGATTTGGCCTTCTCACTGAACGGACTATCCAATACCATACTGATTGCTTGTGATTGTATACGATTGGCTAATTTGCCTGATAATTTGCCTATCTTGAATTCTGGATAATTCGAAAATTATAATGGTACAAAAGTATGAAATCAATAATCATCTTCGGTTATTGGCGAAGTTTTTAACTAGATGCCAGTCTAAGTGCATGCTTGCGAACTACTAATGCTACTACACTTCTTTGGTTCAAATTTACCGGATTAAAACTTACTCAAGAGTAGCAATCGCCTCCAATTCGTACTTGATAGCAGCATCCATAAAGGCAACAACCACACAACTACGGGCTGGCTTTTGGGGAAAGTATTGCCCATAGATCTCGTTTACCACCTTGGAGTATTCGGCATGCGAGATGAACATCGTCACCTTGAAGACCTTGTCAAGCGAAGAACCACCAGCCTTCAAAACAGCCTCCAAATTCTTGATGGCAAGATGCACCTGGTCTTCCACTTTTTCAGGCGTCTCACCAGTAGCGTAGTTTGAACCAATGATTCCAGAGGTAAAGACATGTCCGTTGCTGACGAAACCTGGCGACAGGGTGGGGTGTTCCTTACCCTCAATTGACTTCCATGTGATCTTTTCGGCAACCATTATTAGTGAAGATGTGTTAAATTGGAGATTTAAATCCGCTGACCGGGAGGAGATCAATGACAAGTTTGGTTTTATAGCCTTGGAGACGAAAAGCATGGGGCATCTCGAAATTTCAGTGGGGGGACTAGTGGGCAGCCTGGGCTGCTCCCCCACCAAAACACGCCATCAGGACAAACGGATCTGTCTAAAGACTAGTTGCGGGGTCCAGTTGAGGATGTCTATTGAATTTTTTTAATAAAAAGAAATCGTATCAAAACTGCGAGCGTAGTTGGGTGTCTATATTGACAACTTGATCTTAGTAAAAATCGCCCAATCATGTTTTCCCATTCATTTGCAATTGTCAGTGATAGTGCGTCGGAGTTGGAAGCCGAATAGCTTGAAATAATAGCCATGCTGATAATTTATCACATCAGTTGCTTATCATCCAACGTGCATCAAGAAGGACCAATTTCTGCATGCTGTGCAGTAAGTTGCCTCTATGTTTTCCGCTCCGATACCGGAGGGAGGTCGTTTTTAAACGTTTGTGGTTCTGAAAGACTGAAAATTGGTTATTGAATTCCCCAAAAAAAACGGAAAAAGGATACGCATTATCCGATTGGCCTCTTTGTTTCAAGTAGAAAGCCATTACCAAGAATTTTGATTTGAAGTCTTGAAGTAATCTGTATTTCAGCCACAATAATTGATCTCTGCAGTGTGCGATGTCTTAGTAATCTTTTCAAAGCACACCAGCGGTGACCTGATACCGATATTCATTCCACGGAGCCTTCCAGGGCCTTTGATAGTGTCACAGAGCCCACAAATACTCACTTCCTTACACTAACGGAAGCAACAGCCCAACTTGATCCAAAATGTTCCTCCAATCATTTTGTGAACTGAAGCTTTCTGTTGATGCAAATCCCAGAAATCCGGAAGGATCATCAATGCACAGATCGTAGATGTTCCATATGGATTGAATAGCCTGCTTAAGATGAAGAATCGTGCTGAAAGGCCATTTTTTCCTTAGCACCCTGAGAATTTCTATCACAGCGAGCCTGTTAGTCTCTCCTACAGAAGTGTTCACTAGGCATGATGACAAAATCAGAAGGCTCCAGCTGGGAAAAAATACCTTGGAGTTCACCTTGCTGAGCTTCATCAGGACCTCGGAGAGCTCGGGTATCAGCGACTCCAAGGTCTTTCGGAACATGTAATATGCTCGGAGTTTTCCCATAGATAAAAGAGTGCAGAGGTAGACCTTCGTCCCAAGAAAATAGGCATGAGCACAGAGTTCCAGCTCCGTGGAATTCTCAGACGACTTTTGGTCCAGATTGCAAAGGGCTTCCCATATTTCCATGTACTTTGCTTCCAAATCTTCTATCTCAATGGTATTGAGGTCATGAAGATGGTTCAGTGAGGCAAGCTGATAGATAGTGTAGAGAAGACGGGGAGAGCACCCGAACATATGGTCGATTGTGTCGTTATCGAAGAACGAACCGAGTGTGTTCCACTGACACTTTTCCACAAAATCAGTGAATTTGTTGCTTTTCAGAGTGCAAATCAGAAAGACATATCTCAAACTGAAATATCTGTAGACAAACATCAGAACATTTGAGCTCAGGATCTGGTCTGGTTCCAAAGACGAAAACACCAGGCATCCCTCTTTCATGAGGTTTGCCCAATTTTTGTCACAACTATTGGCAATCTCCGAGGAACACAATATCATTATTGTAACCACAAGCTCTTCCAGAGTTTTGAGTTCAGAGATGTCGTGGTTGTCGAGAATGAGGTGAAGCTCATTGATGGCCTGGTCCTTGAACTTTAAAAATAGCGTTTGATAGGTACCGATTAGGGCAGCATTCGGTTTCTTGGTATTTTTTTCCTGCTTTAGAAGATCTATAGCAGACATGCACAAAACTGATTGGTATAGGGCAGCGAAATCATTGCAACGAGGGATGATAATGGAGAAAAACTCATTGAAAGTGTTGTTGGAGTCGGAGAAGGTCCTGGTCATGCTAATGTTTTTGATGTAATGTTCGAAGAGATAGCCCGGAGATGTTTCGTACACTTCAATAAGTTCGGTATCATCTTCTTCGTCATCTGAGTCACTTTTCTTGAAAAGCGTATTCAATTTCGGGGTCAAGTGTGATTCAGAGGTATCCTTGAAGTAGTAACTCAAACTGACCTCCCATAGCGAACAGTTGATGAGCGGTAAAAATGAGCTTTCTTTGCTCAAATTCAAAAAGTTCTGACCACCAGCTGTTATCTGGTGAAGCTTATTCCAATTCAAAAGCAACTGGTAACTGCATTCAAGATTCAGTCTTGTACAATTTGAGCATCTAGGTCTGTCCTCGTCACACTTCTTCTTTCGTCGTTTGCAAGACAAGCACCCCGAACGGGTTTTTTTCATGCCTCTCAAGTTGGAATGCACGGCATGTTTGGCCATGTTTGGCTTTTAGTATTATGTTTTAGCGGTGGTCTCTTCTAGGAAAGTTGTTGCAGTTGTCTCCGCAATACATATGTAGACTTGATTAGCAATTGTAGGGCTCATAACGGCTGAGATAAGCAGTTTTGTGGGAACGGGTCCTAGAGATCTAGGCTTATCGGAAGAACGAGAGAGTTTTCGTAGAAGTGGCCACATGCTTGTATGGCTGATTATATTAGTCACACCACAATATGTCTTCAAATCGACCCATTTTTCGTTCTTCAATAGTGTAAGCATCATCTGCGCTCCAGTTTTGGGCTCATCATTCCGGCCGAAGTCGGTCCAGCTGCGGTCGGACCTGCACCGAACGTTTTATCGGCTCGCGTGGAAGTTGAGACCGCGCGCTTTTAGTTGCCGTCTCAAAAATTACCTCACCCTATCGAGTCTATATATATAAGACTTTATCAAAGGAACTGTCGGCACAATGATGACCTTGAGCAACGAACAAGCTGAATAAAAATGCCCGGTTCCGTCCTTGTGGTTGGATGTGGTGTCTTTGGACTAGCTACTTCGAGAAGTTTGGCAGAGAAAGGGTACTCGGTGACCGCCATTGATGCCTACGAGCCGCCTTCCCCATGGTCTGCTGCCAACGATTACAATAAGATCATTAGGGGGGAGTACACCGATATGATCTACTCGAAGATGAGTGTCGAGGCAATCGACCTGTGGCGCAACGACCCCGTTTTCAAGGGATTGTACAATGAGTGTGGTAGGCTCATGATCACCCCAGCCCACCATGTTGGAAGAAAGGAGTTTGAGAGAAAAGGCATCGAAAACCTCAACAAATTGGGTGAAGGCTTCAGAATGGAATATTTCCAAGGTGGCAATGAGGTCTCGGAGAGGTTTGACTTTTTCAAGTACAATCTCATGGCAAATGAGGAGGAGTCCAAGTTCAATCCGGATTCGGGACTGGCTCACGCTGGAAACTCGCTGAGAGCAGTGTATCGCAAGTGCAAGCAACTCGGTGTGAAATTCCTCTTTGGTAAAAAAGGCGAATTTGTTTCTGTTGAGAAGAAAAAAGGTATTGCCTATATCAAGACCGCCGATGGTTCGTTGCACACTAGTGAGCAGATTGTCGTTTGCTGTGGAGCGGCAACAGGCAAAATGCTTGATCTGCAGGAGCAACAGGGAGCCACAGGTTTGTTCGTCACTCACATTAAATTGACTCCCTCGGAGTATGAGACCTACAAGAACATGCCTGTTCTCTTTGATGCTGAGATGGGATACTTTTTCCCTCCTGACCCTGAGACTAGGATTTTGAAGATTGCCCAACCAGGTGCTGGTGCTTCTCATTTTGTTAAGAACCCTCACAATTCGGGCAAGAAGATATCCCTGCCCAGATACCATAATCTCCACCCCACTGATACAATGCCGAAGCATTGCATAAAGCAAACGAAACAGATACTAGCCAAGTATATTCCTGAGTTGGCCTATCATGAGCTCTTCGACAGCAAAGTGTGTTGGGTTGCAGATACAGCCGATTCGCACTTTATCGTCGACGGAGTTCCAGGTTATAGCAATCTTTATGTTGCTACCGGTGATTCTGGACATGGCTTCAAGTTTTTGCCCAACATCGGAAAGTACATCGTTGGTATGTTGGAAGGGAATCTTGATGAGGAGTATGGGTCGCAATGGAAATGGAAGACGTCAGCCAAGGGCTTTGATCCGGTATCTATGGACTGGAGAGTTGCTTCTGAGTTCCCAGATCTGAAAAATGTTGATTGGGTACAAGAGCAACCAAAGGCAAAATTATAGATATAGAAAAGTACACTTCACTTCATTTATATGTTTTTTCATATGGAAGACCAATGCAGGCCATTCTGGTAATTTTCATAGACCTAAAACCAAGTATATTCGTTGAGGTAAAACACGGAAGAAAATCAGGAACTCAAAACAATAAATATAAAAATGTGAATTTATTAATCAAACTTGTGGCAAACGTCTAGACAGACTATAGATCATATCTGAGCTCGGGGTTCTGCATATCAGTCAAATCAGCAAATGCGATGTTGTCTGGAACGACATACTTCTCGCCCATCTCAATTCTTCTCTTGTCGCGGAAGTTGTTTCTGGAACGGTAGATCATATACATCACGGCCATGGCAATGGCACCCACACAGTATGAAACCAACATGGCAGTCTTAGCACCAGCATAGCCTGGGGCCTGAGACTCTCTGAAGGTCTGAGGTCCAATCATGTTACCAACACAATAGCCAATCAGAAAGAAAGTACCCACGGCAACCTTCTTCGTGTGACCAGCAACGTTTGAAGAGACAATAGAGGCCATACCAGCCATACAGGTGGTGGATGTATAGAGAAGGTAGTAACCAGTCAATCTAGAGCCCTTGGGAGATGTGAATGTCAGCAAACACGAACCAACCACACAGAGCAAGTTGACGAGGATCATAGATATCAATCTCTTGTCTCTCAGCACCTTGTGGTTCAAAATAGCAACAGCAGGAGGGATTATCACATCAATACCACCACCTGGCATGTTCATGAGCATCGACTGGCCCGTGGAGAAGTTGAAATCGTCGTTCAGCAAAATAGAACCGAAATTATTGAGACCACCGTTAGGAATGGCGTAGGTCAATGCGTAGATGAAAACCAAATAGGTGATTGGATCCTTGAAGGCTTCTATGAGCTGAGGCGTCTTGAGACGATGATTACCAAATCCCTGTTGGTTTTGTCTGCTTCTCTCCACGCAGTATTTCTTGTCGGTCTCGTTCAAGAACCAAGCCTTGACGGGGACATCGGGAATGTGGAACAACGAGATAACACCCATCACCAGCGTTATAACACCGGTTATGATATAAAAGAGCCTCCAGCTAGCCAATGTATGGTCGCCCGTTCTCATTGTGTAAAGCCCATGTGCAATACCAGCTCCGAGAAGAGTTCCAAGACCTTGGGATCCGTACCAGAAACACGTTCTCATGAACTGTTCGTCCTTCTTGTACCATTGCGAGGTCAACAAAATGTAGGCTGGGTTCATGAAGCCCTCAAAAATTCCGAGCAGAGTACGACAAAGAAGAAAAGTTGCGGCTCCCTGGCAGGCAGCATGGCACATAAGAACGATACCCCAAATTAAGATGGCTGCAGTCAATACTTTTGATAGCGGCCATTTCTGAAGAACGACACCTGCTGGATATTCAAATACTAGATATCCGAGATAAAAGGAAGAGCCAACCCAGGTATACTCCTCGGCGCTCATGTGGAGATCAGTTCTAAGGCCCATAATAGCTGCGTATGAATTGGTAGTCTTATCCATCATTTGGCAGGACATCAGGATCGCGATCATAGGCATAATATACCAATCGATTTTTCTGACGAGCTTTTTCTCGTAAACAGGGTCGATAACCAGGTTTTCAGATTCGGCAGCATACTGCAAAGCGTCATCATAATCAGAGGGCTTCAAGTCAATGACCTCTCCGTTGACTGAGAGCACGGTGGTCAGCTGAGGCTGAACCTCCACCTCAGCAACGGGAGTCTTGTCGATGATACTGGGGCTGTCGATGGAGCTCGACATGTTAGAAAATCTGAGTATGGACAGTAAAACAAGCTAACCGGTTACCCATTCTTGAGAGCCATTAAAGGCCTTTTATATTTCACTTTCGAAGAACTGGTTTATCGCTGATAAGAGCTTTTTCAAGGCAATTGAATGCGCTCGCCAGAAATTTTTGCGCGCTTTCAGTTGCCCCAATTATTTTAGCCATACCCCGATTATGCAAAGTGCTAAATCTCCAATTCAATTCATTTCTTATGTATGATGGCCACTGAGCGATTTTTGGGGCATGACCCGAATACGTTGCTGCTGATTATTGAAAAGACTTAAAAAAGGATTTTTTTCAAGCTGTTCATGAGTTTTGGTGCTGCAAATTGGGCGGTCTGATAGATATGCCCGATAGGTTCGATGGGGGTGTTCAAAGACGTTTGTGCCTGCCCAATCTGTGCTCCAGGGCCAGAGGTCATCGCCATTCCCGACTCCTCCGGTCCAGTCTCGGTTCAGAATCCGAGGGGAAAGATGTCCGGTCCACTAACGTAGGAATCTTTTGGATTTCTGGACCTAATTTGCTGCGAATGGTATTCGGCTATTCGCGTTGATTCCTGCCTTCAACCTGCTAGCAATGGACGAATCTTCGAATTGCTTTGGTATCTAATGCGTGAGGTCTAGTGTTGCCTCTGTTCTTTCTCGTTTGACAGTGTCTCTATCATGATTTGCAGTGGATTTGTGTTTTGAATGTGGGAACAGTCACAAAAGTGTTCTGAGGTCGTACAAAAATATTTTGACAATTTCTGGAAATTACAGTTTTTCTCAAGAAAATGATCATTTAAAAAATTGCGTATTTTGCAAAATTTGGGTCATGTTACCGAGTTTATCTTTTGGAAGTTTGAAACTCAACTTAATACTGATTCAACTGCTAATCTGTCAGAGATACCTGAGCCTTTTTAATGGTAATCTAGAACATTCATCATTTCAGTTTGTTCCTCGTAGGACACCAGTTTGGTTCATGCCATCACGTTGAAGACGATAAGCGATAAGAATGTCGTGTACGGTTGAAGTTTGAAATCGCTTCCCATTCGCTGATTCTAACATGATAAGTGAGGTCTTTTCTTTTACTGGGATGTTTAGCCTTATATCATTTCCTAAAATATAACAGTGGTTTCAATGACAACAACCATACGTACACGAACTGGATGCTGGACTTGCAAAAGACGGTAAGTTAAAGACAACCAAGATATTTAGGCTAGTCTTGGAGGGTGTGTAATCGACCCTGGAGGGCCAGTGGTTGAAACCCATTTCGAATAAACTTATTAACAACCCGTTTTTTAGCCACCGTAAGTGCGATGAGGCAAAGCCGTATTGCGTGAATTGTACAAGATCAGGAAAGGTGTGTTTGGGGTACGGTGTGAAGCTGGCTTTCGATGTGGACGATAGCAGGCATACGGCTCTGAAGAAAGATTCGAAAGGAAGAGATGTTGTCGGCTTTCGTGGAAGGCCCCGTTTCAACCATGAAGGGACCACTGAGCCTTCAATAGTGGCCAGTATTGTGCCCAAGAAGAAGGTGGGGAAGCCCACTAATACCGAGCTGAGGCCTGTCTTCGAGTATGATCGAAAGACGTCTGCTGATTTCAAAGCAAAGCCTACTCTACCGGCTATACTGCAGTCTCAAACTCCACATGAGTCCTCAATGGTGAACCAGCAATCCGTGGTCAATTTCCACGGAACCTCGCTTACAGGACCAGGCTTTCTCACGTCAAGTGCAATTCTTGGATGGCTGGCAGATTTCGACTCGTCTGCTACACTGACCAAGTTTATTGAAGATGTTGATAACGACCAGAGTCTGGGACCTCAAGCCCAAATTTCGGACGCTCGTATTACTTCCACAGAAATTGCTCCTAGTTCCAGAATCAGATTGCCCCCTTCAAGTCAAGAAAACCGACTGCTTGCCCATTATTTTTCATCTTTGTTGCCTCTATTTGATAATCTGGTGCAATCTCCAATTCCTCGAATGACAATAAAGTTTTGTGATGCTGAGCTTGCCAAAAGCTGTTTCATTGCACTTTCGAGTATGCATATGTTTGCTAGAGAGAACAGACAAAACTTTCATCAGTCGAGCATCCAGCATATAGACAAGACAATGGACCATTTCATAACCAACTTCACTATTCCAGAAACGTCATTGGTAATGGGTCATCCACAAAACGGGAGAATTGTGGATACCGTGATTGAGCATTTGCGACTTCATGACCAAAAGCAGATGTCGAGACTGCTCGTCCTACTAGCCATCGTGCACACCAACTTACTATTCATAGTTCTAGATTCAGGCAGATCTGCGATATGTGACGTCTTTTTTGAAATTGTTGGGCAAATTACCAGAGACGAGGAGCTCCTTAGTCTTTGCCAATGCGTCAAAGAGAGTTCCTTCGTCATTGCAACGGTTTCGTGGTTTGATATATGCACCGCTCTGACTTCCCAGAAAGTGCGAAATGTGTACGCTTCTCGGAAATGGATCAGTGACTACGGGGATACTATATTCATTCTATTTGGATGCCCCGCTAAAATATGTGAAGCGTTGGTGGACATGATAGAATTGAGGTGTACAATGACCAAAGATAAGAGTGGTTCTAAGCAGTCCATCGAATACCAGTACCACAGGATAAAGAGCTCGTTGCTGAACTACCGTGAGTATGCTACACAAACTACGTACTACAATTTCAGGGAGGCAATGAAGGGGTCACATTGCTGGAGTATGGCTTCAATCACCTATTTGAACAGATTGGTTCCTTCCAAAGAACGGGAAATGGAAAACAAATGGCTGGTGAGCGAGTTCATCGCGACCTACCAACAATTACCCCAGAAGTCAAAGATGGTCGCCCAGATGCTTTGGCCGCTCTTCCAGATAGGGTGCGAATGTGAGGCCGAAGAAGACAGAACTGCCATAATGTCATTTCTGGAAGTCTTGTACTTGAACAATCGAATGGGAAATGTGACCACTTTGATTTCATTACTCAGATGGACCTGGTCATCGGGGGTCAATTATAGCGAGGTTTTAAGGGGTTCTTCCTGGCTAGGAGCCGGAATTGAGCTTATGCCAGTCTGATATTATTACTTTGTGAGAATCTCGGGCAGCCTTGGATGTCCAACCTTATCCATAGATACCCAAGATAAACTCTTCGATCGGCAAAAAAGAATAGTCCTTGAATAATTTTAGTGCGTTGGGCAGTAGTCTCGATTATCCACTTTTAGGCTGTATGCAGCAAATGGAAAAACTTTTATGACTCCACTGAACTTCCAGGTTCTTGTAATTCGAGGGGCTCTAATTGGTATAGATTAGATACGGTACAGATCAACTCTACTTCTCGTTGAAAACTTCCTTACCTGGTCTGTCATTATCAGCAGGTCACTGATAAGGTGGGTGGAGCTTCCCAAAATGGAAGGGTCCTATTTGGGACATTCTTATAAAAGAGCTCAGAATATCGTTTTGGTATCCCTTCGCAGTTATTTGATTTTGAAGTGTTACAAGAATATGATTCCTGAATATTTAACTCTCAATACGGGTGCCAAGATGCCGGCTCTGGGTTTTGGCACTTGGACATCGGTGGATAGAAACATTGTAGGTGAGAGCGTTGAGTATGCAATCCTCGAGGCAGGATACCGCTTGATCGATACCGCTTACTTTTATGAATGTGAAGATCAAATCGGAGAAGCACTTAAAAGAGTTTTTGCAACAGGAAAAGTCAAGCGCGAGGATTTGTTTATCACGACCAAAGTGTGGCCCACTTTTGGTACTCGTATAGAGGAGGGCTTGGATCGCTCACTTGCCGATTTCGGCCTTGACTACGTGGATCTGTGTCTCATTCATTGTCCTGTTCCAATCAAGTGTGACAGTCCTGATGGAAAGCCTCTTTGGCCTCTTGATGCTAACGGACGCATGATCAAAGATCACTCGGTTACTCATGTTGATATGTATCTTCAGTTAGAGAAGGCTTACAAAAGCGGAAAAGCCAAAGCCATCGGAATATCCAACTATTCTGAGATATACATTGAGGAATTGCTCAAGTCTGCCTCGGTTGTCCCTGCTGTGAACCAAATTGAAATTCACCCACTTCTCCCTCAGAGAAAGCTTGCAGAGTATTGCCAAAGCAAGGGCATTGCGCTGACAGCTTTCAGTCCTTTTGGTGGTGAAGGGGCTCCTATTCTCAAGAATGAAGCTGTGAAGTCTATAGCTGAGAAGTATAATGTGACTACGTCCACAATACTGCTTAGTTTCCCTCTCAATTTAGGAATTTCCACCATTCCGAAGTCGTTCAAGAAGCAACGGATTCTTGACAACCTCAAAGTAATTGATCTTGAGCAGGAGGACATCGAGAAACTTATTGCTATAGGAAGTAAGTCACCGGTGAGATATGATCGCGAAGAGTTTGGTGTTGACCTTGGGTTTGAGGACTGGAAGCCAGAATTGTTTCCTTAAGTAACTATTTACTTAAAAATAGAAGACCAACAGCGGTGACGCCAGTGTACTTGAAATCATCCCAACACGAAGTACGAAAGGAGATTTCATTAAAAGACCACAAGCATCGACACACAGCCAGCTGTCTTGCTGGGAAAAGCTGTTCCCACCTACCAGCATGTTTTCCTGGGGAATAACATGTGTGATATTCAAAGCCAGTTTCAATGATGAAGAGATGTCGTTTAACGCTGTGAAACTTGAACAATAAATCAAACCGAATAGGATTTTATTTCAGGTTGACAGCCGGAATTCAGCTTATGCCAGTCTGATTTCATTCCTCTGTGAGGTCTTTGAACTGCTCAACATCTTTGAATGCGTTTGAACATTGCGCCTTGGCGCAAGAGAATGAATTCATCGATGTGCTTAAAGTGATGATACACTCTGCAGTGGGTTCTGGATTACCCACTCCTTGGTTGAATCGAGCTTACGGATCCAGACTCTTCTATATATTTATCAGTAATACACCGGTAAATACCCAGTCGACCTGAAATCTGAAAAACTACAAAGCCTTTGGTATTCTAAGAGAACCTTGCGAGGTGCTTGAGTTAAGAGAACTAAGGAGTTAAATTTGAGAGATCGCACAAATTAGCTGTATTTCTCAACTCATAATCTCTTATCAAGTCTGCCATTTCTGATCGGGTCATCGATAGATATAGTTTCCCAAATCGGAATTGCCTTATCTTAAAGATCCCCATAAAAGTCAAGCCAAAAAAAAGAAATCATGCATACAGGTATCGATCACTATATTTACTCACACAGACCCGGAGACAGATATCCTGCTGTCCACAACTACTGAGTGAGGAGAATAACAAGAACATGGTTGCTGAATTTTTAACCCTTAATACAGGTGCAAAGATGCCCACTATGGGCTTTGGCACTTGGAGCGCGGAGGATAGATCTGTTATTGGTGCATGCGTTGAGTTTGCAATCCTGGAAGCAGGATATCGTTTGATTGATACTGCTTACTTCTACGAATGCGAAGAGCTAATTGGAGAGGCACTCAAAAACGTATTTGCCACAGGAAAAGTCAAGCGCGAGGACGTGTTCATCACTACCAAAATCTGGCCCACTTTCTGTACACATACGGAGGACTGCCTGGATCGCTCGCTCGCAGCACTAGGTCTTGACTATGTCGATTTGTGTCTCATCCATACCCCTGTTCCTATGAAATGTGACAGCCCAGATGGGAAACCACTTTGGCCTGTTGATGGTAACGGGCGCCTGATAAAAGATCATTCGGTGACTCATGTCGATATGTATCTTCAATTAGAGAAAGCTTATAGGAGCGGAAAGACCAAAGCTCTTGGAGTCTCCACCTATTCCGAAAAATACATGGAAGAACTACTGAAGTCTGCCTCGGTTATTCCTGCTGTGAACCAGATTGAAATGCACCCTCTTCTTCCTCAAAGAAGGCTCGTCGAGTTTTGTCAGAGGAAGGGAATTGCGATAACTGCCTTCAGTCCTCTTGGTGGAGGAGGAGCACCTATTCTTCGGAATGAGGTTGTCAAATCCATAGCTGAAAAATATGGGGTTACCCCCTCCACTATTCTCCTTAGTTTCCCCCTCAATCTGGGAGTTTCCACTATCCCCAAATCGTTCAAGAAGGAGAGGATGATCGCCAACTTCAAAACGATTGATCTTGCGCAGGAAGATATCGAGACGTTGATTGCCGTAGGAAGCAAATCACCAGTTAGAGTTGATCACGACGACTTTGGCGTTGATCTTGGGTTTGAAGACTGGAAGCCGGAATTGTTTCCATGATTGCGAATATGTCTATATATTCGTATTAATTTTAGAACTTTTCTTGCGATGCCATTGCTACAAAAATTTATATATGCTGATTTAATTCCCAAAATGTTTTCTAATATTGATCGCAGCATACTCAAAGGAACAGACAACGGCATAAATTCACAAATAGAAGATCCGAAACGTAACTTTCTGCCCGAAGTGTTTTAGTGGACTGCTTGTTCAGTTCATCAAGCTTCTTCACGTCAACGTTTGGTCCTACGTAGTTCTTACCTAATATTAGCCACGATATAACAACCAAGAGCAATAGACCAACACTGGCGGGACCAGCATCGTCACAGAGCCAAACTGGACCAGACCTGACATTATTCAATTTTCATTGGCCGCGATGACTAGAAACTCCCATCCAGATAAGCGAATGCATTCATAACAAGAAGTATGTGCTGGTCCCGGTGCCCTCAAGATTAGATGTAGCCATATTTTGACTTTGACAAAATTCACGACAGTATGCGTTGTTCCAACCCAAATAGATCATTTATCTTCTCGCGGTTTTTATCTATCGAGAGAAAAGGGCACTAATGTCGAAGATCGATTTCATGGTACGGTAGTGTACTTACATATGATTAAGGAATAGGAAACTGGGAACGCGGTTATGCGTGGATTGTGAGATTAGCTATCTTATCTGCAGGGATGAAAAATCCACGCTCACATGTGCAAGCATATTTACCACAGCATTTTTCAATGCAAGTTCTGGCAGAAAGTGCATCAGAAGCCTCAAATAAAGCAATTCAAAACGAGAGATGACCCATCAGCACGATCACATAATCACACCTGATATGCACCTTAGTGCGGTCGGGAACGACATCAGTTCTTTTGACGATTCATGACATCTTAGTGATCGTTTTCAGAGCCACTGAAGTCAGCACTAATGACTAAGGCAGATATGCTTGCCACCAGAGGAACCAAGAAGTTTACGGGTTGCTGGACATGTCGTAAACGTGGAATCAGGTGCGATGAGAAAAAACCTTTTTGCAAGAAATGCGTAATTCACGGGGTCAAGTGCGAAGGCTACATGGTGAAGCTCTGTTGGACTGACAACTACGGGACCTCATTGGAACGCAGATCCAGGAAGAACAGGTGCCTTGTTCTGTATGAGTGGAAGGAGAACCAACTTCTGGATGATGTACAGATTGGCAACCTCTTGAATCGAATCGACACGGCGTCAGTACATCTATATCCCGAGTCTTTGGACTACCAGAACGAATTTGGTTACGGGCCTTTCAATGTTTTCACTGCATCGTGCAACGCGGAAATGGGCGACCGTCTCAAAGGTCAGATTTATGACTCGACAAGTAGCGATTCAGATGCATTCTCCATAGGACCCCCAAGCCGAATACGCGAAAGATTGGAACAAACTTCATTCATGGGTGTTAACCGAGATCTGGAGATTGAAATTTTCCTTCTGGATTTCTGGGATTGTTATTTCAGTAAAACACTCACACCGGTGGACGAAACTGAGGTGAATCCCTATAACCTGTTGTTGAAGGAGGCACTGGATAAACCGCATCCAGCTGATATTCAGAGGGCGATTCTGCACACTGTATGTGCAATTTGCTCAAGTTTTCTTTCGACCTGTGCTGATAATGATTTCATAGCTCCGGAATACCAAAATACTAGTTTCCATGAGTACAGAATGTTTCACAAAATCAGGGCACTCAGTTTTGTGTCCGACAAATACTCGTGGAGAGAAGCTTGCACGACCGAGGAGTTAATTTTCTTGGTTGGCTCAATATATTTCCTATTAGCATCCGATGGTTTTAAGAGCTCAGACGAGTGGCAAATCCATCTCAATGGTGCCGTATCAGCCCTGAAGACCATCAGCGATTCGGACGGAGGCAACCTAATTTCAGGACGAGGTGATCCGGCAGATTTGTCCAGCGCCTTACTCTTTTTTGCTCAGATGACGAGACTAGCCTACTTGCAGAGCACTTTATATTTGCTCAGTGACGACGTTTGCAATAAGTACCTGACAGTCCAGGATCTGGAGTTCATGAGTTTCCCGGAAGAGAATTATAGCAAATCTCTACTTTATCGCAACGCAGGAATTACACCAGGTATGATGAGATGTCTGACGAACATCGTCAAATATATCCAGGTTGCGGACTCACCAGAAGCTCAAGAAAATGCAGCCAGGGATATTGAACAGGAGCTCGTAGAGTGCAAACCTCTACCGTTCAATGCCACCATAGACTCTATCAACCCGTTGATAGTATATCATCAGTCCGTAATCTTCCACACTGCGATTGCTTTGCTGTTTCTGAGAGAAGTGAAAAAGGAAGACCCTCGAAACTTGCAGGACCTGGTGGATTCTGGGATTGACCATATAGAAATTTACGAGGAGATATCGAAGGACTTTACTAGTCTTAGCTTATTCTGGCCTTGTTTCATTATTTTCTGCGAAGCAACATCTCCCGAATCTCAATCGAGAGTTAAAGAATGGCTGGAACTAGCTGAGCTCTACTGTGTGGATACAATGAAACGAGGTTCTCGGGTTATAAATACGGTTTGGGATAGAAGAAAAGGTGGGAATCAAGTTAGCTGGTTGTCTGTTATACGGGAGATCGACTCGACATTGTGGTTGGCTTAAGGAAAAAAACCAAACTTTGTTTTGGTGGTCCCGCAGGTGAGAACCTGGGATAAAGCGAGCGGCATCATTGGCCTAAGTGGTTCTGATGTGGGCTAGGCAGCAAACAGTGGCTGTTTCGTGGCCATACTCGTACTTTCCACGATACTTGCAGGTATTTTGGTGGATCACGCTGGGAAGGCTGATTTGTGGCAACTAGGCCAATACTCAAGGTGGTAGAGAAATTGTACTGCGGCTCGAATTAAGCTGTAGTGAGGTCCTGTTTGATGGTAAACGTGTTGATCTTTCCAGCAAAGCGTGCTTCCCTGACCGATGGATGACACATGCATTTCTCAGCAACAGTTTTAGATTTGGTGACAATAACAGTCATTCTCAAAACTTGTTGTGGGAAGAATATCATTCCAGGTTTTCTCTTTAAATTGTGGAGATACATCACTCTAAATCTTACCAGTAACCTCGTGAGACAAAAAGTTGTTCACGATACACCCACCGTATATTTCCATCTTCTCTGCAACGTTATCAGCAGTCACAGGCTCAGAAATAGTCAAATTAGCAGCTGTGGGTTTCAATGACCTCTGATATTTGACCTTGTTGATGATTCTTGAAGTATTAACATCGCCTTTTACGGAAAACGCAATGTTTGAAAGCTTAAATGATGGGGCCGTATCTTAATGGTCTTGAGGAAATGGGAGCGGTTTTGGGTGTTGACCAAATGAAAACGAAAATCAGGCAAGGGAGTTTTCGCATATATATTCTGATGATTACATTCGCAATTTTAGGAGCCTATTTCAATTATTGCAAAAAGTGAACGAGCTTGAGGAATAAGGCAAACCGTAGCACCAATGTGATTATCTCAATAAAGACTTTTAAAGACGTTTGAAGCTTATCCCCAGAGCAGGATGCTCGAATGAGAATGAAAGTTAGGTCATTTCCAAACCCTGAATGGCAGTTGGGAACGCACTCAACCGTAATGGACGGATTGAATAACAATGACGATGGTACAAATAAGCCAGCACAAATCTTCTTTGGTGTGTGAGTTTCTTGAAAGTTTCGAGTATTCTTATTGAAATTTCTTATCGGAATCCTTATCGAAGATATTGGAGATAAAGCCGGTAGACGAAAGGGGTAACCTCAAACGAGGCACTAGACAGATCAAACTTTATCTCCTATCAGTGGAAAGTTAAGAAGCCACACTCTGCTTATGCGTGCCGCTTGCAGTAGCAAATCTTTTACTGGAATGAATTCTTCAGACTGTAACATATATAAGGGCATGGGCCTGCATTGCTTGTTTGGACTGACTACAGCCTATTGATGGCAATATCGAGACTGGAAGATGAAGGGCGTGTTAAAAAACGAACTCAGTCACCGGAACGAAAACAGCTCCAAGTTAAATGCAGGCTTGGAAATAACCGAGTTTCAAGACTCGGAGATGGGTGAAGGTTCCGATATTCAAGATGGCGACTACGACAATGCCTTGGAACAGAACTTTGATATCTGGGGTGTTGTTGGAATCGTTAATGGATCCATCGCTACGCCGCTTACTTTGGGAACATATCTCTCCACCGTCATCGGTGTTGGAGGAGCTCCGTTCTTCTTCTATGCATACTTGTTTGCCGGCTTCTTCTGTTTGACGACGGCCTTCTGTATATCGGAGATGGCTTCAGTCCATCCGCACTCTTCTGCTTTGGTTTATTGGAGTCAAATGTTCTCCCCTCCAAAGTATGCCAGACCACTCGCTTATTTTAGTGGTATTCTATCGTGTGCTTGTTATATATTTGGGACGGCGGCCACTAGCTTTTTCGTTGCAGACCTCGTTTTGGGGTTGGTCGACATGCGTCATCCCGACTATGTGAGCAAGACCTTTCATTACTACTTGATTTTCTTGGTCAGTGTGATACTTTCAGCACTATTCAACATATATGCCGCGAGATTATTGCCTCTGCTTGGCCGTTTAACGAATTATGTGTTCAACGGAACGGCAATCTTCACGCTTATTGCTCTATTGGCAAGGGCCCACCCAAAACAAACCGCTGCCTTCGCTTTCAAAGACGTAACCAACGAGACAGGCTGGAGCTCAAACGGTGTTGTGTTTTTCCTGAGTATCTTGCCCACCACGGCTGCTGTGGCCCTTTTTGACGGTGCTTGTCACATGACAGATGAAATTCCAAATCCAAAGAAGCACATTCCTATGGTGATTACTTATGGTTATTCAGGTGCATATCTCACGGGAGTGGTTGCAATCTTGGTTTACAACTTTTGTATCGTGAATTCAGACAACCTGCTTGCCCCTGTTGGTGGAATTCCCCTTTTCCAACTTTATGTTGATTCTATGGACAATGCTGCATTATCTACCGTTTCTGCCCTCTTTATCGTTGTGTGTTATCTTATGGGAACTATTAGTATTATGACCTCTGCCAGCCGTCTCGTTATGGCATTTGCAGAATTTAAAGGTCTTCCCTGTGGAGATGCTATCGGGTCAGTGAATAAGAAGTTAAACGCCCCCGTGTGGGCAATCATTTTTGTTACGATCTGGTCTATTTTGATTGGGCTTCTCATCTTTGCGTCAACCACAGCATTGAATGCTGTTTCGGGGAGCTATATCTCCACAATGTATGTGTCATATCTCATTCCATTTGTTGGGCTGGTTTTTAAGAAAGACAGATTTGGTGAAGGGGTAAAACCTCTATTTAACCTTGGCAGATGGGGAAAACCAATGAACATCATTTGCATTTTTTGGTTTTTGTTTGCTTCAGCCTGGTTGTGTGTTCCAACCTATGTGCCTGTTACCGCTGACACTATGAACTACACTATTGTCGTTTTGTTTATTACTGCTATTGTTGCTGCTGTAAACTGGTTTGCTTATGCTGGAAAGCATTTTTCTTTCAAGGAGGTTATCCAGTTCGAAGAAGAGGAAAGAATTGAGGAAGCAGAAATTATTCAAAAACATGAGGATTAGAACAATTTGTAAATTACCTTAGTTTAGTTTTCTTTGTTATATGCGAAAAGGTGACGAGTTTGGCTTTTGAGTACCATATGGATTAGCTGTGGGCTGGATCTGACAAAGGTTCTTGCTCATAAAACGCTGCCGCAGACACATTTCGCGTTCAAGCTTGTTTTGTTATCTTTGTGAAGCCCGAATTTTATTTTTATTTTTCAAAGTCATTCGATAATCCTCCAGAGAGATGAACTTTCTGGTTGCACGTTATTGGGTCCGGTTACTGAGCAAAACATCAGTCTTAAGATCGGGTGGGTTCTCGATCACTCCCTCCTCGGCTGTACCGAGCTTACGGACCCAGACTCTTTTGAATATTTTTACCAGTTATAAACAACGGTAAATACCCATTCGATCTGACATCTGGAAATTGCGTAGCCTTTGATATTCTAAGAGAACCCTGCGAGGTGCTTGAGTTAAGAGAACTAAGGAGTAAAATTTAAGAGACTACACAAATTAGCTGTATTTCTTACCCCTTATTTTTTATCAAGTCTGCTATTTCTTATCGGTGACCCGATAAGAATAGCTTCCCAAATCGGAATGATTCTATCTCGGAGGATAGATCCACTATTGCTGCACGTGTTGAGTTTGCAATCCTCGAAGCAGGACATTGTTTGATCGAAACTGCTTGCCTCTACGAATGCAAAGAGCTAATTGGAGAAGCGCTAAAGAACGTTTTTGCCACTGGAATTGTGAAGCGCGAAGATCTTTTCATCACCACCAAAGTCTGGCCCGCTTTTTGCACTCATATGTAGCATTTCGCGGATCACTCGCTTGCGGCTCTAGGTCTTGACTATGTCGATCGATGTCTGATTCATTGGCCTGTTCCAATTAAGTGTGATAATTCAGATGGAAATGCATTTTGGCCTGTTGATGATAACAGGAAAATGATTAAAGATGATTCGGTGACTCATGTCGATATGTATCTTCAATTAGAGAAAGCTTATATCAACGTTCGGTCCTTCGTAGCTCTTACCGATTATAAGCCACACCTATCAGAATGGTTTCCTGGGGAATAACATATATGATATTCAAAGCCTGTTCAAATAGTAAAGCTATTTAGTCTAATGCTGTGGAACTTGAAAAATAAAGCGAAGGGAGTAAGCATCCGTCGACTGAGAAATGCATCTACCTTGAACTCACGTCTCAGATGCTGCCGGGGGATAACGAGACTCGGAAAATGTTTACAGGTCGACAGCCGGAGTTGAGCCTGTGCCAGTGAGGTAATTGGGCTGGTCAAGGTTCTGGACGCATTTGGGAATTGCGCCTTAATGGTTTTCAGCTTATGGGCATACTGCAGGATCTCTAGATAAGAGGGCCAAATTTCCCAAACAGGCAAAAGTGTAGATGGGATGCAGGTCATATACTCACTATAAGGGCATGTTGAACTTCAGTATAAACTCACTGAAATTTACTTCGTTTTTCCGTCCAACTCATGACGAACTGCCCAGAAACTCAAAACTATTCCGACTTCATACACAGAAACCCGCAATAGACCACTGACCACAAACGTAACCCATTGGCTATTCATTCCAGCTAAAAATCCTGTTACTGGTGGAGCTAGGCCCTGACCCACAGCTTCTCCTAAATTGCTCCATGCTATGGCTCCGGAAAGTTCTTCAGGCGGAACTACAGCACTTACAAACACACTCTTCGGCCCCATATCCATGGATTTGAAACTTCCTCTCATCAGAAGAAAAACTACCGTAACCACCAATGTCTTCGGTATGGGTAAAAACAAAACCAGCACTGTGGCTGGAATATGGGCTATAATTAGTGATGTGAAAGGGCCGTATTTCTTGCACAGAGCAGTTCCCAAAACGGAAAACACCGCGGAGAGAGAATCGGACGTGAAGAAAATTAAGCCCAGTTGAGAAGGGTCAGGTGCAAACTTGTGAATAAGATAAAATGAAACCCAGCCATCGTTGACCATGGATCTACAAAACGAATCCAGGGCATAGAAAAACGAGATTCGAATGACAGGCCAGAAGTTTTTGGAGCCAAAAAGCATGGAAGAAGCTTGTGGTCCTTCCGGATCAACAATATGAAGGGAGTCCAGAATTTCATCTTCATCATCAGAGACGAGCGATCCTGATGAATCGAGTGCATGGCTTCTTGGTCGTAACGGTGCTATCTCTATCCGAGAGCTCAACTGGGATGCTGTCAACAGACACAGCAAGGAGGTAAAGAACTGGACCCAAAACACGGATTTGCACGCTTCCGGTTTGGTCCAACCATAGTACTTCATGAGAAGAGTCATGGTCCAGCCGTTCACGATGGACCCGAGAGCAAAAGTCAAAATACCCAAGAGAGATAACCAGGTGTAGTAATCCGAGCTTTCGGTCACAGTGGAAAGACTGGCAATTGAGGCAAACTCCACGTTTCTAAAAGGTCCGGCCTCACCCCCTCCGGGTGTTATAAAACCCACTATCCCGGTTACAAGCAATACTGTCGGGTTTGAGAAGGTAGCAAAGATAAGACCTGTCAAGGCCATGATCCCAGATCCAAGCATAAGTGTACGCGCTCTTCCGAAGGAGTCTGCCCTTGAAGTGAGACGTAAACTCACCACCATATCACCCAGTAGAAAGAATGTCATATAGAAGCCCACAATTGCAGTATCAATCCCTACTTCTGTGAGGTAGAAGGCTAGAACTAGTGAGACTCCGCTGTACCCATACCATCTGATCATGCGCAGCAGAAACAACGTGTGGATATCCCGTGGTGCGTTCCACACAGTGTTGACACCGGTGTGTTCCAGAGCACGTATTCCCCACTCAGCCAGCTTTTCCATTTTATTTCTAGCTCGATTGATGGACCCATGAGATTTGAAGGCCTTAGAAAGAATTTTAATATCGCAAAAGTGAGCCACGGCATGCACGGCTGTGCGGCCTGCATTTGAGTTGTCCACATACGCGCCGCCAGAGGCGCAAGCGATATGACGTAGTTGAACGCCAGCAGAAATGGCTAAGAAGATGTTGTAGTTGGGGATATATTTACTTGTTTCTGGTATGATTCATGTTATTTGAAATGGGCACGTTGGTAACTACCTCAAAAGGATGTGAGTGATGGCAGAAGGAAAAACTGGTTGGATGTCCCTCTCTGTTTAAGTGTACGCGTAAAACCAGAATAGATTTTGAGTTGAAAGGACGCCCAGACACTCCACTAGACACTATGCAGTTGAGAAAGTCCCACTATTCTCCTTTTGCTGTTGGAAGCTTGCTGAGTCGCTATCAGAAATCAAAACTATCCCGAACCCTTCGTATTAGTTTGAATGATGACAGAGGCAATAGTTAAGCCGAGCTTGCGAATACGCAACTCCCCTCCAAACTTTCAGGAAAGAAGAATCGTCGGATCAAGCTCCCTCACAACGTCTATCCAGCTCACATTGCCCCCATTTTTCCTTTTTTCCCATACAGCGTAAATTATACGGGTCGCTCTCTGCATGCTGGTCCCACTGTATGACTTGTAAGGTTCTAGAAAACTCTGTAGAATTTGCTGTTTTGAGGCAGAGGTTGTTTCGCATGATATCACGAAGAAAGGCCATAACAGTCCAAATCCATTGGAACCTGTGGTGATGTCATTGTCAGCCTTTATGTGTTCAATACCATTTGTCGCAAGATCCTGTAGCTCAAACGGACTCCGGTTTTTCACCTCCCTCATAAACAGCAATTTCATTGCAATGTGGAACATCATCGACTGGTGGTATACAATCAAACTATTTCTTGATTCACAGCCCTCAAATAACTGCTGTGGCTGACATAACTCAATATCCATTTCAATTTCATGTATGCTTTTAATCGTCTCACCAAGTTGAAGGTATTTCACGATTTCAGCCAGACACCTGATCATACTCTCAGTGACACCTGTATTTCGGTACATCAATGACTCAGTTTCATGAATAACATCAAACTGTATACAATCCAAGTCGACCACGGATATATACTTGTTGCAGACGTCATCCTGGTAAATATGAAGAGTACTGAAAAGATATGTCAACTTGATTAACTGAGCAAAGTAGACAGATGGATCCATTGCATCGGTTCCATATCCCAGCTGATTCATGGTTTTTAGTGTTGATAGCGCTCCCCTGAAATGAATTTGCCATTCTTCTGAGATGTGAAAAATATCAATGGTGAGAAGAAATGATATTGCAGCAGCCAGAAGCCCAAGATCTGCAGGAGAGTATGATGCTTTTCGTAGATAGGCAATAGACACATGGTCCATTGCCTTACGTTTGTGCACTTTCCAGTATTCCTTGAAGTCGATGTCTTGGTACCATGAGCCTGGCTGCATGTGTTCTTTGCTGATGGCCAAAAAACTGGAACAAGTTGCATACACCGAATGCAATACTGCATTCCTAACCTCAGAAGGTATTGAATGATCCTGAATGGTTTGCATAACCATTCTATAAGGGTTTATCTTCTCATCGTTCACTGGAACCATAAATTTACAAAGGTGATGGTCCCAAAAGTCAAAAAGCAAGCTCTCAACGTCTTTTCCCACGTGAGGTCCCAGTAGAGACATGACTTTTAGCTTTTTATCCACAAAATTCTTAGCTGGCTCTTTCAGGCTAAAGACTCGAAAAGGACCATATCTGCACTCTTTCCCATCAGAGGTGATGAATCGAGAAGCCGAATCTATGCTGCTTAAAAACAGCTCAACTTGCGAATCATTTAGCAAGTCACATTCGCCCCACTTGTTCAGCACCAAGGATCTAGTTTTGTCAAACTGAGGTCTTCCTTTGGAATTATTCTGCCAGCTGAGTTTCACTCCGAATCCTTCGCAAGAATTTCCTGAAAATCTGCAGTTAATACAAGAAGGTTTGTTCTCATCACACTTAATTGCTCGTGCTTTGCACGTCCAACATCCTGTGTATCTCTTCGTCCTTGTTGGCGGCATTGATGAGGAATCACGCGAAGGGGGGTTAGTCGTATTACCACTGGTGTGTCTAACCTTATGAAATTGCTGGTATTGCAAAAAGCGCACTTGCAAGAGATTGAAAATTTCAACAAATGAGGTTAGCAGTAGCGTCTTGTGAACATAACAAGGAGTTCGAAACTTGCTTATCTCGAGCGAGGTTCCTCTTCATTTGGCGCACCTTTGTCGGTCAGTAGTGTGTTACCGAACTCTACAGTTGACTAAAATACGGTTCAGACCCCAAACATAAACCGTTGGAGGGTTATGGCTTTACAAAGTGCTTCGCTGAGAGGTCAACTTTACTGTTTGATTACCGGTGGGGTTTCCAGATTCTCCGAAATGGTTTCATAATCCGAACAAATACCTTAGTGAATACTTGTATTTCACTACGTCCTCCGCTTTGTCAGCCGGACAAAAATTCACGCCTGTTTATTTTCCGAGCATATTTCCTCAAGTTTTCAGAGGGTAGCATTCAACACTTCCAGGGAAAGAGTGATTGTGTACAGTTTCTTTACTACAGAAAGAGATTTGGAGAGAGAGAAACGGGACTTTATCTGTTTCCGTTGCCGATAACAGAAACCCATATCAAAACACGACCCTGTGGACTTTCCGAGCAAAGTAGCTCTGGCCGAGATTGTAAGCAACATTCCTTTCCACTATCTTTGGGGGATCAAAAATTGCACAAGGTTTCTCTTCTCGTTACCTGAAACCGAAAATGTATAGCGATACACTACTCTGTCCGCGTTCCCAACACAGAAGCTCTGGCCGAGATTGTAGGGAGAGATCTCGCCAAACTTCAGCTATCGTTCTTATCAATTCTGGAAACCGGTATCAATACACGACCATATGTACGTTCCGAACAAAGTAGCTCTGGCCGAAATTGTGAGGGATCTTTTTCGATAACGGAATCAGCACGTCGATTGCCATCGGCCGGCCATAGAACAGGCTTATTCTTTCTTGGCTTTCTTTATCAGTTCTCAAAATATTACCGTCTAAACAGTCAACAGACGAGTCCGGTTTCCGATCAGCAGCTGTATGAGACATGAAAGGGCTTTAATATATAAATAGACGTCTTCTTCGCTCAAACAACGGTACTGTCAATATTCAAAAAACAAAAAGTAACAATGCTTGGTATCTACAAGTACAAAGATGATCTCACGGTGCCAGGCACCACAGTTCTACTGGGAGATAATGCAGTGCTTGGATTTTGGGGTTTAAAAAGCAAAGCGAAGGACTCGGAGGTCATTCTCATCCCACAGCCTTCGAAAAGTCCAAATGATCCTTTGAACTGGCCAACATGGAGAAAACAAGTTCACTTCTGGTCATTATTTTGGTTCTCAACAATTATGACTTCATGTGCTAATTTCGTGGGTCCCATCTATACCAACATGGCTATAGACTTCAATGTCTCGTACAATGCTCTGAACACTGGTGCCGGTGTAGCTTGGTTGATGTTGGGTGTGAGTTGTTTGTTTTCTCAACCTCTAGCTCGCAAATTTGGAAGACGTCCTGTTTACCTTTCCGCGACCCTTCTCGTCGTGATTTCTGGTGTGGTGTTTGGATCGCCTTATACCTTTGGAAGTTACATGGCTTACAACGTCCTGGTGGGTATTGGATCAGGTCCAGTAGACTCTTTGATTGAAGCGTCCATTGCTGACATTTTCTTCCTTCACCAACATGGGAAGTACATGGCTATTTTTTCCTTAGCTCTTGGATATGGCAGTGGATTTGGTCCTTTGATCGCTGGATACGTGTCACAGAATATGAGCGTTCAGTGGTGTGGATTTCTGACGGCCATCATCGCTGGTTCATTTCTCGTGTTTCAAATATTCTTCCTTGAGGAATCTTTATTCCAAAGGAAAATAGACGAAGAGACAACTCAGAATCTTCTAACTGTCGCTCTCTCAAATGTTTCTGGAGGTGGTCTTGCTGATTCCAAGAATCTGATCCAAGAAGAGATCAAGCAAACTCCAGAAGACTCATCAAGTCTTACATCCATGAAGCCTCGAACCTTTTTGCAAAGGATGAAACCATTTTCTCTGTTCGAATCGGAAAATGTTGGAATTATTGGTTTCATATTTGGTCCTCTGGCAACAGTAAGATATCCTGCTGTCATTTGGGCCGCCATTGCCTATGGTATTCAATGCTGGTGGCTTTCCTTGATATCGCTTTCTGAATCTGAATTTTACGCTGTTCCTCCATACAACTTCTCAAATGATTCGTTGGGATTGCTTAACATTGCAATGATCATTGGTACAACATTTGGCACTTTGTATGCTTCAACGTCGGACACCTTCATGTTTTGGGCTACAAAAAGAAATAAGGGGATCTTTGAGCCGGAACCACGTCTATGGATGATCTCTGTGCCTCTCTTCTTCAATGTGGTTGGTATATTCATGTACGGTCTCGGTCCCTACTACGGGGTTCATTGGATCGTTGGGGCAATTGGTATAGTGATGATAGGTATGTCGATGTCGAGTATTACAGCTCTGGCTTTGACTTATGTTATGGAATGTTACCCAGCGCAGCTTGCTCAGTGTATGGCTTTCATTCTATTTGTGAGAAACATTGTGGGTGCAATATTTACCTGGGTGTTTCAATATTGGATTGATGGTGTTGGCATGGTCGGCACTACTGTCATGTTGGCGGTCTTCTGTCTTGTAGTCAATGGTGTGTTTCTTCCTTTCATCCTCTGGGGAAAAACTTGGAGAAAACGCACCCAGAAATGGTACTCAAAGCATCTATAAGAACGCGGATGTTCGTGTGTTACTTTTTATTACTAATCTGCTGCTTTAAATTGATTTCAAATTTCTTTTTTTCTTTGGCTGTATTGATAAAAGATAATAAGCGCCTTAGGCATAAGCCTAACTTATTCAAATCGGGTTTGTGGATTGCACCTTCTCATTCTCGCTCTTTAGCTTGTACAGCTTTTTGTCAAACACTACCGGAACTATAAGAACATATCTTCTTATAACTATTTCTTCTTCATATATCCATATCTACCAGTTCTTTCCGCCTTTTCTTCACCACAACCTACCCTCAAGTTCAGTACTGTTGACTGATTCTGGTCATCCGATTCTAAAATCAGTACATACGAAACAAGATCCAAAGACACATGGGTGCAAACACGTGACCATTATTGGGTATCTATTGCGGAAACCGGTTATCAAACCGTCTCGGTTTGAAATACTCTTTTCGGGAACATGCATCTTGTTGTCTCTGCAGAGTATTTTTGATGAGCGAGTAATCTAATCTCATTATTATCGGCTTGGATTTCCCGTTACGTGACTTGGAAATAATCAAAATGATTGCTCTATAAGTATACCTAGACCTCTCTGTGTTGCGAGAGAAAAGTGCAGAACATCATTTACACCCCAAAATGACTATAGAGAAAGACTGGAAGAAAACAGCTACTGAAAAAAAGCAGTCTGTCGATGCATGCATTCCAAAAGAATGGAGGTTGCCTTTAGAAGTTACTAAAGGCATCAGCTCTGATAATGCCACAAGCGTTTTAGATATACCTAGACAGTTTCTTTCGGAAAAAGAAATATCCATTACCGAAGACTATTCTGCTAGAAGCTTGCATACGTCAATTGTCGCTGGAAAATTAACGGCTGTGGATGTTATTTCTGCATTCTCACACAGAGCTGCTATTGCAACCCAACTCACCAACTGTTGTACTGAGATCTTGTTTGATTATGGTTTGGAGAGAGCTAAGTTCTTGGATGAATACCTTTCACAAAACAAGCGTCCATACGGCCCTCTACACGGTGTGCCAGTGTCCCTGAAAGATTGTTATAACATTGAAGGTTATGATTCTACGGTGGGATTTGTGTCCTTGATTGGGAAAAAGGCCACCTCAAACAGTAGCATAGTTGAAATGCTGCTGGACCTGGGGGCGGTGTTTTACGTGAAGACTAACATTCCTCAAGGGATGATGACTGCGGATTCTGACAACAATATTTTTGGGAGAACTCTGAACCCATTGAATTTGACACTAACTGCGGGTGGAAGTTCTGGTGGCGAAGGAAGTCTGATCAAATTGAGAGGCTCCATTTTGGGAGTTGGGTCTGACGGTGCTGGTTCCATCCGTATACCAGCTATGTGCAATGGTATATACGGATATCGTCCTACCTCAAACAGATTGCCTGCACGAGGACAGGCAGAATGTACAAGAGACGTTTACATTGATATCCCAGTTGTTGCCGGCCCTATGGCTACCAACATTGAGGACATCTTGCTCTTTACGGAATCTGTCATCAACAAAAAGCCCTGGCGGTACGATCCGTCATGTGTGAGATTTCCATGGCAAAACATTGAAGATCTCACTAAGCTGAGAATTGGGTTTATTTTGGAGGATCCAGAACTACCTATACATCCTCCGATGAAGAGAATTCTTCAGGAAGCAGTTGAAAAGCTTGAAGCCAATGGCCACTACGTTGAGATACTCAAGACTTTTCCTTCATATGTAGAAGGATGGACAGAAGCGCTACTGAACTTCGCTATTGACCCCCAAATGGCCATATTCGACCATTTAGAAAAGGCTGGCGAACCTCCAGCAAACGCTCTATGCCAGACGGAAGTTGGCGTTGAGGCTCCAAGAGAAATTGATGATATCATAAAGCTAAAGAAACGTTGCAGGGATATTGAAGATAGGTGGTTCAGTATCTTCAACGAACATAACTTTGATGTTATCATCTCTCCAGGTGCCGCAGGAACAGCGCCTCCTCATGACACATACGGAATGGCTGCTTATACCTGTATGTGGAATTTGGTCGATTTTCCTGCTACCGTTATTCCGTTCGGTAAAGTTGACTCAGAGAGCGATGTTAATGATGATACACCCTTCCCAGAGAAGCTGAAAGGGAGTTATCCAGAATATGATAGGCAGTTGTACTCTGGGGGAATCGGCCATGTTCAGATAGTTGGGCCACGATTTGAAGATGAGCGCTTGTTGGCCTGCACTGAGATCATCGACCAAGTGCTGAATAATTAGCAACCTTCATTACTGCAATTACTCAAGGTTTTATACCTCTGTGCTTTGCGAGGCTTATGATTCAGCAGATAACTTTACCTACTAAAACTTGGTCTATACACTTTAAAGACAACATAAACACATCTGCCCTCATACCCGCATCTCGACCAAAAGAGCACTAATTTTAACTGTTCTTTGTCTAGTAAACTAATCCTAAGCAGCTGTTACCTCGGCTTTTGAGTGTGCTCAGAAATTCCACTTCCCCTATTGCCTACTCGGCAGTTGAGTGGCAAGTGACCAGCTTCAAGCGAACGCCTTTTTCAAACCTGCGATTGTGATCCTATTGTATGTTTTGCCACTGTCAAGGACATCGTCCATTGTCATGAAAGGATGAACCGTTCCAGGCACTCTGACCACTTCGCACGGAACTCCATTGTCTTGGAGCAGTTTGCCGTATTGTTCACCTTCGTCGCGCAAAACGTCAAATTCGGCAGTTATGACAATGGCAGGGGCAAGGTCTTTGAAGTTGGTAGATTTGATGACACTGACCTCAGGATCGTTGTCATACTTAGCAGGTCTTGGAGAACCCAGAAATTGCTTGTAAAACCAAGACATTCTGTCAAACGACAACAAGGGGTTGTCGTAGTTTTCGGTCCAGCTGGGATATGGACAGCCTGGAGCCACCTTACTTCCATCCGGAGTAACAGCTGTGGCATCACAAATTGGGACTCCCAAAATCTGGTAGCAGATTTTGATTCCTGCATCTCTCGCCTTGTGCGAAATGACAGCTGACAAATGACCTCCAGCAGAGCCTCCACCTACCGCTACTCTGGACTTGTCGACCTTGAACCTCTCAGCATGGTTGATGACGTATTTGAGGGCTTCCCAGCAATCAGTCAGTGGAGTTGGAAACGGAAATTCCGGAGCTAACCTGTAGTCCACGTTAAACGCAACTGCACCTGTTTCGTTGCAAACACGTTTGCAGTAATCGTCGTCAATACTGAGACCTCCAAAAACCCATCCTCCACCATGGAAGGCAAAGAATGCCGGCCTGGGTTTGGGATCCTCTAAAGCTTCTTTTGGAATGTAGTATCTGACAACAATGTCTCCCCCTTCCACAGGGACCTTGAGATCTTCAATTTTTCCATCAAAGGCAACTATTTCTCTCCCATACGCGATGGTGTACTTCATAGGATCCTTTCTATATTCTTCTATTGGAACCTGGTGAGTAGCCAGCCTGCCCACATTGTACTTGTTGTATAACTCAACGAATTTGGGTTCCATACCTGCCTCGACATATTTGGGGTTGATCTGGTTGATTGGTGGAGGTGCATAGACGTGAGATACCATTGTTGTTCGATAGCGAGTTCTCAGTTAGTGTGCTCTTCAAAAGCACCGATATCTAGAAATAAATACCGCGCCTATATATGTACCACAATCCTCAGGTGTGTTAGCTGAGCTTACCGTAAATTCGCATGCATGGTGCATGCACGGCGCATGAGCAATGGGGTATAGGTTCTGCGAGACGGCCGCCGAATCGGAGTGGGGGATTTAATTTGCTCGGACGCTCAGAATCGTTGACGATTGTGTGACAAAAGCTTGATTCGACTGAAATATTGTCGGAGTAAGTTTAAACGAGGCCCGACTATCTGATGATCTCGGATATTCGCGGGTGAGGGAAGCCCAGAAGTCTGCTTTCGAGCCCTACCTCCAATGAATGGTTTTTTGAATTTGACGATCAACCCCCTATATTTAGTCTCCCCAACACCAGTGCTTGCATGGTCGATCTTCTCACGTTCTACCTAAATCCTCCCAACTGACTCAATTGAAATGTCTAAGATTGCTGTTACCTTCCCCTACCTGCCCAAGACTCTTCCTGTCTTCAGCCAAGCCATCGTGCACGGAGACACCATCTACTGCTCTGGCCTAGTCGGTTTTGATGCTGCTACTGGTATTCTTGCTGAGTCATTTACTGATCAGACTGTGAGTTGTTTGCGATAAAAATATATCGAAGCTTTACTAACGATTGTTTTAGGTCAACTGTCTCAGAAACCTCGAGCATGTGCTCAAGGCCGCCGGTTCGTCCATGGAGAACGCGTTGAAGGTCAACATATACGTGAAGGATGTGAGCAGATTTGCGGAATTGAACGAAGTTTACATCAACTACTTTGGCGATGTAAAGCCAGCGAGAACGTGAGTCGTCTTTCTGCAATTTTTCAAATTTGCACCGTGTCTAACCCCCACCTAGTTGTGTTGAAGTTACCAACCTCCCTGTGAATGCCGCTCAGATCGAGATGGAGTGTGTCGCTTACAAATAGACGTACCACTAGTTCAAGTATACTCAAACCTATAATCAAACCTAAAATAATTACAATATTAATGGAAGATTTCTGTCCCTCCATAACTTTATCCGAAAAGAAGTCGGCAGCACTGAGGATTCCCGTCTACTTCATTTGAGACTCTCGGTCAAATTCGCTAATAAAGAAAATGCAAGATCTGGTGATACTAACCACAATATTCCTAACTGCTGTGAGACATGAACCTGATCACGATTAGTCTTATAGAAAATCATATCAGACGGAGAAGTTTGTGAGAGAGGTGAGATAAATACATTAGACCTCAATTAGGATGTAGTCTAAGAATATGACTGGCCGTAATATTTCTTGCCATGAACGACGGTTGATATCGGTTCTGACGATATTTCTTGAAAGTTGCAAAACAGCCACGCGGAAGTCAAACCCCGACCGTCCTATTATATGGATAGAAAAAGGGGACGGGGTGCATATCTGCCGGAGATAAGCTGGATATGCACCTGGATCTCAAGGATACCCACTTTAATCAAGATAAGAGCACAAAACCAGATTCGGGTATTGCAGGCATTCTCAATCTAGCACTAGTAAATATGCACCTGAAACTCGAATCTAGCCACACTAATGAAAAGAGCGCAAAACCAGATTCGGGTATCCTCGGCATACCATCATATCCCCGGTGGGTATGCACCCAACGGCACCCGTTGGGATGAAGATAACGGAAGAAAATCTGATTCGGATATTGAAGGTATATCCAGTGCGATGCGATACCCGTCGATACCCGAATCTAGTTTTGCGCTCTTATCTTCACTACAGCAGGTAACTCCGCATATCTAAGCTGATCCACTGGACGGATAAGGGCTGCAAATATTTATTCACATGAGATGAGATAATGTAAATATTGCTCATCCGTCCTTATAAGAATACGCAATTTCCCTCAAAGGCAGTTATCTGCTGCATAGGCCTATTGTTCTTGCTTGTCTCAATCACTCTTCTCTGGCCCCTGACGCATTCAACGACAGAACCTCTGTAGCCTTCCCTTTGGTATTGTATAACTATGAGTGACACCGAGAAGAATATTTCTGGCGAGAAGGTCGATACAGTGGTGTCTTTCACAGAGGCTGACATTGGTACGAACCATTTGATCACGACGATCACATCTGTGCATGGCCATGAGGTCCAGCTTACGGGAGATGTTGATGACGCCATGAGGCTTGCACTCAAGTCGAAGGGTATCACCATTGATAAAGCGACCGACCAGAGAATCTTGAGGAAGATTGACATGTACATGCTACCCCTGTGTTGCTTTTTGTATGCATGTCAGTTCATGGACAAAACCACCAATTCGCTCGCGTCTATCATGGGACTTCGTACCGACTTGAATATGGTTGGTGACCAATACTCATGGACGGGTACCTCATTTTATCTTGGTTATCTGTTTTTTGAGTTTTTTGCGTCTTATAGTCTGCAGAGGTTCCCAATGGTGAGAACCGCCTCTGTTTTCATTATTTTCTGGGGAATCATTCTATGTCTGCATGCCACCCCAAACTATGCCGGTTTCATATTTTTGCGGACCGTTCTCGGTATGTTAGAAAGTTCTGTCACTCCTTGTAT